TGCAAATCAGTGAAAGCCGCAGCATGACTCCTCTAAACTCGCATGTTCCCACTAATGTCATACATTTCCTAACTTTCTCTTTCTCCACCTGGCAACCTCATCAAAACATTATCTCTGTAAAAGAACAGACTCTAATCGAAATCAATGATTTGATCTAATGAATTTCCTGATTTCTTGCAAGTTCAGCTTTCACCTTCATTATTAAAAGTAGTTTTAAAAGCAGCTTTCAGTTCTAGAGTTAGATCTAAAGTTTCACTCTAATCAAAATCAATTTAAGCCTTCAGCTTTTTCAGCCTTCAAGAAAGTTCAACTTTTTTCAATCTTTTCTTATTCAAACCCATCAATTTTCCAGAAAAAAAAGTGGTTAATGAATATTTGAGAATTGTCAGCGGGGATTTTGACAAATGTTTGATTGAAAAGGGGGGTACTAGGTAGTACCCGGTGAGGGGGAAGAGGAGAGTGAATGAATGAATGAAGTGCTTCGATTCCCCTCTCAATCCTCCTCCTCCTCCCTTCTTCCAAATACCATATGTCGTTTACGATTGATCTCTTTTTTTTGTGTGGATCAAGCCGACTCTCCCCATTCGATTCTCTAGCCCTTTCCATCCACAAATCCATTCGCACATTCGTTTTCTTCAAAAAGATCTTTCCTTTTTTCGATCTTATGCTTTTATTTCTGTTCGTATCCCACTTTTCGATTTCGTGTTGTAAATTGAAAACACGAAAACAGCCCAGAACATTGTAAATTTTCCAGAAAGAAAGAAGATTCGCACTTTTACATTTGATTTTTACATTTTTTACTTTGATACTGTAAATCTTAGTCATTACCAAAGACTATAATGAGTTAAAACAGAGCTGTATCTTTAGGAAATTTGAAAGTTTTCTATGGCTTCATAAGATTCTCTACTTCTTCACAAGATTCTCAACTTCTTCATAAGATTCTCTACTTCTTCATAAGATTCTCTACTCCTTCATAAGCTTCTCTACTTCTTCATAAGCTTCTCTACTCCTTCATAAGATTCTCTACTCCTTCATAAGATTCTCTACTCCTTCATAAGCTTCTCTACTTCTTCATAAGCTTCTCTACTTCTTCATAAGATTCTCTACTTCTTCACTTTAAGGCAAAGCTTTGTCGATAATCAAAAGCCATTTTCAAAGTCAAATTTCAATAGTCAATATGCCTGAACGCTGGAGTTTTTTTTTTGTATAAAAAGATTTCCGGATAATTTCTCTCGGTTTTTCTTTCTTTGGCTGTTTACACAAAAATTCCCTCCATGTCAACAAATATGGAGTGAAACGCGGCAAAACGATTTCCGCTGCTCAACGTTCACATCAACATTTTTGACCCTTGTCCCCAACGAAGCCGATTTTTGCTAAAAATAAAAATCTCATTCACAATTTCAACGAAAATGAAGAAATCTCTTTATAGAAAGAAGTCTTTAAGAAATCTTTATTGATGTTTATTCAATGTTTATTGATTTTGATTTAATATTTATTGATAAGATGATTGATTTTAATTGATTTTACGATCAATGACCATCACAAATGTCCATCAATGATCAATGTCCATCTCAAATTTAACTTTTATATAAAACAACAAAAAAATCTCTTTCAAATTTTAATAAACGTAAAAAAATCATCTTTAGTTAATCATTTATGAAATAGAAAATGTAAGAAATGATTTTGACGCGTTAAAACATTCCCTTTATTCCCTTCAAATGTAATTCCTATGCAAATTTGGGAGATTTTTCGTAAAACTACATTTCCTGGAGGATTGAGACGCGTTCATGTTCCTTGGCATCGATATAAAAAAGTGATTGAGTCATCGTCGACGTGGCTGACTGTATCAGAGAAAATTTGCGGCATTGACTCAATCTTATTTTCTTTTTCTTTTATTTTCTTTTCTTTTATTTTCCTGTACAAAATATTTCTTGTTTAAATCATTTTCAAAGACAAAAATTCTCTATGAATTTTCGATGAGGACAAAAAAAGAGTGAGAGAGCTGTCATAATCAGCTCGGACACTCATATTGAATGCAAAACTTTTTAACGTTTCCCTCTTTTTGCATTAACAATGAACAAATTTGATTATAGATTTTGAATTTTCGATTTCTAGAACAATGAAAGAACTACCGTAAATACTTTAATAGTACCCCACCGCCCTCGTACAGTCGCGTAGTCGCAAAAGCTTTTCAGTATTTCATTTTTTTCAAAGCTCCCGTACTTTCAAAAAAAGCGTCTTTGGTATCAAAAAATAGCTGGAATTCAGGGCTATTTTTTGATAATTCTATTGCTATTGTAGCATAAATGAGTGTCGAGAAAAACTCGTTCAAAGCTAGACTACGCAACACTCCGCACCGTCATTATGGGGATGGGGTACTATTACAGTATTTACGGTAGGTGTTTATTGTTTAAAAAGATTCTTACATAGTTGCCATACATTTGCCTATTTCTCCATATTAGATCCATTTCAAACCCAAATTTACCATTGTTTTTGATATTATTTTCGAAAAGAAAGCAATCAGGTAGATGGTTTTTGTGAAGATCGGTTAGAGTGGTTGACCTTGCTTCTCACAACGATTAAAAGAGAATTAGATGGGGCGTTTCCTGTCTATGGTGCTCCCTACCCATTTTTCCTTGTCTCCTCTTCCTACCCTCCTCCTACCCCTTCCCACCCTCCTCTTCCTACCCTCCTCCTCCTACCCCCTCCCCTCCCTCTTCCTACCCTCCTCCTCCTACCCCTTCCCACCCTCCTCTTCCTACCCTCCTCCTCCTACCCCTTCCCACCCTCCTCTTCCTACCCTCCTCCTCCTACCCCTTCCCACCCTCCTCTTCCTACCATGATCATTTTTTAACTCCATTCTTCAGCAATTTCTAGCAATATCAATTTATTATATTTTTAGTTCACTTTCCTAACAGTAACCCCATTTCATTGTTTATTTTTTTGAGTAGTTCTTTATCAAAATCGCTGTCTCATTTTTGTTTCTCTGACTCATTTGTTTTTAAGGACTCAACACAGATGAAGATTTATGACGATGAAATATTTTACATACTTAAAATGATTGTTTTAAAGAACTATTAGAAAACTAATAGTTCTTTAAAAGTTAGTTCCTAACTTGATGCTGGTTTTTTTATTGTACATACCGTATTTTCTCTAATAGTAGTGCACCCCAACGAGCCGAGTTGGTGACTATTTTACAGTTTCTAAGTTTCCACAGAAGCTCAACACTCAAATCCCCCACTAGATCTCATCATCAGCTCCATCTTCCGACCCCACATCGATAAGTTCTGATAAGCGGTTCTCGAGATTTCGAGGAATTTAGGCGACGCTCAGGGTGCACTACTATTAGAGAAAATACGGTAATATTGCTTTATCTAATCTAGTTTTTTCTTAAATTATAGCCCTAAACATTTTACTCAATTACTTTTTACTTCTTTTTGTACGGAAATACTTGACTTCACCTAATCACTCACGAGAATGATGTATTAATAGGCGTGCGGGTCGCGGTTGGCACTCATCTGATGGGAAAAAGAGAATCTTCTTGGCTGAAAGAGAGATTCGTTGGTGAGATAGGAGATCGACTGATATAAACCTCTTTCCACGCATTTCTCCTTCTTCAACTCACTCTTCCTCTTTCCATACATTGATTTAGAATCGCATTTATGGCCAACAATCCCCCTTCATTCCATAACCCAAAGATTACGTTGTTCTTCCTTAAACTCAACTTGAAAATCTCAAAACTTTCTTTTCTTTTCTTTCTTTTCTTTCTTTTCTTTTCTTTCCTTTTGCTTTTTGTTTTCTTAACCTCAGCTAATCTTAAATTCTTCTTTTTTCTTTCTTAACCTCATCTTCTTTTTGCGATTTTATCAATTACAAGTTATGCATCAAATGTTGATTCAAATTTTACTCAAAAATTTTACAATTATAGACAAGTAGTCGTAACTTGCTTAACTAAATTTGCTCAAGCTCAACTCTTTTTTTTTTATCGGCCCTTTTCGTGTTTATGTGTTTGAATTCATGTGTTTTAATCTTAAATCTAGCGCACTTTATCTCAGGTCCTGAATAAAGTATATATATATATATGTTGTGTCCGATTTAGATTTCCGTCCGATTTAGATTGAATTTATCGCGGACGTCCGATTTAGATTACAGTCTATATCGGACGTCCGCGATAAATTCAATCTAAATCGGACGGAAATCTAAATCGGACACAACATATATATATATATACATATATAAGTAGGGCGACACGGGGGGGGGGCACTCGGAACGTAGTTTCTCGTAATGAAAACTACGTAAAATCAAAAACCATCCAGGCAATCCAGTTAATCGTTGTATTTGGTCTTGGTCGGCATTTACTTGAGGTCGAGCAATGATTCACGGTTTATGCAGCTAATAAAGTAAACTTCACGAAAAATAATGCGCACTCTATATATATGCGCATTATTTTTATTTTTATTTTGCGCATTGCGCATTATAATTACTTATATATATATATATAATTACTTATATATATATATAAGTAACTCCAATCCTGGAAAGGAGATTGAGATCAAATGAATGAGAACTGAAGGAAGAAATGGAAAAGAAAATTGGGTTGAGGTTGAAACTCGAGCTCTTCTCGTTGCACAACCAACCCACCAAGTTTCCTTTTCTTCCAATTTTCTTTTCCGGAGAACAATACCTATACCTTGGCAGTCCTTTTCACAAATGTATTTCTCTTTTTTTGCGGAAACTTTCTTCTGAACAAAGGTTGAAGAGGAAAAAAAGAAACAGTGACCCTTTGAAAGTCTTGTCTCCAGTATTTTTAGGAATTTCGAAACACTCAGCTATTCAATTGAATCTTTAGAATTGAATATTCAATTGAACAAGTCTTGCACTTTGTTTTGAAGTGATAACTTGATTCAATCTTTACCTTAGCTTCAATCATTTCATTTAAAATGACTTTTCTTTGAATTTATTAAACTTCTCAATTAAATATCTTTATTATAAGTTTTCAGATGTCCGATCGAAGATTTGGGGATGAGATGGGTGAAGTGAGACAACGAGTGCCGCCTGTTGTCCCCCCGAAACCACCAATTGACACTGTTCGATATTCGATGAACAATCTCAAAGGTTTGGATCTATTCTTATCATAATTCTATTATTCGTTTGTCTTTACAAAAAGACAAATAGCATTTGATCGAATAGTGTTTTGTTGATTGAAACAAGTTCTATCTAATCGAATCTCAAACAATCTCAAACAGGGAAATTTTGTAACACTCAGCTATTCAATTGAATCCTTACAATTAAATATTCAATTGAAGAACCTTATTCTTGCACTTTGTTTTGAAGTGATAACTTGATTCAATCTTTACCTTAGCCTCAATCATTTCATTTAAAACATTTGATTGAATAGTGTTTTGTTGATTGAAATAAGTTCTATCAATGCATCTCAAACAATCTCAATGAATCTCAATGAATCTCAAACAGCTTCTCAAACAGGGAAATTTTGAAACACTTATCTATTCAATTGAATCCTTACAATTAAATATTCAATTGAAGAACCTTATTCTTGCACTTTGTTTTGAAGTGATAACTTGATTCAATCTTTACCTTAGCCTCAATCATCTCATTTAAAACATTTGATTGAATAGTGTTTTGTGGATTGAAAGAAGTTCTATCAATGAATCTGAAACAATCTCAATGAATCTCAATGAATCTCAATAATGAATCTCAATGAATCTCAAACAGCTTCTCTTTTTTCTCGAATTCATCGATATCTTTGAAATGTCATTTTTGAAAGAATAGTTAAGAAAATGTAAAAATTACTGAGTTTTAAAAGAATAATTAAATAAAATGAATTCAAGTTCAGCTTTCAATATCTTTAGCAACAGTTTTGACACAAAACTGACTCAAAACTGACCCAAAACTGACACAAAACTGACCCAAAACTGACACAAAACTGACTCAAAACTCAAAGCTGACTAACTTCTGTAAAATTTTATAATATTTTTGAAATCCATTTGAGATATTTATAACTAAAAAAGCTTTCAAATAATAAAATAAAATCATTTCTAACGATAACTAATTACTTTTTTTAAAGGTGTTCCTTTGTTTTGATCAAAATTTGGCTAGCTTTGAGGGGCACACCTGGCCACTTGCGCAACGACTCTTTGGGGGATTCGAATAAGGCTTTCCATCAACCAACACTTCTTTTCTTCTTTTTTTTCTCTTTCCTCGTTCCCACATCATGTCCATTCTTCACCCTTTTTTTACCCCGATTCGCACCTGGACATTCTTTATGAATTTGCTAGCATTCTTTTTTTTCTGAACTTCTAAAGCTTCTGAACGAATTCGTACAACTTTAGAAAACTTTTATAGCCGATTCAAGAGTGCTGAATTTTAAAGCTGATTCAAGAGTTTATATGTAGTGCTAATCTGGGGTAAGAACTGGAGTCGGGGGAAAAGTAATGGGCTTTTGGTTTTGAGTTTTGAGTTCTAAACTTTTAGCTTTTAGCTAAACGATTGCTGTTTTTCTTAGAGTTAAAATTACTGTAATTTGGTTTTTTTTACTGTAATTTGGTTTGTAAATCTTTAAAAGTTTATTATTTTTTTTTACTCTATTCTTGCTGAAACTCATACTAGTGTTAAATCAAATAGTCTTTTGTGCCTTTCGTAAAACGAGATTTGTGGGGGTGTTGATTTTGAGTTAAGAAGATCATGGGATGACTTTCGAGATCTTGCTTTGGTCACAAATTGGGTGCGAATGGAGTTGAGAAGGGGGGCAAGGGGAAACGAATTTGCGAGGACGGCCAAGGGACGAGAGGAGTTCCCCATCGGGATCCCCCACATTCCCCTTTTCTCTGTTCATTGTCCACTTCATTGTCACCCCATTCCTCATTCCCCATTGCTGCCCAGAAACCCCAGAAATTCAACTGAATTCAACTGAATTCAACTGAATTTCTTCTTTTCGATGAACGCTCATTTACCCGATTCCCCTTTTCGTTTAGCTTCATTCTGCTGTTCCTTTTGAACAAAATTTCAATCAATCATCTCTTTTTTTTTGTCTTTTTGGCTTTTTGACTTTAACAAACCCTTTTTAAGCGCTTGTTTTTCGGCATTCCTTTCTCGAGAACACTTTTCGCGGCTAAAAACTGAGAAATATGACTTGAGAAATCTTTCATCTCATTTATAAAAGCATTATTTTTAATTTATTAATAAAAATGATATTGCTTAAGTCTTTCATTTTGTTTGGGGAAAAAGAATGAATGATTTTGGATCTAAGCTTTCACTTGTTTCTCCCCATTCTCCTTCGTAAACCATTTTTGCAATTGAAACTAAAACCCAACGTTTCCCTTTTCTCACAATTAGATTACGATCTATTGCCTCGTGTTTTTTTAGGACTTCATTAGCATTCATTAGCAGATTTATTTTAAGGCTTATCTTAAGACAGAACATAATAATATGTTTCTTATATTCAAACGGATAATAGCCTAGTATTCTAAAGGAAATATTGGATTAAACAGCATAAAACCATTTAGAATCAAGTACAGTAGATGAATCTAAACTTGAACTAACAGTAAGATGTGAAGTAGTTAAATTCATTACATGAAAATATTGAAATTATCTTTTTTAGAAAAAAGTAGAGGTGTTTAATGGATGTTTACAATGATGATTAATGTAGTAAGAGGCGTAAAAAGGAAAGAAAATTGGCAAATATTCAATAGTTTCATAGATTCGATAAGCCTTAAACGATTGAGAAGGAAAAGAGCTCGAGCTCGAGCTCCTTTCCTTGCTTTCCCTTCTCACATCGAGATTGGCTCAAAATTTTACGATGTCGCTAGTGACATGTCTGTCATTTACCCTTTTCTAAAAGATTCTCTTTCTTTCTGCATATCTTCAAATATGCCAATAACCCAGATTTTCTTCAATTCAATGTGGCTTTCACATTTTTGCATTTGCTTTTACTTTTATTTTAATTTAGCTGCCATTTTTTAAATTAGCTACCAGCTTTGCGAATTCCACCTTTTTTCGACAATTCCCCAGGGTTTAGTAATAAGTAATGGGTTGGCTGGCTGGCTCGGATAGCTGGCTTGGATAGCTGGCTCGGCTCTTGGGATCTCGTTCAAATCTCTTTTCTGAATCTCTCCCAAACAACAATTTCTCTCGATTCTCAAAGTCTTACATCTTTCAAAAGTCTCCCTTGTCATTCGAACACAAATTTCCGATGTTCAAAGAGAATCGGTGATTGAGCGTGCCACGAAGGCGAGGGTTTAGCCCTCTGAAAAACCACACCAAAAGCGCGCAGTTGGGCAAACCGAGAATCGCTGACTAGCCAAATCTATCGGCTTTTGCAGCTATACCAATCGAATTCTAGCTCAATCTATAGCAATCACTAGCGCCTTTTTTTCTAAAAATCTAAAAATTCCTTTAACTGCCATGAAATTGTTTTGAATTTTTTTTTAAAAGAAAAGATTTTTGAATGATGGTCCTTTGTGAGTGGATGACATTCGATTTTGGGGATGACGATTGCCCTATCCATTCACCGATCACAAAAGATCACCCTTTCGGCTCTCGAGGTATCCCCATACCATCTGTGATCTTCTTGTTGACCTTTTCATCAACCCATAACAGTTTCTTTCTTCTTTATCTTCAACCAAACAAAATGCTTCTTCATTTTCTTATTTACTTTCCCAGGTATTCTTTGATTTTTTTTTTACCATTTCTTAAGCAGCTTCAATAGCTGTCGGCTCTCGAGGTATCCCCATACCATTTGTGATTTCTTTTTTTCACTCTTCTTGTTGACCTTTGGAAACAATGGCAAAACCATTGTTTTCAAATGTTTACAAAAATTTCCATACAAATTTCCATACAAATTTCCATACTAGGCAAAATAAAGAAGTTAGTTAGGAGGAAAAGGAGCATTCAAAAAGAAAGTGCAATAAGGAACAGAAAGTGCTCCAGCTGCGTGCCTTGTGTTTATTCGTGTGTGGAGAGGCAAGGGTAGGCTTATAAAGGAAAGAAAAGGCCAATGGGTCCTCTAAATAAGGAAATCAAACACCGCTTTTTTTTGTCTTCATTTCCCAAGCCTCACTTCACACGCTAGATGCCCTTCTTGCATTTCAGTATTCCATTTGTTTTGTTTTTTTGTGTGGTCCATCTACAATTTCACTCACGATAGCTTTTCTGTGATCTTTAGAAGAAAAGGATCGAGTTAACATAAAGAACTTTCTCTAGTTTTTCTCTAGATTCAATTTCAATTCATTAATTCACCATAAAGATGTGGATGAAGATTCACGTAAAGATTTTGTGACACGATTTTGCATAGACAATCATTTCTTGCATATTAGAAAGAAATTTGAATCACTGTACAAAGCTATGAATGCTTTACAAAGCTTTACAAAGCTATTACAAAGCTTTACAAAGCTTTACAAAGCTTTACAAAGCTATGAATGCTTTGCAAAGCTTTACAAACCTTTACAAAGCTTTACAAAGCTGCAAATCCTTTTCCTACCCACCTTGAACATCAGAATGTTCTTCTACAATTTGAAAATGAAAATGCTTAATTCTAGAAACTAGTTGGACTGTAAACTTGGTGAAATGAATCCTAGATACTTTACAAGATTACAAGAATTGAAGTCCCCTAGAAAGAAAACCGTGATTTACACCCTTTTCCCCCTTTTCCCCCTTTCCACTATACAATTTTGTTCAAACAAATTGTTTGCCATGAGATCTGGTCAAAGAGTGCGACTCTGCCTTTTCCACCCCTTCTTCCCTTCTTCCCATTTCGATGCCCACCTTTTTTTATCACCACTTCCCCTATCAGTTTACATAGCTTTTCTGTGGCGCGCCTTTCCTTTTCCTTAATGCATACAACATTTAGCATTCATTTTTTTAAACTATTCCCCTTTTTGACCTCATCAAGTGAGAATCGCCACCTGTTTCAGCTTATTTTCCAACTTGCCTCATTATTCTCCTTTTGATAAGCTAAGCTTAATTTTAAGCTGAAAAAAAAAGAATTTATCTATTGATTCTGTTGGTTAAATGGGCTCTAGTCGATCTGTTAATAGATGATTTTGAGATGATTGGCGAGTGAAGGGAAATCAATTGACCTGACCCAGTAGCTAGCGGTTATATCAACCAAACACGCGTCTTATTGCGTAATCTCCCCTCCCCCCTCCTCGGTCATTTCGCTTTGCAAATATGCAAATTTTCCACCATATGAGACTCATTTTTCTTCCAATTTTTCTTCCAAAAGCTTGATCGGTTTGAATTTGAAACAAGAGCCCTCTCGCAAATCATCATTTCCACTTTGTTATATTTGAATTCAACGCTGATAACTCTAGCTAAAGCAGATCATTTTAAGCTGAGTCAGCTGAGCTGAGTTGAGCTGAGCTGAGCTAAGCTGAGTTGAGCTGGGCTTTCAGCTGAGCTGAGTTGAGCTGGGCTTTCAGTTGAGGTGAGCTGAGCTGAGTTGAACTTTCAGCTAAACCATCAAACATCTAGCTACATATAAAAGTGTACCACTGCTGTTCACTTGTCAATCCTTGTCAATCGGACTCATCTCAAAGACAAGACGCGCACCTGACTTGTTTGGGGTTTTCTTTTTGGCTTTTCAATGGTTAACGGGTCAGTTGCCTGTTTCGGCTTTTGACTAATGATTGGCTTGGATTGGTCTTTGAGTTGACCGAGGGTTTGGGGAGGGGACAGTTCTGTTCTCTCCCATTCTTCTCCTTTCCATTGACGGATCTCTCTACCCTTCTCTGTCATATTTGTACTCTTCCTCAACTTGGCCAGCTGTTCAGCTCTTGCAATCTCTCTTTATTCGTCATTTGAATTTATAAACTCGTGTTTTCGAATTTCGACAACCGTTTTGTTTGGAATTCCCATTGTTTACATTGTATCAATTACTCGTCAGACTCAAATATCAATCCTTTCTCTTTCAATATTTTAATTTAATAAGGATATATATTTTTTCTAGAAATAGTTTGATAGAATTGATAGAATTTGATGGAATCACGACGCACTAGTATGGTCATGCTCGATTTTGAGCGTAGGCGATCAGCAAGAGGTACACTCTAAAATAAAATCTAAATTAATGATGAGACTTAATGAAATTCAAAACTTTTAACTATACTTTAACTACTTCGAAATTTAGAATCATCAGATATGGAGCTGAATGCTTTATTGGAAGAGCTGATGGCACTCGAGACACAACTGAACGGTGATGGAGATCAGCTTCTTCTCGGCATCCCGACTATACCGCAAAGTCACTCTAGCGAACGAATAAAGGTAGATAGATAAGAGATAGATTAGTTCAAAGTATACTATCAAATTTATTTTGATTTATAAGTGATCTTTTCATAAAGCATTCTTTTTAGCCTAAAGGATCTGGCCCAGTGAAGCCGCCAAGTGTCCCCGTGGAACCGGTACGCGTCGAGGTGATCGAGCAACCACGCCAAGTGAGTCATAAGAAATGTCGAAGTGCCTGTTAAGCCTTTTCCTATTCTTTCTCTGAGCCTTTCCTATTCTTCCTCTAAACCTATTGAGAGCCATATTGACTGTAGGGATCAGATCAGGCACTCGAAGGTCACCAAAATGCCCAGTCTATTGGGTGTTGGATGAAATAATCCGAACACTTAAGGATTTCCGATTAAGGATTCTGATAATCTGGACAATTTAATGAAAGGATTAATCATAAAAATGAACTGATGAATCTGATCTGATCATTTAGGTGGTTCCACCCCCATGCGCATCTTCGTGCAGTTCTCCTGATGGCGATTCTGCGTTTGGAGATGCTTCTTCAACAGAAAGTCATCGGTATATTTCTGAGCTAAGAATTGAAAAGAGATCATTAATCATTAAACTCATTATCATATTGTGGCCATTGTTTGAGTGGAATTGGGTTCAACAACGCGCCATATGAGTCTCATCATTAAACACATTGCCATTAAACACATTGCCAAATTTCTAGCTTCTTCAACAGCTTTCTAATCTTCTAAAATTTCTAGCTTCCATGGCTCGCATGTTTCTTCAGCGGATAGTTGTCGAGATTCACTCAACACACCGTCTCCCACACAGGCAACTACTTTTTTTGGCAATATTCTATGCAAATTTTCTACAATATGGCCACAATATGGTGTAAATCTAGTGCTCATTCGACTAAATGCGACTAAATGAAATAATTAGCACGATAGGGATGAGTGAAGAGAGAGAGGGTCAAGGAGTAGAGTGTCAGTCACACCATATTGTGGCCATTGTTTGAGTGGAATTGGGTTCGACAACGCGCCATATGATTCTCATCATTTGGAAAAAGAGAAAGAGAAACCTTTCCGGAAATAAGATATCGAACACTTTCTAAGCAATCATGCAAAACAATTCTCTTTAAGAACGATTTTGGGTTCTTAAAGACAGCTGGTTTCTTGAAGACAATCGGCTTCTTAAAGACAGCCGACTATTTGATCAGCTGAAGAGCTTCAGTATTGAGTATTAGATAGAATAAAAGATAGAATAGATAGAATAGATAGAATAGATAGAATAGATAGAATAGATAGAATAGATAGAATAGATAGAATAGATAGAATAGATAGAATAGATAGAATAGAAGAATAGATAGAATAGATAGAATAGATAGAATAGATAGAATAGATAGAATAGATAGAATAGATAGAATAGATAGAATAGATAGAATAGATAGAATAGATAGAATAGATAGAATAGATAGAATAGATAGAATAGATAGAATAGATAGAATAGATAGAATAAAAGATAGAATAGACAAAATATAGTATTAGATAGAATAAAATAAGTTTTTAAAAATAGAAACGAATTCGAATATAGTTATAAAAATGAAACTAAACTATTTTAGGTCTCACCACAGCAAAACCTTTCCGTTGAGGAGCTTAAAGCGCAGAAAATTCGAGAAGCTTTAGAAAAAATGAAGGTATTTGTTTAAAAATCATTTCAAATCGTATTTAACAAATTTAGGAAGCAAAAATAACTCGAATCTTTGTGAAATTTTTTGTTGAAGATGGAGCCCCATTGCAGATGTTGATTGATGAGCGGTGGAGTGTCTCGGAGGTTTGGATAACCTATATAGCTATATAGCTACCGTAAATACTGTAATAGTACCCCACCCGCCTCGTACAGTCGCGTAGTCGCAAAAGCTTTTCAGTATTTCATTTTTTTCAAAGCGCCCGTACTTTCAAAAAATGCGTCTTTGGTATCAAAAAAATAGCTGAAATTCAGGGCTATTTTTTGATAATTGTATTGCTATTTTAGCATAAACCAGTGTCGAGAAAAACTCGTTCAAAGCTAGACTACGCAACACTCCGCACCGTCATTATGGGGGTGGGGGTACCTATTACAGTATTTACGGTATATATCCTGTGCATTTTAAAGAATTGTATCTTAAAACCCTTTAGTAATATAGTTTTTTTTTCTTAAAATAGAAGAAATATCGTTTTAAGTATAGCTTTCTATTGGGTTGGTGAATTGAAAACTGCCGGCTATTGTCATATGTCACAGTTTGAGCACTTTCTTCAAAAGAAACCCATTTTGGTGTCAATGGAAAAGTTGTAGAGAATCAAAAATCAAGCTTATATCCAAATTTTCAGAACGTTTCAAAAACTGGTTTTCAAGAAATGCCAAATTTACGAATTTTCACAAAACTTCCATTTTAAGCGAAACTACTAAGTGTATCTTTTTGGAAATTTGGCTATAAGCCTCATTTTTGATTCTCTACAACTTTTCTATTGACACCAAAATGGGTTTCTTTTGAAGAAAGTGCTCAAACTGGGACATCTTCAGTCCTCGATTTTTGAGTCTCACACTTGTCTCACACAAAAACCAAAATCCTACTACGAAAGAGGAATCCGCAAATTGCCTGTAAAATGGGCAGAAGTCGTCAATAATAATGGAAATTATTTCGAATGAATTTATGGTTTTATGTTAAATAAATTTTAGTTCAAAGTCCCGGAGTTTTCAATTCACCAACCCAATATAAAGCATACTATTTCTAGACGATGCGTCAACTCGCAGAGAAGCACAACATGACATTGCATGAAGATCACTGCATTGTTGAAGAGTTTCCGGATCTATTGATCAGTGAGTTATAGTCGAAAATTGTGAAACCTTTTTTTCAATCTTGTTTAGGAAGAATCTATGAAGATCATGAGAATTTGGTGGAGAATATTCAAATGTGGATGCACGAGTCGCCGAATAAATTATGGTTTATGAGACGCAGTGATAAATATCCATTTGTTGATAAACCGGAGAACTATTTGGTTAGAAGACAATCATATTTTTTTTTTAAATCCACTTTATTAGGTAACCGAGCGTACAAAGGATATTATGGATGTGCCAAATGGAGAGAATTGGCCAAGAGATGTTAAACAACAATTTGTTCGGGTACTGCTCAAATTCAGAGTCCAGTAGAGTCAGTTGAATATTGCTAGCTGTTGAATATTGCTAGCTGTTGAATATTGCTAGCTGTTGAATATTGCTAGCTGTTGAATATTGCTAGCTGTTGAATATTGCTAGCTGTTGAATATTGCTAGCTGTTGAATATTGCTAGCTGTTGAATATTGCTAGTTGAATATTTACAATACTTTAGTCTAAGCATAACTTTTGAAAAAAAAAACAATATCAAATTTCAGGATTACTTTGCTCGAGATCCAGTGGTTCCTCCAGAATTAGAAGGATGGCTTCTACTAAAAGCTGATGGAAGAAAGAGTTGGAAGAAACAATTCTTCACACTCAGACCTAGTGGACTTTATAACTCACCAAAGGGAAAGAAAACATCAAAGGATTTACAATGTTTAATGAATCTTCATTCGTATCAAGTATACTCTGGATTTGAATGGAAAAAGAAATACAAAGCTCCTACTGAATGGTGCATTTGTATAAAGGTTTGATAGAAATCAATCTTAATAAATAAATTCCCTTTTTTTTAGTTAACAGCTCTACAAATCAAACGATCTTCTTACATCAAATATATTTGCTGCGAAGATGAAGCGACTTTCCGTCGCTGGATTGCGGCTTTAAGAATTGCTAAGGTAGAAATAATTGTGAAACAAAGAAACAAAGAAACAAAGAAGCAAAGAAACATCTTTGTTTCTTTGTTTCTTTTCAAACAACAACAATTCTATGCAACAATTCTATGCAAATTCAGAACGGAGCCGATCTCTACTCGAATTGGTTATCAGCTGTCGCTCGTCGTCGAGAAGTCCTTGATGCAATGGCTGGTGGAGCGCTCTCTAGAGCTGAAAGCACCATCAGCACTCAAGCTATCGGTCTTTCAGCTCGTGCCGGTCATGGATCAAATGTTGAACTGCGTTACCCAAGCAACAAGATCATCAATCACACAACGACTTCCCCGTCAACTTCATCCATGCAATCACAACCATCTACATCTTTTTCCTCTACAACTCCCTCATCATCAACTTCTGCTACAACCACTCCCACTCCTGAACATCGATCCCATTCTCGAACACTTTTTGAAAGCGATGAAATGACTGGAACGATTAAACGAGCTCCAGAACATTTGCTGAGAAGAGCCACTTCACATTCTTCAGGAGGCGCTCCTTCAATGGGAACACCGGAAGATGAGGTAAAAAGATAAGAGCTTGAACTTGAAACACATTTTCTTTTCAGGCGGACAGCGATGAAGAGTCTTTCCCTGCCCCACCTCCCGCCATATCAGCCACCTATACACCTATGCCATCTATCAGTGTGCAAAAGCGAGCCTCGAATGGAGGACAAGTGGTGGGCGATACTGAATCTAAAAGAATAAATTTTAAGAAAATTGGAAATAATTAGAAACATTAAGGAAGCAAGACCGACATCAGCTCCACGTGCAGTTGTTTCCCCTGTTCCTCCACCGAAACCTCTTTTCCCACCCCCGTTAGCCATGGAAACCAAGCCAAGTCCACCAGTTCGTCAAACTCCAGCTCTCAATTTGACTCCACTGGCTAAAAAGGCACCACCACCTCCACCAAAGAGGTTTGATAAACAAATCTTATCAGATTACGCAATTAAAATAGTTGAAAGATTGAATTTGAATTTGAATTAGAAGCTTCTCTTTCAGGAAAACAAATTACAATCAATGTAAAATCGAAAATTAGATCTGATGCGACTCGCGTTCAAACAGTCGCCGGTCAAGTTCAACAACCACAACCCACTCCACACATGAACGAACTCGAGGCGGCTTTAGGGAGAAGACGAGAAAGAATTGAAGGATTGTAATTGAAGGAATAATAAAATTCTTTCTCTAAAACTATCACCTAAGTGCCATCAAGCAAGCCAAGCAAGGTTTCTGCTTTTTTTTTCCTTTTTGCTCATCCTTTTGTTTTGATTTCCAAATTTAGCTTTCCAAAGTTCCCTTCCTTACATTCAGTCTTTGAGAATCTCGACTTTGCAATCACTTTATTTGAAGAATTTCTTTTATTTGTCTTTGTCTTTGTCATTTGTCATTTGTCATTTTTATCTTTATATTTATCAAGAGAATCATTTTCTTGTTTTTTTGGAATCCTTTTTGAATCCTTTTTGGCATAAGCACGGTGAAATTATTTCAAATTTTTAGAATTTACTTTCTTTTGCGCTTTTATATTCTTTTCCTATAAAACTTTTATTTTTTTTAATTAAATAAAGAATTTTATTGAAAAATGATAAAAATTACATTATAAGTAATTGAATGAATCAGAAAGATCCACAGAAAATGAGTCAGCTTTTGAAAGAGCTAAAGAGCAGCTTTTTGTTGACTAAAAAAAAGAGCTTAGTATGATGAAAATTGAAAAAAAATTCTATAAATATAATAAAGGATTTGTTTTTTTTTGAAAATAATTATTTAACTGATAAAACAACAGCAATAACTTTTGATGGTAGTTTAGTTGACTAGCATCAAAATACCCTGATCCTCCGTTACTACCATGGTCGTAACCATGGTGGTAACGGAGGATCAGGGTTTGACTCCGGAGAGGATGTCTGAGAAACGGCAACCACATCTAAGGAAGGAAGCAGGCACGCAAATTACCCGCTCTCAATTCGAGGAGGTAGTGACAACAACTAACGAGACTGCTCCCTTTGGGAACAGTCATCGAAATGGGTACAATTTAAACCCTTTAACGAGGATCAATGATAGGGCAAAGTCTGGTGCCAGCAGCCGCGATAATTCCAGCTCTCAAAATGTATGTCATTATTGCTGCGGTTAAAAAGCTCGTAGTTGGATCTGAGCCTTTGGAGACGGTTCACCTTTGTGTGATACTGGATCCGGGGTTAAATTCGTCGGTTCTCCGGCGAGAGTTACTCTGAATAAATCAGAGTGCTCAAAACAAGCGTTTCGCTTGAATGTTTTTGCATGGAATAATGGAAAAGGACTTCGGTTCCTTACTGTTAGCAACCACATCTAAGGAAGGAAGCAGGCACGCAAATTACCCGCTCTCGATTCGAGGAGGTAGTGACAACAACTAACGAGACTGTCATCGAATGTCAGACGACTTTGGGAACAGTCATCGAAATGGGTACAATTTAAACCCTTTAACGAGGATTTCAGCCAAAAAAAAATCTAGATTTTAGAAAACCCCTTAATCTCTGAAAAGCGAAATTTCTTCTAGCTATTTCTATTTCTTTTAGCTATACTTTATTGTTTCTTTCTCTTTTCTTCCAGAAAAAGGAATGGTCTGAATGATTTTTATCTGAAATAGGCATGTCTTCAAATTGTTGTGGCTCTTTCGCAGATCACGTCGTTTTTCCTCTTTCAGCACTCGCCCATGTCCCCTCTTTCCCTCTTCCCCTCTTTCCCATCTCTTTCCTTTGTACACGTCAGCTATAAGAGGTGGGTTATAGGACACGTTATGTGTAGTGAAACGTTGTCCAATGGGCATCAAGCGAATCTCCCTTTCAGCCAATCGCCTCCCGGCACGTCTCGTATAGCCCCGCCCGTGCATATAAAAGCGCTCAGTCCTGGGTGGCCCATTTCCCTCAATACTTTCTATACCTGTTCACAAAAGTTTCGATTCCTCAATGAAAACTTTGTATTTTCTGGGCGTTGTTGCCCTTCTAGCCATCAGTGGCTTTGCCGACGATGAGAAAAAGGTGAGATTTAAACATTTTTTTTAATTGAATAGGTTATGAAATCATTTGTTTTCCTATTTTTTATCTAGAACTTTGCTTATTTTTTTTATTGCTTATATTTTTCAGGATAAATATGGAACGATTATCGGAATCGACTTGGGAACGACCTACTCGTGCGTGGGAGTCTTCAAGAATGGACGTGTGGAAATCATTGCCAACGATCAGGGAAATCGAATCACTCCATCGTATGTGGCATTCAGTGGAGAGCAAGGAGAGCGTTTGATCGGCGATGCTGCGAAGAATCAGCTAACAATTAACCCGGAGAACACAATCTTCGACGCAAAACGTCTTATCGGACGCGACTATAACGACAAAACTGTTCAAGATGATATCAAACTTTGGCCATTCAAGGTTCTCGACAAAAGCAATAAGCCATATGTGCAAGTGAAAGTCGGAAAAGATAACAAGCAATTCACTCCGGAGGAAGTCTCTGCGATGGTGTTAGTGAAAATGAAAGAGATCGCTGAATCGTATCTTGGTGAGTGTCAAATGATTATAAAGAATCAAATGATTATAAAGAATTTTAGGCAAGGAAGTGAAAAACGCTGTGGTGACGGTGCCTGCTTATTTCAATGATGCTCAAAGACAAGCCACTAAGGACGCTGGAGTCATTGCTGGCCTTAACGTCGTCCGTATCATCAACGAGCCCACAGCTGCTGCTATCGCTTATGGACTTGATAAAAAGGTTTGTTGATTTGGATCGATCTTGAAAGATTATAGCTCTTATTTGTTTTTTTTTATAGTTCTTATTCAACTATGAATTTTTAGGAAGGAGAGAAGAACATTCTTGTTTTCGATCTCGGTGGCGGTACCTTTGATGTATCGATGCTCACCATTGATAACGGAGTTTTTGAAGTTTTGGCAACAAATGGTGACACTCATTTGGGAGGAGAAGATTTCGATCAACGAGTCATGGAATATTTCATGAAGCTTTACAAAAAGAAAACTGGAAAGGACATCAGAAAAGACGCGCGTGCAGTGCAAAAGCTTCGTCGTGAATGCGAGAAGGCCAAGCGAGCTTTATCCACTCAACATCAGGTAAATTAAGCAAAGATTTCAATTAGTTTAAAGGATAAAGAAGGAAAGTAATATAGGAATATAGGAATATAGAAAAAGATAGATTATGAACAATTGAAAAGTTTAGGTGAAAGTCGAAGTTGAATCATTGCTTGATGGTGAAGATTTCTCGGAGACACTCACTCGTGCCAAATTCGAAGAGCTCAACATGGACCTTTTCCGTGCCACTTTAAAACCCGTTCAAAAGGTTTAATGAAAGATTTCATACCTAGAAATTGAAATTTTTGTTTAGGTTTTGGAAGACTCTGACTTGAAGAAAGAGGATGTGCACGAGATTGTGCTTGTCGGAGGATCGACTCGTATCCCTAAAGTTCAACAGCTTATCAAGGAGTACTTTAATGGCAAAGAACCATCCCGAGGCATTAACCCTGATGAAGCTGTCGCTTATGGAGCCGCTGTTCAAGCTGGAGTCATCTCTGGAGAGGTAAAGATTGAAAATCGATTTGAAAATGACTGATTTTATGATTTTAGGAGAACACTGGTGACATTGTGCTTCTTGATGTAAACCCGTTGACAATGGGTATCGAGACGGTTGGAGGAGTGATGACGAAATTGATCCCAAGAAACACTGTCATTCCCACAAAGAAATCTCAAGTGTTCTCGACGGCTGCCGACAATCAGCCAACTGTCACCATTCGTGTGTTTGAGGGAGAACGACCAATGACAAAAGACAATCACGAGCTTGGGAAATTCGACTTGACTGGAATCCCGCCTGCACCACGAGGAGTCCCACAAATTGAGGTCACTTTTGAGATCGATGTCAATGGTATTCTCCATGTGAGTGCTGAGGACAAAGGCACTGGAAACAAGAATAAAATCACCATCACAAATGACGCAAACCGATTGTCGCCTGAAGATATCGAGCGTATGATTAATGATGCCGAGAAATTCGCTGAAGATGACAAGAAGTTGAAGGAACAGGTTTGTACACTAGAATTACAACTATTCTCTTAAAGTTGAACTTCTCTAGTCAAAAAAAAATTTCAGGTGGAAGCCAGAAATGAGCTCGAGTCGTACGCATACTCATTGAAGAATCAAATCGGAGACAAGGAAAAATTGGGCGGGAAATTGGACGAAGAAGAGAAGAAAACGATTGAGGAAGCAGTTGATGAGGCAATCTCGTGGCTTGACTCGAATAAAGACGCAAATACAGAAGAGTTAAAGGAGAGAAAACAAGAGTTGGAAGGAAAAGTTCAACCAATCATCTCAAAGCTTTATCAAGTGAGTGAAATTTTCATAGATAATAAAGAGATAGAAAAGAGAAAGGAGGATTTCATTTTGAAAATGAAATGAGTGAAATTTTCAGGGAGCTGGCGGCGGAGGTGGTGATGGTGCTGGTGCTGGCCAAGAGCAGGAGGAAAAAGATGAATTGTAATCGAGCTTTACTGAGCGAACTTTTATTTATCTCTGGGCTCCTTTTCGATCGTCGATGATGATTTGCCAATGTTTTCTGTTTTCGTGCGTTCTCATCACCGATCTAATCACTTCTTTACGTGTCCCATTCATGCAGGTTCTGTGATATTTTTAACTTCTATCCATTTAACTTCCTTTTCTTTTTAAATCTTTATGTGCTTTCATTCTTTTTAAGGTTCTAATTTATTTTCTTTTGGTTTTGGTTTTTGGATGTTAGCTATTAAATTTTAGATTTTTCAAGGATAAACTTTAAAGTTTTATTAACAAAAAAAAAAAGACAAAATTACATTACCATACCACCCGTAGAAAATAACAAAATTTAAAAGAAAGCATAAAAAGCTCATATCACAGAAAGAATACTAATTTAAGCAAATAAATAAATAAGCAAATAAATAAATAATCAAATGAATAAATAATTAAATAAATAAATAAACTTATTAATCAAAGTACTTTTGGAAGGTCCATTTTTGTGTTGCCTATTAAAAGGATATTATTTTTTTTTCGTTTATATAATATAAGATACCTTTTCTGTGTTACATTCAGTGAAATAGACATCACCGCCGGATTCAACACCGTCTACGTCAAGACATAATCCTGATTCAACATGCGTTATTGGACCACCCTAGTAATGAAATAGAATCTAAAAAAAGGAAAGAAACATTGAATAATACTTTTGTATGTTTAAATTGAACTTTCGTCGCATCTGAGCACGGCTGAATGAGCGCATTCCTTTTTGGGTTTCCCGGATTTTTGTGATCCACCTAGAGTTGTCAATAAAGTATAAAGACTTGCTTTTTTTTTTCGTTTGGATCATTTGGATCATTTGGATAACTGCTCTAAAGCTTCCTTGGCTAAAATAACCACAACAATTAACCACAACAACTAAAATAACCACAACAATTCGATTTCCTACTAACCAAAGCAGAATTTCATTGGTTTTTCTTTAAAATCGTTACTGAGCTTTAAAAAAACTCTATTATTGGACCACCCTAGTAATGAACTAAATAACTCTAGCTCTCTGTCTTTAAATCAGAAATAATCTTGTTATGTTACTGTAAAGCTTACGTAAAATTGTTTGGGCTAATGTAGCCAAGCTAGTGTTTGGAAAGCTTAACATACAAATTGCACAATTACCTGTAAACAAGTAGCTTCTCTGCGAACTTCGTAATCTTTGCTAAACGAAAACGCCTGCGACGAGCTACCACCGCCTTGACAGAAATACACACCCAAAATGATTGTTCCCTGAAATTTCTTGATGAGAAACCTTTGATGAGCACTGAGCAACCTTATTCTCTAAACGTTGCAAAGTATCCAAGCACAATCCGCCGACCGTTTGCAGATTTCCATACGCAAAAACGTCCTCATCAGGCACAAACTTTTGAGGGATCACATTATCCAAAAACCTGGAGTATTGTACGGATATTATTGTATTGTACGGATATTATTGTTATTGATATTATTGTATTTCATTATTGTACGGATAAGAATGGTACATGGCCATTACCATTTTTGTTTTGTTTGGCTATTTTTCTTTGCTCAGTAAATCGATGATTTTATCACCAACTGAAAAACCCCCCTAGCGATCTAAGAGCGGGTTTTTCTGGGCCAGTCTGGTAATTGTCGACATGGCGCAGTCGGAACGCGCTTGTCTACAACCCACACGGTCCGGGTTCAACCCCCTTAGAGACATTCAGTCCTCGTTTTTTAAAACTTTAAATGGCACAACTTTTAGATTTTAAGAGAATGACTTCAGGATGATAAGAGATTTCAGTTGTTTTGGCTCAAAGATGGCTGAGAGAAAAAGAGAAAAAGCTAGTACAGACGAAACGGACGAACAGAAACTCCTGAACAACACCAACCATTTGAACGATTTGCATTGAAGTTTTTTCCGAAGCTCATGTCGTGAAGTCAAATCTCCAACATCTTGATCCTTTAAAGAAGAATTGGATGTATTAATGATTTGGAAATGAATAAACAATCAAAAAATGATCACCTTCAATCCCATTCGATGAACATAAAACAATCTTTTATAGTCATCCATCCAAACTTCCGCCAATCGCTTTGAATTTGTCCCGTGCACATCTTTGTTCCCTAATATACTTTTTAGTGAAAGCTGAACTCACTCAGTTAAATATTGAACTCACCTTTACGTCCAGTCATATCGTATGGGTGACCGGCTCTAAAAATGTGACCAACATGAGAGCATGGGATGATTTCAATCGATCCACCACACATCCACACCTGCACAACTAATTCGTTGACTTAAATCAAAAACGCTCTTACTCTAAATGATATTTCCAAATTCTCTCCACCCCAGATATCCATTTCTTCATCGTATGCTCCCACTTCAAAGAAATATTCGCGATTTGCCGCAAAAAGACCACCAGCCATCGTTGGAGATCTGATTTTGACAGTTAAAAGCTTCTGCTTGTATTCTACCGAATAGCTACCGAATAGCTACCGAATATAAAGTTAAAGCTCTACCGAATATAGTCGATCTCTGGATTCTTTCTGCGACGTGTCTCCTCTGGTGGAATACCGCCCATACTGTAATGCAAAGACCACCAGAAAGTACCGATGCCTGGAAATGTTTCTTTTTTCTTCTCGAAATCATAGATCAAACTAACCGCCAGCTGAGCCGCCCATATAAGCAATCGATGTATCGGAAATCGAGTCAATCACCGGGCAAACGACTGCTGATCGACTCTCCGCGATTCTTGCTACTAACGGCTCCAACCTGAAAAAGTGACTTGAGGATCGGTTTCGTTTCTTACCATCCCGCATTTGCTTCACAATGGGAATCAAGAAAAACAAGGACTTCAGCACGAGCTTCTCTTGCTCCGCGAACTTTTGCTCGAATAAGCCCAAGTCTTTCCTGAAATTGATTTACGTTGTTGACCGTTTCTTTTTCTTATCTGCCTTTTAGAAATCTAAACTCATTCGTTTAGAATCATATTTGAATTACTGCATTTGATTTAATTTAGAAATTTTGACTCTAAAAGCATACCAGTACTATTTTCTTTTAAATTCCTTTTTCTCTAACAATTTTTCCTTTTCAATCTTTCATTCAATCCAACTTTTATCCTTTTTTTTAGCAAAAGCTTTACATTCATTTCTTATTTTAAATTACCGTATTCTCTCTAATAGTAGTGCACTCTTTAATAGTATTGCGGTTCGAGAGGGGGTTAAAAAATAGTAGTGCACCCACGAAAATTTGAATTTCTGGTGCTTCTTTTTCATCTAAACATCTAGACATTTTTGACTTTATGTTTATGTGACATTCTAAAGCTATTCAAGCAAGCAAAAGTGAGGATTTTTTGACTCATTCATTAACTATTCTTCACATGAAAAAGTTAGCAAAAAATCTAAAATTATTGTGCAAAGTGCAAAAATATCTTTTTGTTGTTTGTCAAGACACAAATTGTCAACTCGCCGGCCCACAACTTTATGTCAAAAGGAGCCAAAGGAGTATGTGAAAGAATTGAAAGAATTTTTCGAACAAATCTTATATCTGTCTTACTTTGGTAAATGATAAAACTCTTTAATAGTAGTGCACTCTCTAACAGTATTGCGGTTCGAGAGGGGATTGAAAAAATAGTAGTGCGCACTACTATTAGAAAGAATACGGTAATATAAATTAATATTTTGTTGATTTGATAAACTTGTTTTTACCTTGCTTCGAATAAGTTTCACTAAATCGCCGAAACGCTCGATGTGCTTAACCAATTTCTCTCCAAGTTCAGCTAAATACTTCGTTTAAATTAATTCATTAAAATTTCACAAACGTAGCGAGCTGTTATCGTCAACAAGGACGATTTCTTGTAAAAGTTGTGGCGGACTTCTGTTAACAACGGAATGCACCGTGCGCAGAAGTGCCGAAAAAGATTCGTCGGTGAAGATGATAACCACCTAAAAGCTTCATTGAACTCATTGAAAATCTTGCCACTTACCGACACGGTGGGCAATTTGTTCACATCATATTCTAAGGCTTTACATTGTGGCGATCTTGAGTCAGGAATCGAGCGATCAAGCGAGATTTTATCGCTTGCAATCACATTCATAAACCATTTCTTCGCTAATTCATCAGCTTCCTCACGCTCAGTTCCCTCAAGATTGATGCCAGCTCCATTTTCCCCTGGACCTTTTCTTTGCTTCGTGTAGTCGGGAATCGCGTGCCAGCCCTGGATTTTGAGTTTTATTAATATTTACCGTATTTCTTCGAATAGAAGACCGGGTAAAGAGTATCACCGCGTACTCCTGCGTAGCAGCCCTTTTAAAAATTTATTTTTTTGCATAAAAGCTTTCAATGAAGTGCTATAGAGCTGGAAAATGACTCGAAAATACCACATGAGTTAACAGATTTTTGAGCCATTTTCCAGCTCTATAGCACTTCATTGAAAGCTTTTATGCAGAAGAGAAATTTTAAAAAGGGCTGCTACGCAGGAGTACGCGATCATACTCTTTACCCGGTCTTCTATTCGAAGAAATACGGTATTATATTATTTATTTCATATTTATTCAATATCTTTATTGAAATTATTGAACATTATTGAACTTTATTGAAAAAAAATGATGTTAAACCTACTCTTTCTATAACCGCATCCCTTGTAAGTGGTTGTTTTAAGCTCGATTTGGAATTCGTTGATAGAAGACTAAACGTTTATTATTTGATTTGATTTTATTTGATTTGATTTTATTTGATTTTATTTGATTTTATTTGATTTTATTTTATTTGATTTTATTTTATTTTATTTGATTTTATTTGATTTCATTTTATTTCATTTAATTTTATTTGATTTAATTTTATTTGATTTTATTTGATTTTATTTCATTTTATTTCATTTGATTTCTTTAATTACTAATTACCTGAACAAAATGAAACCACAAAGTGCAAATAGGAATAAATTCAATAAACGGCCACGTTGTCTTTTCGAAAGATATCTCCGTAAATATACAGGCCAAGACATTACCTGAAATTGAAATCTTTAAAACTATAAGAATAAGATATTCTGCGAATTGATTCATTGATTAAAATTTAACAATTCGCAGAAAAAAAATATTCTTTTATCTATAAATCCATAAAAAGAAAAAGCGATGTTTAATAAAGGAGGGCAAAAATTCGATGAATCGACACGACACGGTGGCGAGAAAACGGAAAAGAGGGACGATCAAAGGAAACACTATGCTGTGCACACAAAACAACGTGGAACTTCGCAAGTTTACATTGGGTCCTAAGCCAACGCCTTACTTAACCTTACTGAACTTCTTCCCATCACTCTTTAACTAGTTAAGATCTTTTCTAATGCTTTTACTAACTATCATATTCACTTTGTGAAACAGTGAATGGGTACCAAGTTTTGAGAAAGCATTTTTGCTCGTTTATGAAGCGATCATTTTAAAACTGTTACAGTAATGTTTTTTGAAGACTTTCTTTCGTCAATTATTGAAATATTCATGTAAATTTTGCCATTTTAGCCTAAAAAAACGATTTGATTTGAATTCAATTAGATTTGAATCCGATTTGATTTAAAATCGATTCAATTTGAATCCGATTCGATTTGAATCCGATTCGATTTGAATCCGATTTGATTTGAATTCAATTAGATTTGAATTCAATTAGATTTGAATCCGATTCGATTTGAATTCAATTAGATTTGAATCCGATTTGATTTGAATTCAATTCGATTTGAATTCGATTCGATTTGAATTCAATTAGATTTGAATCCGATTCGATTTGAAATCGATTCGATTTGAATTCAATTAGATTTGAATCCGATTCGATTTACCACCCAAAGCAGCTTTGATATTTCCAAAAGCCAATAGTTTACGTTGTAAACTCTAAAACAATTTTCTAAATGATGTCAGAGAAATGTTTAATGCTGATACGTTACTCAAATTTTCTCATAAAGCCTTTAAATCAAAAAGTTTATTAACCAAAGACTAGATGAAAACAAAAAGCAAGACTAGATTTGTTTTATTTGGTTATTTTCAGAGAATTGCACAAATTAAGAAGAAAACTGGGCACGGCTAATCGCCTCTATGAAAGAAATTTATCACAGACTTGGGATTTTATCACTTTTTTTTTCGTAATACATGAATCTTGGCTATCACAAGGGGAAAATCAAAGCGCAACAATAACAAAAAAAGATCACAATATACTCGTAGTGAACAAAATGCCAATCAATATAGGTTTAGGGTCTTTTGAAGGTCCAAAGTTGATGAGCACTGGCTGAATCACAGCTAAAAAGTAAGATTAGCTAAAAAGTCAGCTGAAATTTGAAAGAAACTTACTTTACAACAACTACATCATCTCCGGCTTTCAGCTCTCTCGTTGAAAGACATAATCCTGTCGCATCATTGATGAGTTGAGATCCCTGAATTCAATGTTTAACGATCAAACGATGTCTAGAAATTCGAGTTAAGGCTAAAGAGGTAAATCTCTTGATGAGTGGGGAAAAGATAATCTGTAAGCCTCTGTAAGCCTCTGTAAGCCTCTGTAAGCATCTGTAAGCCTTTGTTAGCCTCTATAAGCCTTTGTAAGCCTCTGTAAGCCTCTGTAAGCCTCTGCAAGCTTCTGTAAGCCTCTGTAAGCCTCTGTAAGCATCTGTAAGCCTTTGTTAGCCTCTGTAAGCCTTTGTTAGCCTCTGTAAGCCTCTGTAAGCCTTTGTAAGCCTCTGTAAGCCTTTGTAAGCCTCTGTAAGCCTCTGCAAGCATTTGTAAGATTATCTTTAATCCTACCGTTATTCAAAGTCTAGTCATACTTTAAGTGTCCATGTCTGTGGAGAAATCGAACAGCCTTGCATCCGAACTCGTCCTGCTTCCTCTCGAAATCCCTTTTCAACGCGAGCGCAGTTGTTCTCACGTCGTAAGTGACGTTCTTTCGAAAAGGAAAATACCTGAAAATTCTTGCTAAACTAAACGTTCGAAAATTTCGTACATACCTGAGCCGAACTTCCTCCAGATTGACAATGATAAACGCCAAGCATTTGACCCATTTTCTCATCGCGTTGCAAAGTATCCAGACACATCTCAACACCATCAACTCTTGTAAATGCCTAGAATAAACTTGTTTGATGATCAATTTCTAGCAATTACTATTCCATATGATATCACATCTTCATCCAAAACAAATTTCCCGGGAATGATATTATCGAGATACCTAAAAGTTTTTACAGATCAAGAATAAAGGTGCCCATATTGAATAATTTGTTATTTTTTTAAATGAATATGATTACTGTTGTTAATTTTAAATAAAGTTTACATGAATCCGTTCATATTTCATTACGATACACGGTTCTGAGTCTGTAACCATACTTATGCCCTGTAGATAACCCTGTAGATAAACGCTTTTAGATAAAAGCTTTTAGATAAAAGCTTTTAGATAAGACAAACCATTTAAACGGCTTGCATTGAAGCTTTTCTCGAAGTGAATGTCTTTCAGAAAGATCTCCCACATCTTTTGTCTAAAAAAAGAATCCTAACGGATATAGCAAAACTATTTTTACTTTCAAATCTGGTCTATGTAGATAATAAAGCCGTTTATAGTCATCCATCCAAACTTCAGCAAGTCTTTTTGAGTTCGTTCCATGCACGTCTTTGTTTCCTTTAAAATTTAGAGATTTATATAAGGCTTGCAACTGGAAAATTGAATATAATATCTTAGCGTAGCGTTCAAAGAAATACTCAACAAATCGAGCAACTACGTTTTTCCGTCTACCCAATTTGTTGGGTTTTACTTTGAAAATCAAAAGATATCAAATTCTCCGCTTTTCCTTCTGATTACAAGCCTTTATTTTCCTCAATAGGTTTATGATAAACACCTCCACGTCCAGTCATATTATACGGATGTCCAGCTCGGAATATATGACCCACATGTGAACACGGAATAAATTCAATCGATCCTCCGCACATCCAAACCTTAAAGAAAAAAAATTGTTGAATTTCTTTTTCACAAACTCTGAACGAAATCTCGAGATTTTCTCCACCCCAAATGTCCATCTCTGGGTCATAACCACCGATATCAAAAAAGTATTTCCGATTGGCTGCAAGAAGACCGCCAGCCATTGTTGGTGATCTGAAGAACTTTGCTACTCATTGCCACTGACAAGTGAAATATCCCAGCGGGCCATGTCAATCGCTGGTGGCCTAATAAACTGCTCTTATACAAAGCGAGCTATGCATGTCTCTGCTCGGGTTCGAGTCCTCACCTCGCAGTTATTTTGCTAATACGAATGCTTTGTTTCTTTTCATTTCTCGTTCTAGATAAAGATCAAGAAAAGATAATCGAGCTGGGGTATTTCTCTTGTGAGTACTGCAGACAATGGTTACTACTGAGTCTACTCAGCCTAAATGACTCGTTTACCTAATTTCTTGTGTATCTGATGTTCGTCGATTTCTTTCCGTTTGTGGCATTCCTTCCCAAGTGAAATGAAGGGCCCAAGAAAACCCTCCGACTGATGTAGCATAAGGATCACCTGAAATAATCTTCATATTTTTATGATTTACCGAAATCAACCAGAATATCCCATAGATCTTGCATCAATAAAATCGATAATCGGACAAACGACGGCAGTTGGTTTCGCTTGAATTCGAGCCACGATTGGCTCAAGCCTAAGTCGGATCTGAAGGAGAAAGTTGCAATTGTAACTCACCAGCCGGTAGAGGCTTCACAGTGGGAATCGAGGAAAACAACGATTTCTCCTTTCGCGTGTTTACCTGAATGTTTTTTTGCTGGGATTTGGTTTTCTTTTCGAAAACCTCCAAGAAGCTTTGCTCGAATGAGTCCAAGTCTAACAGTGCTACGGATAATCGTGACCAGACCATCGAATTTTTTTACGTATTCGTCCAAATGTTCTTTTAGTTCTTCTAAATTGCTAGATTTTATTGGTAGATTGGTATTTGTTTTTAGCAATTGATCTATCCCCAGTTTAAATCCGATGAACCTCGCTGTGAATTATCGTCTAGCAAGATAACTTCGCGTAAAATCTCGGGAGGACTTCTATTGACAACAGAATGAACCGTTCGCATCAATGGAGTCCAAGCCTCATCAGTGAAAATGATTACAACCTAAAACTTTTGTTTTTGTTTTTGTTTTCAAAAAAAGAAAAAACCGAAGCATCAGGTAAAGAGTTGAAATCGTATTGGACTCGTTTACATTCTTCACGGCGCACATCAGGAATACTACGATCCAACGAGATTTTATCACTGAAATTCGATGCATTTTTGAAAGTTTTCTGCTGATTTGCTTCACAATCTGCTATCAGGCGTTTTTTTGGTTATATAGGTCGAAAAAAAACTGACTGCCAACTGTTCTTTAAGTTCTTAAGTCTGTTCTTTAAGTTCGGTATTTGTGAATCTGTTGCACGAATATTGTTTTGAAAATTTAAATTTAAATTTAAAATGCTTGAAATGAATTTTCTAAAAACGTTCGGAAACACCGCTAACCCTTAGTAGCTTACGTTTTCCTCCAGTTATAAGAATGTGATCCGCGGATGGCGCGTCACGTGGTTTCCTAGAGCACTTGCGATGGGCCAATAAAAGAAAGAACACGGTGTGACACAGGTCACTTCCCGGTCGCGCATCACGGACTAGCACGGGCGCCGCCTACGCCTACAATTTAAAAGTCATTTGAAACCTTTTAACAGATTTCAAATGCAGATTTGCACAGATTATATGTAATGCAAATTACAGTAATATGCGTGCAACAGATTCACAAGTACCTTAAGTTTTTAAGTTCTTTAATGATCGATTAAGTAAAGTGAACTGGTGAACTGGCCAATCAATAAAACAAACCTAGCATGTACATTCATAAACCAATCCTTCATATCCTTTTCCCCAGCTTCTTTCTCTTCGCCACTTAACATGACAGCTTTTCCATTTTCGCCTGGACCGCTACGACTTTGCGAGTAATCTGGTCGTATATAGCGATCACCAGGTTTATTCTAAAATCGCTTTGGTGTAAAAACTAAAGCACAGTTACTTCTTTATATTCTTAGATAGATTTTGATGCTAGTCAGCGGGGTAGGCTAGTTTCCGCAACTTTTTTTGCGCAACAGGGTCATTTGCGCAACTCACCATAACTTTCTTCTAAGTGGGCTAATCTTTATGATTTTGATTTCACTTTGTTGCACTTATTGAGATCTACAAAATGAAATCAAAATCATAAAGATTAGCCCACTTAGAAGAAAGTTATGGTGAGTTGCGCAAACGACCCAGTTGCGCAAAAAAAATTGCGGAAACTAGCCTACCCCTATTCAGCTATTCAGCTATTCAGCTATTCAGCACAGCAATTCAGCTATTCAGCTAGCTTCAGCTATTCAGCTATTCAGCTATTCAGCAAACAACTCACTCCACGAAGTTCGACGTTTTTCGGGTGTATTTGTGGAGGAGCATAGCTTTCTTTTTTGTTGTTAACGTAGAAATACAATCCAAATAGAAACAAGAAAACAATTACCTAAATTACTTACCGTACAAGTAAACCTATCCAGTTTTTAAAGTTTAAAACTTTAAATTTAAAAAAAAAATTGTATCACTTACTATATTAATAATGTTTTCCTTTCGACGTGGCACGACATAACGCAATAAAATGCGTGACATTCAAAGTTTTTTTCAAAGTCGAATAGCTAAGGAAAGTTTTTCAATGTGAAAGAAAATTAAAAATCAAAAAAAAAGAAAGACAACTAACTTGAAGCCACGCGCAATTGTGATTAGAACGCGTCCGTTAATCGATTATCGCTCTTTTTAGAAAGAGAAATCGGCCGGGAAAAGAGAACAAATAGGTATGAACACATTAGAAAATTCATGAGAGGCGCAACATTTGAATTGCTATTAGTACGAAATGCTAACAAACGACGTTGTCATGGAAAGACAACGAATTTTGTGATTTGCCCTAGTTCTTTGCAGGGAAAATGTTTCTATCGATTCATAGAAACATTTTGAGTGTGAATCATTGTGTGCATTTTAAGAAGATATGCATTATGCATTTTGGTAAATAGATTTTACTTTTAAAAAGCTGAACAAATAAAAAGAATCCTTTGTTTCGACTGTTAGTCTCACAACTTATTGCTGTGCTTTTGCAGGTTGTGATGGTTTTCTTTAAAAAAAAATTTTAAAACGTTTATTAATTTGGCACACCAGTTTAAAATTGAGAGCGAAGGCCACGATGGGATGAAGAGAATCGAAAGAGTGCCACTGAGTGTCAAAAAAAAAGCGCACAGGGAATAAAATATTGAAAAAAAAAAGAACTGCGCGCACGAGGCGAATCGTGCTATTGACTAAGAAGGGTTCTTTTTAAAGGTAACCTAATTTCTGAGTAAAACATTTCCAAATTGAGCATTGATCAAATTTTCTAAATGGAAATTTGAGAAAGAAGTCTTCTCATCATTAGAAATGTGATTTAAATGTGAAAATTCGAGTTAAGGCTAAAAAGGTAAATCTATTGATGATGAGGGGAAAAGATAATATGTAACTCAAAAATCGATAGTGAGGCACGGGTTTGTGAGAATTGATGAAGTTGTCATCACTCCACCAAATGAGAACCACGATTAGATTTTGGCAATAACTTTGAATGTGACAACTTGACAATTGAAACAATCTAGGTGTTTCTCTCGAAAGGCTAAAACAATCGAAAACAGGAAACAGTTTAAAAGACCCCTATCTACGTCACTACGGGTACACGTGTACAACACAAATGAAAAGAATTAAAAAGAAAGATCAAAAAAAAAAATCCAACGCTAATAGAGCAAATAAGTCAATGCCTGAAAGTGATTGAAATATCCACCCAGGTTGAAGTTGAAAGGATTGTTTTAGTCATTCTTGTCCTTTGTCATCACTAAATATTTTGAAAATAATTTTTTTTATTTTTTGTAGATTTGAAATCTTTGATTGGTGGTTGAATTAGATCGCGCAGCTCTTTGCAATAACAAACCTGCATTCGAAAACCAAGATGATCTTCGAATTTAGACCTTAAATTAAAACCAACATGCCTACCCAAGCCTTCCGTAAATGATCATGTATGTATAGTGAGTAAGAATTATTGAGTTGTTTTTCATGCAACAATGTCGGTTTACATTTAAAGCAACATTGATGATCCCAAGCCCAGGAAAACATGGAGAAACCAGCTGTACAGACGTGTAAAATATTTTCTCCAGGAACAGTAAAAATTGATCAGGGAAAGAAACATTTGGGAAAACAAATTTATTACGGAAAATAAAAATTGAATGCGATTATCAGAATAAATAGGTTAGCGAATACTAACATAACTTATCAATAATCGTCGATAAATAAGCTCCATAATTACTGAATGTAATGACACCTATCTATCGACAATTCAATTTGAAATCCTACATAATTCAAATAAGATTTTGCTAAAAGAACAACTGCAGACAGAGGCTCCAACCGACGATGCAACCATTTGAAAAATGAGATTTTGCTACATACCACGAAAAACCATAAAGATTAAACATAGGTAATAGTTTTATTCACAGTCAACAAGAACAGAAACATGGTGAAATGCTTTCGAAGTGAAACTAGAAGATTCACTTTCCCCAGATAACACCATACATTATAGAAAATAAACCAAAAACCCGTAACGGGCGCAATGAAGCAAATCCCACAAGAAAACACCTAATTATTATGCGTAATAATTCAAAAGCTTTTGTATTTGAAAAAAATTTTGCAACCATCCAGTCATCAATAAATTCAGATTTCCTTGTTAACAGAGTCATTTTTGAGATTTGCCTCAACATAAGGTAGGAAAGGAACAAGGACAGACAAAGCAACACAGCACGCCCGGAATAAGATTATCGGATCTGGTGTTATGAACAACCAGAATAACAAATAACGCTTGGAAAAATGAGTGAAAATAAAGGATAATTTATCACAAAGGGGACTGAGATGAGCAAAAACAGGGGAAAACCATATTAGAGTTCACCGCCATGATCATTTGAAGAAATTAAAACGGCTGGCCCTGAGAATGCCCGAACAATTTGATCGGCATATCCCCCAAACATCCAAGCGAAGTAGGCGCCCGTAAGCATAACAAGGGCAATGAGTCCCAGTGCGGAGCGTACGCGAGCTGCTGTCGATTTAACGCGAGGCCGAGCCACGCCGGACTCATCAAGGAACCCACCATCAATGTAGTTACGAGCAATGAACTTGAGAATCTCATCGAGCAGCAAAACCGGCACCGAAATCTTCAGCACGGCCAGCCACTCAACCAAGTTCAAAGGTGTGATCTAAACATTAATCGTGACGAAAAATAAACTTAAACAAGCCTGGAAGATGGTAGCAAGGATATCAACGTAGAGGATAACAAAGTGAAGAGACATCGAAAGGGCGATTGCTCCACACAGCCAAATGTTTGTCCAAGGTGGCATCACAAGAATAGATTGATTTTCCGACAACCTAAAGCTTTAATGTTTTAAGTTTAAAAAGAAATATATACGAGTTAATAGCGTTGAGCATCTCGATGGTGACAAGCACAGACAATGCCATGGCATTTGGGTGATTATCTTCGAAAACAGCACAGTCCAAGTCTTGGAAGTTCTCAGGCTCAATCTCACAGCGCATCCAGTGAGTAACCTTAAACAGCGCCAATATAATTTTTTAAAAGTAGAACCCACTTGATAGTAGGAGATTTGTGGCCCATCTTCGTACAACAAGAACCACCACACGGAAGCTCCAACAGTAGCAATACCGACATATGCTGAAAGTTATGGTATTAATCAAGAACAAAATAATCAACTACGCCTGAAAATATTGTTTACTTACTTCCAACAGCAAGATAACGGAAGAAGAGCCATTTAGAGATCAATCCTTCTTGAGCTGAACGTGGTGGCCTGTCCATGATATCAAGATCGGGAGGATTGAAACCAAGAGCTGTCGCGGGCAAACCATCAGTCACAAGGTTAACCTGCAAAGAGAAAGTTTTGATTACATGATCCATATAGTTACCCAGAGGAGCTGGACGGGGATCAAAGCCTCAGGAATTCCAAGTGCAGCAACCATGAAGATAGAAACGACCTAGATTAAAACAGTTTATGCTATGCAAAATATGCGAACCTCTCCGACATTGGAGGAAATCAAATAACGGATGAATTGTTTCATGTTGTTGTAAATAGCACGTCCTTCCTCAACAGCTGAAACAATGGTGGCGAAGTTGTCATCAGCCAAAACCATTTCAGAAGCGGACTTGGCGACGGCAGTTCCAGATCTACGAGTTTTTATGCATATTGTTGCAACTACTCTTACAGGTAACTATTATTTATGAACTACAAAACATTATTTTCTTACCCCATAGCAATTCCAATTTCGGATTTCTTGAGAGCAGGGGCATCGTTGACACCGTCTCCGGTCATGGCAGTGATTTCTCCATGGCTTTGCAAGAACTCGACGATCTTTGATTTGTGAGCAGGTTCGACACGAGCGAAGAGTTTGGCACGACGGCAAGCATCGGATTGTTGCTCTGGTGGCAAGTCATCAAATTCGCGTCCAGTAAAAGACTAATAAAAGAATAGATAAAACACAAATATCAATAGTTACTTTTCCAGTGATGTCCTCATCCTCTCCGAAAAGACCAATTCTACGTCCAATAGCTTCAGCCGTGTTCTTGTTGTCTCCAGTGATCATGATGACACGAATTCCGGCATGTCGGCAGTTCTTGATTGAATCCATAACCTAAAATAAATAGTTAAGTATATAAAAGCTCTTTTGATTACCTCAGTTCTTGGAGGATCAAGCATTCCAACAACACCAACAAAGGTGATTTCACGCTCGTATTTGCCAAATTGGGTGGCATCCTCAAGGTTCATTTGAGAAGAATCAATCGGGGCATCAATCGTTCCAAGAGCCAAACAACGAAGAGTATCACGTCCTGTTCCATATTGAATGCATTGATCGACAATCTTCTGCATCATACTTGGGGTCATTGGGACCTAGAAATTTTTCAATGATTCGAATTATTAACAACCAAAATACCTTTTGCCCATTGACACGAACGTGAGTGCAACGACCAAGAACACCTTCTGGAGCTCCTTTCACAAACATCTTTGCTCCGGTGCCACCGCTTGAAGGAATACAGTAAGCAGACATCGATTTGCGGTCACGAGAGAATTCGAGAGTGAATTCCTAAAAGACGATATTAAAGTTTGTATGATTGACCAAACCTTTCGCCATTTTTGTTGAATCACACGGTTGCAGACGTTTCCAAGATCGCGAGGGCTAAGGCCTTGCTTGCTGGTTCCATAGACATTCATCTTTTCAGCCAACACAACAAGAGCGGTCTCAGTGGCTTCTCCAACTTTCTCATAGATTCGTTTTGTCTAGACTTTTTATTTATCAAAGGCACACAACTAATTAAAAACCTCATTGTAGTCAACAGCTGAGTCGTTGCACATCGAGCAGATGGTAGCGAGCTCGGTAAGTGCCTCATATTCACCACCGGAGCAGTTCACCTTAACGTAGTGATTATTAAGTCTTCATAAAAGCCAATTACTTCGCGACCGTTGTTGAACACTTTTCCAGATGGCTCATAGGTAGATCCAGAGATGGTGAACTCGGAGAAGCTGATGTTGTCTCCACCAGCTTGAGCAACAACAAACATCTAAAACCAGGTCAAATGGAAAATTTTTATCAGATTTACCTTTGAGACGGACATTTGGTTGGTGGTAAGAGTTCCGGTCTTGTCAGAGCAAATCACTGATGTGCAACCAAGGGTCTCCACGGAGGGAAGCGAGCGGACAATGGCGTTCTTCTTGGCCATACGACGAGTTCCAAGAGCCAAGCAAGTGGTGATGACAGCAGGAAGACCTTAAATAAGTTTGCATTGTACATAGATGCTTCTTAAATTTATTTGCCAACCTTCAGGGATAGCAGCGACGGCAAGAGCAACGGCGATCTTGAAATAGTAAATAGCTCCCTTGATCCATGAGCCACCATGAGCAGGGTCGTTGAAGTGTCCGATGTTGATAGCCCACACAGCGATACAAATAATCGAGATAACCTATAGAAAAAATAAACAGTCAAACATTTTAAAATCCACTTTTGAAAGTTGCTCTCCGAATTCGTCAAGTTTTTGCTGAAGTGGAGTCTTGTCCGATTCGGTTTCTGACATCTCGGTACGAATTTTTCCGATTTCAGTGCTCAATCCAGTTCCAAAGACGATTCCACGGGCCTTTCCAGAAGCAACATTGGTTCCAGAGAAAATACAGTTCTTCTTGTCCTAAAATTTGTGAATTGTGGCAATTCACAAAAAAATGTTACTTGGTTGACAGCTCGAGGATCGGGAACGGCATCAGTGTGCTTGATGACGGAAACTGACTCTCCAGTGAGGATTGACTGATCAATTCGGATGGTTGTAGAATAAATCTTGATGAGGCGAAGATCGGCTGGGATTTTGTCACCAACTAAACCGAATATGATCGTAACAAATTTAAAGATTTAAACAAACCTGAAACTTCACAAAGATCTCCTGGCACAAGGTCTCTTGCTCGAATCATTTGAATTCCGTGTTTGCCTGATCGCACAACTTTGGCCATTTCCGGTTCATATTCTTTCAAAGCTTCAATCGCAGATTCAGCATTCCTTTCCTAGAAAAATGCGGTTGCCGAAGTTAAGTTTCTAAAAGCTAACCTGCCAAACTCCGACAGTGGCATTGGCAATCAGAATCAACAAAATCACAAAGGGTTCGACAAAAGCGGTGACCGCGGATGCTTGATCTTCATGTTCTTCAAAAAGAGCGAGAACCTTAAAAAAACTTATTTCTTTTTTAAAACTTTAAACTTACAAAAGAAATGATAGCGGCAAGCAGCAAAATCCTGACAAGAAGATCTTCAAATTGTTCAACAATCAATTCCCATAAGGTTTTTCCTTCCTCAGCGGGCAATTCTAAAGTAATTCTATGAGTTTAGTACGCACAAAAATCGTATTTACGAGTTTGTTTTAACAACTTGAAGGCAAGGAAAAAGCTATAACCTTACCATTGTAGCCATATTTCTCTCTCAATTTATCAACTTGATCTTCCGTCAAACCATCTGCTCCGGTGTCAAAAAAGCGGCAAACCTAAACAACAACTTTACTTTTTTTTTAAATACAAGAGCCATTATCTTTAAAAACTATTAGATTGTTTAAAATATTACTTCATCGCCGGTTTTGATGTGGGCGCCCTCCATAGTGACGCAAAATTACCCAAGCCGACCCGGATGTAAAGTTTCGATGCTCTGAAATTATTGAAATTTAAAAAAGATAAGATACAGTGAAAATATCTAAAAGAACAAAAATAGAATCGATCAGACGGGTAATGCTAAAGATTAAAAGCACGTGTCAATAGTTTCTCAATGAGCGTTGGCGTCCTTTTGCCACCCCCGGTTGCAATACAGCCATTTGGAGTTCGCTGTACGATAAAAATCGATAAAGTTGGGCAAAAGAAACCGATAATTGGCAAGAAAACTTTGATATGGTCTGATTGAACGGAGAATCACACTCGTGTTTTCAAGATTCGAATTTACAAATATTCAACTACAACATACGCATTCGTCAGCATTAGAATTCAGGGATACATTACGGTAGCGCGCGCAACTCAAAACATATGAGATTAGCGCCTTTGAAAAAGCAGAAAACCACGCGATTCGTTCCGTTTTTCACAAAACTTTCAGAATACAACCTCAAGAAACTATTCTACATGAAAACTAGGTTTTAAGTATACGTATCAAAGCCTAACTTAGCGTTAAAAGTTAACTAATATGTAAGAAGTTAGCTAATAATATTAAAATGGTAAAATAATAACTTTTAGCATTAGTAAAAGCGCAATTGACCAAGACGCAACAACTTTTAAACTTTATGGAAAAATGAAAATGTTTGCGTCGATTAGAAAAGATTAGAAAAGAAAAGATTGCAAAAATTAGAAAGTTTTTTGGGTAATCGATATGGTTGGCTGAATAACTGATATTTCGTTATTGTGGCACGTCATCTAAGCTATTTTTTTTGAGCAATTGCGTCACCGTCATGATGATTTAACACATTTCAGCCAGCTCAATAAATTTTCGAATCGTTAAGGCGATTTCGGGTGAAAATCTGCTCTTTCATACCGCAAATTGATAGCATTGGCTAATTGTAAGTAGGATCTTATTTCTGATTCAATGACAAGACGCGGCTAAATTGAGTCGAAAAAAGTTCAAAAATTGAGAGATAATTGAGACGAGGTGAGTGAGAGAAAGAATTGATTAGCAGAGCGTTGAAAGGAAGAGAATTTTGACAAGCCGCCCTCAACTAAGTCTCCGCGAGAAGAATGAATGCTGATAAAAGGTCATAAAGGCGATAGACGTGCCCCAGCGTCGCGTCAAAGAAAATCTTGGTGGAAAAACCCAACGACAGCCTATCCAAAAAGTCAGAAACTCGTGACCACACCAAAGAATAGTTCGGAGTGGTATTTGGGGTGAACAATTGGTAAACTATGGTAAAAACATGATGATGTATAACTAGTAAGCCCTAGAATGTCTAGGATGGAATCTAGGTAAAAATTCGTTCAAAATATCACTCATTGTTAGGAAAAAGCAAGACACTATGAAAAGCGGTTGAGCTATTTGAGGTAGGATGTCTTGTGATTCATTTAAACCAACAATATCTATGATATTGCATATTCAAAGCTTAAAGTAAGAAAAGAAAAGGCTGACATAAAAAAAAATCAATCTGAAATCAATCTGAAATCAATCGATTTCCCTATCAGAGATAATTTGGGTAGACAATGACTTTTCCAGCTTTTTCGAAGCCGACCGTTTCGATATCAGGCGCCCTCGGCATCGGCCAAAGATCTTAAGATAAAAACAGAAAAAAAATCTCTCTAGAACAATTTTCAAAAAGGGCAAGTGCCATAAACGTTTAATAATTTATTTAGGGGTAATAAATTCCCAATCCACGCCTCGAGTTCACGAAATTTTAATGCATTTAAGTTCAAAGAAAGGACAAAGAAAAGTATAAGCTAGATAAAATGATGTAAATAGAAAAAAACGGGATCTAGCTATGATGTAGTTGGATCTCTGAAATGAGATCTTTTGTCACTGGGACAATGGGGGAAAAAAGAAATTGTGTGAGGAAGTAAAAAGAATGGAAATTGATGGGTTGAGCCGAGGAGTGGAGACAGGCAAACGATAGATCCGAGGAAGTTCAACGGGCCGCGTCAGGTGGCGCGACACTTGCATTCTCTCAAATTCTCTTTTTTTGCGAGGAAAAAACCCTTGACCCCCAGGTGAACAGCAATTTTTTTTGCTTTAACTTTAGAAAAAGGGGAAAATATTGGTAAATTGGTGCATACGATGAAGCACTTTTTTGAGTGCCACGAATCAAGATATCGATAGCGGGTAGGAAAAGAGAGAATCTTCTTGTAACTACGTGTTTGTCCAGGCTTCTCGTATCCTATTGCAAAGGAGAGACTTCCCGACGACAATTTACCAAAGGAGATCTTACAAAGTTTTCCGAGGAGAAAGTTTTAAGATCAAGACATGAGTAAATGACTCCGAGAATCAAATGTTTATTTCTAGACTAAAATTTCTGAAATAAAAACTAATAGAAACAGATTTTCAATTCAAGTTTTCAAGTTTTTAATATTAAAATATTTATGGAAATGTAGAAATGAGAGGAAAATGTCTGGCTATGGCACTTGAGCACTTGTGGCACTTGGCACTCAACAAAATCAAGATTTTAAACAAGAATCTCAATAGCAAAAGCACGATTTAATAGTCAAAAAAAGAAAAGTTTTAAGGAAAAGCTGGAAGAAATCAGAACGAGTTTCTAAGTGGATCATGGTAAAAGGCGATAAGTAAGAGTTAATGAGAGGAGAGAAATAGTCGCGTCTCCTGGTTGGATGTGAGAGTGGCTGAGGGATTTTCGGCGGTTTCTTGAGGTCGAGGGGGAGTCAGTGAAGGATTGGGGAATGGGCAGGGTCCGCCTCTTGGGCTTCTCCCTGGCCTCCTTTTCCCTCCTATTTCCCTCCTCTTTTTTTTTCTCCACAACTTTCTGTCGATCCACCGCTGTAAAGGGTAAGTCGATCCATGCAAGCTGCTCTCGCTAAAAGTCTTGCCGGCCTCAACCCGATCCTTTGAGGCACAGCTCATGCTCAAGAAAAAAAACGATATCTTTGAAGAAAGAAGAAAGAAGAAAAAACGATCTCTCAGAGTGTCGTTGAACGTTGTGACGCTTGAGTAGACGTCTTAGATGCTCAAGCAACAAAAATCAATATAGTACATTGGATCAACGGATTTTCTGGTCAAGCGATAAGATATTTATGGATTTGTGCGTGTTGTATAAATCTTGTATTAACCAATTTTTGTAAATAAAGCCGTCTTTACAAAAAAAAAACACATTTCTAATGTGTAGCTTGAAAAGTAATTAATGGTAGAGTGATTTATGTCCCATGAGTACATTCAAAGAAAACGCTTTCTGCTAAATTATCGAAGCCAAAAATTGTAGTAAGAACTCATTCCAGTTTGTAGAAAATTTTCGTAGAATAATTCTCCCAAAATTTCGTCGCATTGTCAGTAAGTTCCGTCTGTTGATGAACAAGATTCAATGTTCGTTTGTTTGTTTGTTCAAAGCTCAATAACATCTTTTAAAGTAAGCCTAACTCTACACAATTTTCTTTTTTTTTTGATCGATCCACGCAAGGAAGGAAGGAGGGGATTTGACCATGACTTTCTCGAATTTCTTGAGAAAATAAAAAGCTGTCACCGTCTGGCAACGCAAGGTCAACAGACCCGGATCGCTTGATCAAGCCGCCCCGGAATTTCCCTTCTCAATCCCTAATCTCATCTCTTCTATCGATATTTTTATCGTCACAAAAGTATCAATGAAACTCTAGGGATTGAGAAAATGTTTTTAAGGAAGGAACTCCAATAAGATTAAGACCCATGAAAAGAGGGCCGTTCCGGGTCCATCCTATCATTTGCCCCAATGAAAGGGATTGATATGGTGCTCAGAGAGGGACTCACAACCTTTTTTCTCAGTTCAATGGATGAGCCTCAATGTGATGGAAGAAAAAAAAAACGAGGAACAATCGATATGAGCTCAACATTTATGAGAAACCTTTTCCAGCAAAGACAGAGGGAGAAAAAGACCACCCGGTGAAGAGAAAGGAAAAAGAGGTTGAGATCATGAAGTGTTAGAGGAGAAGGGATCACCCTCGATCAGGACGACCCCCTTCTCCTTGTTGTAACACAGCTGCCCCTTTGATCCAGACACAAACGCATGCACTCTTCTTTCCTCAAAATTTGTCTCTCAAAGCTGCTCTTCATTAGGGCGCGATCAGCTCGGTAAATCGTTCTGGGATTAAGAAAGTTTTTGCAAGTATAAAGGGATCAATGTTTCTTTGGGATTAGAAGTTTAAAGTTATTCTATGAGCAAGGTTCACCACCACAAATTTTTTCAATTTTTCAGCAATTCGTCAAAAGCCAGTTATTTGCTGGCAGCCTTATCAAAAGCATTTTCAGAGTTGAAGATTTTGAGAACAAAAAACTGTTCACAGATCGATCAATGCTTGACTCCTCTGTGAACTGTTCACAGATCGATTAATGCTTGACTCCTCTGTGAACTAGTGATTCCCGAAGAAGAGAAAACAGAATAGAAAAAAGGTATGAGAAGGGGGGAAATGCCCAATGTCTTTTCGATCGCGAGAAGAGTGGCACGTCTCTGAATCACAATCAAATATCGAATACCCGGCAAACATTGCCTTTGCCTTTCATGATCACAACCGCCATATTACTACTTTTTATTCAATAAGGATATTGTTTATTCCTCTCGTTCTTTTTGTTTCTTCTTTGTTTTGCGTTTTTTTCTTTTCGTTTTTGTTTTCCAATTGATGTTCCAATATGTTGCACCTTATGTGATTTCAGTTCTGAATATAAATCCAAGTAGAAGAGACTTTTATCTTTCAAAAAAGGTTAGATAAAAGTTTATTTTTGCTACAAAAAGAATTGACATGAGTCATTTCTGGCATGAGTCATTTCGAGGTCGAGTGAGGCAGACTGATATAGGAAGAATCTGCAAATTACTCATCTCTTCTCACTTTCCCCATAAAGTTTTACTTTACTGACTCTACTAATTGAATACATTCTTTTCATGGATTGATTAGAGTGTTGTGCTCTAACTGTTAGCAACTATGTGTCAAAATGTTCTAGATCTATCAAGAGCTTATGGGATCAGATAGCGTCTTCTATCTACTTCTATCTACTTCTATCTACTTCTATCTTCTTCTATCTTCTTCTATCTTCTTCTATCTTCTTCTATCTACTTCTATCTTCTTCTATCTTCTTCTATCTACTTCTATCTTCTTCTATCTTCTTCTATCTTCTTCTATCTACTTCTATCTACTTCTATCTACTTCTATCTTCTTCTATCTACTTCTATCTTCTTCTATCTACTTCTATCTACTTCTATCTTCTTCTATCTTCTTCTATCTACTACAAATCTTTTTTTGATTCTTCATCAATTCTGTAACTCTTTCTTTCTTTCTCTTTTTGTAACTCTAAAATTCATTTTGGCTTGAATGGCTTTTAATAAACGAATCCTATCCATTAACTGTGAATCTGTTAATTTATAGGCAACGAAGTGATGTAAGTGATTTAAGAAGAGAGAAGAGAGACGGGTGATTGTTTGTTGAGATGGGGAAAAAGGAATTGTAGAAGAAGAGCTTCTGGCCTTATCAGTCACCCTCGGAAGGGTCCGTCGACCATTGCTCCTCCATTCCTCCCCCATTCCTCACCCCTTCCACCCCTCCCTTCTCTCCTTTTTCTACACCCCTTCCCATTCCCAATATTTTCGCCATTTTCTCGCTCGATGCCTTCGCCGATACGAAACACTCACCAATTTTTCGATTGTTTGCCTCAAATCAATTCCATTTTCTTTCCATTTCCGATGATTCTTTTCACTGAACTGAAAAAATAGCGATGTTTTGCTTTACTTATTGTTTTGCTTTATTTTTACTATTCTTCTCGTTTTCTTGATCACTGAAAAACGTGTTTTCTTACTGTAACCCAGTCAAATTTTGTAAACAAATTGAAATTTAATTGTCTTTGGTATAGACTTGTTTCTAGGAAATGAAACAAATGAAAGTTTTTAAGTATAACAGTAGGAGATGGGTAAGGGGAGAAGTCGGGAGGCCTCAAACTCAAAAAGAAGACAAGAATATGGGTGGTCCATCAAAATTCCATGTTTCCCCTATTACTTCTTATTTGTTCAAGTCTTACTCATCAAAACATTCAATGATTGGCTACGGTTGATACCTGTATAGCTACGGGTAACATATTGCTTTCGGGTTGCTTACGAGTAACCTGTCAGGCTTAGAATCCAAGATAAATCAGATAAATCCAAGATTAAATTATGTACACAAGTAGAGTAAAGCATAAGGACCTTCCCTGGCGGCAATGGGAAACGTGTCGGTATACCTCGTTGGTAGAGCGTTCACCCGGTAAGCGAGAGGTGTCGGGTTCGAATCCCAGCGCCGACCATTTTTCGACCGCCGACCATTTCCCAGCTCCAACCCATAAAAGGATCGGCGTGTCCAATTGTAGTGTTGCAGACATGTAGCTGTGCTTCTTGATTTGGAGATCTAATCGGGAGAACTGTCTAACTAACCTTTAGCTCTCATTGCGAAGCTTTTCTTTCTTTTCTTTCTTTTGACTGTCGACAGTATAAGGTTCAAATCACTACCCAGTGCCATTTCAATTCCCTTTTCTTTATTTTTAACGATGACAGGTTGATAAACGGAAATCTCTATTGGTTTCATCTGCAGTAAACACTGAACTTTTGAACTTTTATCTTTCACGATCTTTAAAGAATTCTTAAAATAAAAAGAAAATAGGGATTTAAATAAATCTCTGTACAAGTCGAAAAGAAGCCTTTATTTCCTTTAAATTGAAGATAAAAATCGATCGAATAACTATGACTCAACTTCAGAAAGCGATAAAAGAGTGCAAGTTGATACAATTTACAATTTAGATATTCAGAAAATCAATGGCATTCACATCACGGGACACTTGTTTTCCGCTTTGAAATGCCACAAGAGGTAAATATTTACATTTGGGGCATCGACTAAGAGTGGAGAGGTGTAGACCATAGGAAAAAAAACGAGGGAAAGAATGCGCGCAGTTTTTTCTTTGCCGTTCCTGCGATGCCGATTCATCTACACTTGGCCATTGTCCATCTTATCGATCATCTAGCCAATTTATTTTTTCTATTTAGTTTTGAGTTGTCTTATGTACTGAAGGAATGTCTGCAAAGCTGCATAAGCTAAAGCCAATCCACTTCAAAGCTGCATAAGCTAGAGCCGATCCACTTCAAAGCTGCATAAGCTAGAGCCAATCCACTTCAAAGCTGCATAAGCTAGAGCCGATCCACTTCAAAGCTGCACAAGCTAGAGCCAATCCACTTCAAAGCTACATAAGCTAAAACCGATCCACTTCAAAGCTGCACAAGCTAGAGCCAATCCACTTCAAAGCTGCATAAGCCAATCCACTTGACAGTAAAGCTAGTTTAGTTATAGAATTATTTTTAAAACTCTTTAAATTCTAAAAACCATTCCCACCTAGCTATTGCCACTAAATTGCCTACCAAATTGTCTACCAAATTGCCAAGAAGTACTATTTTATTTGGAAAAGATTGGATGGAGGAGTGGAGAAAAGAGCACGCTTTGCGTTATCATGCTTTTCCCCAAGCTCAAGTCTTTTCTTTTTCTTCTAGATTCTCTTTTTTTTCTCTCTCGCCCTCTCTTTTTGCGTTTTGTTGCATCTGTTTGTGGTGTGTTTGTGGTGTTGGGGCGCGAGCGTGTTGACTCTCGCAGCCCCCCTCCCTCCCCTTCTACTCTCATTCCGATTCCCATCTCCCCTTCCCACCCTTTCCACCCACCCATATGCACCAATCCACCCAAGAATACCATGCTACCATTTTTACGAAAATTCTCTAAATTTTCTCTTAATATTCATTCTTTTCAAAAAACTTTCTTGCTCTACACAATCAAATCTTTCCTTATTATCATTCTCCTGTTTTTCTTCGCATTATGCTTTAGATTTTGTTTTCAAGATTGCTCTGAGATCGTCTGAGATTGTCTGAGATTGCTTTTTCATTCCTTTTTCATTCCTTTTTCATATTCCATTTTCCAGGATTTCTTTGGTCATAACAAGTCGCGAATCAATTATCGAATTCTCTCAATTTCAATCGTTCCAAAATGGCTTATCAGGGAACACATTACAATTATCAGGTCTGATCTGAATCACAATTCGATAAACGACAAATTTTAGGTAATCGTCATTTTTGCAATTCTACTGGGCGGTGTTTTGTTGCTAGCGATGGTGATCGGAGCTATCTATTTTGTTTGCGTGAACAACGTAAGTTTATCTTGATGAGGAATGGATCAGCATTACCCCCAAAGAATAAGCTAAAATTTATATTTCAACTTGTTTCAACTTTAAAAGTTGAAATTTTTGCAAGTAGAAGTAGATTCAGTTAGCTGTTTTAAGGAAATCCCTCATTTCCTTAACAAAATCGTTAAAGGTAAACTCTTTCGTGAAATAAGCTAAAGATGATGATTTTCATTTAACAAGATGAAATTTCCTATGACTTTTGTAAGAGTGGGTGAATGGATTTAAAGTAAAGTAGGCTTTTATTCGATGTTCACTATGGGGGTGGTCTGTCTCTCTCTCTCAAGTTTTTCCTTTTCTCGTCGCTTGAGGCAAGGGAAAGTGGGGAGCCTTTGGAACACTTCCCTCTTGTTTGTTTTGGGCTCGAGACTTCTGGTGTGCCCGTTGAATTTGCATACGGCCTTATGCTCTCTTGCACAACCCTCTTCTCGATTCTCTCAGGAATATCGATCCATAGAAATAGGGAAATGATAAATGTAACAAATGTAAGTGAGAGAAAAACTTTAGATGAGAGACGATGAGCGCAAGAGAATGAGATCTCCTCGACCCTCATCACAAGTCTGGGGCCCACCACCTGGCGCCGTCGCTCCACAACAGCACTCATTCCAGTCATTTCCCTATCCACCACAAGCAGCTGAGTGAGTTTATAATAGATTAATGCTCAATGACAGATTGATAACAGAAAAATAAATCATTTTTTTTCAGTCAATACACAGGCGGACGCCCAATTTCGGCTAGCCCAGCCGTTCAACAATACAACGTTTCGCAGGTGATAATGGAATCTTAGAAAAATTGCTGAATTGTTGATTGTAGAGCCCGTTAGTGACTCAAATGCCTCAAGATGGAATGTACACGAATCAGTACCGTCAATTACAGCCTGAAGTCGTTTACACACAGGTAAAGTCATCGTGTCTGATGTTGTGATTGAGTACAAAAGCAAAGAGTGATTGACTGAGCAAAGACTTAAAGTCTCAGACAAAGACTGAAAGAAATGGAAATGAATTTGTTACTTATAATGCTCATTACCTTTCGATACAATGTTTAAACTGTGCCAAAAACTGTTTAATAATGAATGAATAATCAATAATGAATTGAAATAGACGGCTAATAAAGCTGTTAGTTAGTTACTGTTAAAGTAAAATAACAAATGGCAAAGAAACAAATGGCAAAGAGAGGGGATTGAACTCGCCCCTTAACCTCGATCCTTTCTGCTTTCCCGGGTAGATGCTCTAACCACTGAGCTATCCCTTACCTTGTCCGCAAGGCAAGAAAAAGGGAATACAAGGAGAAGGAGAAAGGAAACAACAAAACCTGTAACTCTAAACAATTCGATTCTTTCTTAAACAATAAACTTTAAATTTTAAGAATAGAATCTAAACTTTTGAATATCCTTTTGAACTTTTAAAGCCGTTACATTTCAGGGTCCAAGCGGTTACATCTCGCAGACGCCGGTCGACTACACAATGAACCGAGAGCCTTTCCGCACATCAGCTATTTAAACACTTTACTTTTTTTTTTTTCCTAAACATTAAAGTCATTCATTTGTACTAGATCCAATAGATATATTTCATATCTAAATCTCTAACATTGGCTTTAAGAATATTTAAGATTTTCGTCATTATCGTCGCCCTGTGATCAAATTTATACAAATTTTTCACTTCCTTCTTTCACGACTCAAACAAACTAGTTATCTTGCAAATGTGATACCTCTAGAACCTCACTTGGCTCGAGTTTTTTTTTTCTCTTTTTTATCTAGTCTACTCTCTTTCTCATACAGCAAAGCTTTGTTTTAGATCTAAAATGTTTTAGATAAAAAAAACTCCTTAAAAACTGCCTCTCTGATGAAATCACTTCACTTATTTTCGTTTTTGATGGTTCTGTTTGTTAAATTGTTGGCTTTAAAATGCTACTTACTTGTTTAAATCTAAAATCTTTTCTATTTTTCTCTTTTTCTCTTTTTCTCTTTTTATCAACTCTAAAACAGAAATCGCATAATTTTTTTTCAATTATATTTTAAGGATTTCTCAACTATTGCATTCATTTCATTTTTTTTTTTGATTTGCTCACTTATTTTTCATTTTTTGAGACTTTATTTTGTTTAGAGTAGAATAAATTTATGTGAAAAAGTATAGTTTACACTTGATTGTCCAGAGTTAGAGGCATACTTTCCTCTAAGTTAGAGGCATACTTTCCTCTAAATCTCAAATCTACAAGTAAAATCAAGCATCAACAAACCTTTTTTTCGTTTAGCTTTGGCCTTTAAACTCAAGAGAAGATATGTGCTCACTTTTTTTATCTTAAATTTCTTTTTCCTAGCAATGAAAAGTGTTTGTTGGAAGAGAAAGCGATGAACACCCGAATATTGGTCTGAGGCTAAGGGAAAGATCTTTTTCGAGATCGGTAATTCACGTGAAATGGATTGATGAGGAGTTGGAAGAGAAAAGGAAAAGAATGGAAAAGAATGGAAAATGAAAAGAATGAGAAAAAAAGCTCCCCCTCAATCGTTTCATCTTTTTGCTTTCTCTCTTCTTTTTTTTTTTTGCTCACAAAAGGTTTACAGCGTTTTGAGGAGCACTGGTATTGTGTTCGCTCCTCGACTCACCATCTCCTCAATCCAACAAGACACACACTAATCGACAAGAAATGAGGGATTTCCTCAAATCAGTTAAATGAACCTACAAGAAATGAGGGATTTCCTTAAAACAGCTAACTAAACCTACTAGAAATGAGGGATTTCCTTAAAACAACTAACCAAATCTACTAAAAATTAGGGATTTCCTTAAAATAGCTAACTGAATCTACTTCTACTTGTAAAAATCAGTTATTAGATTGTGAAATTTCAATTGAAAATTGATCATGTTCTTTCAAATTTTCGGCAAATTTGCTACTAGTCAAAAAGTCGCTTGGTAAATATACAGATATCAAAAAAACTATAGATTTTTCTATTGAATAGATTTTCCCAAGATGGTACAAGAGAAAATGAGGGTCTTTTTCATTTTTTTTGCATTTGCACAATAGACACCATTTTCAATGAAATCGTGTTTGAATGAGAACCAGGGTTTAGTCAAAAATAATAGAAACTCATTAAAGATCAATCAAAACTCACTTTTTGAAAAGGTTTAGTTTAAGTTTAAAAGTTTAAAAAAAGCTTAATATTATATAAATCAGAATCAGAAAACTTAATATTATATAATCTCAATAAATCAGAAGAACTTCAAGGTAAAGAGTTTTAAGGTAAAGAACTTCAAGCTCTGAAGAACTTCAAGGTAAAGAACTTCAAGCTCTGAAGAAATCTGTAATCATCGATGTTGAACTGTGAAAAGTTAGTCATTTCAACCGTTTGGCATATAAAAATTCGTTTTCAATTGATTAATTTTAAAGAAAAATACTCTCTGGAAAGGAAAATTGTCAAAATTTCAATAGGTTACGGTAGAAAAGAATAGAAATTTCGGCGATGAATAGCCCATTCTCTCCTCTCTTCTCCCTTTCATTCATTAGTTCACTAAATGAAAAAAAAAACAAAATACCCCACCTCATGAATTCATTCACAACCTTCCACCATCAACCAGTCACATTTCAATTCACCATCTTTCTAAATCATTTCCCTCGAAATGAATTCATTCTCAAATCTCGCGAATCCCGAGAATCCTTATCAAACAACTCATATCCCTTGTGATCCTTTTCAAAAGTGAGTCAAGTAAAAATCCTAATATTTTAAAGCTTTCAATTTTTTTGAAATAAAAAAAGTACAATAAATTTCTTACAAAATAAACAGAAAAGAAATTCGTATTGATTTTCAAAAAAGCCTTTTTCTTTCAGTCTCCAACAACCCGTGTACTCCACAACGTTTCATCAAGAATTCCCTGCAATAAATTGTTCTGAAAATTTTCTTTATAGCCCTCAGAAATTTTTTGCAAGTGCTGATGCTGAAAAGAGGTGGGTTTTTCGAAAAGATTTCTTTTCGAATTTCAGCAATTTTTCTTCACTTGATCTTCTCTGAATCCAAAAAAAACGAAACGAGATTGATCGAATCGATGAAAAGATCAGGCTGGCTTCTAGTTTTATTATTATTGTTAAACCAGGGTTTTTTTTTAAATTCTAAATCTAAGTCTTCAATGTACGAGTTTAGAAATTTGAAGAGTTTTATGAAATCTGTGTCAACTTTACTGGAATAGCTGTTTAGGTATCGAGAAAAGCGCTCACGCAACAATCAGGCCGCTCAGAAATCGCGAAAAGTGCGTAAAGAACGAGAAAAGGTGAGTGAAGATGTTTACAATCTTTAATCACTAAATTAAATAGTTTCTACAGTAATGAGCGTTGTTTTAAAGACAATTTTTCTGGGCTAAGGTCAGGCCAAAAGCCGGTAGATATTACCAGACCCATTTCCAGACTGCGGATCGGTCTGAAATTATGTGAATTCCCATAAAACAACTTAAAATCGAGTTTCCCCGAGTTTCAAATCGATCGGCAGTCTAGAAGTTGAGTTTCATTGGTACCGGTACCGATCAATCAATCAATCACGATCAGTACTCACTGTGATTGTTCTGGGTGACCAACTTTGGAGGTGAATTCCTCGGTGATCCGTCGAACTTTCACCCTATCCCAAAAGTGCCAAAAGATGCGCAAAGACTTCAGCTTTCTTTTTTTTTTAAAAGTAGCCCGATTCAAGCATTTTTATTGAACAAAATTTGAGCTCAGGGCTTTGCTGAGCTTGGCTGAACTTGCCTGGCTTGGCTTTACTACTACTTTACTTGGCTTTAGGCTTTAAAAATGTGCACCACTACCTCATTTTCAGCAAGCTGTCTATCGTGTGACGATTTTGGAACAAGAGAATCAATCTCTAAAGCTGCAATTGGATCAAGTTAAGCAGGTTTGAGTTGAGATCAAGTTTTAAATGTTTAAGAAATTCGAGCGTTTATCTCATCAATTTTTTTTTCTTTCAGCAACTCCACTATGCTACTCAACGTCTTATCCAAATCAATGCACCATTAAATAATTCTTTATAAGTCTTTTGACTAACTTTTGACTAACTTTTTTTCGATTTCTTCAACTTGTACCAAGTTTCTAGTTTGTTGCATATATAAAAGTGATATAAGGAGTATTTTTCGTTCATTTTTTTTTCTTTAGTCAAAGTAGTGACCCATCTTGAAAGAAAGAAAAAAACCCGATAAAGTGAAGGAGAAGAATGGGGATAAAGATGAGAAGAGATGGGGAAGAGGGTGAAGGGGAAAGGCCAAGTCGATGCCATCCACTCCTCCATTTCGTCTGACTTCTCAGCTCGATTCCCCTCTAGAGAATCTCTCTTTTCCCATTGCTACCAGTTTTCCAGAAACTTTTAACCTCATTGAACCGAGATTTCTTTAGCTCATATTTACTGTAGTTGAGGATCATACTGTTATCTTGAGGATCATACTATTAACTTGAGGGTCATACTGTTATCTTGAGGATTATACTGTTATCTTGAGGACCATACTGTTATCTTGAGGATCATACTGTTATCTTTTCTTCGTTTTTCACAATAAGCCCTTATAATCTTCTCATTCTTAGCTTTAATTCAATTAAAAAAAAGGTGAGAGCTGGGAACGATTGCGTTTACGGACGAGTCTCAACTTCTAGGCCATGTAGGGGCCGAGAAGCCGAACTCTCTCCTCTCAAGAATGGGCACATCCTCAAGAAGACATCGACGATCAAAGGTTTACGAAATGTTTTACTTCAGAGAATCTTATTGCTTGAATCACAATTAATCGTAGAGTGAATCATTGCCACTTTTGAACTGCCGCTTTGAACTCTTGTACTTGTAAGAACTTATAAAGATCTATCAATTTCTTTCAATAAACACTTTCACTTTCAGGTCATCCGGGTCGTAAACCTTGTCAAACGGATTATCGCCTTTTTTTTCTCTCATGTTGGACTTTGCGCTTTGGTGAGGTTTTCTTTGATTTCAATTGGAGGATCGAATTGAAATGGATCCAAAAAAAAATTTACATTTGTATTAGAGAATGTTCTTACAAAGAAAGCTCATGTCTTTTGTTTCTTTCGGAAATCGGATGTAGGAGAAGGAGTGGGAAGAATGGAAGAATGGAAGAATCGAGGAAAAGAAAAGAGACGAAATGGAGGCCGGAAATGCCCCGCGGGAATTCGAAGAGCGATGGATGGCGAGAGTCGAATCGGGTCTCAGAATTCTCCCATCTTTCCTCTCATCCACTCCAATCTCTCTTACATCTAAACACATCAAAAACTAAAGCAAAAAGAAATGCTAAATCTTTCTTAGGTAATCGGTTACACGATGTTGGGCGCGTTCATCTTCAAATACGTTGAAGGGCCGCATGAGAGAAGAGTGCAAAATGAGGTGAAGCTGTGAGAGAAATGCTTTTCACGGAACTATTTTCGAAACTTTAATGTCTTTAGGTGGACAAAGAACGGCAACGAACAATCGATATTGCTTGGAATGCAACATTTCGGGTGAATCGGCTCAACGAGGAACAGTGGAAACGAATCGTTCACTCTCAGGTTAGTTAAAGTTTAAAGTAAACTCAAACCAAGAAAAGAGAAACAATGTGACTTAAAATCTTTATTATTATTAGATTAAATCCTTTCGTGCCACCTGTTACAACGCTATTCGGAATGGGTGAGTGAAGAAAAACAATATACCGTATTTCTTCAAATAGAAGACCGGGTAAAGAGTATCATCGCGTACTACTGCGTAGCAGCCCTTTTTAAAATTTCTTTTCTGCATAAAAGCTTTCAATGAAGTGCTATAGGGCTGGAAAATGACTCAAAAATACCACATGAGCTAACAGATTTTTGAGTCATTTTCCAGCTCTATAGCACTTGATTGAAAGCTTTTATGCAGAAAAGAAATTTTAAAAAGGGCTGCTACGCAGGAGTACGCGATGATACTCTTTACCCGGTCTTCTATTTGAAGAAAAACAATATATCTTACTCCAAAAATCTAGATATGATGGGAAAATGTTTACCCCGCAATGGACAATACCCGGTGCTTTCATGTATTCCCTGACAATCATCACTACAATTGGTAACACTTTTAAACACACAACACATTGAAATTGCTTTGTCCCTGATATCTTTTTCCTTGTAAAGGTTGAAAGATCAAAAGTATGAGATTTATCAAAGATCAAAGATCAAAGATTAAAGATTAAAGATCAAAAGATTGGTAACACTTTTGAACGCATTTCTAAACACATTTCAAAGCAGAAAATCAACTTCAAAGCAGACAATCAACTCTAAAAATGAGACTATTTTAGGCTACGGTAACACTTCGGCGAAGACTTCACCGGGCAAAGTATTAACAATCATGTACGCGATTATCGGCATCCCACTCATGCTTCTCTTTCTCACCAATATCGGTGATGTGTTGGCTAAAGTTTAGCACAAACTCCATGCAAACATTTATCCCATTTTTCCAGATCTTTCGTTTCTTATATGCTCAAAGTATTCGCCTCAAGTTCAGAATTATCTTGTGGCACAAAAAGAGAAAAGTAAGAGGGAAAGGAAGATGAAGAAAAAATATGAAACTTTCAGGCAGCAAAGATTCGAAGAGCTAACTCACTGGTTTCACGATTGACAAGAGGACATCGTGTAAAGACCGATTCAAGTGTCGACTCATTGGGACATAATGGTAGACTTTAAAAGAGCTGTTTATGATTTAGAAGCTTCAGCTTTTCAATGTATATTTCAAAAGTCTATCTACTCAATTTCAAGTTTCAGGCTATATTGGTGGGCCAGATGTCGAGGATTTATTGACAGCACAAGCACAAATGGAAGAGCTTGAAGTTAAGGAAATCGTTCAAGTATGAGAATTGAATCAAAAAAAATAAATGAAATGTTTGCATCTTAGCAACAACTCGACAAAGTCTCCGTCCCATTATCGCTCGTTTGTCTCACCATGTTGGCTTATCTGTTCCTTGGTAAAAATGTTATTCAATATTTTCACAAAAATTGTTCAGGCACAATTATTTTTCATATTTGGGAAGGCTGGGATTTGGTTGATAGTTTCTACTTTTGCTATATTTCACTTACAACAATTGGTTGGTTTAAAAAAAAAAGAAATTGGGGTAGGCTAATTTCCGCCATTTTATTCGCGCAAGAGGGTCATTTGCGCAACTCGCCATAACTTTCTTCAAAATCATAAAGATTGGCCGACTTAGAAGAAAGTTATGGCGAGTTGCGCAAAGGGCCTAGTTGCGCAAATGACCCAGTTGCGCAAAAAATTTGGCGCAAAGTAGCCTATCCCAAGAAATTATTTAAAGTGAATCTAGGTTTCGGTGATAAATTCCCCGGCGAATCGCTCAGTGAAAAAGAAGATGGACGGGTTCGAAAAGTAAACTCTATTCCAAAAATGATCTTCTTTAGAACAAACTCGTTATTACTTCAATATATTTGCTTTTTGGGATGGCTTTATTGGCTATGTGTTTCAATTTGGCACAAGAAGAGGTTGGATGGAGGCTAATTGATCTATTGATCTATAAACTATTGATCATTGATCAACCGTTTTCAGGTGGCTAATAAAACGAGATGGCTGGCTTCGAAATTTCGAAGACAAAAAAGCGAAGACGATGACTAATTGTGAGCTAACTTGAGAATAAATATCTTTACCACTTTTTCGCATTGTCATTTCACAACTTATTTCAACAGTTTTATTTGCAACAATATCAACAATATAAATATGCAAAAGAGAATACCCGCGGATTCAAATAATTTCGTTGCTTGAGTGAGAAAAATCTTTTAAAAAATTAAAGATGACAAAAATCACAGCAACAGAATACCCGTGATTAGGAAAGAAAAGAGCTTTAGGAACTATATACACAAAGGGATTCTAACAAAATTGAAATCTGAACGATAAAGTTGTTAAAATGACTTGTTATAAAAGAATCTTACTCGAGTTCCATAGCCTCATAATCCATAGGAACTTCAACCGGATCGTGTACTTCGACTATTTGAATTGGTGAAGAAGCCGACGATATTGTTTCCGTATCTTCCTGAAATATCGATGAAAGTCAAGATCTAGTTTTTATACTTTTATTTTTATAAACCTAGCATATGCTGAAGTTATTCATGTACTAGAGAACTCTATGTAAGCTAGAGAGCTCTATGTACTCTATGTAAACTAGAGTACTCTATGTACTGGAGAACCCTATGTAAGCTAGAGTACTCTATGTACTAGAGAACTCTATGTAAGCATTTTTAAAAGTATTACCCGATTTTGATCATCAGAGTGTGCTTCGTCTTCAAAAGGAAACGTGATGAGTGGAGGTGAAGTTTGCGGCGATAAATGATGCCACTCTTCATCTCGCAGAATCTCCTGAAAAAGCAAATTGTAACCACTGTATGACCGATGAGCTAAAGTTACCTGGATACTTGGATAAACTATTGGGTGCCCAGTATGATGGTAAGGAACGAGAGCATCGGGGCGAACATGGCTAAAAAGTTGTTTTGTTTGCATTTCCTCATCTTCACTTACTTGTTCATCATGAATTTGAAGTCTCCGCTGTGTCGAGCATTGTTCAAATACTGCTTTAGCATATTGTCAAGATGCACTTCTTTATATGTGTTTGGAATCGGATCGTCTGGTGGTTCCTGAAAGATTCATGTAAAAGAGCTCTATCAGAATCTGTGGCAATCTATAAGCTATAAGATTAGTAACCTCAACAAAAGCAATTGGATCAGAATCTTCCATTGTGCTTTCTTCATCATCCGAATGATGTTCAAATGGGCTATGTCGATCCAAATTGATTCGACCGAAACGAGCTGAGACTTGCTCGATTTTTCGTTTAGCTCGTGGCTCATCAGTGCTATCACTACCTCCCTGAAACAATGGTTCTATTAGTCAATTCTTTTAAATTATCACTCGCATTTGGGTACATTTAACAAAAAAATATCATTTAAACCAACATCCATTCATTCGATAAAGTCAAGCTTACAAAAATCGTCATATTTATTCTTTAAGCAAACCTTTGTATTCATTTTCCATCTTCTCATGTTAAAAAGAATACTTGAATAGGATTACAGGTAGAGTTAATAAATTGCGAAAAAAACAGCCAATAAGTATGACTAAAATAAGAAACTACAAAGACGCCCTATGCACACTGGATAACAAACCCAGGGGAACTTTAAAAAATTTAAACCAGTGAACAGAGACTTTTGAGTCAATCGTTTAATCATTTAAAGATATTGATTTTGGTAACGAGAAAGCTTTTTAATAAATTAATAAAAAAGAAAGGTAATTGAATTTTCAGAAGCATTTAAATCTTTATTGGAAAAGTTTCTGAATTAAATCTTTCGGAATTCAAATCGCCGTATTTGTTTCTAAAAGGCAATAACTTACCGATGCAGGACGCTTGATTCCTGGGCGATCGAGATGTTGTTGAGGAGAAAATTTGTATGAATTGTTGCTCGGATTTGGATTCATTCCAAATCCCCATGAATCTTGGCCCGTCATGCTTAATATTGGCTTGAAAGTCAAGAAAATAATCGATGAATAGTGCAACTACACAACGAAAATAGGAGGCAACCAAAGTGCATCTATTTGAACTATTATATGGGTAAGGAAGCTTCTAGAAAAGTCTCGGGCACATGTGGATGAAGAGAGAGCATAGAATTTGAGGAGAGGGCAGAATTCGGGCGGAGAAAGAACAAAAGATTTGAGAGGGACCAAAGTTTGAGCGAAGATTCTCGATTCCAAATAGCTAGTAGGAGCCTAGTGCGACGTTTTTGAGCATATAAAAGTCATTAAAACATGATTTCAAACTTTCCCACCCACCAATAATTAATTGTAAATTGTCTGCAAATTGACAATTTTTGACAATTTGAAAAAAAAACAAGTTTTTGTGTGTTTGTATTGGAGACTCAGGCCGCGTCACTCAAAGCTATTCCAAGGAAAGTCAAGATTTCGATTTCTTGGTGCAAGTATTTTATCGGTACTTACACCTCCCAAGCGTGCCTTTTTAAATGCCTCAGTACACAAATTGGAATCGTTTATTTTTATAATGACAGATCAAATGTAAAAAAGCGATAATAATAAAAATCACAACCCGGAGCGAGTGAGAAATCTTGAAAACAAAAAAGACCTCAAAATACACTTTATTTCCACTATTAAAGCAGTAATCGAACCCAAGTTACCAATCATCTTCGTTTTCGTAAGCCTTATTCGTTGATCTGATTATTTTCTTTGGCCCCTTAGCTTCAGCGATTGGTTTTGGAATTTCGATTACTTCGGTTTGCGCGAGTCGACGCTCCATTACCTGAAAGAATTACATTCAAATTTGTCCAGAATATAATATCAAAAACATAATTTATTTGACTTCTGATAAATAATATTAAATATACTAGCTTATAGTTTGTTTTCAAAAAATAAACCTCTGTTTTGAAATCATCGATCCCACCGAGGTCATCGAATCCACGAATATAATCAACAATTTGTTGATCTATACAAATAGCAATTGTGGGTATCATCCGAATATTCAAACGAGTCACAAGGAAATGCACCTAAATTTTTAAATAGATTATTATCGCAATGTAGACTCAAGTACCTTTTCAGCGTTAACTTTGATGAAGCGAGTAGTGAAGTGTTTTACAGCCAAAATTTCGAAATGTTTGTCGACGATTTTGCACCTTTCATTGCTGTCCAAGTAGAATAAACAGACAACCTAAAGTAATCTTAGTGAAAAAAATCGGCATTTGGTTAACCTTCTTCGACTTCTTCGTTGCTTCGAAAAACTCCTTTTCATCAGTGACTTCCTCGTACTTTCCATGACCCACAACACCCATTTCCTAAATGTCAATCAATAGAAATAGTTGATGTAAACAAAATGGTTGCTTACATTGCGCGCTTGTTGGGCGCGCTTCAGTTTTTCCGCTCGTTGTCGTCGAATCACTTCCAAATCGTCTTCATCGAGATTTTCGAGGTTCTAAACAAAATCCCATTTGTAACATTGGTTGGAGTCTTGAAATCAAGTAAAGATCGCCAAATTCTTTTTGCGCTATCCTTTCTTTGTTTTATTTATACTTTGAACAAAAATACATTTGAGTTTTGATGCAAAACAAAATTGTAGTAAGCCTCAAGAAAATAAAAAAGCCTTAAACTTATATTAAATTTCAAAATGGCTCACTTTAATTTCTTGTTCCACTTGTTCTTCGACGATTTTCACAGCATTCATCAACTGATTGCTCAAAATTTCTTGCATTTTATTGGGGTTCCATTCTCAGATCTAAAATTACCAAATTAAAATTATAAAATAACAAAAGATCAGTGAAAAACAAAAAAATTCTACTCAAAATGAAAAGGACGACAATTTTTTAATTGATCATGAAGAAATCGAAATTCTATTTGGTGGTAAAGCTACTGTAGTGTGTAAAATGGCGGAACTTTGAAAAAATGGTTATTTGCCGAGAAGTGGAAATGTCTGGAATGTTCAGGAAAAGAGTGGAGAGGGCAGACGGCTGGCCCGACCGCAAATTTAGTTCACCTTTTTTGTTTTCGTAAGGTTGAGTACATCGTCGTTTTTTACCATCGTGACCTTTCTTTTGACTCACTAAGGATTGAGGCAAAGGTTTCCCTCTTAAGTCTCCGTAAAGGCTCTAATTTATTTTTCAACCCCCCTCTAGAGGGCTCATCAATTGGAGAGTGCCCGTCTATTAGAGAGTGCGGTACTAATAAAGTTGGCCTATTAATACTTTGATCTGATTTGGTTAGATCGTATTTTTCGACCATTTTACCAATGTTATTTTTTTTCTGGGGTAATCAAACATGCAGGATCTATTGGTGATATTTTTAGAAATTTTTGAACAATCTTTCTTAATGTTTTGTTGAAGCTGAAGTATAACTGTTGCAGTCCCGCAACGCTAGAAAATCAGACCAGGGGCGAAATACAAAGTGAAAACTATTCAAAACACTAAAAATATCATCAATAGATTAAGCGTATTTGATTATCTTATTTTACATTTCCTTGCAATTTCTACAGTTCAGCATTCCAAGTTTTAAAAATGTCGGTGATTGGCTTCGATATCGGGAACCTCAACAGCTACATCGGCGTAGCACGTCAGGGTGGTATCGATGTGATTGCCAACGATTATTCGCTTCGAGAAACTCCGTAAGTGTTTTTATCCAAGCATATTTGAACATTTTATTTAGTACTTGCGTTTCGTTTGGCTCGAAGTGTCGTAGTATGGGAGTTTCGGCTCGGCAGCAAGTGAACACAAATTTCTTGGTGACTTTGATGTTTGAAACCTATTTATTTTCGTTTTTAGAGTACGATCATCAACTTCAAACATTTGCTGGCCCGTAAATTCAATGATCCAATTGCACAAAAGTTTATTCCATTTGTGCCATGTCGAGTTGTCGAGTTGCCAGATGGAGAAATTGGATGCAAGGTTTTTAAAAAATATAATACAAAATTTTAATTGTTTTGAGGTGAACTACCTTGACACCGAGCATATTTTTACCCCTGAACAAGTACTTGGAGCTTTTTTGACAAAAATGAAGACAACGGTAGAAGCAAGTCTTGATGGAAAGACGAAAGTGTATGACGCTGTTTTGGCGGTGCGTAGTAGTTCTATACGTTATGCATTTTTTTTATTTGTACAAAGAATATAACAATTTTTAGGTCCCGTCATATTTCACGGATGTTCAACGACGAGCTGTTCTTGCTGCAGCTCAGACAGCTCAATTGAATCCTTTGCGCGTGATAAACGAGTCTACAGCTATTGCTCTTGCATATGGTTAGCCTTTGCATTGGACGTTTTCAATCGGTTATAGGCATCTACAAGCAAGATCTTCCATTGGAGACAGAACCAGCCAGAATTGTGGCATTTCTCGATGTTGGGCACTCATGTACACAAGCTTCCCTTGCTGCTTTCAATAAAGGAAAATTGCAAGTAAGTGTTATTAAAAAGGTCCAATGATCTCTGTTCAAATTTAGATGCTTGGAACGACTTACGACCATGACGTAGGCGGACTATGGTTCGATGCGATGATTCGTGAACATTTCCGCAAAGAGTTTTTGGAAAAGTATAAGGTTGATGCAGCAAAGAACCCAAGGTTTGTATGTTATTTGTAACTACGAGTATTAAGCAACTTTAGGGCGATGTTGCGCTTGCTCGATGAAAGCGAAAAGGTGAAAAAACAAATGTCGGCGAATGCTACGCCGATCCCACTCAACATCGAATGTTTTTTGGACGACAAAGATGTGTCTGGCCGTATGCAACGACAGGAATTTGAAGCTTTGTGTGGACCTTTGTTTGACAGAATCCAGAAGCTTTTGCAACGACTACTTGAAGAAACAAAGATCAAGCCGAATGAAATTGACAGCATTGAAATTGTTGGAGGTAGGATTTTGAGCTTTTGTTGAAAATAAACCAATTTTTAGGATCATCGCGCATTCCATTGATCCGAAAAATTGTTAACGATATTTTTGGACAGGAGCCTAAAACAACGATGAATCAAGATGAAGCAGTCTGTCGAGGTAAAAACATGAGAATTGTGCTGTTAGTTTCCAGCGTTGTAAACGCATTGAAAGCGTTATTGAAATCTTTATAGCCTTTAAGTAAAGCAAACAATTAAATTTAGGCAAAGACACTTTTTTAGGTTCGGCAATGCAATGTGCTATTCTGTCACCATCTTTCCGGGTCCGCGATTTTTCAATGAAAGATTCTCAACCTTTCCGCATTCGTCTCACTTGGGATGGAGTAGGAGGTGGTGACGGAGGGTGAGTTTTTGTCTGAAGAAGTAAATTCTAGATGATTTTCACAAAATTTCTGTTGTTAGGGAATCGGATGTTTTTGTTGAACGCGATGAATTTCCCTTCTCAAAGATGCTCACATTTTATCGTAATGAGCCTTTCCGACTCGATGCTGGCTATGCTTTTCCAAATACCATTCCTCATACAACTCGTCAACTTGGTTTTGATTAATCTATTTTTTGTTATTCTTATGCTTTAGGTTCTTGGAAAATTTTGGGTGTAACGCCTTCCGGAAATGGTGAGACAAGAAAAATCAAGATCAAGGTCCATTGAGTTTTGTTTTTCCCTTTTGTACTTATTATGTAGGTCCGTGTTGATCCGAACGGCATCTTTAGCGTTCGTTCTGCTACAATGTATGACAACCAACCTGTTCCTGAGGAACCACCAAAGGTTTGAAATAACGTTACTTGATTAATGAAAATTTACAGGAAGAACAAACTATGGAAGTTGACCGAAAGGAGAATGAAGGCAAAGATGCAAGTCAATCACAAAATGCTGAGGAGAGCAAGCCCAAAGTTAAGCTGGTGCCTATCGAATTGCAAATTGAAGAGTTAGTGCCAACTTATAATGTTCAGCATTTCATCGAGAAAGAGGTGTTGCTTGGCATTAAAATCATTTTTTATCAGATTTTAGGAGGAAATGAAACGAGTGGATCTTGATGAAAAAGCCAAAGCTGATGCCAAAAATGCCGTTGAGGAATACGTTTATGAAATGCGCAACAAGTTATCCGATTCCCTCACTGACTATGTTACACCAAAAGTAAAGTTTATATCCTAATTTCATTACTAACTATATTTCCAGGATGCCGAAGTTTTTGGTAGCTTCCTTCAATCAACCGAGGATTGGTTGTACGAGGATGGTGAGGATGCTGAAAGAAAAGTATATGAAGATCGACTAGCGGAACTACGTCAATTTGGAGAGCCTATAATTGAACGTTATCGAGAAGCAGAACAACGCCAGGTTTAGCTATTTCGGCATATTGTTTAATTACATTATTTAGCCGGCTTTTGATCAGTTTGATCAATCGATCTTCCGTGCCAGGAAAGCCTACGAAGAGTACACGCACGGTGGACCAGCGCACGCTCATATTGAAAGCAAGGATATGGAAAAAGTTTGTCAAGTAGTTTTAAGGAAGCAAATTAGTTTAGGTCATCAATGCAATTGAAGAGAAGAAGCTTTGGTTGGATGATGCTCGAAGTCGAACTGATAAACGTTCCAAAACCGAAGCACCCGTTGTATTTGTGGTTGAAATTCAACAACAGCGTCAAGTATGTACATGTGTTTTTTACACTAATCATGTTTTAGGCTTTTGAAAGCATCGTGCTTCCGATTCTGAACAAGCCAAAACCACAACCCAAGAAAGTAAATCAGTTTAGTTTGTAAAATCTAACGTTTTTTTATAGGAGGAAACAAAAGAAGCACCACCTCCAAATCCAGAAAAAATGCCCGAGGCCTCCAATGGAACTGGTGACAACAAGGAAATGGAAGTTGATTAAAATAATTGTTGATGGAGCCCGTCTTGTTTGTTTTGCTTCCTCATGAAACTTCAATCTCAGTTTTGTTTTAATAGAGGCATAAATTATTCATGTGTTTTTTTTACTTTGTTAGTCTTATTGTGATTGAAGACCCCAAACTGGGAGTTCTTTCTTTAGTAGTTTACTCTGTTATAAAGTGTTGTTTATAGTTCTTTTCTCAAAACACGTATAAACAAAGACAAGGTTTTAGCATGAGAATGTCTAAGTCATTTTTGACCTTGCCCTGACTATGTATAAATTGATCAGCTAGTTGGCGATGGACTCAAGTTCGAAAAGCGTTACTAGTGTCACGTTTTTCTTTTCATTTGTGCTCGCAAGTTTGATTTTGGAGCAATTGGTCACAAAAATTGTCGTGTAGAGCAAAAAGCACCCTAAAACCAACGATGTCAATAGTTTAAAAGTATTCAGCTTTAAGGTTAACTAGCATAATTCTAATAAGAAATTTAAGCCAACTCCGAGAAACTAAAGACGCCATTATTTTTGAAGTCATTCTACAGTTTAGCGCTTCATAACGATTTTCTAGAAAATGAAAATGACACTTTGCTTTCTTTCCTTTATGCGCGACTTGACGTTTCTCTCTTCCTATCAAAAAAGCAAAGTGCTCCATCGATTTTTTTGCGACAAATATTTTGTTTGGGACCTCGTCTATTATAACCCCGCGCTATACTGCATGCTTGTTGTGCAGCCCAAGCTGCTCACTTTTTGGCGCCAATTTGAATGTTGGATGTTTTGCATACACTGCTACCCTCGCTCTCAACGCATTTTATTTTGAGTACGCATCATTTTAGCGAACATAATTTGATAGAGGTCGTTTTTCTTATTTAGCATTATTTATCATTGTTTAGATTGCTAACTTTCCTCCTTGTTAACAAATTTACTCGGGGCTATAGTAGTTGGGGGGGATTTTTGTTTTCGCCAAATTAGCTGATTTTTTTGCATCTAGACGTTTTTGACTATGCTGAATCACAATTAGTGATGGTTTCACACAACATTTCGCAACTTTTATTATTCATGATTCACAATTTATTCATTTAAAATTGCTAATAACACATTCTGCATTCTAACGTTTCTTTTTATTTAGAGAATGACTAATAAGCAGAAGAAGCAAAACGTCGGAATCCAATCAGCTGATGGAAGAAACGTGGACAGCGGTCGGACCACCGATTCAGAAAAGTCGAAGAATCTCCATCGACCGACCAAAGAGGCACCAACTTCCAAGCAACCGGTCAGGGAGGCAGCCACTTCCAAGCGTCGGTCAAATGGCTTCTGGCTTTTCGCAGGTAGCCTTTTCAAAACTAATCTGGGGAAAGCTGGCTTTTTTATTTTTGCAATCTGTATTTTTGCAATGCAATCTAAGGCTACGTCACATAAGCTGATTGAGTAGCGGTGATAATAAACTAGCCAATTCAACGGTCTCTGGCTTAATTGTGAGCTAAATACATTATGGTGGTTTGCAACGGTGCGTTGCTACTTTTATCACTAAAAATTATAATTTTTTTAGTCATTCGCAGGCTCATCCGATGGTTCTTCTTCTTTGGAGTTGTTGTGCTTTCTGTGGCTACGATCACGATTCTGATGAATTGTGCTGATGGTGGGAAACAAATTGTCTCAAGGTAACTTTTAAAATTTCAAATTTAGCCTAGTGTTTATTTTAGCAAGCCTCTGTGTGCTGATCTAACTCGTCTTTCGCAATTTACAAAGCCAAGCGATAAGTTTTCTTCCAATGTTTATTCGACTTATTCTACCGTCATTCGAGGATATCGTAACAAGGTATACGTGTGTATAGGTCCCAGTTTTACCTATTTTTTTTAGTCTCAACAAGTTTACAACAACTTTGCTCGCAGCGAATGGGGTAGTGTGGTTAGTTTTATTGATCACGTTTGCTAAGGGATACTTTTTGTTTAGGTTCACAAATGGTTTCACATTGTGCACAGCAAGGTTGTCGAATGGAGTCTTCTGATCTGGCGTCATCTGAACAACATTGTTTGTGCTTTTAAGCATACATACTTATTTTATTGCTTTTAGTTTGATGCTGTCAATGATTGGTACAAGCGTGAAGGCGAGAAAACTTTTGGGGGTTTTGTCAACGGATGCAAAGTAGATTGAATCAATTAACATCATATATTTATCTTGATTTAGTTGGTTTTGAAAATGGTTTGGGAAGTCGCCAAAGATGTCACAACACTCTGCCTAGGTAATAGTCCTTTTTGGTCAGTATGTATACTGTTTCTTGTAGAGCTGTTATCCTCAGCATATCTTCGCTGCAAGAACTTTATGGGCACCGCACAAACAGCTGGTTTTTCGAAGGCATTCGAGGAACTTCTCCGTCATTGATGTTTTTCTCTGGATAGGGTTTTTTGTATTGTTGTGCTCAAAAACTTGCCATCCACAAAGGTTTTGCTAAGAGTGGCCCACAAAGGCTCCATAATAATAGTCATTTTTGGTGTGGGGCTATTTCGTTTGTTTTATGGATATTTTTGTGTTAATTTATTGCCTCCACCCTCTGCGAGGAGGTCATTTTGCGAGAAAATTTTTGATAATAAAGTTGTTTTTCTGCGTAGCTCTTTCCTGTATAAAAACGTACCAGCCGCAAAAGTTGCGTCGTAAGTCAAAAATAATGATACCACGGGTAGCACTTAGGAACCTCAAAATGTCTAAAACGGTTAGCACCCTGCAGAAGACGGATCCAAGAGCAAAAATTATCGTAGATACTCGGGGCCCGATTTATTCCCACCATAGATAAACCGCAAACAGCCAAGCCTCATTTGGTATGTTGTCTGAAAATTTCAATTCTAAGCTGCCAGTTTTTGCTAGTGTAAGGTAGCTCCCGCCTTGTGAAAATTGTTTGATTACGTTTGTAAGAAATTGTGAAAATTTATCTCAACAAAACAATTAGCAACAAAAGTAAAACAAGGAACAACTAACAATTCACGGATTTAAATACATTAAATCCAGACAAAGCCGTCGTGAGAGCCAATCCAGGACATTGCTGATGCCAGTGAACTTCTTTCACCTAAACATTTTGGACGTTAAAAGTTATTTACGAGTAAACCTCTTTTTGACCACAATGCAAAAAGAGCAACTGGGGTGGGACTCCTTCGACAACATCTTCCGTTGTATCGGCCTAAACGAAATAAACATGACCGCACCCAAAACTAATTCAAACCTCCATGGCAACATCCCAAATGGAAACTTGATCATCTTCTGCTGAGGCCATAAAGGTCGTGGAATCATTTGGATGCCATTCCACGGACGTTATTGGACGGGTGTGATACTTGAAATTAGCGACATGACGACCATACTAAATAAGTAGCTTTGATTAAAATGTCATTAGATAAGTTATTAACCTGAATCGTTTGCAAGCTCCAAATTTTCAAAGCAGAGTCATCCCCTCCCGAAAGAATAAACGGATCGGTTGGGCTTGGGTTCCAAGAAATAACATTCACATCGTCGTCATGCGCATTTTCAACAATACAAACACAAGCTTCAGTCGGTGATATTCTAAAATAAATAATTTAAAAATATGGCTCATAAAACCTGGTATCCCAGAGACGAATTGTCTTATCACTGCCACAAGAAATCAAGAGACCTTCTTCGGTGGGGCTCCACTCGATGTCTTCCACTGAGCCCTGTAAATAAAATTCGACGTGTCCCCGTCAACAAATGATACCCAGTATCATTCAATTCAAGAATACTTTAAGCATAAATTAATGTGTGTCGCACCTTATGGCCTTTGTATGGACGATGATCGACGACCCAAGAACCACCCTCTTGAAGATGCCAATTATAGATGTTCCTATCTTCTCCTCCAGAAGCAAGTGATCCCTGAATTTTTACAAATAAACTCCACTTTGTCCCCAATGTGGCTCATTTTTTGATCACTCCACAAACCCTTACCGTTTTAACTCGACTCCACGAAAGAGCAAAACCTTCTCGATTGTGCCCACTGTATGAAAACAGTGGTTTTTGATTGCTCAAAGTAGAATTGGCCGATTTTCCCGTCATTCCATCGATCATTTTCATCGCGTCTAAACTTAGAGATTAATACGAATTTTTCTTGCACTTACCTGTAATATTCCACAACTGAACTTTGCCAAAAGCGTTCCAGAGTGCCACAACATTTGCATCACCAAGACGTTCAGCCTAAAACCAAACAGATAGTTTATTTGAAACAAAGTTAAACAAACTTTCATTCGGTTGATATTTCCATTTTGAGGAATAGTGACAGAATGCAAGATTGGTTGATTTCCGTCACTTTCTTCATCCTCTTCGTCTTCATTTTCACTGTCATCCGAATCATCATCCCAGAAAGAATGATTTTATAAATCCAAAAAACCGAAATGTGATACCTGTTTTGTTCCTGTCAAATTCTTTAACCCAATAACACTAATCTCAGCGTTTTTAGGCTTATCCGCGTGCGAACCAGAAACCAAATACATCTAAAGAAAAAAAACTTCAGGTAACTTGAGTAAAAATACCTGCATAGGAAAGTCGGTACGATTATCGCCCAGAGAATCACGCAAAATTGAAAAAGACATACAAGGCCAAGCTAAAAATAATGCTTGCAAAGTTTAAAATCTAAATACCCACTTGTTTCGAAAGAATGAAAAGCTTGATAAGCATCTGGATCAAATTCAAGCTCTTCTCCTTCTTTCAGCTCGCGACTCACTCCCGGAACATACACCTAAAAGTTAAAATTTTTTTTTATGAAAGCACACAATATATAAAAAGTAGTTTACATAATATTTATGATTAGTTTAAACAATCTTAAAAACGCCAAGAAACCTTTGGTTTTTTCTCCTCTTTCGTCTCTTCGCCCTCTTCACCGACATCCTCGTCGATATCATCCATCTCAATGTCAGACATCGTTATCTAAATGAAACAATTGAAATAATACTAAAACTCATAAAAAAAGAAATTGAAATCAAGAAAAAATAGGTCTTTCGAAAGCCGAATTGATGAAAAATGATTTGAGAGCATAATTGTAGCTTGATCATCGAGTACGGTAACTGGTCCATTGAAGCCGAGTCCGAAACCAGTTGTTAATTTAAATTTTTAATGAAGCTTTCTCATTCTTCATAATTTCTTCTTATTACAGTTTTTAGTAATCAAAAATAAATTTAAAGGTTTTTTTTTCACTGAATAAAATGGCAAAGTGGAAGACGGTGTCGTTATTATGTTGCACTCTCGCCTACTTTCACCTGTCCATCGCCAATTTCTTTCAAGGCGAGGGTGACGTGGGCGATTTGTGTCCCCCAATTACACTGGCTATCGGTAATTTGTGTTAAAACTTATACAAATTAAAATATTATTCGAAATGAGAAGGCTCAATGGTCAAAATCCTTCAGAATTTCGTGAACATGCCCATGTATTGCCCTACTTTTTCGGTTGGCTTGAAAATGTCGACTATCCGAAGGAGAAAATCTATCTCGAGCTTTTCATCAATGGAAAAGAAGATTCAACTGCCGATCAAGTGACATGGTTTGCAGAAATGTCTTCTTGAAAACTGAAAAAACTCTAGGTGGCAATCTTCCGTGCAAAATCTCTTTGGGAAAATAAATTTGCACACACATGTCGAGAATTGGCTTGAGGATGGACTTCGAGCGGCAAGATTGCGAAAAAGGAAGAGGTTCTGTAAACAAATTGAGTCAATCAATCCGTATTTAGAATACTTTTCCTGACCGGAGACACCTTACCCGACAACGAAAAACTATTACGGAATTTGAGAAAGCTACAAGTTTGAGAGATTATCGGCAAATATAGCAACTTTTTAGCACATTGCTATCATACCGTACATGCAGTCGGCACCGTTCCGCCAGAAAACCAATGTTAATTTAACACTCGAAAAAGGAAAAACCTACGAGATTGAGGTAATTTTTCATTGAGTTGATTAAGGTAATTGAGGTTTTATGCTCACTTTTTTTATAAAAAACAAAAACTTCATTGATTTTTTAGGAAAACGAAGCTACTTTACCGCTTTATCTGAATTTGGAACACTCTGATATCTCCTATTTAACTTTTGATCAAGGAAATCTTTTCATCGAATATAATGGTTCCGTTTTTAAATCAAAAGTTTTCTATTTTACAAATCATTTAGGACCTCCGAAACCGCTAGCCGTTTTTGAGGAGTCTTGTCGCCGTATGGATGTCAAGATTTTTGTTTCAGCTGAAAATTACCATGGGTATTGGCTCGAGCCACAGAAAAGTATCCAAGCGCATCGCTGGCTGGTTAGTCTCGCACAATAATAACCAAATAGACTTTGAATTCTTTCACAAAAAATATATTGAAACTTTGACTTATAGATGCGGTACCTGGCTGCTGATTGGGCAGCGGATCGAGGAGCTCACGCACAAATACACTCTCGATCGGTTCGACCATTTCGAGAGGAGCCATCGAAACTTGGATTTGATGAAGTAAATTATACTTTCAAAGTTTCCCCGTAAGCTCTAGTTGAATATCTTTTAATTTTGTGGGAAAATTCAAAGAAAAGGGGCAGCTTTGAAAGCGACGAAGCCCCACCCCTTTTCCTGCGTAGCTGCCCCTTTTGTTTGTTTGTTTGAAATTCCCCACGAAACTAGAAGATATTCAGCTGAGTGGACAAGGGGGACACTTTAAAAGCATAAAGTATACATTAGCACGATCAAAGATAAACGATTCTAGATATTTCTGATCAATTTGGAACGAAGAAAGGATCGGCTAAGACGTGCCGAGGAGATCATGGGAATTCTTGGGATTGACTTTCAACTCTGGAAAGCCACCGATGGACACAATTTGCCACAAGACCTCGCCATGCAGTAGCTTTAAAAACAAATGGCTTTCAATGTAATATTTAGCTATTTGCCTGGATACCTCGATCCCTTTCATCAGAGACCAATGAAAGCCGGGGAAATTGGATGTTTTCTTTCACATTATCGGTGAGCTTTTTGCTTTTTGGCAAAAATTCGAATAAAATTTACAGAATTTGGGAAGAAATAGTAAAGCGTGGATTGAAAAAGACGATCGTTTTCGAAGATGATATCAGAGTTACAGCTGATGGGTTACAGGTGATTGAGCAATCATTCAAAAAGCAAATTCAGATTTAGGTGCTAAAAGAAACAATGGAGGATTTGGGAAAGAAAAGGGAGCCCTGGGATTTCGTGTATCTCGGTCGGAAGATAAATTCAGCAGAGGTGTGAAAGTGTCTGTGCGTTGAAAAAATGCGTTCAAAATTCTCTTGACAAATAATAACAAGGTGATTGCAGGGAGAATTCTTTGTGACCGGTCACCGTCACCTCTCAACAATTGGCTATTCATATTGGACGCTTGGCTACATGATTTCACTTGATGGAGCGAAAAAGCTGTTGGCCACTGAACCGCTGAAACGATTGCTTCCTGTAAGTTCATTTGCATCTGCCCAAAAACGCGTTAGGATCAAAAGTTGAAATTTGAAAAAGAACGGGGTTCATTGTATTGTATCCATAATTTTAAAGGTTGACGAATATCTGCCGATCATGTACAATAAACACCCGAACAAAGAATGGGCATCGAATTTTGTTGGTTACGAGAAACTGATCGCTTACGCCACTCATCCAGTTGTCGTCGTTCCGCAGAGGTAAGTTGTAAGTACAAAAAAATATGCAATGATAGATACTCACTGATCTATAGATCTATTTTGAAAATCAAATTCCAGATACACATTTCAAGAAGGATATGTGAGTGATACAGAGGCATCACATATCGTCACTCTTCAAAATCCCACCCCCGCCGTACACAATGAACTTTAAGCTTTTTAATTTTTAAAAAGCTTTAAGCCTCTTTTTATCGTTTTAAACTTTTGCTTGTTTTTTTTTCTTAGCTTCTGTTTACCGTAATATCTACAATAGGACTTTGCCATTCGTATCCCGCGTTTTTTTGAGATACTTTCCGCTTTCCGTTTTTTTGAGATAGGTTAACTTTCCGCAATTTCGCACAACAGAGCCATTTGCGCAACTCGCCATAACTTCCTTCTAAGTGGGTCAATCTTTATGATTTTGGTTTCATTTTGTTGCACTTATTGAGATCTACAAAATGAAACCAAAATCATAAAGATTGGCTTACCTAGAAGAAAGTTATGGCCGGTTGCGCAAATGGCTCTGTTGCGCAAAATTGCGGAAAGTTAGCCTACCCCAAGATACATCAAAGAATAGCCCTTTTAGTTCTATAATCCAGGTTTTTGATATCAAAAATTCATCTTTCCTCAAAACAGCACAGCTTTTCTAAAGTAGCGATAACAACGAACGTTCTATTATTCGGATTGATGAAATGCAAATTATTTTTTTTTGTCTCAATTTGAGATTACATTTTTACATTTTTCTATGCTTTCATTTAACATTCTAGCTTTATTTTCACTTGCATAATTTTGCCAAAGCTTTAACCTTTTTTTTGGTGCTCTGAATGCCTTGCCATCTAAAAATTTCTCTGGTCTTTCACAAAAATCTCATGTTTTTCCTCTCGTTAATCCATTTTCATTTTCATTTTCTTTCATTTTTCATTTTCTTATCACTTTCTCATATGCCTTTCAACCCAAAATAAGTGCCATTAGCTCCCCTTTGTGTTTTACATTTACATTTAATCTTAAAAGAGGAAAATTCGATTTAATCTTAGAAGTTAATCGTTTAAGAGAAAAGAGAATGCACGGATAATCCTAGCTTATTGCTCGATGATGAGAAATCTTCTTATGTGTTGATATTTTTTGCCCCATCCTGCCCATCCTGCCGAAATTTTCTCCAACCTTCCAAAAATCCGTGACTAACCTCCGAAAAAAACCAAAATTTTCATTCATTTTCGGTTTTTTTTCTGCTTTTCTCCATCGAATAAATACTTTTCCGATTTTTACTTTTCCCCTCTTGTTTTTCTCAATTCAATATTTTAAGCTATAAGCAGCTTTTAGTTTTCAATAATATGTGCAGTTTAATTTTGAGGTATCGAAATAACGGTTAGCTCCTTATGGGATGTTTTCTCGGTCGGCCTGATTTCATCGCTGGCAACAATCGAGTCCGCATTCTGAAAGGTCTTGCTCAAGGTGGATTCAGTGAGGTAATCTTAAATTTTATTATAGACTAACGTTGTTTATTGAATTAACATAGGTGCTGCTTGCTGAAGACATCGATTCCGGGGATAAATATGCGGTGAAGAAAATCCAGGTTACCGATGCGAGTGATGTCGCTAAAGTTGAATGGGAGGTTTGTATTTTAAATCTTGCTTTTAAATCATTTTAAGCTTATTGAATTGTTGATTTTTGAATTTGGTGAAGAGAGATTGAGTAAAGCTTACTGATTTAATATCTAGATAGATAGATAGATGGTTTATCTAGTCTATCTAGATCTAGATCTAACTAGTCTATCTAGATCTAGATCTAGATCTATCTAGTCTATTTAGTCTATCTAGATCTAGATCTATCTAGAAACTATCTAGATAGATCTAGATAGTTTACTTCTCATTTACAGATATCGATGCACAATCTCTTCATTCATCCAAATGTAGCACCATTAGTAGGTTCGGCTAGTGAGCCGCCTATCTACTACTTGGTTTTCCCTTATTACGCGTAAGTGTTGAGACTTTTCTTTCTTTTTTTTGTTAACTCATATTTTAGGAAAGGCTCAATTCACGATGATCTTTGTCGCAGAAGAATAAAACGCGAGTATCTGCCCGAAGTTGACGTACGGTTTTGCCTTTTTAAGAATGAAATATCCCTCGAATTGCCTAATTTTTATTTTAAATTTCAGTAATTACTATTTTTTCAGGTGATACGCTTGTTTCGAGGGATGTGCTTAGCGGTTGAATGCGTACATATGAAGTCGATTGCACATAGGTGATTTTTTTTAAAAATAAACAAATGCAAAGAAAAAATGAACACTAGGTTTTTACTTTAGAGACTTAAAACCGGCGAACTTCCTTTACAGTGATGATCGAAATCCAATTTTAATCGATTTTGGTAGCAGCTGCAAGTAATTTTACTTTTTAAACTCCAGCTATAAGAAATTTTAGAATGCCTATGACGATTAGAACCGCCAAAGAAATGCAAAAAGCGTTAGACGATGCTGCACAAAATTGTTCAATGGCTTACAGGTTTAAAAAAAGCTTTACCCGATCTTCAATTCAATTTTTAGAGGCCCCGAGCTGTTCAACTGTGAGATTGGAACCGTTTTCGGGACACAAGTGGACATTTGGGTATATTTTTGTAGAACTTTTTTTTGAGTATTTGATAGCTGTTAAGTCGTTGGGCTGTTGTTTGTATGCTTTGTGCTACTTTGTATCACCATTCGACATCGCTCATGAGAAAGGAAACAGCGTGGCGCTTGCCGTTCAAAGCCCACACACGATCTCTTATCCAGGCGATGCTCCGTAAGTTTCAGATAATTTAAAAGTGGGCTTTCAAAAGTGCTAAACCTTTAAAATGATTTTTAAAGATTTCCAGATATCGCCCTTCGCTGAAAACGCTGATACGCAAAATGCTGGTAGTCGAACCGGCCGAGCGACCAGCTATTAAAGATATCATTTTTGCTCTTGATACCCTCGAGATCTGAGGATAATCAAGACAAAAACAAAACGATTCACACATTCCCTTCTCTCTTTGCATATCGATCTGTGCTTGTGAAGCATTGTGAAGTATTTAGCATTTTTGAAATTTTGACATGGGTCTACCTAGTTCATTATCGAGTAAAATAAATCTCTTCTTTATTTGGCAGTCAAATCATCATCACAGTCATCATCATAAATGCACATTGTGCCAGTTTCGCATCATGAAAGGATAAAATTGATAAAGGGTCACATCAGAACGAAATAGGGTCGAGCTTTTTCGAGGGTAGTTTCTTTTAAGGATTTTAGGTCAAGTTTTGAACAAAACTTACCATAAGAAATCCCGAAAGAAATCTGCATAAACGGTTCAACTTGTACCTATAAAAAGAGAAAGTTGCATAGTTATCCTAAAATGAAAATTTTTTGATTGTTTTTTTATCAAAGATGAAAGCCTATGGTCCTGCCGGGAGAATATCAAATAGAAATCTATTTCAAAAACAATTTGTAGACAAGAGACAAGAGGTCGACAAGTTAAGATCTATATCACAGCAAGAATATCACAAGAAATCGATTTTCATCACAAAAAAAGTGGCGAGATATGTAAATTGGCTCCTAACTCTGTAAATGGCAATCTTTTGAACTCTTTAATTTTATTTAGAAAACGACAGTAACCATGTTGTGGAAAAGACAATAATTCATAATCTCATCCCAAGCTCCTTCCATAACGATGGGGAGCTTGAAATATTCAGCCGGACACTATTGTATATTGTATTACTATTGTACTACTATAAATCAAATTTGTGGCAAAATTTGATCCCTCTTTTCCTTCAGAAAAAGAAGTACTTCTCTAGGAGTAGTGTATGCCTCTAGAAATATAGGTACTAGAAAATATACCCCTGTGCCTTGTACCCCTATAGAAGTCGGGTCCTTTTACGTCCGTATCCTTAAAAGTATAGTATTCCTTTAGGCGTAATGTGCATCTAGAAATACCGTACCTCTAAGATTACCGTATCCTCAGGAATACTGTGTCTGGATTTAGATGATCTGATCTGGTTCTTCAAGATTTAGAACCAGACCTTTAAGGTCCTTCAAGATTTAGAACCAGACCTTTAAGGTCCTTCAAGATTTAGAACCAGACCTTTAAGGTCCTTCAAGATTTAGAACCAGACCTTTAAGGTCCTTCAAGATTTAGAACCAGACCTTTAAGGTCCTTCAAGATTTAGAACCAGACCTCTTTCTGTCAATATGTGCCGAGTTTCTGTCGTTTTCTTTTTGCTAGCCTTTCAATGAAAACAAAAAAAAAGCTTCCTGAAATATAAAACTCTGGGCTTTTTGATTATGAGATGATTCAAATTTGGGTTTAATGCTTAAAATAGATAATAAGACCAATAATAACGGCCGCGAGAATGATGACCACCGTGACGAGAATGCAGATCTTTTTCTGAAATATTGTTTTATCTCCATTTTCATTTGTTTTCCCTCGACTCCGCTAAACTTAATCATTTATTATGCTGCATGATAACTTAATGTTTAATGTGTTTTCACTAACTAAAAAGCCGAGATCACAATATGAGAGAAAATCTAAACCATTAGCTTTAATCAAATGAACGAAAAAAAAAATATTCTAACTAAAACAGAAGGCAGTGAAAATCGCAATAAAGTAGAAACTCTCAATTTTTCTTTGTCATTAACAGGCCCATCAGAAGCTATTAGAGGTTAAAAAAACGCCTACTTTAGTTAAGAAAATAAAAAAAACCATTAGGAGGCATAAATATCGTTAAGTGGTCGAGAGAAAATCAACAAAATCAATACCCTACAAAAGAGCGGAGGCAAAAAAAAAGGAATAAATAAATTAGACGCAATATAATACACACATGTTGTCGATAACAAAAATAAGAACAAAAAAGCAAGCGCGCAAGAAATAAAGGGAATTTTTTCAAAAGGAGAAAACAACCGGGCAGAAGCAAAGATTTGATAAGTCGATCCTGCGACCAATAAATAGAAATGGGTATCTGGCAAGTGGTAAGCGGGCGTAAGCAACTACAGTCGACTGTCGATTTAACGATTCGCTCGGGATTAAAAATTTCGATTTAACGATTCTTCAATCCAAATTTCTGCTGCCCCTAGCGGCCAACGATTGTTTTTGGCTGGACAGCTACGCAGAAACGATTCTGTTTGGCCAGGCAGTTACGCAGAAACGATTCTGTTTGGCCAGGCAGTTACGCAGAAACGATTCTGTTTGGCCAGGCAGTTACGCAGAAACGATTCTGTTTGGCCAGGCAGTTACGCAGAAACGTTTATGTTTTGCTGGGCAGCTACGCAGAAACGTTTATGTTTTGCTGGGCAGCTACGCAGAAACCAAGCGCGTGTTCCAGAATTTCAAAATCGTTATATCGAGAGTCGATTGCAATTAATAAGTTAAGAGATTCTTATTATTAGGAAAACTATTCACAGAATATAAAGTGGAACCAGAGTCACTGTAGAAGAAATTATCTTAATCTTAATCTTAATCTTTATCTTATATCTTATATCTTAATAAGAAGAAAGCTTGCAATGTGTTGCTGTGAACAAACTCTGTTTCCATTTTCAAATACGGTCCATAGGTTTTGAGATTCGAAAACACACAGGTAGATCATTTCAAAGTGCTCAAAAAGAATACAAATTCGACTAGCGACCTAGAAAAGAAAGCCAAAAAAAAAATAACGAAATAAAACAGACACTAGTTATTGCTGCACAAGTCGATCACTAGAAGAATAGAAATTTTGGGATAGCCTAAATTTCCGCAATTTTGCGCAACAGAGCCATTTGCGCAACCCGCCATAACTTTCTTCTAAGTGAACCAATCTTTATGATTTTGGTTTCATTTTGTAGATCTCAACAAGTGCAACAAAATGAAACTCAAATCATAAAGATTGGTTCACTTAGAAGAAAGTTATGGCGGGTTGCGCAAATGGCTCTGTTGCGCAAAATTACGGAAAGTTAGCCTACCCCGAAATTTTCGATATTTCAAATATTTCAGATAAAAGAAGTAGATATTTGAGCTTTTTCTAGTCATCGACTTTTTTCCTACGGCTATTGCTTAAAAGGTGAAATTGTTGAACATCAAAATTTTGGCAGGGCACAATTGGAGTTTGGTCATTATGCAAAAAAAAAAATGATTTGCAAATGAGTTTTATTCTAGAAATTTCTTTTCTTATTAGCTAAAAGGGAAAATAAATTATGGAAATCATAATGAAACCGTAGAACTTCGAAGAAGAAGTCATCGAATTGGCATCTAGAACGGCATCTAGAACGGCATCGGCACCATCATCATGACAATCAGCACGAGGAAGACAACAAGTATTGTCAAACATATCAAAATCATGATCTTCTTCTGAAAACACATTTAAAAACGTGGACAAGTCAAAGGGTTTTTTTTTTTGCTTTTCTTTTCAACTAATGCCTAAATTTGTTTACATTTATTGTAAAATGCATTTAGAATTCATTCGTTAAGCAATTTTATTTCTATTATCACCCTTAAAACAACACGAACATAGACAAATTTCATTACTGTTAAGCTTTGAAAGGTTTTTAATAAAAGCTGTATCATATTTTCCCTAATAGTAGGGGGGTGGGACAAATGCGACCTTTTTTCGCGCACCTGGACATTTGCGCACCTTTTTTCTTTGCTGGAAAAGGCCTTAGAGCTTCGAAAATATTTCCATATAAGGGAATCGTATGCGTAGATTCCGAATTTCGACAAATCAGACCTCGCTGACACGTCAAATTTGTCGAAATTCGGTCTCTACGCATACGATTCCCTTCTGTGAAAACGTTTTTGAAGCTCTACGACTTTTCCTAAGGCCTTTTCCAGCAAAAAAAAGGTGCGCAAATGTCCAGGTGCGCAAAAAAAGGTCGCATTTGTCCCACCCCCAATAGTAATAACAAAAAAAAATGACGAAACGTTAAAGAAAGCGATAAAAATTTCCATAAACTTGTGAGTTTTTAACTAAAATCTTTGAAATTTTTGTTATAAAATGCATTTTTCATCGAAGAAAACTATGAAAATAAACTATAAACTAAATTGAATTTCGAAAATGAAACCGAAAAGATGTAAAGAAATAAATTTTTTACAGTTTTTCCGTTTTCTCGGAGTAAATGAAATTCAATTTTTGTTTATTTCCATATTTCTATCTAAAGAATCGACATTTTAAAGTAAAATCTCAGAGATTTCAGTTCAATCCTTTCAACTTTTATCGCTCAGGCTTATCTTTATCATTCTTTTTTGTCACTACTATTAGGGGAAAATGCGGTAGTCGCAAAGCTTAACAGAGAAACATTTGACGTTACAACGATACATTCGACAAAACAACATAAATGGCCATGAACAGGGTTTGAAAGACGACTCAAACGGCACAACGAATATCACAGTGTCTTTGTCTTGTTTTGTCCATTATGGCAAAAAGAATCACGATCACGAAACAGCGATTATCAGTACAATACCATTATAGTTCAACTATCAATAAGTTTAGATCATTATGGAGGGTTAAGCTGTAAGATTAACCCTACGTGATGTGTAGGGTTAATCTGTATGATTAACCCTACATTATTTGTAAGGTTGACCTGTAGGATTAACCCTATATAATGTGTAGGGTTAACTTGTAGGATTAACCATCCATAATGTGTAGGGTTAATCTGTATGATTAACCCTACATGATGTGTAGGGTTAACCTGTAAGATTAACTCTCCATAATCTGTAGGGTTAATCTGTAAGATTAACCCTATATAATGTGTAGGGTTAACCTGTGAGATTAACTCTCCATAATCTGTAGGGTTAACCTGTAAGATTAACCCTATATAATGTGTGGGTTACTTGTAGGTTACCATCCATATGTGTAGGGGTTAACCTGTAGGTTACCCTACTGTGTGTGGGTTAACCTGTAAGATTAACTCTCCATAATCTGTAGGGTTAATCTGTAAGATTAACCCTATATAATGTGTAGGGTTAACTTGTAGGATTAACCCTACATAATGTGTAAGGTTAACCTGTAAGATTAACTCTCCATAATCTGTAGGGTTAATCTGTATGATTAACCCTACATGATGTCTGGGGTTAACCTGAACCTGCACAAGAATAATTTAGTCCAACTTTAATACTGCTAACAAGCTTTCCTCTTGATTGATATAACGGTATTGTACCTAATTATTATATGTACAATCGAAAAACTTTGGTTGACTAATGGATAGAGGCGGAAAGGAAATCGGATTGGGAAAAAGGATTTGTTGGGGCATTTCACTGGCGACGAAAGTTGACGAAATTTGATGAATCACTGCGGCTTGATGCGTTTTGCATTTGATGTACTCACGGCCACCCAAACAACCACCACCACAATCACAATGAGAATGATCACGACTATTGTGATGATGATGCAAATTTTCTTCTGGAAACGGATTGTGGGGGTTTTTCTTCACAAGTTTTACGACAAGAATCATGCAGCAAAATAACGATAAAAATAATTCTCTTTGTTTTTTAGTAGATTTAAATGACACTCACCCTTCGCGCTTTGCTTTGATACTGTACAGCTTTTTTTGTGTCGGCCACCGCTCGATCAACGAACTCTTTTGCGTGCTCGACGTTGTACTCGATACGATCAACCATCTCTCCCTAAATAAACAGTAGCCTTGGGTAGGTACGGAATTCTTAGAGAAGTACCGGTATTCGTAGATTCTCAAAGAACTGAACTACCATGAAAATAAACGAACTTGACTCTCGACGAGCATAGCCATGTCCATAAACATGTCGTGCAATTCTCTTATCGAACTTTCCAATTTCATAATATCATTGTGGCGAGCCTAAAACAGATTTTTCAGTTATAATGATTCCCAATTCCCTAACCTCGATATCAGCAAGGGTTTGCCGTGCTTGTTGGGTATCGGTGATGATTCCTTGTGTGAAAACTCCGGGATTCCCGCTCTCGATCATTTCTTCCAAGTCCTCGTCACCAACTTGTTTACCGGCTAGAATTCATCACTATTCACACACTTTTGTTCGTTAAATTCACCAATATCCAGCTGTCTTTGAATGCGCCCCTTGCACCGTTCTCGGTAATCGGTTTGTGTTTTATTGTAGTCGGTCATCACTTCAACGAAGCGTCGAGACAAAGTGGAATGTTGCGTTTTTCTAGATCATGTTCATTTGATCGATTTGATCAGTTCATTTGATTGATTTGATCAATTTGATCAATTTGATCAGTTCGTTTGATCAATTTGATCAATTTAATCAGTTCGTTTGATCGATTTAATCGATTTGACCAGTTCATTTGATCGATTTGATAAATTTAATCAGCTCTCTTGGTCAATTTGATCAATTTGATAAATTTAATCAATTCGTTTGATCAATTTACCTTATTCGAAGATCGGCATTTACTTGCCCTGCTGATTCATCGTGTTCGATTGCGTTTTCTATCAGTTTTAGCTTTCCTCGCACCTATCATAATAGTTTATAAATAAGTTGTGTTTTTTTTGACTCTTACCTTATTGGCTGTTCGTTTGATCGATGCCATGAGCTCATCCAACTCTTCTTTTGTTTCTGAAAACAACACTTGATCAATCGAGTTCAAATTAGATTGCAAACATTATACAAACTATTTGATTCTCTGATAGCTATCTAATAATTAGCTATCGAATAGTTAGTCTACCCCGTAAATGACTTACTTGGATCATTGACGGGATTTGAGAGAATAGCTGAGTGTTTTTTCTTGACCTCTTCCACATTTTGTGCAATCAAGTCGACACTTCCACGTACTTCTTCTACCTAAAAAAAAGAAAAATTCGTATAATCGTATAATCGCTATTCGTTTTTATTTATCTTTTTATTTAACTTTAAACTGGGATCCAAAATAAAATCATTCAAAATCTCATTCAAAAACTTTTTCTCCTCTTGTTATTTTTCTTGTTATTTTCTGGTTGATGGGGGAACGGATAGACTCGGACACAACTCGCAAATCCCCTAATCCTTATTTGGTATTGGCCTCGTTTGGGATGGAGCTCAATGGTTGTGCCGCGTCTTTTCCTTTTCCCTTTCTCTTACATGCCCCCTGGGGGCTTCAGTCTGCTCTAGCTGCGGCCAGCGTATCGATTTTCGAAGGCAAACCTTTCCCCCCACACATCCCTAGTCTTTTTCTTTCTCTAATAATTTCTTTTATATTTTCAAACATTTAGAAACTTTTTTCTGAAAAAAAAATGATCTGAAAAAAAGGGGAAGAAAGAAAGAGAAAGAGAAGAGAGAAAGAGAAAGAGAGAAAGAGAGAGAAAGAGAGAGAAAGAGAAAGAGAGAGAAAGGAAGAGAAAGAGAGAGAAAGGAAGAGAAAGAGAGAGAAAGAAAGAGAAAGAGAGAGAAAGAGAGAGAGAGAAAGAAAGAGAAAGAGAGAGAAAGAGAGGGGACTCGATAATCAAATGAGGAAGAAATGCGAAAGAAATGAGATTTTGTGAAAGATTTTTAACACATTTTTATAAAGAATACTTAGTTTAGTAAATGAATATCGAATAAATAATATGAAAATATTAAACCTGTTCAAAGAATTCCTCCATAAATTGGGCATTGCCGGTGTCCATTTGCATATCCTCATCGCCCTCATCTTCGGATTGAGCCGCCTGAAATCACAATTTTTATTTTAGAACTTTTAAACATTTAAAAACATCTCTATTTATAAAAATCAAAGTTCTATAGATTGGAATAATCGAGAAAAAGCTTACTTTTAAGGCTCCTAGCCGATCCTTTGTCATGTTGAGTCGGGCAACGTTTCACCGATCTAAAAAGAATCGATTTATGAAGAGGAAGATTTCATAATCCAGTGAAAAGCCGGCAAAAAAGCCAATGAAAAGCCAATGAAAAGCCGCCTACCTTGAAGTCAGTCGATTTGCTTTGTTGACGAGACTCCAACGTTGCCACTCCGTCTAACTAAACAATTAACCAATTTTCTCAAAGAAAACCAAAGTCATTGAGATGCAAACGGAAATCTGAGAAAGCTGATGAGGAAAAGTTGCTGGCAGGCCGCCCGAAAAAGTATGTGGGGTCGAAAGGGTAAGTAGGGGCCAAAAGTGGCCCAGAAAAGACCGCAACGCAATGATCATGCGGGCGCGGCGAATGGCCCCGCCCTAAAAAGGAGAGGCCCACCCCTCACCCCGTTTCCCTTTTGCAAACCCCCCCCCTCACTCTATTCCCTTTTTCTGAAAAAGAGGGGAGAAGATGAAGTGGTTTATCTTTTCGCGAGTCTCTCTTTCGTGAGATGGCAAAGTTCGAGAGAGTAAATTGGTACTTGGGAATTTCCTTCTTTCTTTTTTTTCTTCCAATAGTCCCTTGGGAAACGAGAAGATTTCAGCTATCAAAGTGGAAATAAAATTACGGATTTTCAATTTCATAATCGAGTGCCGTGAATGCGTTTTTCTGGAAGGCCGTTTTTGAAACGTGACATCAAAAGCAGCCGTGATGAAAAAGAATCGATTGATGGGGAGTTGATGTAGAAGTTATTAAGCTGTTATTAAGCTGTTATTGAGCTGTTATTGAGCTGTTATTGAGCTGTTATTGAGCTGTGATTGAGCTGTTATTGAGCTGTCAAATGGAAAATGGAAATGATGATGGCAAAGGGGATTTTGGGTTAAATATAGGAAAACGATGAGTGAGTTCATCGGCTGACTCATCGTTCAATCGTTTTGAAGCTGGTTTTTCAAAATCTAATCCATAGAAGACTTACAACGATGAATCAGGGTTTTTGTGGATATAGGAGGGACATGGAAACTGAGATGGTTTTCGCTAAAAAAAGAGCTCTCGCTTAAAGCTCTGGCTGGCTTCAAACTCTGGCTTAAAACTATGTGATGGTTTTTTTCCTTTAAAAAGAGATATTCAGCTTTGTATGACAGAAATAGTGATTCTTTTATGTTTAATGATTCATTTATCCTTTTATGTCAGCAAACGGAAACTTTTAGAGACTTTAGAAATGTGATAGCAATTGATTGACTGATGTTGATGATTTTTTTTAGAAAAATAGATAAATTTCCCTGTGAAGAATCAAAGCAATCTCAGCAAAAGGTTTGCCAAATTGAAGTCAAGAAAGCTAAAAGTTCAAAAGGTTTTCTTTATTGAATGCAAATGAATGAAATTCTGAAAGAAAATTGAAGGAAATTCAATTCAAAATTGAAGGAAACTCAATGAAAATTGAAGGAAATTCAATGAAAATTGAAGTAAAATCAATGAAAATTGAAGTAAAATCAATGAAAATTCAAGGAAATTCAATGAAAATTGAAGTAAAATCAATGAAAATTCAAGGAAATTCAATGAAAATTGAAGTAAAATCAATGAAAATTCAAGGAAACTCAATGAAAATTCAAAGAAATTCAATGAAAATTCAAGCAAAACTCGGTAAAAAGCAAAAACTCAAAAAGAAAACTTGAATTGGTGATTGGTGAAGAACACAAAAAAAAAGCTGTGTATTCTGCATTTCATGTGATTCATAGGCGATGAAAAGCAAGTAAAAGAGATGAAATTTTTGGCAGAGTTCTCTTGTTTAGTGTTACAGGAAACTGTTATAAAATCCTGGCAAGATTAAAGATTAAAACACATTTCCCTTACAAGAAATACAAGACGGATTTTCTATCGTACTGTAAGTTGGATATTTGGTTTGGATATTGTAGATGTAGATGTAGATGATCTTGAAGCTCTAGTGGATCCTTGACGTTATTTGTGCTATCTGTGCTATCCATATATTACATATATTTTATCGTGTTGCTGTTTTATCGGCCCTTTTCGTGTTTATGTGTATGAATTCATGTGTTTTAATCTTAAAATCTAGCTCACTTTATCTCAGGTCATGAATAAAGTATCTACGGTAAATACTGTAATAGTACCCCACGCCCCAAAATGACGGTGCGGAGTGTTGCGTAGTCTAGCTTTGAACGAGTTTTTCTCGACACTGGTTTATGCTACAATAGCAATACAATTATCAAAAAATAGCCCTGAATTTCAGCTATTTTTTGATACCAAAGACGCATTTTTTGAAAGTACGGGCGCTTTGAAAAAAATGAAATACTAAAAAACTTTTGCGACTACGCGACTGTACGAGGGGGGGGGGTACTATTACAGTATTTACGGTATATATATAAATACAACCGGATTATCAAGTATAGAAAAGCGTAAATCTAGCTAATCGTATGCTTTTAGAGTAAATATCATTTTAATATCAAAACTAGGGCATTAATGGCAAGTTAACGTTGTAAACTATTTAAAAAACAATCTAAATCATTTAAAAAACAATGTAAATCGTTTAAAAAAAAGTTTAAATCATTTAAAAACAGTCTAAATCATTTAAAAAAACAATCTAAATCATTTAAAAACAATCTAAATCATTTAAAGGGGGCGTATTAATCGCGGCCGGGTGACGATAAAAATTTTTTTACGGCAACCACCTGTTTTTTTGTTTTAATATCGCTGATTTTATTATAAAAAGAATAAAAATCACCCGGCTAGAGTGATTTGATGGGTTTACAAATTTTTGGAGACACTGCAAGGCTTGGAGAAAAACAAGATCGTCACTCATCAGACACCTCAGCTAAAAGGCACCTATTTGAGAAAACTAAAACCATAAGCGACCACAAATGAAAAAAGATCGAATTGTGTCAATCAAAGCGCTGAAGACGTCCTACGATGGAGAAGATCCAGTCACTTTTGGTGAAGATGCGCTGGAAATTGATAAGATAGGAAGCCGATTTGTACTGCTGTACTTGAGCCGAACTGCTGTACTTGAGCGAAGATGAAAGTGAGCAAGAGGAAGAATTATAGATTAACAATTTATTTTTATTGCTTTTTGTGCTTTTTATTTTGTTTTTAAATTTATCTGCAATTAAAACTCAATCGATCTAGACTGTGCTGATGAGTGACGATCTTGTTTTTCTCCAAGCCTTGCAGTGTCTCCAAAAATTTGTAAACCCATCAAATCACTCTAGCCGGGTGATTTTTATTCTTTTTATAATAAAATCAGCGATATTAAAACAAAAAAACAGGTTGTTGCCGTAAAAAAATGTTTATCGTCACCTGGCCGCGATTAATACCCCCCTTTAAAAAACAATGTAAATCATTTAAAAATCATTTCCTTTCTCATTTCAGTTTCACGTTCAATTGAAAAACAACCTCAAATATTTAAACTCTATTAAAATATTCATACGTAAGCAAATATTTAAGCAAATAAAAAAACACTCACAATTGAGCAAATGTTTACAAATTTCTTTTCCTTTCAATGTTTGACATTTTATAATCATTCCAGAGCACTTAACTATCTCAATACTCTAAAGACAAAGTTGAAATGAAGCAAGAAAAGAATTTAAAGTCAATTATTTGAAAGAAAAAATAAGATAGATCCTATATAATCGTTCAATAATTGAGGAGAAATTAATTAATCCTTCAATATTTGAAAGTTGTAAATCTCCTCTACAAAATAGGCTAAAACGTGTTTCAATTGAACGAAGCAAATTGAAGAATTGAAGAAATTGAAGAATTGAAGAATTGAAGAATTGAAGAAATTTCGAGGGCGAAATGCGAGTGACCAAAAAAGGAATCGAGTCCCTTTGGGGATAAGTTTAGTGTGATCAAAATAGAGGTAGCTTCCCAAAATTGAAGATTTAAGAAAAAAAGGATAACTATATATGAATTCATTAAAAAAGTCTAACGGAAATGCATTTACAGAAATTTAGATAGAGCGTAAGTTCAAAACCCTCAAAATTGTCAAAAAAAACCGGCCTTTTTGACAAAAAAGAAAAATTATTGTAAAAACAAAGTTTTCCCATGAAATGGTCCCAACTCTTAATTATTTTGAATGATATTTGAATGATTTCAGGGCGCTCATTTTCCACTATATAGTCAAAACCGAACTCTTGTGAAAGTGGGGTTTTCAAAAAGTGCCCTTTTTTGGTCACTCGCATTTCGCCCTCGGAATTTCTTCAATTCTTCAATTCCTCAATTTCTTCGTTCAATTGAAGCACGTTTTAGCCTATTTTGTAGAGGAGATTTACAACTTTCAAATATTGAAGGATTAATTAATGCATAAGAAATGCGGATTTCAACATTTTCATGAAATTTCCAACGATAGAAACCAGATATCGATGAATGTTTAAAAATTATTTGAAAGTTGTAAATCTCCTCTACAAAATAGGCTAAAACGTGTTTCAATTGATCGAAGAAATTGAAGAAATTGAAGAATTTGAAGAATTGAAGAATTGAAGAAATTGAAGAATTGAAGAAATTGAAGAATTGAAGAAATTGAAGAAATTTCGAGGGCGAAATGCGAGGGACCAAAAAAAGGAATCGAGTCACTTTAGGGACAAGTTTAGTGTGCTCAAAATAGAGTTAGCTTCCCGAAATTGAAGATTTAAGAAGAAAAAATTTTGCTAGAAAAGTCATTTTGATTTTTTCGCAGCAAGGATTCGTATACGTTGTGTTAGTTGTAGTTGTAGTCAAATTGTAGTCAAAGTGTAGTCAAATTGTAGTCAAAATCAGTAAATACTAGTCAATAAACCAATAGAAACCAAAATGCACAAAAGATTATTTTGCAAACGAACAAGAAAAGTTTAAGAAAGTTAAATTCTATTAGGTAAATGCATAAAAAATGCGGATTTCAAACATTTTCATGAAATTTTCAACGATAGAAACCTGATATTGATGAATGTTTAAAAATTATTTGAAAGTTGTAAATCTCCTCTACAAAATAGGCCAAAAACGTGTTTCAATTGATCGAAGAAACTGAAGAATTGAAGAATTGAAGAATTGAAGAATTGAAGAAATTGAAGAAATTTCGAGGGCGAAATGCGAGTGACCAAAAAAAGGAATCGAGTCACTTTGGGGACAAGTTTAGTGTCGTCAAAATAAAATTAGCTTCCCAAGATTAAAGATTTAAGAAAAAAAAAAGGATAACGATATATGAATTCATTAAAAAAAGTCTAACGAAAAAGTTGAAATGAAGCAAGAAAAGAATTTAAAGTCAATTATTTGAAAGAAAAGAATAAGATAGATCCTATATAATCGTTCAATAATTGAGGCGAAAGAATAAATAGAAGCTAAAGGACTCAAAAAAATGAAAAAAATGAAGCTCAAAGAGTGAAAGATCAATTTCAGCGCATTGAAGCGACGGCTAATTTTTAGAGAAACCTCTCAGCTAACGTTAATGCTATTGGAGTCCCCTGTCACCTACCGTACTTTTCCCTGATTGCTCAGGCAAAACAACAGCGAGCACTTCTTTACATCTCAATCCTTGACGAACCTTCTATACAATTCCTCTTTATTTTCACTCAATTCACCATCGAAAACTTAATTTCCTTTTTTTCATTAACGGTTTAGGATTTTCGAATTTATTCATGGCTGAACCACAATCATCGCTTTTACTGAAGAAACAATTAGCGGGTTCGTTTTTTTTTTTTGATTACCGTATTTTCTGTAATAGTAGTGTAGTCTGTAATAGTAGTGCAGTCTACAATAGTAATGCAGTCTATAATAGTAGTGCAGTCTGGAGGGGGGTTGAACAAAATAGTAGTGCGCACTACTATTACAGAAAATACGGTATACAATAAAATAAGTTTCTTATTATATTGATAATTAAGTAAATTTAAATTTAGATTTAAAGCGATTTCCGGTTGAGGGTTTTAGTGCGGGTTTAGCGAGCGAAGAGGACATTTACAAATGGGAAGTGCTCGTCATTGGACCACCGGATACTTACTAGTAAGTTAAAAAGAAATTCATTTCTTTAATAAAATGAATTTTTCATTCCATTTCATCATTCTATTAGTGATTATTTAGATTTCATAATCATTTAGATTCTTTATTGTGATTTTTTTTTAGAGATTATTTAAATAGAAACAATTATAAAGTATCAATATGTTATTATATAGTGAATTTGATTAATATTAGGTAAATGCATAAGAAATGCGGATTTCAAACATTTTCATGAAATTTTCAACGATAGAAACCTGATATCGATGAATGTTTAAAATTATTTGAAAGTTGTAAATCTCCTCTACAAAATAGGCTAAAATGTGTTCCAATTGGACGAAGAAATTGAAGAATTGAAGAATTGAAGAATTGAAGAATTGAAGAATTGAAGAAATTTCGAGGGCGAAATGCGAGTGACCAAAAAAAGGAATCGAGTCATTTTAGGGACAAGTTTAGTGTGCTCAAAATGGAGTTAGCTTCCCGAAATTGAAGATTTAAGAAAAAAAGGATAACTATAGGTTCATCGATATCAAACTATATAAAAAGGTTTTCAAAAAGTGCCTTTTTTTGGTCACTCGCATTTCGCCCTCGAAATTTCTTCAATTTCTTCAATTTCTTCGTTCAATTGAAACACGTTTTAGCCTATTTTGTAGAGGAGATTTACAACTTTTAAATAATTTTTAAACATTCATCGATATGTCTTTTATCTTAATCGGAAGGTCGAGGGTTCGAACCCCACATGCGACATGGTCACCCCCTTCGGATTTCCTTTCCCTTCGGGTTGAGAGGTTTTCTGGAGGGCAGTCTGGTGGTTGTGGCCCCAGTTCTTTAAAGTGACAAGCCACTCCTTCATCGTCATCTTCCCTTCACCACCAAAAAAGCTATTTAGTTCCCCATTGAGCTTAGGGTTAGGGAGCCGTCTGTCATGACGTGGGTTAAGTTAAGATATAGCCTAGTATTGTGTGTGTCGTTGTATTGTGATTGATATATTTCGTGTATGCGATAAATTCACCACTGGTAGCCCCAGTCGGTATTTTTTTTTTAAAAATATCAGGTTTCTATCGTTGAAAATTTCATGAAAATGTTGAAATCCGCATTTCTTATGCATGTACAGTACTGGACAATGAAATATGATATTTGAAAAACGATCGTCACTTTCGCGCGTCTGTAACTCACTTGTCTTTGCGTTTAAACTATTAGTGTTATGCATTTGTCTGAAAGCTCTTTTCTAGGGCTACACAATGGTAATATTAATATTGAGAAATACGGTAAAGTCAATGGAGTTACAGGCACGCGAAAGTGACGATCTTTTTTTTTTAAATATCATATTTCATTGTCCAGTAGTGTAGCTAATAGCTCTCGAAATTTTACATCAAAATTTTGCTTTTTCGATTTCGAAATTTTATTGTAAAAGAAAAGAAACTCAAAATTTAAATGAAACTTTTATTTCAATTTCTTTCAATCAGCTTATAGCTATCAAATAGATTTTAAAATAAAGAATCTAAATGATTAATGAAAAATCGATTCAGAAATGTTTAATCTATTTTTTTAAAAAAAAATACATTTATTGCAAGCCAATAATGTGATACATAATAAGACATAACGGTCTAAATACACAATTTTTATGGCACTGCGGCCGTTACCCCTATTGTCCCTATTACCCAAATGTTGTGAAAGAAAAAACCCACTTGGTGGGAAAAAGAAACATTTTTATCTTGCCAGCGTGATTGAACCCTCGACCTTCCGCTTAAAAGACAAGACTTCTAACCGGTCGGCCATCTGGCTCTATTGAAATTTATTGAACATAACTTTAAAAGCTATACAATAAACCCGATATTTTTTAGAAGAAAAATCAATAAATGATTAATAAAATCACTTTTAGTGAGGGTGGTTTCTTTAAAGCACTACTCGAATTTCCGAAAGATTACCCACAACGCCCACCAAAAATGAGATTCGTCTCAGAGATGTGGCATCCGAATAGTAAGTTTTTAAAAATTAAATGCTTATATTTTAAAGTTTTTTTTGAAAATCATTCTCATCAATCAAAATAAAACTTTGTTTTTTTTTTTTCAGTTGGACCTGACGGACACGTTTGTATTTCGATTTTGCATGAGCCTGGTGACGATCGGTCAGTTCAAAGAGTTGGCTTGTTCTTAAAGTCTTGAGAGACTCTTTATGAAGATATCTAGATCTTCTTAAGTGTCGATAATCCTTCAGAAGTCGAAGGACTTCAGAAATCCTTCAGAAATCCTTCAGAAGTCCTTCAGCAGTCCTTCAGAAATCCTTCGAAAATCCTACCGAAATTCAGATTCGGCTACGAAAAGCCTGAAGAGCGATGGCTTCCTGTACATACAGTGGAAACGATTCTCCTCTCTGTGATTTCAATGTTAACTGATCCGAATTTCGAGTCACCGGCTAATGTCGACGCTGCAGTGAGTGTAAAAATGATTATAATAGATAAAAGCTAAAACTCTCCTTACTGCGGCTAGGATTCGCTCTCTTCTTTTGCTTCCCTATTAAAACATGTCAACTTTCAAAAAAAACTATTTTAACCTTGCCTTTTATTCAATATTCAATATACTTTCTTCCCTTTCGATAGTCCCAAAAATCCTTATTGAATCAAAGAAAGTAGATTTCAAAAGTTTTAGATTCAATAGTTTTAGTTTCAATAGTTCTAGTCTCAATAGTTCTAGTTGCAATAGCTCTAGTTTCAATAGTTCTAGCTTCAACAGTTCTAGTTTCAATAGTTCTAGTCTCAATAGTTCTAGTTGCAATAGCTCTAGTTTCAATAGTTCTAGCTTCAACAGTTCTAGTTTCAATAGGTCTAGTATCAATAGTTCTAGATTCAATAGTTCTAGATTCAATAGTTCTAGATTCAATAGTTCTAGTTTCAATAGTTCTAGTTTCAATAGTTCTAGCTTCAACAGTTCTAGTTTCAATAGTTCTAGTCTCAATAGTTCTAGTTGCAATAGCTCTAGTTTCAATAGTTCTAGTCTCCATAGTCCTAGTTTCAATACTTCTAGTTTCAATAGTTTTAGATTCAATAGTTTTAGTGTCAATAGCTCTAGTTTCAATAGTTTCAAAAGTTTGAATAGTTGACATGTTTTAGAAAAATAGTAAACGAAGTAAACGAGTAAACGAAAAGTAACACAGAATAGTTGAGTTGAAAGTTTTATTTTTAAAAGCCTCTAAATAGAAAATGCAACGCGAAAGTCTGGCTGAGTTCAAAAAGCGAGTGGCTCGATGTGTGCGGCTAAGTCAAGAAGAGCTTTGAAGTCAAAAAAACACTCAATGTTGATTCTATAAAATCTAATCTTCTAAAGAAAATGTGAACCGTTTTTGTTGTTCGCCCAAAAAACAATTCTTAAGTTTTGGTTGTATCCTCTGCTTTCTGATCTGCTTTCTGAATCTTTCTGATCTACAAAAAACTTAGTATCCAAAAATAAAATGTTTCTTTTTTACCTACAGTACTGGGCAATGAAATATGATATTTGAAAAACGATCGTCACTTTCGCGCGTCTGTAACTCCCTTGTCTTTATCGTATTTCTAAATATTAATATTACCATTGTGTAGCCCTTGAAAAGAGCTTTCAGAAAATATATAACACTAATAGTTTAAACTCAAAGACAAGGGAGTTACAGACGCGCGAAAGTGACGATCTTTTTTCTTTTCAAATATGATATTTCATTGTCCAGTAGTGTAAATATCTTTTTTCTATCATCATTTTCTTTTAAAAAAAAGCCATAAAACAAGAAAAAAAAAAGAGAAAATTGTAAAAACACTCGTGATTGACTTCCCGTGTCTTTTCAGAAATCATAACGAATACGGCTAAATTTATCAGAAATTCGCAACTTTTCTTCATAACCAAAACTGTCGTTTTTATATTTTTTTTCTATTTTTTTTTGATTTGTTTATTTGTTTATTCATCATTCATATGAAAAATTTCCCTTTGTTTTGTTTGTGAATGCAAATAAATATGGTTAAATGAAAGGCTTCCCCCCAACAGGACTGCAAGGCTGAAAATTGATTTTAAATCTTGGCTTTAAAAGATTAAACAAATTCAACAGTGCTGTTTTTTTTTTTATATAAATACTTTATTTAGAAAGAAATAAAGTGCAAAAACGACAGGAAAAAAATGTAACAAATAAAAGGTGACAAAGTCGGGGGTGGGACAAATGCGACCTTTTTTTTTGCGCACCTGGACATTTGCGCACCTTTTTTTTGCTGGAAAAGGCCTTAGGAAAGGTCGTAGAGCTTCAAAAATGTTTTCATAGAAGGGAATCGTATGCGTAGATTCCGAATTTCGACAAATCAGACCTCGGCTGACACGTCAAATTTGGGCTAAAAGGCAAAAACTGCGGAAAAGCGTTAAGTTGCGTAGTTTTTGCCTTTTAGCCCAAATTTGACGTGTCAGCGAGGTCCGATTTGTCGAAATTCGGAATCTACGCATACGATTCCCTTACATGGAAATATTTTCGAAGCTCTACGGCCTTGCCTAAGGCCTTTTCCAGCAAAAAAAAAGGTGCGCAAATGTCCAGGTGCGCAAAAAAAAGGTCGCATTTGTCCCACCCCCGACAAAGTCACTTAAAATGCAACGAAGTAGCCCTTTTAAAATCAGACACGGTGGACTACTGTATCCTGTTTACGATTCGATACCATAAATATTCTAATAGAGGATTCTAATAGAGCAAATTCAAGAGTGACAAACGTGTTTTTCGCAAAAAAACCCTATAAAAATCTCCACGAAGAAATTGACTGAATGAATTTCGCTGAAAATTTGACTATATACTAAACTTTTTGTGCTCTATCTTTTATCTATTGACACAAAGATAGGTTTCCTTATGTTAAAGTCTCTAAAGCGTATCATCGACTCGCATCATTGAGGCTTTTGTGAATACCCGACTTCTCGAAAACTCTCAACTCAAAAAAAACCATTCAGTCTTAAGACATTTTAAACTTGTTTTAATGTTATTTTGCAGAAAAATAATTGGGATTTTTAATGAAACAAACTATAGATTACCGTAAAAGCTCTAATAGAGCTCCCCGAGCCCCTATAGAGGAGCTCGCGTAGTCTGAGTTTACTCTCAAACAAACGCTCATATCTCGACACCAGTACGTTTATTCCTGCACGTTTAGATATTAAATTAAAGTAGAAAAAATGGGTGATTTTTTGAGATATAACACATCTTTTTAGCATTAACCAGTGTTTAGAAAAAAATTATTGAAAAGTGGCAAAAAATCGGCTTTTTTTTGCGACTTTTCAATAATTTTTTTCTAAGCGCTGGTTAATGTTAAAATTTGGAAAGCTACCGTAACCGTAAGTAAGAAGGATTATGGTATTTTTTTCAAGTTAACACCTTTTCGAACATTATTCTTGATGAAAAGACTCTAGTAAGAGACAACGATAGACTTTATAGTACTTTAAAGGTACTTTAAAGGTACTTTAAAGGTACTTTAAAGGTACTTTATCGTACCTTTATAGTATTCACAAAGTGCTTCTACGAAAATCCTTGTTTTATTGGGGGAAACGTGAAGCTATTGTTTATTTATATATTTTGGAGAAAGCTGAGATTTTAAGAGGAATGACAGAGAATCACATAAACTGTCACCCTTTTCCCAAAACTCTAACTGTTTATAAAGCTGGCCATAAAATCAGCTCCCCTCATTGGTGTCCAGAATCATTCTAGTCAATCTAATTCTATTCCTATTTTTCTAAACCTTTCCCCCCAAAAAGAAATCCCAAACCTTTCGCAAGTCCATCCTCGTGTCGGCTATCGGTTTTCCTTTTTTTTTTCTTGATCCGAGCTGCCTGACGATGGATTAACGAAATGGGATTTCTCATTGAAAAACTATTGTTTTGTTTAAATGTTGAAAGATTTTTGATCACAAAAATCTCAAAGATGTTTAAAGTTTCAAAGTTCAATCTAGATTTTCTGTCCGGCTTCTTGCTTAAAATCGAGTCCGTTTTTCAAAAAGGGGTTTGCAATTTTTGAGTAAATGAAAAGGCGAAGAAAAACAAAGATTGATCCAGTGGATCGAAAAAGCGCGCTAATGCGGTGGGAGATGACCCCAAATTGGGTGAAAGGAGAACGGGGTCTACCTCTCCATCTCCTTTCCCTATTTTTATTTCCTTTTCTTATTCTCATCTCTTTCTTCTTCGACCACCGGCTCGTTCAAGATTTGACCCAGCTTTTCGTGGCCTTCACACCATTTGACTTTTGCCGAGCCTTGATCCGACGATTTTCTCCTCCATCGTCTCCACGAATCGCCAGATCATCGGTGAGTTTTTGTCCATTCTTTTAATCCAATTCTCTTATTATTTTATTGATTTTACCTTGCTCAATAAATAAACCAATTGCATTGTCATTGATTTCGAAAAAATCATTTCTATCAAGGACATCATTCGGCGAAAAACGAAAAACAAGGAAATCTCATTTTCAGGTTTTTGCTAAACACTTGACAAAAAATGTTTTGGTTATTATTGTCATTGTTACCGGTGTTTGCTTTGGGGAGAGCTATTGAGGAAGGAGAGGTCATTCTCACACCACACGGAATGGGGATGCATGCTGCTGAACGAATTGTCATTCCTGGTGAGTGACTTGTGACCCGGCTTTTGATTCTTTTGTGGAAAATGGCTTTGTCAATTAAATTCGCAAAAATGAAATGTTGGGGATTGTTGCAAAATGCTTTATAGTGCTTTATAAAGTTTTGAAGTTCGAAAAAACTGTCTAATGTAGAACATAGAAATTTGTACAGCAGAAGACAGGATCGAAATTTATTAAATCAACTTATTACGCTAAAACTTTAGTAACCAACGGAGTCCTTCCCCCATTGCCTTGTGTGATGAGAGAGTCAGGAGCTCACGATCATGGATCCTCATTCACGAAGGGCAATTTCCACTATTTATGCAATAATGGCACCGCTGAAGTGATGGGTTTATGAAAATTTGTGATTTCAAAATAAATCTGATTTAGCTTGCATTAGTGAGGATGGATCGGTGATTCAACTGGGAAGGACTTTTGTCAAAAATGGTATTCGACATAAATGCAATGTTGCAACGGATACAGTTACATATGAGCAAGGTATAGGATAAGTTTAAATAAAATAAAACGATGAGAAATAAAGGTAATGAAGAAAAGAGAAAAAAAAAGAAAAAAAAAAAAAAAGAAAAAGAAAGAAAAAGAAAAGAAAGAAAGAAGAAAGAAAGAAAGAAAAAAGAAAGAAAGAAAAAAGAAAGAAAGAAAAAAGACAGAAAGAAAAAGAAAGAAGTGAAAAGAATGGCGAGAGGGGCTTCGATTTGACTACGGTCACGTCGCTTTTGCGACGTCGACTCGACTACGGTAGTTTAAGCGTCGTTTCAACTACCGTAAGCTATTAAAACGAGGGAAATCAATTGTTAAGCTTTTTGCTTTATGTAATATAATGAATATTTTCTAGAGTCGATGTGTTACGAGAATGGCGTTCATTACAATGTGGGTGATTCGTTCCGAAACGGATCTTTCAAGTTGACTTGTCGAGATGAAGGAGTCGCTATTGAAGGTTTTTTTTCAAAACAATATATCAGAATATCTTCTTTACCGTATCCTTTTACACTAATTTTTCTATTTCATGAATTCAAAAAGAAATCTGTCTTTTAACGCTCGACTTTTCAGGTTGTTACCTTCAAAATTCCGTCTATGACACTTTACAAGTAGGAGAATCGAGAATTGTTGGACATTACAGGTAAATTAGAATTTAAACTTGACTTAACTCCTTCTGGAGTAATGGTAATGGTTAGCACAGTTGGCTGATAAGCGAAAGGTCCCGGGTTCGAGTCCCGGCAACGCAGAAATTTTTGATTTACTCTAGTTTCAACTCTTGAAACTATCTTGTGTATTCTTTTTTCACTTTTTCAGACACGAGTGTGAGCAAATCGCCTCCGGAAAGGTTAGATACACGGTGAAAGGTAATTTACTTGATAAAATGTTTAATCACAAATTTCAATTTCTTTATTTAATCCCCAATTTCAGTAATCGGTTGTGTACGAGAGGATGAAGTTTACAATATTAATCAAGTAAGAGAAAACTCTGAAAGCTTTGACTCTGAAACTCTGAAAACTCCCAACTCTGACTTGTTTAGGTGTTCACCGATCGTCACGTTCGTTATCAATGTATGCAGGATGGAACTCTGCAAGTTCTTGGTGAGAATTTCAGAATCTATACTTCATTCAATATCTTTTAATTCATATGTGAGCCCTCATTATTGACAAAACTAGGTTGTGTGGATAATGGACTTTTCGTGGAGTTGGGTCGTGATCTCCTCCTCGACGGGCTTCTCCATCGTTGCTACAAAGTCGATCGAACCACTTTCTATCACAAGTCAATTTTTTGTAAACTTTAAGTAAATAACTATTCAAAAAATGAAAAATCCTTTTTTTTAACAGAACAGAATTCAGATTCCCATGTGATGGCCCTCTCGCTGAATGTATCGCCAATTCAATTACTCCTCGTGTCTGGTAAACTCCCGGTGATAATAAACTTTTACTTGTCAAACATACATGAGATCAATGGGAAATGTGAAAGAACCTTTGAAGAAGAAACGAGCTAGAACGAGCTAGACAATATAGACAATCTAGACAATATAGACAATCTAGACAATATAGACAATCTAGACAATATGAAAAGTTAGAAAGAAAAAGAAAAGAAAAGGAAACCCGAATAAAAAGACTCGTCACTTTTTGTACAAAAGATTGGTTACATTATGTACACACAATGAGGTATTATGAGGTTGGGATTAAGCACGCGAAAGTTGAGCGGCAGTCAGCTGCGAGATGAGACGCTTGTTGAGTGTGAAAGCCGTCTCAAGAATCAACGACCGTTCTGATAGACGTAACTGAAATCTTTCGATAATCAGCTAGATAATTGTTACCGTAAATACTGTAATAGTACCCCACGCCCCAAAATGACGGTGCGGAGTGTTGCGTAGTCTAGCTTTGAACGAGTTTTTCTCGACACTGGTTTATGCTACAATAGCAATACAATTATCAAAAAATAGCCCTGATTTTCAGCTATTTTTTGATACCAAAGACGCATTTTTGGAAAGTACGGGCGCTTTGAAAAAAATGAAATACTAAAAAACTTTTGCGACTACGCGACTGTACGAGGGGGGAAGGGGGTACTATTACAGTATTTACGGTAAGTAGAAAGTACGGTTATCTTATTATCTTATTATTTAATCAAATCAAAAGATTGGTTAAACGAAAGGCAATCTTTGCTTGCTCTAGATTTGCTCAACTTACATTCGGTTTCCGAAGACGAAAGAGCGGATGAACGGGAATGGGAACGCCTTGTCGAATGATGTCATTAACCATTCTCTGAAGAATTTCCCGTGACAATAATGAGGCATCATCAAGCTCTTCTTGGACCAAAACTTTTGGTGTACGAGTGCGCTGAAGTGGATTTTCAATTTTTCAATTGACCCTCTTTTTCCTTTCTTCTGCCTTAACTTTTCTATTTTCTTCTGGGGCAAACAAGGCTATGATGGCTTAGTGGTAAAGTAGTCTGCCTGCTAGGGTTCAATCCCCTCCAATCTCTTTGTCATTCTTTATTTTTACTTACTAAAGTGATATTGTCAAGGATGACCTTCCCCTTGACGACTTTGCTTGTGATTCGCATTTGCATCTTCGCATCCAGCTGAATGTTTGAATATAAACAAGTTTCATTCTTATTTACTTCAATTTCCATAGATCCAAGTGGGGTTTCTCGTTTTGTGATTGGATCAATTTGCATCACTTGTATTAAACCAAGAAGCTCGAACTTTATCCCTCCTAAATTCTCAGTCACAATTCTCGTTTAAATCTTGCAAACCATCACCGTTTCCAATTGAAAATTGATTAGTTGAAAGCAGGTTATTCAATGAAAATCGCTAAAAAATCAAGAAAAAAAAAGCGAATAATCAAATTTTTGCAAGTGTTTGCGTTTAAAGTGCAATCAAAGTGCTACCTCCACAGCTGTTTTCCCGAATAGATAGCTATTTTCATCTTTTAATGATCTTTTGATCAAAGAAGAGCTTGAAAATTAGTATCGATTACCGTAACCCGTAGTGTAACCCGTAGTGTAACCCGTATTCAGGGTTCTCTTTTTTTTCTACCGTCTTTCTCAGAATGAACAACAACAACAGGAGCACGAAGGGTCGAGAAAAGAAAGACGAGTTCTCGATCGGGGAATTCGTCACGGAGCGTGGGGAACAAGTCACCGACACAGAAAAGAGAGCCTAAAATTTGTGAAAGTAAATCAACATTTACACGGCTAATCTATGCCTACGATTACTTTAGAATACGATTAGCTTAGAATTCGATTAGCTTAGAATATGATTAGCCTAGAATACGATTAGCTTAGAATATGATTAGCCTAGAATTCGATTAGCTTAGAATATGATTAGCCTAGAATACGATTAGCTTAGAATATGATTAGCCTAGAATTCGATTAGCTTAGAATACGATTAGCTTAGAATATGATTAGCTTAGAATACTTCTCAAAAATAGCTTGACCTTGAATAGCTTTTGCTAGCTTTTTCTAGCTCTTTTTAAGTATTCCAATTTCGTTTTGAAAGTCAAAAAACTATGGTGATCGCTTTGGTTTTGTAAATAAAAATTTGAAAATCGTGTATGCAAAATCGTGAATGCAAAATTGTGCATGAAAATCACCCGAATCCAAATCGCATGAGGTTCGCATTGTTGGCCCAAAGTGAGGCGTTTTCGGATCGACACGAGTATTGAAAATTCCAATTCTAATTTTTAAATTCTCATTTTTTCAACTCAAGAAATCAAGTCAAAAAAAATCTTACCGATGACCATGATACATAAAAGAATTCGGAACAAAGTCTGAGACGACAATCTGAAATTAGAGCTGATGACAATCCGCTTCTTCTACTTTACCTCAAACATTTCATTGCTCACTGTTGCTGGTAATGAAATCGGCTTTGGTCCAAATGGAGTTTGTACACCAAATGCTGAGATTTCTCCTGAAAGAGTTCATGATGTTGGAAAGAAGAAAAAAAAAAAGATGTAATTTCCAGTCTTCCAGTCAAAGTCTTCCAGAAGATTCAATCTCAATCTCACCAGAAGATTCAATCTCAATTCCTCGACTAGAGATAATCGGACTCGAGAGAACTCCATAGTCGAGAACAAGTCCTTCAGCGCGAGACTGGAAAGCTTTCTCTTTGTGAATTTCTTTTGAAAATATTAAGAAGAATCATAAGTTCAGAGAAAAACGATCTCTTTTCTGGTGACTTACCAAGTTGAAATTGCTTGAGATGAAAGCTTGCAAAGAACCTGTGCCAGTATCACGGCGGTGGCGACGACTGAAAGGAAAAATGATCTCTCATTTTAGAGAAATCTTTACTTTTGTCTAGCTTTTCGGCGAATTTCCCGATCTGCCTCAATCATGGCACGCATTAAGTCGAAATTGGCCGTTTGTTGGAGTGTGATCTAAAGACTATAGTATCCACTAGAAAACTAAGCAAATATAAGTAATGAGCTCAAGTTAAGCTATCGGTTAGATTCGCCGATTGGTTAAGAACTCTATATCTTAGTCGGGAGATTCAATTTCAAAGATTCAAAGGGTTCAATTGTTGGAGTGTGATCTATAGACTATAGTATCCACTAGAAAACTAAGCAAATATAAGTAATGAGCTCAAGTTAAGCTATCGATTAGATTGGCCGATTGGCTAAGGGCTCTATATCTTATTCGGGAGTTCAAGGGATCAATCCCGCCGGCTAGATCATTTGCTCTTTTTCCTATATATCACTTTTCCTTACATTTAAGGCTTTTTTTTTTACTTTTTGTACTACATTATTCGTGTAAATAAATGCAAACCTTTGAAGGTAAAAGAGCGAATCGTTGATTGACGCGATGTTCGACAATAAACTCTAAACGTGGGCAAACCACTGCTTCGAACAAGCTCGGTACCCAAGTGGCTGCTGTTGACTGAAAGTTTAGAGTTTAATTTCAAGAATTTCGCTTTTAAAAGTTTACTTGAAGTTGTTGAAGAGCTGGTGCTTTGACAGAGGTGGAACGCACCGTGATCGCTTTCTTTGGTGCCACTCCATGACAAGAAAGAATCTAGAAGGAATTTGGTCATCTTTTAGATAGGATTTAAGATACAGTTATTAGTGGATTTCCTCTTGAATTTCGTTTCACATTCAATGTCACATCAACAGCAAAACCCTCAGAAAAAAGATCAATCGAACCGGCGATCGTTCTTCCATTCATCGCACCATTGACAGTGAAAGCAATACTAGAAGGTTAGTATTTAAATCTTATCCATTCATCGCACCATTGACAGTGAAAGCAATACTAGAAGACTTAGTATTTAAATTTATCTAGATAAGATAAGATTTAAGATTTAAGCTTTCAATTTAATTTACCTGGCATTAATATTCGTAATGTGTGTTGTAATAGCACCAATGGGAACCATATTAACAACAACCTTAAAAAAAGATTTTCTTAAATAAATGGAAATGAAAAACCTGATTGACGTCTCCAAAAAGACGCAATTTTGGTGATGAAGCTGATAGAGAAAATTGAGAAAGCTAAAGAAAAATGCTGATAATTCATTGCCACAAACTTTGTGTGGAGCCATAAGAACAAATGCATCAGCTTGAGCGATTTCTGGAGCAAGATTCTTTGCCACGATTCGAGCCACATTTGTCACTCCAGTCAACGTTAGTCTAGCTCGTACTCCTGGGGATCCAATCTAGAAATTTTCTTTTTCGATTTTTTTTTTGGAATTTGGAAAACTTGAAAATATTACCGTATAAAACTCTAATAGAAATCCTTTATTTGTCAAGAGTTAAACGTTTGTTTGTGCGCTTGTTTGAGCGCTTGTTTGTGCGTTTGTTTGTGCGTTTGTTTGTGCGTTTGTTTGTGCGTTTGTTTGTGCGTTTGTTTGTGCGTTTGTTTGTTTGTGCGTTTGTTTGTGCGTTTGTTTGTGCGTTTGTTTGAGCGCTTGTTTGTGCGTTTGTTTGTGCGTTTGTTTGTGCTTTTGTTTGAGAGTAAACTTAGAATTAAACGACGCTTCTATAGGGATTGATGGGGGTTATTCTATCACTTACAAAAGTAGCATCAGATGTTAGAATAGGACTCATATCTTGTCCTTTGCAAAGAGTCAAGAAACAGGAGAAAATCTGAAAGAGGAATTGATTTTAAAGTTGATTAAAAAGAATTGTATAGTTACCCCAATTGTTCTGTGGAAAGATCCCATTTGTGAGAGCTTCTGAAAATCTCAAATTTACAAATAAACAATAAGAAATTGTAAAACAATGATAAAAATGATTTGAAAATTGATATTTGATTGATTAAATCATAAAATTTAGAGTATATTAAACTATTTTAGAGAAAAGAAAGTGTTAATTTGATCTAGCTTTTGTATATTGTATATGTCGTAGCCGATTATGAATTTCAGCCGATTATGAATGATTCATAATCGGTTGAAATTCATAATCGGCTACGACAGCTAGATTTGGGGAATATGCTGAGTGGGAGGAGAAGTTCCCAGTCCAGGTTCTTGCTTCTAGAGCGAGTCAGTTTAGCAATGTGTAGGCGAGCATTGTCATACTTTAATATGACCTTTTTCAGATTTGATCTTTTTTATTTCAAAAGCTTTAGCCAGATTCTGCAATTCTGGCTAGTATATACAGTACCTGGACAATGAAATATCATATTTGAAAAAAGATCGTCACTTTCACGCGTCTGTCTTTCGGACGTCTGTAACTCCGTTGTCTTTAAGTTTAAACTATTAGTGTTATACATTTTCTGAAAGCTCTTTTCAACGGCTACACAATGGTAATATTAATATTTAGAAATACGGTAAAGACAAGGGAGTTACAGAGTTCCGAAAGTGACAATCATTTTTCAAATATGATATTTCATTGTCCAGTAGTGTAAATTGTTTGTTTCTAGATTTAGTGCTTGCATTGCTTGCATCTCAGATTGTAAAACAAAACTGTAGTTCCATTACAATCTGAGATGAAACAAAGCAAGCACTTAAATCTAGAAACAAACAATTTACACTACTGGGCAATGAAATATCATATTTGAAAAAAGATCGTCACTTTCGGACGTCTGTAACTCCCTTGTCTTTGAGTTTAAACTATTAGTGTTATACATTTTCTGAAAGCTCTTTTCAAGGGCTACACAATGGTAATATTAATATTTAGAAATACGGTAAAGACAAGGGAATTACAGACGTCCGAAAGTTACAATCATTTTTCAAATATGATATTTCATTGTCCAGTAGTGTAGTTCTATATTGTAAAAGAATATAGAAAACAGAAAACTATTAGATTGAAAATTTGAGCAAAACTAGCACAATACCGAAACAACAAAAACGATAAGATACCAAAAAAAAAATGAGATGAATGAGAAAGCTTGCGAATGGGAAATGATGTGCTTGAAAATAAAATGAAGACAATTTTAAAACACAAAACTCGAAACGATCCCTCCCATTCAATTTTCCTTTCCTTTCCTTTCCATCCCTCACTTTCCCCCCTTTTCATCACACACACACACACACAAAAAAACCCCACAAGGCACGAACAAATACCCCTCTCTTTCCCCGTCGATCTCTCTCACTTTAAAGCTCAATTTTTTTTTCGGGAATTTGAAGAATACAGCCTCCTAATTACTATCCCTTTCCGTTTTCCTACGATTTTTGATTTTTCTTTTCATACATGTTTCCCAACTTAATGTCTTTTTTTTTGGGGAAACAAAAAAAGCAAAAGTTTTTGAAAATCAAAAGTCTCTGTTTTTTTTTTGGTGATGATTTGATGGCTGAACAATCGAGTTTTTTTTTCTGAAGAGAGATGATTTTAAGTGCAACAAACTAGACATTCTCCAATGGATGATCTGAGGCAGAAATCAGAGCTGAACACGAGCATGTGACTACAAAGCACTGCTACAAAGCACTTTTTTGGTATCTTTGAATTGATATGTGCTATCAAAAGGTAGTCTTAGAAAATCTAAGCTTTAAATAGCTTTTAACAATTTCTTTGTTCAGTTTAGAGTAAGTTAAGATTGGGGTTTCTTTTTTGAAATATTACTGATTGTACGCAGTGTACGCAGTTCACATAAAGACTCCAGAAGATGAACACCAAGCATACCAACTGTACTTTCGGCTAATTCACTAACTCAATTATCCGGCAGTTGAAAAACGAGAGCTTTTACTCGTCTCGGTATTGTCTGATTGTTGTGAGAGACAAATTTTCGCTCTCTTTTCCATCTCTTTTCCTCTCTTTCCCCCTCAGTCAGCTCCTCTCGATTTCCTCAAAAGGCTTTGTGCTCAAACAATTTTTTTTTGGGATGAAATCTCCGATTTTTCATTCACTAAAACACCTTTCCTCAACCCGACTCTCAGAGACTTTCCCCCGTACAATGGGACGAGAGAAAAACCATGCAGGGGCTCACTCGCAAATTTCTACCTTCACTCCTCTAAGCCCACCTCCTTACCCTTGGGTGGTCGCTGAACAAATTTCTCGCTTCTCAATTTCAATCTCAATTGCATTTATTGTTTTAAAATCAAAGTGATTAGTGAAATGATTGTCGCGAGGAAAACCGAGAAAATCGAGATTTGAGCCGAGTTGCAGTAGTCGGCGTTGTTGCAGCAGTTTATCTGAAATGAGGCTTGATAAGGAAACTTTGAGCTATCAAGAGTGTTAGGCGTAGTTCTTTATAGTTCTTTGTAGTTCTTTGTAATTCTTTATAGTTATTTGTAGTTCTTTGTAGTTCTTTATAGTTATTTGTAGTTCTTTATAGTTCTTTGTAGTTCTTTGTAGTTCTTTTTATCGCTACTGGATGCCATAAAATGAAAGTAATCGATAAGACTGAAAGAAAAAGAAAGAAAGTTAAAGCTAATCAGTTGAATGCATATTTTCATTCCGCCATGATAATACCTTACAGCGAACTTTAGAGAACACATTTACGACTCACTTCGACTCGATAGAAGATATCTGACACGACGTTTGGCGAGCCGAATTGAGCAGGATTTGAGATACGATAATTTGTGAGATTGTAAGATCCTGGTTGCTGAAAAAGATTGAATTGAAAAAAGATTCAATTTGAATTTGTATGAAGAGAAATTAAGTCGAAAATCTCTCAAATTATTTAAACTTTACTATAATTTCATTGTTATAACATTTTTATGACATTTTCACATTTATATTCCAAATTTTTCGCCCGCTTAGTTGGCTATAATAAAAATTAGGGTCATTTGAAGCCGGCATAATGTTTTTTTGTCTTATGAAATCGTGCTTTAAATGCTTTAAATCTCAAAACTTCTCCTCAAATCATGTTTTTTTTTTTTTTGTTTTTTCTATGTTGAGATCATAAAGAAATTTCTTTGAACTACTATACAGTGCGTTTCAAATTCAAGTTCAAATTCTTAAACGCACCCTCTAAAATAGCGGATTTTGCATTTTGACCACCGCTACAACTACAACTATTAATCTTTTTCTATTAGAAAGAGCTTTTTCTATTAAGAATTTGAAACGGTTTCTATTTTCAAAATTTTTACTTTTTACGGTATGCTTATTTTTCGTGTTATTTAGGTTTTAATACATGCTCTTTCTCATAGAAAAAGATTAATAGTTGTAGTGGTGGTCAAAATGCAAAATCCGCTATTTTAGAGGGTGCGTGGGGGTGGGACAAATGCGACCTTTTTTTTGCGCACCTGGACATTTGCGCACCTTTTTTTTGCTGGAAAAGGCCTTAGGAAAGACCGTAGAGCTTCGAAAATATTTCGAAAATTTTTCCATATAAGGGAATCGTATGCGTAGATTCCGAATTTCGACAAATCAGACCTCGCTGACACGTCAAATCTGGGCTAAAAGGCAAAAACTACGCAACTTAACGCTTTTCCGCAGTCTTGCCTTTTGGCCCAAATTTGACGTGTCAGCGAGGTCTGATTTGTCGAAATTCGGAATCTACGCATACGATTCCCTTCTATGAAAACATTTTTGAAGCTCTACGACCTTTCCTAAGGCCTTTTCCAGCAAAAAAAAGGTGCGCAAATGTCCAGGTGCGCAAAAAAAAGGTCGCATTTGTCCCACCCCCGGGTGCGTTTAAGAATTTGAAACGCACTGTAGAATCAAATTTGAATTGTCGCCATGTCTTCAACAAGCTTATTTTAAATTTTGAAAAAATAGCTTATTTTGAATGTTTTCGAGGTTTCCAAAAGTAACATTAAACTAAAAGTTTAAAGTTTAAAGCAAAAAGTAAACATTTTACGTTTATTAATCTTTTTAAAGCACTAATAACTTAAAGTTTATTATAATTTCTATGATAAGCACTAATAACTAATTAAAATCATGAACTTATAGAAATTATAATAAACTTTAAGTAAAATGCAAGATTTTCGAATTAATCGGCCTTCATATAAATGCCTTTCAGAAGTCACACATATTAGGCGCCACACCTATATCTCTCTATAATATAAATCTCTATCATATTCATGTAAAATGCCCCGTTTGCAAGATCGAATCCACTCTACCTGACAACTCAAATCGAGCACCTCATCACTACATCCATAAATCGCCCACGGCACATACTCGTCCAAATTCTCTGGCGGATAGAAGTCGGCTTTCATGCAAAAATGACCATCCGGATCACAGCTTTCTAGAGTGATCTAAGAGTTTAAAGATTATACTTTAAAGGAGGTTTACAAGACACAAAGACCAACATCAGAATCATGCGTTAAAGTATCATCCGGATTTGTGTATCTCCAACACTTCATTAAACCATTCCCACCAAGCAGCAGCAGAAAAAACACAAATTTTGACGAGTTTCTCATTGAGAAATGTATATTTGAAGTTTTGAATTCGCAAAAAAATTGTTTTTGCTTCGCCAAATGTTTACAATCTCAAGCTGGGGCAATGGAGTCGGCGATTACACGATAAGAGTGGGGGTTTCCCTAAAATGCCTAATAATCTTCAAAAAATGCTTGCAAGTGTAAAGCTTGGGTTTAAAGCATTGTCACCTAAACAATTCTCTATCGGTTTTTATCGACTTTTTTTGCATTTTAATGATATCTGTTTGATTTTAATAGTTAAAAGCAAAGATATCTTTTATGAAATGTAGTTTAAAAATGTGTATTTGAAACAAAGAACAATTAGCCTTGCAAGTGAAAAAAGAAACAATTGAAAGAGCGGAGTAGCCGACTCGAACTAGAGAAGTCTTGCCTTGTATTCTAACCCACTGCCACTTGGCCATCAGTGCTTCTGAAACGCGCCTGGAAAGTCTGCTTATAAAACTCGGGATGTGATCCCATACAAAACTTTGTAGGCTTATCACTTTTGAGTGCTCCATAACAGAAAGGGAAAACAGATTCGGAAACGGCGTTGAATTCTGCCCTTTGGAAAGGAGATAGTGCGCAATAAGAGAGTAAAACCGCAAATAACCCTTTGCAGATGTCATTTGGCCACCACATTCAGTTGGCATTCCATTCGCAAATTGATTTCACCTTAAAAATAGAAAAATTTCGAGTTATTTTAAATAAATGGTAGCTCTTTTAGGGTTTTACTCTCTTATTGCACACTATCTCCTTTCCATTACCGTAGCCCGCCCCTTATCACCCTCTTTTCCGAATTTATACACGCAGAGTGGGGTTCCGTTCATAAATAATCTCATTAATCATTTGAAATCTCTTCAAGAACAATTATCTTTTAATAAAATTAACTTTATTTTTGTTATCTTAATGAGTTATATTATGAAAATAGTGTCGAAAAAGCTTTTCAATTAAGAAAAAAAAAAGGATAACTATATATGAATTCATTAAAAAAAGTTTAACGGAAATGCATTTACAGAAATTTAGATAGAGCGTAAGTTTAAAACCTCCTCAAAATTGTCAATTCATAAATTCGCAAAGAGAAAAACGTGATTCTTTAGCGTTTATATAAATGAAAACGATTTTCTTTTCAGTTTTAAACGTGACTACGATGCTTTTTGAATGATAACCCCAACGACAAGTGGCATTTTGTAAGTGAATATTTGCGAAATATTTACATATTTTTGAGAACGTTCAGACGTGAGTACCAACGCTTTCTCAGCTGTGAAATCGGTGTCGATGAGTTGATCACATTTTGTCGAACGGGATCTTTTCGCACAGCCGCCACAAGATCGATCGCCTGGAGGGTTTGTTGTATCAATTTTTTTTTTGTATCAATTATTTTCGTAATTTTTTGCAATGTAATGTATAATTTTGTGCACTTTTGGTTATGCTGGAGTTTTCTACATGTATAACCAAAAGAGGGTGATACATGTAGAAACACTGACGATGACACTACACGTAGAAAACTCCAGTATAACCAAAAGAGGGTGATAAGGGGTAGGTTACGGAAATTCTTTAATAAACTTCATTTTTCATTCCATTTCATCATTCTATTAGGTAAATGCATAAAAAATGCGGATTTCAAACATTTTCATGAAATTTTCAACGATAGAAACCTGATATTGATGAATGTTTAAAAAATTATTTGAAAGTTGTAAATCTCCTCTACAAAATAGGCTAAAACGTGTTTCAATTGATCGAAGAAATTGAAGAAATTGAAGAAATTGAAGAATTGAAGAAATTGAAGAAATTGAAGAATTGAAGAATTGAAGAAATTGAAGAAATTGAAGAAATTTCGAGGGCGAAATGCGAGGGACCAAAAAAAGGAATCGAGTCACTTTAGGGACAAGTTTAGTGTGCTCAAAATAGAGTTAGCTTCCCGAAATTGAAGATTTAAGAAGAAAAAATTTTGCTAGAAAAGTCATTTTGATTTTTTCGCAGCAAGGATTCGTATACGTTGTGTTAGTTGTAGTTGTAGTCAAATTGTAGTCAAATTGTAGTCAAATTGTAGTCAAATTGTAGTCAAAATCAGTAAATACTAGTCAATAAACCAATAGAAACCAAAATGCACAAAAGATTATTTTGCAAACGAACAAGAAAAGTTTAAGAAAGTTAAAAATTTTGCAGAAGCACCAAAATTGAATCTTTTACTGCGCAAATCTTTTACTGTACCTTTAAAAAGCGGATTAATCTCGTACAAATTTACCAACAAAGTCTCGAAAATTCAGATCTTGTTGAAATGTCTTCCAATCAACAGCCTTGAATGGGTGCCAGTCATCGAGCAGAGTCGACGTGAATACGCAACTCTTCGGGTTTTCATAAATCATAAATAGAAATGATATGATTCTTCTTCAGAGTCGACACGTCGCCAATCCAAGAGATCCTTTATGTGTACAAGATCCACAATTGAACAATCCACTTAGTGAGCACTCAAAAGTGAGCGAAAGTCTGCGAATTTGATTTCACAATAGATAAACTTTCTTGTGATAATTGGGGAAAATTAAATTCGCACAAGTTTGAATATTTCAAGGAGAACGTTCGGTCAGTAGATTAGATTTTTTAAGATTTTAAGATTTTGTAAATTTTTTTTCAAAACTGAATTTAGTCCCCATGGTCTCGTTACTTTGCTGACGGAGAACTCCGGGATTTGATCTTGAAAGATGTTGCAAGAACGTGAGAAATTTCAATCAACTATTACAGTTTCTATTTAGATTTCCCGAGATCGAGCTTTTCCAAGATGCTGAAGTGAAATCTTTGATGTGCTCCGTGCTTCATGTTTACGCCAAAGACAATCCTTTTATCGGCTACAAACAGGTACATTTACTGTCGACTCTCGATACAACGATTTTGAAATTCTAAAACACGCCCTTGGTTTCTGCGTAGCTGCCCAGCCAAATGCAATCGTTGACCGTCCAGGGCAGCTACGCAAGAAATTTGGGGCACTTTTTGGAATCGTTAAATCGAGACTCGACTGTATTTGAAAATCGAAATAAATCTTCTTTTTTGCTAGGGAATGCACGAGATTTTGGCCCCTTTGGTTTTCGTTCTCTACAACGATCAACAACTCTATCAGCATGCGCTTGAAGACTTTCAATTGAGGTATAGAAATCGATTGAGGTTCAGCTTAACATTGTTCAGGTCTCTGGATCGAACAGCTCTTCACATTCTCCAAGTGCTTCACGATTCAAACTATTTCGAAGCAGATGCTTAGTAATTTACGAAAAATTATCAATATCAAAATTTTCTAGTGTTCTATTTTGTGAGGTGATGCGCGAGTTGACGCCTTGGTACGAGGATGCGGGGATAGTTGAACCGCCAGAGCCACATCCATTTGAAAGGCTGCAGGTTTGTAAATCGAAAACCATAAACCAAAAAAATATTTTAAAACTCGTATTACAGGACACAATGATCACATCTCGTTTGCTGAAAGAGTTGAACGAGATCGGTCAACGGTTGGCCGAATTCGATCCACCACTCTATCGCCATCTCACCAATCTCGACATACCGGCTCAACTTTTTGGAATGTATTTTTGAATTTAGAATCTAATTTTTACTTCAATCTAGCCGCTGGTTGAGACTTTTGTTTGGAAGAGAATTTCCTCTTCCCGATCTTCTCTTTCTATGGGATATAATCCTCTCGGATCGACCGATTTCTCGAATCGTCGAATGCGTTTTTCTAGCGATGCTTGTTTATATAAGAGAAAATTGTAAGTTGAATGAAAAACTAAAAAGAAGCTTATATGACTTTAACTATCAGTATTGGCCTCGGATTACGGTGGCTGTTTGCAATTTTTGATGCGCTACCCCCCGGTGGTCGATGTGATGGCTTTCGCTCAACTTGCGCTTCATTTTCGAGCTCCATTGGTCAGTGAAAACACCTATCATTGTCATTATTAAAGTTTTTAAGCGTAATTCTCGACCAAAAGATTCTCAATTGACCAACTACTCAAATATGACTCTACAAGGAACGGTTCATCCAAATGCAGGCAATCAAAAACGAACCGTTTCCCAACCGCCACCACAACAACGATCTCAACAAGGTAATTGTTAGACATGGGCTTTTCAGTTCCACGTTTTAACAAACAGCTCTTGTATAGTAGTTGTAATCCCAGAATTATCCAGAATACTTTCTAAAGTTTTCTTAACTTTTGATTACAGCGAATCGTGGAAAGCAGAGACGTCCGTATCGACAAGAGGAGATTCCAAAGGTAAAAAAACTTCTAGAATCTTCTAGAATCGATTGAACATTGTAAATTTGAGGCATTGGGTATTTTCGAAGAACAAGTCGCCGTTCTTCAACAACGTCTCAATGAGCGAGACATTGTCACTGCTGTATCAGCTAAACGAATTGAAGAGCTTGTGAAAAACCTTGAGAGAGGCTCTCTTGAAATGTGAGTAATAGAAAATAAACAAAAAGGCTTTCAATATTAAAGTAAATGTAATTTAGTGGCACGATTGCGGCACAACTTCGCGAAGTCGGTCAACAACTAGGTAGTCTGACGATGGATCGTCGAAAGGAGACTCCAGAAGCAAAGTCCCCAGCACAAGAAGAACGAATAAAAGTGGGTTAACAATGCTGAAAATGACACCAAGCCAAAGAAAAAAATGAGTTTGCAGGTAGCAAATGAGCCGGTGCGATCGGGAACTCCAAGAATTTTTGGAGTCAACGAATTGAGAGAACTCAACACAAATAATCAAAATTTCTCTCATTCAAAACCTCCCAGTCAACAAGTACCCCGTGATCGAGTGCTTGGCATTCCTAGATTTTAACTTATTTAACTTTTAAATTATTCCTTTCAAATCATAATTCCATTGCTTCAAAACGGTGATTGCATTGAAATCCGGCTGTGCCATGTTTTTTGTGTTCCAATGCTATTGCTTCTAATTTTATTAACACTAGTTCAAATTAATCATAGTTGTGTTTCAAAAACTGCAGTTGTGCTTTAAAAACTGCAAAATACAAAATTTTGTACACAAAAATATTGCACACGACGCAAAGACACTACACATTTACTATTTACCCTGAATTCGCTGACAAGGAAAAGTTAAGTAGAAAAAAAGCCCAATTGTTCTATTCGATAAAAGTTAAGCTAAAACGTTGCGTTACGCCAATTTAGATAAATGTTGACGAGCGGTGTTGTGTAGAAAAGTTACGAGGTGTCCAAGTCGATCTTTCGCTCCTTCTTCGAACATAAAGAAAAATTTCGTCTTTGAAGACGGAGATTGATACACCGTGAACCGAACAATTGGCCTCAATTCGGTTGGAAACCATGCCTAAAAACTTTGTAAAATAAAGGCTAAATAATTCCTACTTGAACTTCACAGTTAGCCTTCTCAGGGCTGCCCTGAACTTGAGTCCTCGTACAGTCAACAAAATTTCCGTGATCAGTAAGTGAATCTTTGCCTTCAAAAGATCCCAACTTCACATTGACGCTCGCATCAACCATAAGAGTCCTAAAAATAAAATTTATAAAATCGAAATAGAAGAAAGTTGAATCACAAACCTCGCTCTTTTAGTCGGGGGCTCGTCATCGAATTTGGAGTCAATGTTTTCAGCATTTGCTTGTTCATATGCCTCTCTCTTTAGGAATGATTTGTTCCACGTATAACGAAAAGCCTCACATCTATTTTCAACCATATACTTAACAATTTAATTAAAAACAAACCTCAAAAAATGTGATCCTTTGTGAAAGATCTCAATTTTACGTTGCTTCAATTGATTTTCTATCCAACCCAATGAAGTTTCTTTCGTTGATGAAAAGACTCCCGGTAATTGAAAAATAAAATCATTGTCATTTTGAGTATCATCCTAAATAGATTGCATAAGCTAAAATAAAGAAAAAACCTTACATGAATAAAGAGATCTTGTTGGTAGCTCCATACGACAACCCATCTTTTTGTTTTTCCCTGATTTAGCGATGCAAAATTGAAACAAATATCTCGGATTTCTGATAAACGATGACTGATTGCTGACAAAGATGTCTTTTTTCCCAACATCGTAGTATAAAACCTAAACATTCTACATTAGGAACACTTGCAAGGAAAATATAGCCTTTTGAACTTACTTGATAGATTTCTGCAACCAAGTGCTGTCATCAATAATCCGATTGACAAATGCCACTTCACCTCCCTAAAATCAACTGAATCAACAAGCGTAAAATATAGATTCGAAGTTCGAAGTAAAAACAACTCCTTACCTCAATGCTCAGTTCATTAGATTTTGCAACGGTTTTTGAATTTGGTCGTCCCGGAGGTCCATGTTTGTTATTTGATCGATCATCATTTCCTTGAACATTTTCAGACGAGGCATTATTTGCATAACCACCATCAGTAGATGAAAATTGAAAACGCTAAACCCATAAAGAAATTTAAAAACAACCTTAAAACCATTTAAACCTGATCAGCCTCTGTTCCTTCAAAAAACGGTGGATTGCACATACAGAATGTAAACTGAACTTCCGAATTTTCGTGCACCAAATCCTGAATCATTAATTAGTGTGATAATAAAAAGAATTTTACCAATAGCATATCATCCTTTCGAACATGAAACAAACTAATAAACGAGCTCAAGTTGTTGTTTTCAACATTTTCGCTCGCAGACCTAAATAATACATACTTATGTTAGCCCTTGCTTGATTACTTTGTCCTTTTGAATCGTGTAAAATATCTGTTATCTAAGTAAAAAATCAAAAAGAACTTTAGACTGCTTTTATCCACATCGCTTCCAATGAATTTCCACTTTTTTAGAGTAGCTCCTAGTAACGAATAGATGCACGATGCTCCAGTTCCTAAAATAGATTATTTTTAAAACAAAACATCTTGATTTTTTTTACAAATGACATCTCTTGATTTTTTGGCTCGCAAAGTAAATGTCTAATTTTAAGCACCTACCAATATCGATAGCACAAACGTCATCCTCGATATTATTCAACAGCAAAATATCCTCGACCCATAGCAAATAATTAAGCTTTTGTGGCACCCGTGGAACAAGAGAACCCTAAATTCACGTACATAAAGAAAAAGCAACCAAAATAACCTTTGGAAGAGAGACATTTAAACCAAAATCTTTGTGTAAAATGGCCCGTGTTAGCTCACGAACGGCATCATCGCTTCGAAAATTGATAGCAACCTAAAGAAAAGTCAAATAAATTTTCAAATGTAAAATAAGAATTACCCGATTATTTTTGTAAATACAGTGTTTCCGAAGTTCCGGATAAGCAGCGGCAAGTTGAGTAAAGTCGGGCGGTGCAAATTTGTAGGGATTACGCGGGTGCATCAAATGATTCAGCGACGTCATTGCTGTCTCTTAGCAAGCTGAAGACATTTTAACCGAAAGATGATTAATCCATTTTTAGAGAGAGTGACATGCGGACATTCGCAATTTTGCAGTTACGAGTAATAATACAAACGTTTCAATACAAATGACGAGAATTCCTACAGCCGGATAAACAAAAGCAAACCAAATAATTTAAGGGCTGTTTGAGAGAAAGAGAGAAATGATCGAAATGTTAGCGATAGCGGTGATATCCCCAAGATCAATCCCTAAGAGGCGAGAACAACGAAATCATTCTTTTTCAAGATCTATCACTTTTATATTTGGCTCCTGCTGCTCTTTTTTTACATTCATTTTCAAAGAAATCTCATTGCTTTTTATTTTTAGAAATGAATACGAGTATGCTGAGCTCTCTACAATCACATGTTACGCCGGGCCTATTGACAGCTTCATTTCAGGTAGTTTTTGCAAATAATTCGCCTAGAAAATTAAAAAGTGCTGCAATAATCAATTGGCGTGTTAAAAAAATGCTTATGCGTTTCTTTAGAGAAATAGAAATGTTGAAAATTGAAGAACATAAATGATTTATTTTAATTTACTTATTTAAGGGAACGACGCATAATCTATTTTTACTGATTCACTTCATCAAAGAAGCAACTTTACGGAATTCTTCGATAATTGTATTCACAAAGCTGTTGCGCGAAGATGATCTCAAAGGAATGTGCGCTCGATATGGAATCAGGTTAGCAATTTTCGGTAATAGATTTACCGGTACAAGTGACTTGAGGATATGAAAATTTAAAACAAAAAGTCTTGGCCGGCCAATGATTTCTCATTTTCTCCCATTTTTCTAGCATTCAAATAAATCGATCCCAATTAGTTTTTTTTGTAGTATTTTGTGAGAGCTTTAGGATGATATTCTTAGACTTTCGAAGTCACTCTAAATAGAGTTTCTCAAGCTAGTTTTGCATAAGAGGGTAAGGTCCTTTTTCTCAGGGTTTTGTGCTTCAAAACTGCCAGTAACCTTTCATTTTCACCAGAACAAAATTAATAAATAAGTAATAATATAATGCCACGATGTCAGTAGAAAGTTTTAATTTTATGGTAAAAGTCTCATGGTGGTGGCCCATATGATGGTGGTGACCCTGGTGGCTCAGAAATTTCATATATTGTGGAGTCACGAAATCGGGAAAAAGTGGGAAAAAAAATCAAAAATTTGCCCGCCTAAAATATTAACTTTGGCACCACAACAACCTCCAGGAGCCACTCGAAATTTGGATAAAACTTGATCTTTGATAATCTTGGATGAAAGGAGAAAATGTACTAAAGTCTGAAACACATTTGCAAAATCTTTCTCTAGATTGAAGCCAGAACAACTTGTCGTGAAAGAAAATTTTATTGATTTGAATGGAACAACTTTCGGCAGCTCACACTTTTTCATCGATGACATATCGTTGTGGGAAAATGTTTATGGTTGGTTTTTTGCTATTTGTTGTTGACTAAGAAGGAATTTTGGTGTTTGGGACAGAATGAATCTTTTTTAAAAAAACAGTAATGATATGGATTACTAATTAGTGTTCTACTTTTAGAAATATCTCCATCTACACTGTTGAATTCAATCTTTGGACTCTGTTCGAGGGGAATCGCCGCGTCTCCAAGTTGTTGGAATGTTGTTGTTACGACTACGACGCAAGAATGTCTTTCCTTTTCTATTTTGAAAGCTCACTCGCAACTTAATTTGCACATTGAACATATTGGAAACGGATTTGCGCGTGACATAACAGGTTCTATTGATCTTGCTCTTAAAGATCATTGTCCTGTAAAAAGAGTTCGAGCTCATTATTTAGTCACGGAAAGAAATATTTCTTCCGTTTTGCCTGGGCAGTCACTAGGAAAAAATTGAAAATTGATTGATTACATGCTCCATTAAGACCATTTGACTGCACAATTCGCGATATTTGATACTTATTTCAAGTTCCAATTTTTTGCTTATAGGTTTTGACAAAAAATTTTTCGGAGATACATGTATTTGTTATTCGTTTTGGTAAAAGAAATATTACATCAATTGATATCATATTTCTCGATCAAGCACAAGAGATCTCTTTGCACCCTTTCTCTTTTCGCTGTTTCATTGGGCCGTTATTTCCTTCCCCAGAAATTTCCGTTTGCTTTTCTGTTTGCTATAGATTATTGTTATTTGTTGCGTTTGATGATTTGAATAAACATTGTTTTAGATTATTTAAAACGGTTTAGAAAAATAGGATAATTTCCTAAAGATTTTTAAACAGTTTGTGCTTATGCGTTATTTGGCCTTTAGAGTAGTTATGGCACTCTTGATTATAATTTTCAAGATCGGTGATTTGTTATGCTCTCTAATTTAGATGTCATCGGCTGATGAGATCGACCAAGATGATTTGGGTATAACCATGGAACCAATTGCACCTGGTTTCAAGCAACGTTTGTTAGCATTTGAGTTCATATAGTTGTTGATTTAGATCTCTCAAACAGTTGTGATGGAAATGACAAAGAAGAGTTATTGGCTGATGATAATGGGGTGCCAAAGAGGTTGGTTTTACTTTTAACTTCTATGCCACTTTATAACTAACATTTTTTTGAAATATTCAGACCCATCGAATCAAAGCCGCCGACTCTACGCTCAATTTCATTGCCGCAGGGCTCTTCTTCTTATGCAGAAAAGCCTCCACTACACAATACATCTGACAAAGAAAACATAGGAAACTATCCGGTAAGAAACATCTTTATTTTTTTGCCATGAACGTATTCAGGTTGATCCAAACGATCCTCCTTCTGAAGTCGTGAGTGATATTAAACACATTATTCTAAGACTTATTCATTTAGAAAATTGTCAAAAAGAATAGCAAGCGTATATCCGATTACTACAAGAAGCAAAACGAGTTGCTGGAAGGTTTTCAGCGTGATACTGAATCGATTATGGTTTGTTATTGAAAATAAAGCAGTCAAAAGATTTTTCCTTAAACGTTTACTAATCTTGAGTTTTAGCTTTTCCAAAGAAACCGCTCGAGATTTGCATCCCAAACAAGTCAAGATCCTCGAGAAGAAATACCAAAAGAGCTAATAAATTCGGCTAATGATCTCATGGAAATTCGAGCTCCACTACTAAAACAGAATGTGAGTAGATTAAATTTTGAGACTTTTCAAATTTTTAATTTGTTTTAGACAGCCGATGAAGATCTGGAGTCTTATCGAGTTGAGTTGTTAAAAGGGAGGGACGATATTAACTCCGAGGAAGTGGATCGCATCAAGTAAATCCTAAGAAGCCTTAAAATATATTAGTTTTTCTCTTTAAAATTAGAATTTTAGGAAAAAGCATGACGCTCAGCGGGAAAAAGATGAAGATTCTTCTCGAGCTGCCGGACGGCTAGCGTTGGCCACGTTGGCTATTAACATCTCATTAATGATTGCAAAGGTTTGTCATCAATTATTGTAGACATTTGAAACAAAAACATCAGGCGATAGCTTCATGGTTATCTGGATCTCTTTCAATTCTGTCATCTCTTGCTGACTCAATTGTAGACATCACTTCTGGTAATTTTTCATCATTTTGTATGTTGTGAAAATACCAACTCGATAGGCCTTGTTATCTTCATCACGACACGGGCGATAAAAAAGAGGGATCCCTATTTGTATCCAACTGGTAGAACGCGGCTTGAACCAATTGCTTTGGTTGTTTTTATTTTTTTTAAATTTAATTTTATGTGTATTTTTAGATCATTATTTCGACCGTGATGGGGATAGCCTCGATTATGCTTATTTGGGAGTCGATCAGTCGGATTTACAAGAAAAGTGTATGTTTCTTTTTGATCTTCACCGAGAATGCATTTACACGTTGCACGTTTTTAAATCATATTTTAGGTTGATCTCGAGGTTGATTGGATTTCGGCCGGGATTATGCTTGCAACCATAGCCACAAAGTTTACACTAATGTGCATTTGCAAACAGTAAGTTTACAAGTTTAGAAGGAATTACCTGAAAGGCAAAATTATGCGTTCCTTGATTTAGATTTCCTAATGAGCCGTCGATCAATGTACTCGCGATGGATCATCGTAATGATTGTCTTTCTAATGCCGTGGCCATCTTGTGTGCTGGTTTGGCTTCTTAGTAAGTTTTAAAGTTGCAACTCTTTCGCTGAGACTTTTGCTGATTAAAGTAAAATGTTGAAAAATTTTAGTCTTGGTGATTTGGAACCGCTTTGGTTGTACGTCGATCCCTTAGGAGCAATGGTGGTTTCTATCTACATCGCCTATACTTGGTAGGTGGATTTTGGTGGCTATAGTTTAATGGGTTTTCAGGTATTCAACTGGCAAAGAGCATTTATCGATGCTGAGTGGTCGTAGTGCCGAGCCTGGTTTCATCAATCGAATAATCAAGGTATTCGCTTTGGCACTCTGCTTTTTATATTTTTTAAGGTTTGTATTGACCACGATCCACGTATTGAAGCAATCGACACGGTTTACGTTTATCATTGGGGTACTCGTTTCTTAGTGGAAGTGAGTTGTTTGTCTACATTAAATTACCAAAACTTATAATAGGTTCACATCGTGTTGGATCCTAAAATGAGGCTGAAAGTAGCACATGATATATCAGAGAGTCTTCAGCTCAACATCGAGAGTTTGCCAGATGTATGGTTTCAAGTTTTTTTTCTAATTGTTCTGATGAGTTTAGGTAGAACGAGCCTTTGTTCACACGGATTATGAATACACCCATCAACCGGAAGATGAACATAAAACATTGTAGATTTGCATTTTGACCAAGTAGGGCCGTAGTGTTTCAGTTTCATTCCAAATTTTTGTTGCTCTGTAATTTCTATTAGTAGTTAATTTGCCATTTATTTGTCTCTAGCTCGTTTGATGTTTGCTCAACTTAAGCATTGCGATTTCATTCATGACAAATTCTTATTCAATGCCTACCGGTCAATGTTTGCGCCTGTGGACTTTGTCCTCTTGAAATTGCTCGTCTAGTCAAAAGTTTTATTGTTCTTCTATCTTGTTTTTGTGCACTTCTTTTAGAAATTAAACCAAAACATAATATGAGAATCTCCTTGGATCTTTTTAAAATCCCAAAGACCGATTTGTGCATTTTGATACGTGTTTGCATTAAAGCATACTAAATACCTTGTGATTCTCAAATACTTTAATAGTGTTCAACGTTTTGTTCTGTTTATAGTATCGTTTTTTTTAGTATTTTGATAGTAAATTGTTCTGTTGCCTGCCAGTTTAAAGTTCAATACAATGAGACAAACGAAGAGAAGAGCAGAAAATTGTATGAAAAAAGAGGATTAGAGATTTGGTGATACCAAAAAGATCAAAAGATGTAGTGTTATTTTGGAGAACAAACCTATTTTTTTCCATTTTTAGTGTGTACATCGATGATTGACTCTCCTTTTTGAGCGGGTGTGGTTCCTCTCATGTCACAGCAAACGATTCTTCCCCATTCTCTAATTCTTCACATTATCACCCCTATCATCTCTCGGTTTTATTTTTTTTCACAGTTACTTTCTCGTTGTTTCCCTATTCGATTGATTTATCTTGATTTGGCATGATTGAATCGGACAATGATAAAATTAACCAATCTCCCCTTTTCAACCCTGATCACAAACTGTAAATCAGCCACCGGATTTGCTATCACTTGTTCTTCTGTCTCTACAAAAAGTTGTCTCATTTGTGAGCTTTGCTCATTTTGAAAATGTACTACGTAAACTGACTTGCATCGACTTACAAATGGGAATTTCTCTTCAAAAAGCATCGAGAGATTCTTTCCTTTTTTTTTTTTTTTTTTACTGATTTGACCTAACTGTGATTTGATGCGATTTTCGAGGAACACTTTTTCACTAAAAAAATTTTTTCATCTTTTTCTCCTCCCTTTTTCGATCGTCAATCATTGAAAACGTCTCTCATTTTTGAAATTCCAAACGAAAATGAAAACCTTTTTGTTTTTTTAATAATTGAGTCTCATTTGAAAGAAACTTTTGAAACGTTAATACGTTAACTTTAAACGTTTTGTCTGTACTCGATCAAAAAAAAACGCAATGCATTTTTGGCGCTTTCAAGGAAGCTATCAATTCGGATCATCGAGTCGCTCGATCTTTACGTTGATCGAGAAATCAACACTGCGGGGAAAACCACTCGAACTAGCTGTATCCGATTTTTGGACAATAAATGAGCAGAGCGCAAAAACGACATTTGAGACTGGGCAAGGTGGTGGCTAGATGAAAATGATCAATGAGCGGATGGAGGAAGGGCGGGTGATCGGTTGCGTTCGCCCCGACGCGCGAGCGACTCACTTTCCACAATCCACATGCACACTCGATTTCTTTCGTCTTTTCATCATCATCTCGCAGTCTTCCTCTTTTCCCCCATTTCTTATGATTTGAAAAGATGGAGTGCGAAATATGGAGAAGGAAACACACACACACGCGTCGATGAATCGTTTCTCTCGCTTGCTCCTCCCCACCTCTCACCTTCGATACCGAATTTCCAAAAGTTCTCTTCTTTTCCTTCCGCATTGCTCTACTCGAATCATTTTTTTTTCTTCCCCTTATTGATGATCGGTGTCTGTTGAGAACTCCTTAAGCCCAGATATCTAACATCATCCTTTTCTCAAACGTATTGCAGAAATTTTGCAGCTGAAATTTTTTTCTAGATATAGGCGACTTTTGTTTGACGTGTTTGAAAGCTTTTGGGTTATTTAGGGGCCAACGCGAATGGGGGTGGATGGGTGAGACGGTTGGGATGACGATGGTGAACGATGGGGCCATTCAGGGAGCGGTGAGAATGGAGAAGGGGTTTGCAGCGAGACGAGTCACTCCCTGGGGGACCCTCCCCTCCCCCACCGCTCCCCTCCGCTCCCCTCCCTCCCCCACTCTCTCTCCGGCTCAAGATGGTGAAGATTCTTTGCACTCTTTGTGCCCAGTTTTTGTCGACGATCACGTCAGCCTGCTAACTCAGTTTTTGAATTTTCTGACGTATTTCGCCCTCTCTTCATCTTAGGCTTCGAAAAGCCGACCTTGATATAGAGGCACTCATTTTGCATAGCTTTTTTAAAAAAAAATTATCTTAAAATTTGTCAACTCTTGAACTTGAAACAAAACTGACTAAAATCTAAAAGATTTTTATGTGAAAGATACTGTACGTCTGTCTGTTTGTCTGTCTGTCTGTCTACTTGTCTCACTACCGTATTCCGGGCGAAAAAGTTCGAGAGCTTCAGTTGAAATATTTGAAAGATTTCCAGCTTTAACGCTTGAACTATTGCCTAGCATACTGTAGTGAGAAGAACTGGGATTTAGCAGTATTTTCAAGAACTGCTACTTTCCTACAACCCTCCTAGACTCCTCTTTCTCCATTCTCTAAAACATACACTATAGTAATGCGTTTTTTTTTTCTTGTCTTTCACATGTCTATCTTTTTCGCGTCTTTCACAACTTTCACTTTGTTTTTGGCAAGTTTTTCCTCGAAACTAACTCAATCTTTGTCTGAAAAAAAAAACTTGCTCAAAGGGTAAAAACGAGGCATTTGGTTGCGATTAGCGAGCGCCTCAATCCTCGATTAGTTCCCATTTTTTTTCTTTCTCTAGAGTTTTTTCTCTAGAATCTCAAGGATTTCCGTTTTTAGTTGAGATTTCGCGAATCGATTCTCGCAAAATAATTTCAGGAAATTCAAATGATAGAGAAGGAAAGTGAGAGAAGGGAGAAGTGATCGAAAAAGAGAAAAAAGAAAAGGAGAAAGTGGTGAAGACGCGCCCTTATTCACGAGAAATCGGTCGGTTGCCAATGTGTTGATGTGTATGCGAAAGGTAGCTCTTTGAACAATTGTGGATTGAAAAAAGAAATGAAAAACTTTTGTATCAACAGAAGAGTTCTTAGGCGATCACATTGTATCTGATGTTTTGCATGTTTCTCGTCGACTCGTCGCTCGCCTCCACCTCACAACAGCTTGATCCCACACCAACCGGCTCCACCACTACGGGTAAAAGGAGACTTTGTCTGATAATTCTCGTTCTCGTTCTTCTCTTCTTCTCTTCTCATCCAATACTTAAACAATAAAATTCAAAATTTACATAGAATCTTTATTATTTGAACTATTTGAAGTCACTTACAGATTTATCCGGCTATCATCGAATGCGACTACGAGCACACCGACGACGTCATCGCTTGAAGCACACGGATGCACGGTTAGAAATCTAAACTCTTTTTTTTTGTTGTTAGCTTGATGTAATGGAGCTGACGATGAGATCTTGTTTTAGAAAAACCAGAAAATTCTATAAAATTCTATCAAATTTAAAGTTTTCCTTTTTACCTCATTCACTTTGCAGTCTATCACCGTTTCACTGCCACAGTCGCTCAACACAGGAATCTAAAGTTTTACCTACTTTTCTACTTTACAAATATGAAATAAGGACAATGAGCCAAATAACCTGCGTACCGTATTTTCTCTAATAGTGGTGCACCCTGAGCGTCGCCTAAATTGCTCGAAATCTCGAGAACCGCTTATCAGAACCTATCAATGTGGGGGATTTGATAAATGTAGCTGACGATGAGATCTTGTGGGGGATTTGAGTGTTGAGCTTCTGGGAAAACTTGGAAATTGTTACAAATTCAAATATATAAATCGATTTAGAGAAATCGATGAGCTTGCCGAAATGCTCTCGAAAAATGAGGAAAAAACACGTAAAATAAAGGTGAGTTGGGGAAACATTAACATTAAACAAAACAAAAAAACATTAAAACATGAAACAAAAAAAAACATTAACATTAAATCGTTCAGAATACGGAAACGCGACGAGAAAGAAATGAGGAATTGTGTGCGGTGGATCGGGAAACGATCGAGTTGAATAATGATCTCTTTGAATTCGATCCGCCATTCATCGAGCACGTACGATGCAAGAATGTCGCCGAGTACGAGAGAGGAGCACGGGATCGCGTTGAGGAACAGGTGACGTTTAGAAAGCAGCTTGAAATTGATGAAGAACGAAATGAAATTTAGAATCATAATTTCATAATTTAAAATCATAATTTCACGAAATTGTGAAATTATAATGTGGCACGAACAATCCTAAATGTAGGAAAAATCCATAAAAAGAAAAAAATGTAGCTGACGGGATTGAACCCTCGATCTCTCGACTAGGATGCAGGGCTCTTAGCCAGTCAGCCATAGCGGCAGAATTGGGCCAGTGATTGGGCCAGTTTTCTATCTACCGTATTCTTTCTAATATTAGTGCACCCTGAGCGTCGCCTAAATTGCTCGAAATCTCGAGAACCACTTATCAGAACCTATCGATGTGGGTTCGGAAAATGTAGCTGACGATGAGATCTAGTGGGAGATTTGAGTGTTGAGCTTCTGGGAAAACTTGGAAACCCTAAAATAGTCATCAACTCGGCTCGTTGGGGTGCACTACTATTAGAAAGAATACGGTATATCCCTTTTTATAAACAAACTTTTAATAATCATACAAACCTAGCCTTTATCTATTTTTCAATAATCATTTTCCAATTTAGACGTGTGTGCACGGGTTATTGCGATGTGTGCAAAAGTATGCAGAGCGTCACGTGAGTCGTCGTGCTCGGAGCTCCACTTTTTGGTATCCGTACACGGTACGATGACTGTAGAGAGAAAATCAACTCAAATCCCCATTTCTAGGTGATCGACGTGCCGATGAGTTGCGATTGTATGTGGCCCGTCGATCGATACGGACATCTCGAGCTCTAAACACGCCTTCGACATTTCATACGCGCCTCGCTCCTTTTGCCCATTACCAATCCAAGCTCAGAATTTTTTTTTTTTCGTGTTGGGCTATCGAAAATTGAAAGCTTCTTGATGTCATTAGATGCACCAAGTCTTTCTCTATCGTTTGCTATAAAAACTATTTCATTTCACACAATCCGAGACACTAAGAGATTTGAGCTTAAAAAGTTAAATGCGTGTATAAAATGTCATAAAATTTTAAAACGGGGCATGCCTCGTGCAAGCGTTTTGTTCATAATGATTTCGGATCAATCGGATCAATCAATTTCGTTGATCTTTGCTTTTCAGCACTGAAAAAAGGATTTTCTTTATTTGAAAATGCAAAATGAAATCATTTTCTGAAATCTGAACTGAATAATTGTTGAGATCATTCAAATTTTTCAATTTTAGAAAATTCTTTCCTCTTTCTCTCAATGAGGCCACAAAAGATTAATTTATAAAATTGTGTAACCATTTTTGTGCCATTTTTCAATTCTTTGCGCTTTTTTTTGCTCTTGGTACAAAAAAAAACACAACTTTACAATGGGTGTTCACGGAAATAAATTTGACTGTAAAAATTGGAAGAAAACTTTTATATAAACAAAAATTTGAATGAAAAAAAAAAGAGAAATAACAATAATGAGATCAAATGATGATATGTAGAAATCAAAAAAAAAAAACAGATCTATGATAAAAAGAGAAAGAAGAACAATGACAAAAAAAACGGCAGGATTGAAAGACCCGGATTTGAGAAGAAAATAAGAAAATAAGATAATAAGAAAATAAGATAATTAGAAAATAAGAAAATAAGAAAATAAGAAAACAAGATAATCAGATACTAAGATTTAAAAATTATAATGAAAATAAGAAATATAGAAAGATATCGAAAACAAAAAAAAACTAGAACCAGGGATGCCAAGCAGGGTCAGCTCGGCTTAATGTGTTTGGGTGTGCGGCGGTCAAAAGACACGAATGCATATCCTCTCGAGTTTGCGCAGACTCACTCGAGCTCAGCTCTGAAAATTTCCATAATATTACAAGACTATTGAAAATTTATAGTACAATAGTAAAGCTTATTCGTTTGACTAAAAGTTTCCTCTCATTCTCACTACGATTTTCCGGTAAACTCATATGAATAGCATTTTTTAATTCCCGAATTAAGCAAAACGTTTAAATCTTGTTATAATGTGATGAAATTTTACTTTACAATATCTTGAAACTGTCTTACTTTGAATATTTTTTGTAACCCTTTGCAAGATGGCGGCTGCTTGCTGTAGGTCGGCTCCTTGATTTTGTGAAGCCACCTAAATATTGTTAAATTTTAGTGTTACGAAAGAGATTGTGCTAGAATGTATTTCTTAACGCTTACTTCATCAAAGAACATGATTCTCATGAATGGTTGAGCGCTGTCGTGAAGAAGACATTTCATCGCTGCCTCCATCGCCCATCGCATGTGACCTAAGCATTTTTCATTTAAGATTTAATCTTAAATCTCTTTTTTCCCTTTCTCTCCCCTCTTTCTTCACTTCCTAGTAGATATTGGATAGCTCAGTGGTTAGAGCGTCTGCCCGGAAAGCGAAAAAGGTGAAGGGTCTAGGGTTCAAATCTCTTCTCCGGAGACCTTTTTTCCATTCCTTATTTTACTTTGTTATTTCAAATTTTGACACGCTAGTGATTGTATTCTTGATCAGTAAATTTATAACTCTTTACCATCACGTCCAAAGCCGACAAATTTCTGAAGATTTGGTGTGAAGCGGAGTGCCGGCGCGGTCGGAATCGCCGTGGGTTCGCGGAGCTCGAGACGAGCTGATGAATGCCATAGTTGACAAGAGGAAATGCACTAAATCCCTTCCTTTTCTTTTACATTTGTTTTATTTTTTACCATAAACATATCTTCAAGCCAGAACGGTCCCACTCCCAGTGTCGCCTCCAGCACCGAGATCACTCCAAGTTGTTGAGAGAGCTGAAAATATTAGGATAATATTCTGTTTTTATAGATTTTTGTATACTATTTTAAAGTCTCTAAACAGAAATTACTTCTATTTAGACATACTTGTTTTCGCAAAGTGTAGAAATGAGTTGGATCAGGCACACGAAGAGCAATGTGTTGATAGAGGAAATCCTCACGGACCATGCTACTACATTGTTCTCTAAAATCTTCTTTATAAAACCCTGCATTTCACTTGTGTTTCATGAAACTTAGCAAGCTTTTGATCACTCACAAAAATTGTTGCAACATGGCGGTGTGTGTCCGCTCAGCTTGATGCCCATCCTCGAGTTGACTCGGTTCAACACTCTCCACTGAATTGCGCACACCGCTGTAGAAGAAATCGACCATCTCGTCGGGTTCCATGAATACTTCACTGAATCAAAAAACTTGAGTGAATGTTTTTCTTGTTTTATTTTACCGTATCTTTTCGGCCATCACATCAATTGGATGAACGAGAGTGGAGAAAGCATTCGGCACCTCAACCATTGAACATCCCGACGAAACCTCGACTCGAATCGGTAAGAAAAGACGCAAAAATCGCTTGCAAGCTTCCTAAATCAAGACTTTATTCATTATCTGTTTGTATAAGTTATTCAGTGTTTAGAAAATACAAACATCTTGCACTAAATTATGGCAAAGTGGCTAAAGTGACAAAAAAAAGTCGATTTTTTAATCATTTTTCAATAATTTTTTTCTAAACGCTGGTTAATGCTAAAAAGATGTGTTATATCTCAAAAAATCACCCATCTTTTCTACTTTAATTTAATATCTAAAGGTGCAGAAATAAACGTATTGGTGTCGAGATATGAGCGTTTGTTTGTGAGTAAACTTAGACTACGCGAGCTCCTCTATAGGGGCTCCTCTATTAGAATATTTATGGTATCGAATCGTAAACAGGATACAGTAGTCGCACTGTCTCTACTCCGGCCAACACATATTCGAATACCTTTAATGTTTCCACGAAAAGAAAATCAATCAAACCCGTACCGGTTCTTTCTGCAGAATTTGATAGAAGTGAGAGTAGAAAAGGGAGAGTCTCGGGATTGAGGTGTCGATTTGTGGTTGAATGAATGATCGTTGATTCTCATCCGGATCAAGACATCGATTGATTCCCTCTCTCTTGTGCAACCATACACTTTTTTTCCCTGTATGCGCTCTCACTTCCACTCGTCGAATCGGTCTCGATCCTCTCATTTCCACGTAAATTCGAGCACCAAATCGTGCGATCATTGATTGATATTGCACTTGCTAAATGTTGAAATTTACTTTTTTAAAAGCTTATCAATATGACAAATTGTATTTACAATTGTCATTTATTAATTGTTTTTATTGTTAGTACAAAGTTGTACAACTTACTCGTGTTGTAAAGAGATCTGGGAACGTCTCCACGTCGGCGGTTCTCGATGAGAAATCGGCCAACCACGGAGAAATGTCACCAAGTAGAATTGAGCTAAAAAAAAAAATTTGAATAGATAAGATTGCAGATCTATTCCAGAATTACCTAGGTAAACTTTTCATTCTCCTCAATAAAGCATTCTTGATCGAATTCACGGCGGAGAGTTGTGGCAACAATGGGGCAATTGGATCGGAGAGATTATCACAAAGTTGCACAATCTTCACACTCATCTGTTCACGGAACTAAAATCTTTGCATAATTTCTTAATTCCAAATAAAAAAAAACCAAAGAAACAAACAAACCCTTGGCTCTGACTCGCTTAAAGGCTCTTGTGAAACTGGCCATTCTGCCGCTGACTCTTCCAGGTATTGTTGTTTTAAATCCTGAAACGTATTGCATTTTTAAAATCATTGTCAAGCAGAGATAAGTATTGTTTTACGTTTTACAGCTTTACCTTTACTAGATAACTCCAAGCCGAAGCTTTTTGCGCTATTGTTGCGCTGGAAGTTACTGTAGCCACTCCTGTGAAACGGAACTTGCCAAGTTGCCTGAAAACTGACTTTCAAGAAATTTTATATGAGTAAAGAGGTACCTCTTTATGATATCGATGATATCAAGCGCTTCTCGTAGATGTCTTTCAACCCAGAACTCGGGTAGAGAAGAGAGACATCCAAGAATCGTGTGAAGACATCGTAATCCACTAGGACGTAGCTAAAAAACATATTATAAAGGCTTTTCTTCTTCATTCTTGAAATTTCACCTCTAAAACAATGTCAAGAATGTGCACGAGTTTCATTTGCCACTCGGGAAGATTCATGTCAGCTAACAGAGTCGCCGATGCAGTTGGCTCAATTCGAGTGCAACCGGGTGCCAGAGCTAGATTTGTTTTGCTGATTGATAAGATCAATGCACAAATCTATACTGTAGTAATTATACTGTAGAATACGGTAAATGTAAAATTCTCTCAAAAATTTACCATTCGAAGTCACTCGATTGACAGCTTCAATAGGCAGCAAGCTTCGAATTGCATAGAAAGTCTGTTGTGGGTGAGCACTGGCCACCTAGATTCGTTTAAAAATTCTATAGATAACTTTCTTTAATTTTTCTATACCTTCGTTAAAATGGCAAAAACGGCAGAGCTCGGTCGTTGTCTGATGCATTCACATAAAGCTGGTAACCTGAAAATTTTATTATACACAAATTTTAAAAACAATTTCTCACCATTGTAGCCAATTTGCAGGCACCACTCCTTGTGCATGGCGTCGAATTTCCTAGAAATTTTTCATTTTTGAAGTTATTTCAAAAGCTACTATTATCTTGTTTAATATATCATTTACACATCTCATACCTCATCGAGTTGATCTCGAACTTTATCATCACCGCATCCCTCAATCGTTTTGAGAGTGAAGAGAAGACGAGCTAGACTCGATTTTTTAAGAGGTAAACGCTTTTGAATTAAATATTTATATTTATAAATCTAAAAAACAATATACCAATGCTTTTCGCGGCTTTCTTCTCGTTGTCAATTCGTGCTGCATCCATAAAACAAACAATTGCAAAGAGACCCTCACGAAGAGCTGATTCTGGGGTTCTAAAATAGGCATAAATGTTAGATAATGGTTCGATCTATCTGATTATATTTTATATAAGATACCTCCTTTGATGAAAAATCTCATCAAGGTGCTTTCCCCATGCTTTATAGGCGCTCACTCCATTTGTGGTGTTGTTCGGCTCCTAAAAATGCTTTAGCCTAAACCCTTTCTTTCTGTTTTTACTTGTAATTGAGCAGCTATTGAAAAGATTCTCTCCGCGTCTTCACTTCTGAAAATAAATCAAGAATTGAATCAAGAAACATTTTTTTTCTAAACAAACCTTCCCAAGGTTGACATAATCGTAGCCTTTTGAGTGAAGATTTTACAGAGTGACTCTTTGCTCACTCCTTCTGTCAATGGTGCCTTCTCGCAAATGGCTAATGCCTAAAAAAATTGTAAAGTTCATAATTAGAAAAGTTTTCAATTCAAATTACAGCTTGATTAATAAAAAAATTTTTTACAAAAAGTAACTTAAAAGTTGTTAACGTTTTGCGTATTGATAAATGTGTTTCCTTTTTAGCATTAAATTTGTACAAAAGGATTTTTAAACCAGATCAGCTTTAGCTTTAACGAATCTCATACATGAACGAGGAGTTGCCGAGAGAAAGATGGATCGGTTTTCGGATCAGCCGCTTTATCTTCATAGAGTTTCAACTCCTCAAGCACTTTCGCTTGTGCATCAATTAATGGCAAACTCAACAAGGTGTGTAATCTAAAAAAAAAATCAAATTCAATTCAACTCAATTTTTCTCTTTTACTTGTGCAAAGAGTTTTCCGATAGATCGAAAGCTTTTCGTTTCCTCGCTGCCTAAAATCATTGAATAAAAAGATTAGTAGGCTTCGCTTACTGTAGCAATGATTAGTTGTCCCTGAGCCGAGCTGTGAATCGGAAGCATTTGCTGGCTTGCAAAAGAGGCTTGCATAAGCTAAAAATTTCATTTTCATTTGATTGTTTAAAAATGTTTCAAACCCCTTTCTTTTCCCATGTGTCAAAAGCTTTAACCACTTCGGCATGAACATTCAAACGAAAGTGTTGAGAGTTGATTAAACAAGATAATGAGTCGCTCACGGCTCCAACACGATTTCTAAATATTTTTTGATCTTTAGGTGAATATCTTTTCCTGAAAAACCTCCAAGTTTTCACAATATTCTTCACGTCGGCGATCACTGTTTGATGAACAGCGGAAAGTGTGGTAGATTGTTGAGACTAAAACGTTTTAAAGTTGAAGATTTTTTTTGTTTTAAACGACAAACCATCGAAATGCCAAGCATCACGGGGGCAGCTTCGTGAATTTCTTGTACACTGTTCATCGCTTGAAGTAGAGAAATGTGTGAGAGGTCGACGATTGATGGAAGAACACGCCACTCTTCGATCAATGTTCTTTGCACTTCCTCTACACATCTTGATGCCTAAATTCTTTTGATTGCTCGACAATTGTGACAATTTTTCGTAAGCAAATTTACATACAACTCTGATCTAGACAGAAAATTGTTTGAATAAGAACTTGATCTATATAGATTTACATACAAATACAGTGAAAGATATGTAAATTTGCATGGAAACAAGTCACAAATATTAATATTTCTATAGCACATTCTCTTTATATCAAAGCCTTTTGAACTATATTCTTTCTAATAGAATGATCAGAAGGTTTAGCTATGCGACGATCCTAAAGGATCATCGCTTAGCTAAACCTAATCCCATCTTCGTTTTCTCAGCCGTCTCTTGGCCAATTGCTTTGAAATTTTGTCTACAAGCAGAGAACCCCAGTTTCTATTTGTAAGCAAAATTTCAGAACAATCGGTCAAGAAGGTGAAATATTAGGTTCTGCTTGGAATTTGTCTAGTCATTCTATGTCTAGTCATTCTAGAAAAGATACGGCTCTTTATCACTGACAAAATCATGTGGCGACTCTCGTTGCTGGATGTCCGGTTGCACGACGGTGAGAAGAGCCGAATGCAGAGTGTACGGGATCACAAAGTCTCGAGGCACACAGCCACCGATCTAGAAGAAATAAAAATCGAATCTAGCTGTGCAAATCTTTTTCTTCCCCCTTGTCTTTCCCTCTTTTCCCTACTAAGCTAAGGTGCCGAATAGCTCAATGGTTAGAGCGATTGCCCAGTCTAAGCAGGGGGTTGAGGTTTCGATCCCCTCTGCGGAAATCTGCTTTTCCTTCTCTTCATTCCCACATTTTTTATTATCAATCAAAAAACGGTCTGTTTAAAATCAAATTGTTTAAATCTCTTTCAGATATAAGACTGTTATATCCAATATTTGCTGCAAACGTACAAACCTAGAACTGCGTAAGTACAATTTGAATGTAATTTTTTTTTACGAAATGCTAACACTTTATGGGTTACAACAAGATTTTAGCGCTTTTCGATGACAAACCTGTATCACACATTCGCTTAGCATCGGCCAATCGGCTAAATGCGGACTGACACGCAACAACAACTCAGCGTCTTTCGTCTCTTTCCCATATTGATCGAGCTCTTCCCATCGTGAAAGCTCCATCAATGATCTGAATTTCTTTCCATTATTTTCTCTTTTATCAACTCACTTTTTCCAGATCTCCATCAAGAAATCTTGCTCTTTCTTCCAATGCAAAGTGCACTGATTGTAGCTTTCGGGAGTCATTCTGAAAGCTTTTTTTGTTGTTGAAATCATTTCTCTAAACCAACTGATTGAGTCGATCGAGCCACATATCATTATTGGTTTCGATATAGTGATGAACTTCTTCGAATTTTCCCTAAAATCAAAATGATTTGTGACATTGACACAATTAAACCTTTTGGAATAGATTCAACGCGTGATTTGTGTGTGGGAGTAGAGCTCTCCTCTCCCAAACCACTCCTCTTTGATCGCTTTCAGACAATCGTTCATATAAATCATCCAAGAAGTCCAGAATATTCTTAAATCGTTTTTTTTTCTTTTTCACAAGTCATTATTACCATGCTCTTTAGAATTTCCGATTGAACCGATTCATTTTGAGTGAATTGCAGATGGGGAGAGCTTGACGCGAGTCTTGGAAGATGTTCAGCCATTCCCTCTAACAGAATGATCCCCCGATGCCAGGCTCCATGCCGATTTGCTATGTACTAAATTATTTTCTTTTCAATTTCATTTTAAAAACAAATTACATTAATAATCGATGCTTCAATTCTCATGCCACATTGTGAAAAAATGTCCAAAAGTACTGCAAGCATTGACGGATTCCCGGGAACTTGTGGGATTGCATGGCGCTAAAATTCGGTTTGTCACTTTATTCTCAATTATCACTGTGGCCGACTGGCTAAAAGCCTTATCTTAGTCGGGAGATTGAGGGTTCAATCCCCTCGGCTACAATTTTTTCTTTTTATGGGTTTTTCCTACATTTAGGATTGTTCGTACCAGATTACATTAATAAATGTTGTTTTAAAATCAAAATCAATTATTTCAGACTCACCCCAGAGCATAGAAAAGAGATCAAAACGTTTTCAAGATTGGCTCGATCTTGAGAAGAGAGACAAGCCCAGAGTGATGTGAATAGAGATGAGAAGACTGAGGCCACAAAAGAATTGTCTGTAAATCGAATGGCTTATGTTTATGAAGGCAATAATTGGAGTACTATGTAGAAAGTCTTACCGTTAACATTAAAAATCAGTGAAACAAAGGTGTCAATCGAGTCGGCCATATCGTGTCTCGCCGCTTCACTCAGCAACGATTTCATCTCAGCAAAGAGGGCCGCTTTTTGCGCGATCGGACCATCCGCTTCATCTGCAAATCATTCAATCATTATTATATTAAAATTATTATTTAAATCCTTTCAACCTTTATTATTTTAAAAACTCTCTCACTTTCAGCCACTTCCGAATTCTCATCCATCGGCTCTTTCTTGACTTCCGTCAGCTAAAAAGGTATTAAAAGGTAAAAAGATAAAGAGGTAAAAAGGCTAAAAAGCTAAAAAAGGTATTTTGTGTAAATTTTCAGCCGACCTTATGCGCCGAATCGATTTGCATTGATTCAATACCGGCAATTTCTCGATTAACAGCTAAATTGATATTCAAAATTTGAAAACTTCAAAGCCACTTACAAGTTGAAGCAAAACCAATGCTCTTTGTCAATGTGTTCCATAAAGTGACGAAGCCTATCTCATCATGATGCACTCGTTTACCATAACCGGGTTCTAGATTTTCGATTTGCACTACTCAAAGTACTATAAAGTCTCCAGGATTAACAATTTTCAACACAAATAGCCAATCTACTTTCAGATACTGGAATCGGATATAAAGATCTTCAAAAGCTTCTCACTTCTCACACATTTCAACATCAAAAAGATCACATGTTTCAGCCAAGCAAAGTCTCGCATAGAACTCCAGTTATGTTCACTAAAAAAATTTAGTCTTTTAGATATTTTAACGCTTACCAAAAGATATAGTGAAGTCGCTGGATGATATTCGTGTCTCGGTCTTGTTCCCAGACTCGTAGAAACTCACTCCGAACAGTTTCATCCTAAATTTTGTTGCTCTAGTGAGTTTCCTTAAAATATTAACAAGAGAAGGTCAAATGGATGTGCGCTATGAACCATTCGACGTAGAATTTCACGCTGATCATGATGCTGCTTTTCTTTTTTGCTATGAAGCACTCTATCAAAAGTTATGCGCATTTAAAGTTTTGCAAAGAGTTTCAAAAATCAAACCACGACCTTACAACCCTATCTTCCGGAATGTCACCGGTTGCAGCGGTGACCGAGTGGCAGTGAGGGTCTCTCTGGTTGGAGTCCCGCAGCTGATTGTCTCGTTTCTTTTTTAGGTTTTAATGCTTGTGCGTTCTCTATCGCACAATCATATAGCAAAAAGAAAAAAAACAGCATTATGATCAGCGTGAAATCTCGTGAATGACCAGCACATCCAGTTAACTTTCCCTTGCACTATTTTTAGTTTTTAAAAGTTACAGGATAAGTGAGTCCCCAGTAAAAGGCCGGATAGAGTCGTTCAGCTTCGGGTGACTTGCGAACAGCAGAGAAGGAGAAGATCATCAACAATGAGGCAAGGAATTGACGCATCAGAGGCTAAAGTTTATTAAATATGCTTGTTAACAAAATTAACAAAGTTAGATAGACAATAAAGATTGCCAGCTAATTTTTCCACCTGATTGTCACGGAAGCGTCGTTCAATGATGGGCGTGATTCGCACAAAAGCCGAGACACCGGGATTCGGTAACTGAAAACAACAAAAAGAAATTCTTGTTGTTCTATTTTGCAATAGCCTACCGTATCTCCATAGAAAAGGACAATTTCGTGAAGCATTTTCAGAGACGCTTCCACCACTTTTTCACTGTCAGTGCGCTCGACGTGTTGCGCGAAGAGAATGATCATATTCTAAAGTGAAATCAATAAATTTCAAGGATTTATTAACTTTTTTCAGATTACAAAGAGATCTTTATCTATTAGCTATAGTAAAATCGTTATCTCACTCTTCTCAAGTCGTCCGGCAATTCGGCAATATGCGGTCGAAGCAATTCAAGTGCCACATACAGTAGCTCGGGCATTCCACCTGAAACTTTTTCGAAATTTTAGCTACAATAAGACTTTAGACATTACTTTTAATCAAGCAGAAGTTACGATAAGTTTTAACATTTTTTACCTTTTTCTTTTGTATCAACTTTCTGCTGTACGTACATCCAATGCTCTTTGCCTAATTTCAAAAGTACTCTCGCGTAGGTAGCTGAAAGTTTTTGATAAGTTTATTGATTTTGAAAATAGTTTCAAAATCCTGCTTGAAATCCCTACCCAGACTGATCCTGGTTTTGATGTAATCGCGTTGATGTTGTCCAATGATTCGTAGCAGAGAGAATCCGGTGTAGATCGATTGAATATTTGCTGTAGGGGTTCTAAAATTGAAATTTTCTTTTCAAGCATTCAAGCATTGTTATTCAACTCACCGATCATAGTGATACAGCTGATTGAAGAGATATTTGTGCATTTCTTGATTGAGATTCGGGAAATCGTCGAGTCCATTCTCGGAGCTGCTCGTTTTCTCCAAAAGAGCTTTCACCAACACGTTCACCGCTCTAACCACCTAAATAAATAAAATCAATCAATAATCTTCCATCTAATATCTAGATATTATCTTCTATATTCAATAGTCTCTAAAAATTCTCATACCTGATTATTTCCACTCAGCATGCAAGTGATAATCGCATTCTGGAGGCTTTGAATCGTTTGCACGACGAGCGGAGCCGGCTAAAGCAGATTTTTTTCAGAGGTAGTCAAGGTAGTTTATAGCTTAGAAACTATTTATCTAATCTAATTTCGACTTTTCATCACTTTTTAACATTTTTGATACACGTACCATGATTTGAATGAGCGTCACAAGCACGTCGAGCACATGCGCTGCGTTGGCTGCTTGAGCTTGATTGTTCTCGGCTCGATGCCCCTCGATGTATGATTGGATTTGTCTCTCAAGCCTATAAAAATCGAATTCAAAAGATTCAATAGATTAGATGGATAGAAATTCAATAGATAGAGCCAATCCTCACTGGAATCAAATTCAAATCAGCGTGGGTGTAAAAATCAGCTTCCGGGCCAGTTTCAACCTTAAGTCTCTCGGCTATTTTTTTGTTTAACGGGACCAAAAGGGAACACCTATCTATCGAGAGGGTGTGCCAGAAGGCGAGCGATTACGCGGTCGCACAAAGAACATTTCTTCATAAAATTTTTTTCGCTTTTTAAATGATATAAACAGAGGCTCAATAGCTGTAAATTTGTACCCTGGGATTTCCGGGGTCGCCGAATCGATTGGCAGTATTCATTTTGTCGGATATCGATGAGAAACCGATTTACTTTAGTCATTTCTACATAAAAATCTTCAAAAACATTATATGCTGATAATTTGGTTTTAGGAAGAATCGTTTCTAATTCGGGGCTCTTTACAAAGTCGTAAATTTACCAATTTTGGTTGTAATTTTAAAAATATATTAAAATATTTTAAATATAGAATATCTATAGAATATATTTAAACTATAAAATATATTAAGTTTAAGTTTTATGACAAACCATGTGACTTTGATGCTCGCCGTGGAGCCCCAAAGTTGTGGCTTCAGTGCTGCACGCAGGAGAGCAATACTTCTAAAGATTCAAATTTAAAATTTAAAATTCGATTTTAAATAATGCTTCTAAGTTTTAAGATCTTTTTATAAGTCTAGCAGTCTTTTAAACAATCAATTACAAACCTCTTATTCAACTCGATAACCACTTGCTGTTGATTGGCTTGTTGAACGGTTGGCGGCTGAAAGTGAAAGCTTATAGATACTTGATTAAAAGATATAATTTTCAAAAAATGATCCTTATTTCAAATCTTACCTGAATTGCCAGCTTTAACAATAGTGAAACCACATGTTCGACGTGTTCTTTCGCCAATGGTTGATGCTCTTTTTCTTTGCGCATTTGCATTCCATCCATTGACTCACCAGTATCTAAAGTTAACTTAATTATGAATTTTATTAAAATTAAATCATTAAAAACTCTAAAACCTTCTGACTTACTCGAGTTATGTTCTTCTTTTTTCAGTTGTTGCTGTCGTTCCTCCTCTCTCGTCTCACGATCCCCTTTGAGCTTTTCAAGAACTCCTTCCACCTAAAGTTTAAGGTTTCTAACCATGTTTATAGATATATTTTACATTCATTTTAATTTACAAGCCCTTTATCCTCACCTCATCATTGTTATCAGTTGGCAGGGTATTCATGGCGCCTTTCTCAATCTCTTGCAACTTTTGATTTCTCAAGAGATCCCATTTGATCGCCATCTCACACACTTCAACAACTAAGCGTCTACCATCAGCAAAGTTGGCTCCAAGTTGTTGATATAAACGATTGAGAGTGCCGAGGAGGGAAGGAAGAAGCTCGTGACGAACATGATAGAAAACACGATAGTTTCGGCAAACCATGAAGCTAAATGAAACATTGATATAAAAAGGGATACTTAAGTTTGTTGAAAGATTGTACTGTAGCTTGTGTTAAAGGATATCAAATTGAAGATAGGTTCCTATTTTGCACGTTTCTAAGTCAAACTTACATGCAATGATATGCGTGAGTGCAATTGTGTGCCTCTTCAGCCAAAATCTTCTTCACAGCAGTCAACAATTGGAAATAGCTGAAAGTCTTTTGTAAATAATTTTCTCTTTTCTCTCACCCATCATCCATTCGAATTGGCACTGCTGGAGTGATGACATCAATCGCTTTCTTCACCACATCTCGATTGTCAATATGATAAGCGGACATCAACGAGTGATAGACCTAAACAATTCTTGCTCACCCAAACAATTTCTTAAAACCTGAAGCACAATTTTCCGATTGATTGTGAATTTCTCAATGATGTAAGCAAGGAAAAGATGCGCTGAGTATCTGAAAAGCAATTTTCATTGGAAATAACAAAATCTCTTTACTTGATTGTAATATCTTGTGTCGGTTGATTGAGATACGGCCAACCCAACAGCATCAATGAGCGCAAGCGATTCCCTTGTTTTCTAGGAAACTTTTTGTGAAAGAATTTGGTGCTTCTCGGAAATCCTGGTCTTTTCATTGTGAAAAGCTGCAAAAACCCAAAATCAATTCAATTCTCTCTCTTTTCTTGGAACAGAGTTAAAATCTACTCCACCAATAGATTTTCCGACCTTGAAAACCCCGGGAGAAAAATTCTCGAAACTAAATCTCATTTGAAAATCATTTACAGAACAAAAGAGAATCCTTGTAAATGAATGGCAAGGTGTTCTTTGTGCGGCCGCATAATCGCTCTTCATCTGGCACACCCTCCCGATAGATAGGTGTTCCCTTTTGGAGTCCGTAAATGGAAAGAAGTGGTGAGTGACTGAGCGGCTGAGCTAGGCTTTCCGATTGCTCAAATGCTCAAATCCCTGGGACAAGTCCTTGGCTGTATTTTTGCACATTGAATGTCATTTCACAAGACCCGGATTTCCCAGAACCAATTCCTCTCGTATTCACTTACTTGCTGGCATTATCGTGAATATGATGTGGTGCATGTTGCACGAAAACGGTGGCCAATTGAAAGATGACAACGGTCATTCGAGCCGACATGCTTTTTCGGCACTCGTTCATCACCTCAAAGAATCCATATTTCTCTGTTTAAGGCTACTGTATCACTACAATGTATGAAGCAGAAATGTTTCAACCGGCTCAGTAAGCCAGTCCAGGGAAGACAAAGCCAAAAGCCAGGTTCAGCACTTGCTTCTGGGCTTTCTCTGGCCTTGAAACAGTATTTGTACGAAAACTTGATGTAAACTCTTCACTTTAGATAATTTCTCGACTCATTCTTGATTTCAACTCACTTTTTCCAGTCTGGCCACCATGTTTAGTTGAGATTTCTCAGCGTCCTCGGTGTCCATCGACGACTCATCAGGCACAGTCGTACTGTTTGGAGCCTGGGGTAAACACATTGGACCAACCACCACGTCCACATCATATCTGAATATAATACAGATAATCTTAAATCAATGATTAAATCTAGGTTAGAATTTGTCAAACTCGCCTCTCAATGACATATTGTAAACAAGGAATGATCACGTATTGAATCACTTTCACCCAGACAAGATTTTTCATCGTCACTTCTGGCTCTTCCAATAAACGGTCCATTACCTAAGCATTTGATAAGTCGATAGTTAAAGCTTTTCTACTCACTTTAAAGAACGCCGTTCTCACCCATTCAACCGAATATTTCTAAAAAAGATTTCATTGAAAAGTTTCGTTTCCTTCATTTACCGGAATCACTTCAGACTCGAGGAATTGGCGCACAAATGTGAAATCAGTGACATAATTCCCGACAAAGCAATTCATCACATCAAAAAGAAGATCAATGTGCATATAGTTGGATCTAGAATGGGTATAAAAATTCTATACAAAGCCCACGATTACCTCAAATATCGTAGCATGCAAGTCACCATGAGTTTCGGTACTTTGTATTTGGTGAGGTGCAAGATTTGCTAAATTTCACATTACTAATCGCTTTAAGGTTATATTTTAGAATCCAATGCTTTTAAAACACGCTACCACATGAATCCTTTCCCGGTCCACCGAGTCACCCTGACTTTCCAAATCCTCTTGGTTCTCGGCGATTGGTGGACTCCAACTGTCCGACTTGACGAGATGACGAAATTTGAATTCAGGACTTGTCCAGAGCTAAATTCGAATGTTATAACGATTAAGAACAATGAAAAATAGCCTGCTTAAACCTCTTGTGTCTCACTGACCTCTCTCATTTGCTCTATTAAGCGAAAAGCGTCCGCAAACCATCGCATGTCTTCTCTCGAGCAACTGAATCAGATTTTCAATGAGATTATCGCTTGATTTCTTTTGAAATCTAAATAAATATTGAATCAACTTTACCGATCAATCAGTGTCAATGTGAGCAATTCGAATTCGGAGCAGAGTTGTTCGGTTGGTGGAGTGATCGGCGAGAGCCATTCACCCTTCCCATCTTTCCATTCATCCTAAAATACAGTATTTTTAGCTGAAAATCGATTATATTCTTAAACAGCTGCACTTACAATCATTCTCCCTTGTAACATGTTGAAGAAAAAGATTTCACTTGACGTTGCAGCACTTCTCAATGCCACCGCATCGGGTTCTTTAATGAAACGCCTCAACAAAGCTCGACGACCAGGACTGAAAGTGAAATATTGTAGAAATTAGTTTTTTTACAAGTTTTCTTACTTGCTTACACTCTCTTTTGTGATGAAATAATGAAGAGTTTCAGTCGGGAATCGACAAAGAAAAGCGAGCGCCGTTCTCTCCCAGTTGAGGGGTCTCTGAATTGATTTCTCTTTCTTGTCTAACTATCAAACACTCACATCAATCGTGTATTCATAATCAACTGTTGCCATATAGCTACACAAAGGTCCAACAAAGCTCACATCAAATAGTGCAGACTAAAATCAATCTCGTTTTTCAAAGACTTTAAAAAAAACCGACTTTGCTGAATAGTTGACAAATCGTGAACAATTTGTGCATTTCTGAAGGCAAATTCTCGTTTTTCTCTCCATTCTCTTCATTGTTCTGTTCAGCATTTAGCTGATTGAGATATTTCTGAAAAAAAATTCTATCAAAGATTCTCCCAAATTTATTTACCATAATCGTTTTCGTGCATCTCTCTTCGATGAGACTTTTGTCGATGTGAGCAAGATGGTACAATTGACGAAGAGCATTGTCGGTGATCTAAATTCTTTTATGGTAAATTTTACTATCAAGTTTATTAATTTTAAGCAAGCAATTCTTTGAACTTTAAATTAATTTTGATTACATTGATGCCTGTAATGCCTTTTCAAGCTCACCGAAGCATCAAGCTGATCGAGCACTTGATTCCTTGCCTCCTCCAAAAGATCCATCGGTAAAGGTCGATGTTGAATTGTCTAAAAAGAAAAATTTCACATAAAATATTCGGGTTTTTAAGATTTTAGTTTAAAAATTCAATTACCTTTGCTAAAGCATCTCTGGCTGTGAGTTGAACTCGTTCCTGCTTGTCGCCCAGTAATTTCAGCGACAATCTCAACAGCTCTTCACTTTGCGGTCGTCTATCCATTTCACCATCTGAAAATTGTTCATTTTAATACATATATAATACTATACTTTAAAATACTATTCAATCAACTCACTTTCATAGCCCATCCGGCTGTCACTATCGTTTTGCGGTGACGGCGAGCCGTTTCTTGACAACAAAGTGTAGCAAGAGACAAGACATTCTGAAATTTTATTCTGATGAGAGTTTTCTTTGTTAAAAGACTTGCTTTACATTAAAAGTTAAGCTTTTGGCTTACCTGTAGCCGCTTGTCGAAGCGGAACGATTCGATGAAAGAGATCATGTGGGTGATGAGACGGTGGACCGAGCGGTCGATAGAGTGCATCGTCTAGTAAACCCGCCTCCGTGGAACCGCATATCCAGATAATTCTTTCCAAGAAACTATTCAACCAAGAAACTAAAGGATGATTTTGAGACTTACTGAATCGTTCACTCACCATTTATACTCAAATCAACGATCGGTTTCTCTCCTCCAACCAGCAATGAAAAGGCTTCCATTGTTGCCATTTGTGCATGCATTGAGTTGCCCTAATCATATTTTAAAGTTTAAAGTTATAGCTTATTATTTAAAGGTTAAAATTAAAGTATTTTTCCAAACCCCAAATCGTTCACAGGCGTTCGTCAATGCGGCTTCTAGTTGGAGTCGTACGGGAGCGAAAAGTCTCTCTGGTGGAATCCCTGTGTGACTCGAGAGAGCCAACAACAAAGAATAGATCTAAAATACAATATATTTAGGAAAAAAGTCGGAAAAGTAATAATTTAAACAAACTATTCGTTTACCTGCGTGCGAAAAGCTTTATCGGGATTGAAGAGATGACGGGAGTACTCAGTGACAAGAGTCGCCGCCACTCGAGCGTCTCTTTCGTTTGACTCGTTGAAATTTGGTATGCAAGTCTGGAATTTGTTGCTTGTGCAAAAGAATTTAAAATGAGCTGTAAGTTATATGTTTTTGATCAATTAAAAACTCTTTTTTTGACGTACTTTCGGTACAAGCTGTAGCCCGGAAAGCGCCATATCAATGGTGCCTGAAGAAACCTCATCTTGTAGTCCCAAATGAGTCTAAATCGAACAATAAACAGATTTTTATTGACTTTATGATTTGAACAAACCTCTAAAAGACTTCGAATAACGACAGAGAGATTGGCGGAGATGAGAGCCGGTGGGTAATTCTCGATGAGATAATGTAAAGCCGATGCTCCACCAAGACGCGCAAACCTAGATAGAATTAGAGGAAATTGTGATTCAAATCTCACCAAGATTCCTCATAACACAGCTCACAAATCCTTTCCAACATTTGTTTCAAGAAGGGTAGGCTTACAAGCTAAACAATTTTCTCTTAGATTTAAAATTGGATTTTGCAAACAATGCTCTCATTATCGATTAGAACCCTCAGCGTGTCGATAATGTGCCGAAGAGCGACGATGGCAGCGTTGACGAATTCCTAAATTGTAAGTGTTTATTAAAAAAAAATAATTATCAACTCATTATTATATTACAGGATTTTAAAATTCCCTTGCTCACAAACCTTATTGAGATCCGAGAGAGCAACGATAAGGACATCGACGAGAATCGACGAATCCATGCAAGAACCAACCGGATGCACACAGCCAAGCTCATCACCACCTATAAAAATGAACAATTGTTGGATATAATACTTGTTATACTTGTTGATTTTCTTTTATACTCACCAATTTGCTCAAGCAGCGACTGAATGGTGAGGTACTTGACAACGGCATTGAAAAACTTGATGTACTCTTTTCGGAGGTCTTTGCCAACAATTGCAACTAAAGTAGTTGAGTTAAATAATGTAAAAATAGTAAAATGTTATATATATTGTAATATTTTAGCAACTTACAAAAAAGAACTGTCAACGCGTCGACGTAGATTTGTCTCAGCGCTGTTCGCTCGCATCGGAACACCGGTCCAAAGGAGACTTTGTTGATTCGCTGAAAGTTTTCTTGCATTCAAATCCATTTCGCAATGCTTTATATTCATTCTTTTCTTTATATTCTTTATATTCAAATTCTTTCTTTTCTTTAAATTCAAATTCATTTACTTGTAATGCTTTTTTCACTTCTTCTAGCAACGAGGTCGTCAAATCGAGATAGTCATTTGGTGCCAAACCACAAAGAAGCACCGATCGGGCAAGCTGAATTCATTTTCAATATTTACAGGGAATTTCTAAGTTTTATAGTTGATGTATTTGTAAATTTTTATGCAATTTTTTACTTCAGCAGCTCGCTGACGAACGAGAAGAATGGCCGCCTGGTTGATGACCAATTCCGAAGTGAGACCATTTCTGGAATAGCAAATATCATAAATATCCTAATAGACCTTCTCGTACAATCGCGTACTTAGAAAATCTTTCTTTTTTTCTCTGCCCCTAGATTCTTTCCAACTACACTTTTAGTATCAAAAAAATACTAGATTTCAAGGGTTATCATTTGACACCAAAGGGCACACTGTAGCTTAACGCAGCGCGGAGAATGGGATGTTTAAAGTTAGACTACGCTACTGTACGCCCGTCATTAGAGTGGCATTCTATTAGAGGATTTACGGTAGGTTTTTGTTTTGAAAATAAAACTAGTACATAGACTTGCGTCTACTTATTGTTAGGTATTAAAATATGTACCTGAGCTGATCAGCTGCAATCGAAAGCGCTTGTTGTAACGGGAGACGAACGTGAAGTCGCTGTGAAGTCGCTGTCTGCACGAAAATTCCTTCATCCGTTGGTTTCCCACCTTCACTTCTTCCATCAACTTCTATCACCACATACCCATCGCCCAGTTCATCCTCTTTCAATACTTTCAATTTCTAAACTTTCTAAACTTTCCCTTTCTTTTTTTCAACAAACCTGTGGCTCGACGAGCATTTTTCGATTACTCCCACCGAGTTTTCCCAAAATTTTAAGCGCTGTCATCGCTGATTGCAAATCGGAGGCTGAGCTGACCTGGAAAATTGAGGTTAATTTTATGGTCATGATAAGAATTCAAAGAATTTGAAAATTTAAGGATGCTCCTCACCGTTTTCCAAAGCCCTTGCATAAGTTGAGCTCTGACAGGAGCCATGTGCTCATACAGATAGTCGGGCTGCAAGTTGTCCACACAAAGCTCCAACGTTCGTAGACCTGAAAGTTTGAGTTTAACAAAAAAATGATAAAGTTGGTAGAGTTCTGAAAAATGGATACCTTGCTGCATCAGAGAACTGCTACCATTCAACGCGGAGACAAGTGGATTCATGAGAAGTGGCAAATAGGGAAGAAGCGAGGAGAGACGCACGGGGATCGTCAAGCACAGCTCGGTGAACAGTTCCCTCATCGCTTGACGATGCGCACACGATTGGAGACGATTCAATTTCTGTAACGAATTATGTTTCAGGCAAAGTCATTTTTTTAACGACATTCACGACAAAGAGATTTTTCTTTGTCAGTAAATAAGCCTAAAATATTTGCACCTGGAGGTTCGAACTTCGAATTTCATATAAACTTTTTATCTCCATTCATTTCCGCTTTTTCCTACGAGTGACACGAAAGGTAGCCGTATTTTTAGGAGTTTTTAGGAATATGTTAAACAAAAACCTTTAGCAAATCGGGTAGAAGAGGCAAAAACTGGACATAAAGCATATCGTGAGCTCCGCCGCCAATCGATCGGAAAAGAGCTCTGAAAATGGAAAAATATTACTTAAAATGCTAAAAACTTATTTTATTATTTATCTACTCACAAAATAATATTCTGTTGTTTGATTTTGGGAATTAAAAATATGTGAAACCTTAGCAAAAGGAAGTAGTTCTGTGGCTCGCGACTGTTCAGAGCCAATCGCACCGCATCGCTCACCATATCGTGCATGTAAGGCTAAAAATGGATTATAAATGGATTAAAATGTATAAGCAAATATCTAAGCTTTGAATTTTAATATTTTCATTTTGGCTCAGAGAGAAGATTAGACAATGGGTCATCGGCGGTGCAGAGAGATCCCCGGTGGATCTCTCTGTTTTATCACTCCTCTCCAGGTGATCGATCTCATCATAGCCAATTAAATTAGATCAAAAATACAAGTCTAGTTATTATATATTATTATATTTTTATCACCTTCAACATTTTCTCAATATCCACACATCCTGTCGACTGGGCGCATGAGACTGCAGAGAACATCAGTTTGTAGAGCTTTAGGTAGAGGCTTGATCGATGTGAATTCACTATGAATATAGATAAAAACTTTAAATTTATAAACTTTACTTACCACTCATTTGGGGTAATCTTTGAAGCAAATAATTGACGAGAATTCCCCCAAAACGAGCCGAAGTCTCTGGGTTTACGAGAAAAGAGTTGCAGATCAGTTGAAGAGCGTAATTTCGGGATATTCTTTCGATTAAGAACTGAAAACATTTCATTAACATTTTGAAATTCTTTTCTAGTACATTTCTAAAGAATTCTAATGACTTACATCCATATGAGCCGAGAAGATTTCTTGGAAAACATCGATGTTGAGTTGAGTGAACTAAAATGGATTTCATGATGGGAAAAAATGCTTTTTAAGCGCTTACCACATTAGCAAACGAATCCAGTGAGTCTTTTTCGTCTTTTGATCGAACCGCACCACTAAATAGTTGTAATTTTCGATAAGTTTAGGGTAAATCACGTGGACCGGGCTTGACTTTGAGTCGGCAACATGTACACATCTAAACAGATGATCCCGTATTTGAAAAAACGCACGAAAACGTCTCGCTCTTCACCGAAAGTCATGCTCTCTATAAATATTGGAATTCTCCCTCGCAAATTTTCAAACAAACTTGTCGTCCTTTTCAAATTGCTTTCGATGAGCTGAGCCACTACGTATTTGGCGCATTGGATCAAGAATTTGATCATATTTCGACAATCCACCAACGAAAGCGGTGGAGCAGGGATTCCCCAAACTGGAAAAAATAAATTATTTCTAGTTACCGGAATTAAGTATATCTTTCTGGTTTACCGGAATTAAGTATATCTTCTAGCGGGGTTATTCGGGCAGCGGGCGGGCTTCTCAATGGCGGTTGATTTGTTGGAGCAGCTCTGGAAAGATTTGAAAATAGGAACACAGCTGTTTAAAGAGTTATTTAAAGAAATATGAAAGTTTAAAGAATCTTCATACCTCCCTTTGAGCACAGGATCAGCCTCGTGAACTCTCGATGACTCAAGCTCGGGCACGGTATCGAGTGAGGGTCGTCGACTTCTTGCGTCACCCAAATCACAAGCTGATGTCATCAACTCATCCAAGAGTTTGTCCTAGAAAATTTCTAGATTATTGGATTTCTATGCTGCTAATGTTTGCACTTATTTTACACTTAATTTCTTGACGTTTGTAGAAAGATTGCAAACCTCATTTGAGCCTCCACTCGTCGACGGCAGCACTCCATCTTCGGGTCTAAAAAATTTCCTCAAACAAATTCTTTTTTATCAAACCTCTCCTTGAAAGCGCTTCCCTCATCAGGACTCCATTCCAATCCTCCACCATGTTGTTTGAAGAGTAATGGCAAGTGATAGTAAGCCAAGATCTAAAGTCAAAAGATGTACTTTGTTATTTTTAGCTTTGTTACCTTTAGCTTCATATTGCACGTTTCAAGAATGTGAAAAAGAAGATCTCGTCCCTGGAAATGACAGATTTCTCTTTTCATTACTTATTTCAACATACCGGTTCTCCTTTCTCTTTCTCGAGTTTCCCAAAAGCTTCACAAAGATTCATCATCAACCGAACGCACATCGATTGAAGATTTGCCGGTAATGAGACATCGTGCACACAACGAGAATACACGAAAATTGTGCTAAAAAGCGGATTTGATATTTTTGATCATTATTTTCTCACTGGCAAAGGATTTGATATGGTAGAAGCAGGCGTAAATGGTGCAACAAATCGGCATTTATCGAGTACATCATCGGACTGTAAATGAGTGTTCAACAAAAACTCATTAAATTTCTTTACCGTATCGTATCCTGACACGTGTAACCGGTTCCAATCATCAACTTTTCCGAAAACAATCGTGCCACATAAGGTCGAAACTTGTCACGGAACTAAAATATATGAAAAGCATGGTGAAAGATGATAAAATTCGACTCACATCACTTGTGTAGAAAAATTTGACAGCCATCAAGAGCTCTCTTCGGGCTTGCACCATCTCAGCCGGGCAACATTCGAGTAAATTGAAAATCCCAGAAAGCAATTGCTGTGAACTCGCGAAGACGACATCCGGCTAAAAGTCAAATCATTTTAGATTTAGATCAAAATCAAATACCGTTTGTTTCGCTATATAGGCCATAAAAGATAGTGATTTGATTTGACAATTGAAGCAATCATCGGCAAGTTCTCTGAAATGTTTTATTGAAAGGAAATGAGACTTACAGAGGAAAAAAAAGCAGAAAATTGAATATCTCTTAATATTCAAAGAAAAAGTCAACAAATGGGGCAGCTACGTTTTTCCGCTTTTTCCGTCGCAGTGCATAGCTGCCCCACTCGTTGAGTTTTGCTTTGAAAAGCAAAAAATATTCGATTTTTCGCTTTTTTTCTACTTACATGGTATAAATATTGATTTCAAACCTGTTTATGCTGTCTTCAGGCTCTGGCGGATCTCTTCCACCCATTGGAGACGATGGAACGGTTAGATTGATAAAGGAAACCATTGCTTTCATCATTTCACTCATCTAAAAATATTATGATAAGAATATTCTCTTGGTTTTCTCTGTTTATTCTTACTTCAGTGCCAATTTGATGCTTGTACTGGTTGAAAATCAATACGAATAGCATCGGGATCTCGGCCAACATTTTCACAGATTGAGAAGCTCTCGGGATCAAGACGTACTAAAATAATAATTGTATTATATTCCTCAAATATCTAAGACTATTATGTTATCTTGTAATATGATTTTAAAGCTCTTAAAGCTTCACCAAAAACAACTCACTTCTGGCTCAGGTTGTGGTCCAGGCGGCCGCCCGTTCGAGTCATTTAATGTCACCTTTTGCGAATAGAAACACGTTTGCAAATACTAAACTTTCAAATGAAAATTTTTCGATGAAATTTCCCTACACTTGCAATCAGAATCTCTTCTTTCATTGGCTGTGTCGGTCGTCGAATCTTCAACTGCTCAAACATTTTCGGATTCGATACGTGTTTGTGCATATCGAAGAAAACTGTTCGAAAGTGTTGAAGCACTGACGTGACATCGAGAACGGGTAAAGCCTAAAATATTTTTGAAATAATCTTTATCTTTTGTTATTTAATTTACTTCGTTATGTATCCGAAACGTTTTGATATGATCGATGAGAATTTTTAACGCCAGGCACCCATTCTCTTCGTTCTCCTCGCGGATCAACCGCAACATTAACTTTTGCACTTCGTTTGTGCACTTCTTTGCAATCTAAAAACGTGCTTAGTTTGAAATTTTATTGATTTCCCGTAAAACAAGTAAAACTGTATTGTTTGAACGTTTAAAATCACCTCATGTGAACTCGTTCTCAGCATGATTTCCAGCATTAATTTTCGAAGTTGCTAAAATAGTTATTAAGGTTGAAACCTTAAGGTTAATTTTTTAAGTTTATTAAAATAGATTTCTAATCATACCTGAGTATTATTTTCTTGAATAAATTGCGGATTTGTTTGCACAAAGAGTTGCGCGATGAAGGCTCTGGAAATGAAGCTATTCGGCTAGGTCTTTAAGACTGAATAAAAAGCTATATTAAAAATAAGCATAAACATTATGTACAGTATGTAATAATAGCATGTAATAATTTTACTATTACATAAAAGCATGCAATACTTTTATTATTGCTAACTCACCGATAGAGGCTCTCCAAAACGTGCGCGTACATCGGCGAGTTTGAGTGAATATCGAACATCGTCCATATTTCCTAAATTTTAACATAAAAAACCATTATCCCAAATGAGAAGCAATGCAAATTGTCGACCAAAATAAAGTAATGCTATTTAGTTTTTAAACTTTTTACAAAAAAAATTAGCCTTAACTCACTTTAAGCGCCGACAATTTTACGTCGTCTCGTTGCGTGTTCTCGTTGAGCGTTTTCAGCAACGATTCAATGTTCAAACGACCACCCAAATTCACTGGCAATCCCAGCTAGAAATGTAAATACAAGTTACATGTAAAATATCAGCCTTTAAGTAAAAAAAAAACATAAACCTGATCTTTCTTTTTCTTACCCCAACATCGGGCCGAGCCGGCGCTCCAGGTTGTAGCATTGCTGGCGTTCGTTTTCACGTGGTTGAATCGTTAAAACTAAAAACAAAATGTATAAAAAGTTTAAAATATGCGAATTAGGCGAGTAAATGGCAAGTGGATCGGGGGGAGGAAAAGGGGAATTTGAAAGCGCGGGGGATTGAACAGGTTTGAGGTACGGTGGGGGGTTTTGATGGCGAGATTCATTTCTGCCTACCCTTTTTACCCAGCCACCAGTATAACACTGGAAAATCATTTTCATAGCATTAGAAAACAAACTTAGTATTACGATAAAGGTTTTCAAAAATGGTACTGATTGTAATTTCCCCTGGCAGATTTGGGGGCAATTCTTCTTGTAAGCCATTTGGATTTGGGACATTTAAGCTTTTGAATGGGCTTAAATTCATAATATACAATAAGTTATTGAAATGTGAATAATGAATAATTTGTAGGCAAGTTTGGTAAAGAGAAATGTATAAAAAAAAGGCAAATCAATTCTCGATAAAAGGCTCGCTTAAAAGCAGCTATTAATGCAGCACAGGTTATAGAAAAATGTACTTTAAACTTTTAGAAAGTTTATCATACGATATATTTCAATTTACGCATTGTTAGGATAATAAATCAACAAAAATCCAACAGAACAAAACAACAAAACAAAATTGGGCGGTGGCTACTTTGCGACAAATTTTTTGCGCAACTTGCCATAACTTTCTTTTAAATGGGCCAATCTTTATAATTTTTGGTGTCATTTTGTTGCACTTGTTGAGATCTAGAAAATGACACCAAAATCATAAAGATTGCCCCCACTTAGAAGAAAGTTATGGCGAGTTGCGCAAAAAATTTGGCGCAAAATTAGCCACGCCCTTCCTTTCTTTTGGCAAATAAAATGAAAGTTTGCTCATTCGTGCGCTTTGTTTTTTTTTGCAAACTAATTCACGCACCATTTTTGTTTTAGTGTATCAAGTTGAAATTGAATGGTGTCATTTTGTAGATCTCAACAAGTGCAACAAAATGACACCAAAAGCATAAAGATTGGCCCATTTAAAAGAAAGTTATGGCAAGTTGCGCAAAAAATTTGGCGCAAAGTAGCCACCACCAAATTTGATTTGTTGTTTTGTTCTGTTGGGTTTTTGTTGATTTATTATCCTAACAATGCGTAAATTGAAATATATCGTACGGTAAACTTTCTAAAAGTTTAAAGTAAATTTTTCTATAATCTTTGCTGCATTAATAGCTGCTTTTCAGCGAGCCTTTTATCGAATCTTAAAGATAAAAATCATAAAGGTTGGTCGACTTAGAAGAAAGTTATGGCAAGTTGCGCAAAAGACCCAATTGCGCAAAAAATTTGGCGTAAAGTAGCCACCCCCTCAAAATTGCTTTGGCAAAACGTTTTATTCTTACAACCGAACCTTTTTGTTGTCAAAAAGAACAAAATTGGGCTTTTGACTTTTATTTTGTAATTTTTCATTTACCAGCAACAATTTATCAACAACAGCAACAGCGGGGGTGGGACAAATGCGACCTTTTTTTTGCGCACCTGGACATTTGCGCACCTTTTTTCTGCTGGAAAAGGCCTTAGGAAAGGCCGTAGAGCTTCAAAAACGTTTTCACAGAAGGGAATCGTATGCGTAGAGACCGAATTTCGACAAATCAGACCTCGCTGACACGTCAAATTTGGGCTAAAAGGCAAAAACTACGCAACTTAACGCTTTTCCGCAGTTTTTGCCTTTTAGCCCAAATTTGACGTGTCAGCGAGGTCTGATTTGTCGAAATTCGGAATCTACGCATACGATTCCCTTTTATGGAAAAATTTTCGAAATATTTTCGAAGCTCTACGGCCTTTCCTAAGGCCTTTTCCAGCAAAAAAAAGGTGCGCAAATGTCCAGGTGCGCAAAAAAAAGGTCGCATTTGTCCCACCCCCGCAACAGCAACTTTCTAAAAGTTGTACGATATATTTTTCTAAAACAATTTATCAACAACAGCATAGAAAAACCTTTTAAATGCTATTTAGAGGACGTATGAGCCAAAAAAAATATGTTAAAGAATAGGATAAACTAGGCTAATCTCATTCAAAAGACTTTGGAAAAGGCAATCAGCTGGGTAAGCTCTACAGAACATGTATTCAAACATATAAGAAGGTAGTCTATCCCATTTCTATTTGAAAAACAATGAAAATGTATTGTTTTTTAAGCAGCGCAATATCAGCAAAACAAAACGATGTCTGTTTAGTTACTAGGTGCAGCAGGGTTTAAATACCGGCTAAAAAAAATACCATTTTTCCGACATTTTTGGTAGACAAATAAGCTAAAAGAATCTCGTATGCGTAGAATAGTATTTCCATATAAGGGAATCGTATGCGTAGATTCCGAATTTCGACAAATCAGACCTCGCTGACACGTCAAATTTGGGCTAAAAGGTAAAAACTGCGGAAAAGCGTTAAGTTGCGTAGTTTTTGCCTTTTAGCCCAAATTTGACGTGTCAGCGAGGTCTGATTTGTCGAAATTCGGAATCTACGCATACGATTCCCTTATATGGAAATACTTTCGAAATATTTTCGAAGCTCTACGACCTTTCCTAAGGCCTTTTCCAGCAAAAAAAAGGTGCGCAAATGTCCAGGTGCGCAAAAAAAAGATCGCATTTGTCCCACCCCCCATTCTAGCTATAAAGCAGTCCCGATTTCGGGATCTTCTATTGGAATAATAACGGTAAAAGTTTTGACTTCCAGGATTCGACTTAAGAGCCTAAAATTATATTTGTAATACGCAAAAATAACAATATTATTGTACTTTTTGTTTGTAAGAAGTTTCAATGGGTGCTGTTTATTCAATAATTATAGCAATAGCAATAGGACGATTTTTTTAAAAAGATCACTGATGATGCAAGATTTGCGTAAAGTAAAGATCAAGTAAAATAAGTATAAAGTGGAATAAAGATAACAAAGAATCGTTATTTAAGAAGCAAACTAAAATGGCTTTATATCACTTTCTTTTTCAGTACCATTTCCTGGTGTATTCAACGGCTTCTTCAATTGAGGTCCGAAGTTTGTCAAGGAAAACCTCTTCGGCTTCTTGTTTTTCGTCTTCTAAAAGTTTGGGTACTTAAATTTTATGATTTTTAAGGGACTAGATTTTTAAAAATATAATATTCACTTATTCAATAAGCTTATTAAAGCTTAAATTATTCAATATTCTAAAGTGCAACGGACCGGGCACAGTTTTCAATATCATCTCGATCATTCCAGCAAAAAATGGAAGCACAGGAATCGTGACAATTGGAATCAATTTTTCGTAGCCTTCGTTCAACTAAAGTTTATCAATTTATTTCTAAAGTTTACTGTAATATTGTAGATTATAAAGTACTGTAAAAAAAATACCGTATTTCTTCGAATAGAAGATCGGGTAAAGAGTATCATCGCGTACTCCTGTGTAGCAGCCCTTTTTAAAATTTCTTTCCTGCATAAAAGCTTTCAATGAAGTGCTATAGGGCTGGAAAATGACTCAAAAATACCACATGAGCTAACAGATTTTTGAGCCATTTTCCAGCTCTATAGCACTTGATTGGAAGCTTTTATGCAGAAAAGAGATTTTAAAAAGGGCTGCTACACAGGAGTACGCGATGATACTCTTTACCCGGTCTTCTATTCGAAGAAATACGGTACCTTTCTACTATATAACTTACCATTTCTACAGTAAATGGCACTTTCACCTCGTCCCCACACTCAGCCACCAATGTATCGTAATAAAGTTGGATAAGACGATGTCGGCTAAAAATTGGATCACTAGGGTTACTGTAGATGCATTTGGATCTTTCCATTAGTTTTGCTTTTCTTTACTTACTTTTCATGCTTCACCTTTCCCGATAAAGCGCTATTCAAAAAGCGCACAATGTCTCCGACCGGAGATCCGGCGTGAGGCAGCTAAAAAAAATCGTTTTCTTATCTTAAAATTTAAAATCTCGTTAAAATCTCGATCCAAACCTGCCAATCGATGAGCTTTTTGAGGCGATAAAGTCCGTTTTGATCTTTCTCCCAAATCACATTCGCTGTCCAAAGATCCCCATGACAGAGCATTTTGATTGGACCTTAAAATAAGTTTCTTTCTAAGTTTCTTTTAATTTTCTTTTAAGTTTCAATCAAAACATACAACTTTCATCTAGAAGTTTCTGATAATTATCCATATCAGCGAGAGCTTCGAGCTTTGTGGAGATGAAATCGAGATGTTGCTCCATGTTGGGGGCATACTTAATTTGTTTTTTTGTCAAATTTTCATAAAAATTTGGATATTTATAGGTTGCATAATGAATTTGGGCTTGCTTTTAATTGTGCTAGAATACAGTAATACGGTATTCAAGTTGAATTTAGCCTCTCTTTACCTTGGTGAGCGATGGGAGACCGGCTCGTACTTTCTGAAATTTTCAATATTCAGAAACTTTTCTGACTTCTACTGGACTGGATAAATCTTTTCACCTTTTTGTATACTTAGAAAAGAGTTAACTCCCTCTGGAGTCAAGGAGATCCAGTCTGCTGTGGTGTAATGGTTAGCACAGTTGCCCGGTAAGCGAAAGACCGGGGGTTGAAGTCCCGGCGTCGCAGATCAAGTTTTGATCTGCCCTAGTTCCAACTAGCCAATTAACCAATTAGCATCCAATTTGCTTCTTTAGAAAAGCTTAACTCTTTTTCTACAAAAGAACGTTAAATTATTCTGAAATTGTTTGGTTTTTAGACACAATTTAACCACTTAGTCCACGGAAACCTGTCCTGATATCAATAGAAAAAAGATAGAGCGTAAAAAATTAGGTTTATAGCTAAATTTTCAGAATCATCAGAATCAATCGTAGTAGAATTTTTCAAAACGATGTAAAAACTAGTTTTTACACTTGAATTGACTGAAAAAGATAGAAAAATGAGCAAACAAAAAAATCTTTTCTATTAGAATCTTTTCTATCTTTTCTATTCTAAGCAAAACGAAGCTCAAATTGGTGAGTTTATCATTTCTAAATGAAAATACGAAAAAAAGGTGAAAAGATATCTTTTATCAAACTTATCAAAACTAACTTGTTTAGCAAAGTGATAGTAACTTACCTCAACAGAAAAAGCGTCTTTAAACATTTGGACAATAAACTCGAGTTTATATTCTTCGACAGTTTTTTGATCTCGAAGACCTAAAGAATTCATAAAAAAAAATCAAAAATCAAATTTCACCTTTTGCTCCTAGTTTAGCTAAAATCCTGAAAACATCTTCGCAAGATTCCAACTAAATACAAAAGCTTTTCTTGATTTCTCATTCCGATTCACCTGAACATTGTGATAGACGTGACGAACGATTCCCCCATCGATAAACTCCAATGCAATATATCCTTAAATTAAAAAAAAAAGAATTCACCAAATATTTATAAAGATCAACCAGCTTTAACGCCATCTTCACCAAAAGCTCGTCCACTGTAAAAAAGCGGCATTCGGAGCTCACGATCGCATTTCCATTGGTCTCTCATCAGCAAATAGATCTTCATTTCATTGTCATGAATCTGAAAAAGTTGAAAATTTCTCTAACTACAAATTTTCCTCTCACTTCAGCCGCTTGTTTCTCCACATCTTCAAACTTTTTCTGTAGCACTAATTCGCACATGTCACGAAGCTGAATCATAGCATAATTATAGCATAATTATAGCATAATTATAGCGTAATGATAGCATACAAAAAAGCTCTTTCATACCCCAGACACATCAGTGATCTTTATGATTCCCTTTTTTGGGAGCCGCTCTTGATCTTTTGTCCAATCGAAATCAACGAGTGCTATTTTCGAAACATATCCCTATAATGCATTTCGTTTATCTCCAAAAATCTTCCCTCACCTGGTTCACCCCAAACTTTTGCGCACTTTTGTTAACGCCAAATTTTGCATCGGTGTTGAAGTGCTTCTGAAATATTAAAATCAACTCTTTCGAATGCCTTAGCTTTCTCATTAAAATCTCACTTGCAAATCCTTTTCCACAATTTCCCATTTCATCGGTGTTTCAAGAATAAAGGATGGATCAGGAATCGGCGTTTCAATAATCGGTTCCTCTTTTTCACCTGTCGTCATTCTGATAAACAAAATTGATTGACAATTTATATGAGAAAGGTTTTTAAGTGATACAGTTAATGATGTAAATTGATTTCGAAAATCAATGGGGAAATGAAAAACGATCAACGCCTAGAAACTGGTTATTCAAGTGACGAGTTTTCAGCGTCAATTATAGCCTATCCTCTTTCAATGGGACATCAAAAAGCGAAACTTACAGTTGAGTTGGATCAGGTACGACAGTTGAATTCTCTGTTTGCATTAGAGACTGTGGAAAGCGATAGTAGAGAAAGAAAAAAAAAGCTGAGTGCAGAAATGACTCAGCCAGTTAGAGGGAACTTTGGTCTTTCCAAGGCAGATACTCAACTCAAACGTTTTCTAATCGAAAGCAACTTGGACTAACTTTAATTGTTTCTTTATGATGTACCATAAATTTGAAAACTTTATTTTAAACAACAGTTGCAAAAGTTGTCATTGCTAACAACAAAACACAATAATGCCCAAAATCCACCGAATCATTTTCGGTTAACAATAAAATTATCACAAGCATGTCGTTTTCCGTAATTTAACAGCATACAACATTAAACATAACAATAGATAAAGGGCTAGGAGATCATCAGAACGAGTGAAAAACAAATGACAAAAACACAAAACTTTCAATGTTGCTACTGGCTATCCCGCCGCTTCTTTGGAGACGTTGGTTTGGCTCGTTTCACTTGCTTCATTAAATCAGCCAATTCACCAGCTTCAAGTTCCGTCTCACTTTCACCTTCTTTGTTGCTAACCAGAGAATCGTCTAAAAATTAATGTAAAAAACCAACATCAATTACTTAATCATTAACCAAAAACTCACCAGCTTCAATTGCACCACGTGTTCCAATAGTCACTTCTTTCTCCAGTTGCAATTTACGTTTAGCCAATCTAGCTATTCCTTCCTCAATGGTTCCTAAACAGATCGACTTTTAAATACCATCCAAAACAAACCTTTAGAGATCATGCGAACGACATGCACTGGTTTTTCCTGTCCCATGCGATGACAACGGTCTTCAGCCTTTAAACATAACATTAGAGAATGAACCTCTACGTCCATTTACTAGTCATAATTGATAAAATACCTGTTTGTCATTATAAGGATTGAAGTCGATATCATGGATAAAAATATGATTGGCTGAAGTCAAATTGATGCCAAGTCCTCCAGCACGCGTCGACAGCAGAAACACAAAGAGCGATGGGTCATGGTTGAAAGAATTAATCATGTCCTGTCTAAATAGAAACTTTTTATTTCTAATTTATTTGAGCCAACCTTTCCATAACCGGAGTGCTTCCATCCATTCGGCAAAATGAGTGACCTCGAACGCGCAAGTAAGCCTCCAAAATGTCCAGCATTTGAGTAAACTGCGAAAAGATCAAGACTTTTTCACCCTGAATAATCAAAGTAATGTCATGAAGTCTAAACAACGAACCAACCTTTGTTTTGATTGGGGGCAGCCGTTGATCCAAGAATTTACACTTTCCACTTTCAATTGCTACACTATCATCGATGCAAAATTCCGAGGTCGATGAAAACTAAATATGGATATGTAATAAAACGAAATTGGCGAAACCTTCTCGCAGATCTTATGTATTTGATAGTCCGACAGACAAAGAAGATCTTCTGCGACATCTTCAGCTCGTTTCTTCCCATATTCTTTCTCCTGAAACCATATTAGATTGTGCATATAAATTAGCTACGCAAATTCACCCACCCATCGAACTAATTTTTTGGCAACTTTAGTACAAGTGTCATCATCAAAAACCCGACGCGTCATCAGCGGGTGATTTGCAGCCTAAAATCAAAGGTTTGATAATGTAAGCCACAAAATAATACTTGACGTAAACGCATAATGCTTGATGATGTGGTTGAAGAGCTATCATCCACTGATCGAAGCAACTAAAAAATAGATAAATAAACCAGCAAATTTTTGCACTGGTGCAGACCTCCATTTGATAATCATAAAGATCGGCTTGTTCTGCTTCCATCTTGATTGTAGCAACTTCTTCAGTCTTCTTTGGCAATTGATTCAAAACCTGCATAAATGTTGTATGACATCAATAAATGAAACAAACTTGGCACTTTAGACGACGCAAAATATAAGGTTCAAGAATTGCCTTTGCTTGTTCAATACGGTCTTGTTGATAAAGAGCTTGAGTGCCTTCGATAGCACTTCCTCCTTGCTGAAAATACATAATTAATTTAACATCTTCCTCTAGGTCACAGACTCAAATATTATTTGAAGTTATTTGATTTGCCACGTGCAAATATTGCAAAGACAAAGACTAAATAAGCAACTTCTTCTACCTGTTTAAAGTGAGAGAGCAGCTGCGTTATGTTGTCACAATAACGGTCAAAGATTTTTCTCATCACAAAATACATCAGCGAGATCAGTTCAATCAAGTTGTTTTGGAGTGGTGTTCCAGTAAGTAAAATCTTCCGGCTACTCTATAAACAGATTATAGACAAGTAAATGGGAAGAAGTACATCCGCGCGAGTGCCTTGACAAAAAATTGCATTAGATAGCTTAATCAACTTCAGAAAAATTAGCTGTCTAGCGCAATTTTTCGTCAAAAAACAATATTTCTACCCTTTTTCGCGCGGATTTGAGAAGCCTTACTTTGATTTTCATCAAAGACTTGTAGCGCTCAGTCGAACAATTTTTCAGCATGTGCCCCTCATCATAAATGACGTAATTGATCTAAAGCAATTTATAAATATAAAAGACAAGAAGCTGTACCTTGAAGTTTTTGAAAAACTTCTTGTCGTCCGATTTAGATCCAACCATGTTATAAGTTGAAAGTAAAACATCGACCTAAAAGAATGATTAAGTTAAGAACCAGATGACCAAACATTTGTTTTTTTCTTTTTGACCATGTGACGAATGCTACGCCGTTCTTCTTGCGCCCCATAATAGGTAATCATCTAAACAAAAGTTACATTATCTAAAGCAAGTACTCACTTGAATGTCGGGACACCATTTGCTCATTTCATTCATCCAGTTTTCAATAGTTGATGATGGAACGATAATAAGATGCGGACCGGGAACATTCTGTTCTTTCAGCCAAGCAAGAAATGCGACAATTTGGATTGTTTTTCCAAGACCCTAAAATGCGAAAAAGGTTATCAAGACTAGACTAGTAGCACCATTTCGTCTCCAAGAATGCAGTTCAGCTTTTTCTCGTGCATCATCACCAACCAATTCAAACCCTCTTTCTGATAAGCGTGTAGTGACATACTAAAGATAACAATTTGACAGTTAGAAACCATAAGAATAAGTACCTCTTGTTGAGCGAATCAGGAACATTGTCACTATTCTGATAAAATTTGAACTCCGCGGCAACCTAAAAAAATTTGAATTAGCATCTAGTCTAGACTTAATTACTTTAGCCGAATCTCCCTTGCAGTCGTCAAGAATGCGATTCAAAACACCACGATTCTCCAGATATTCCATGTAAGACTCAATCAATGGTTTTCCACCTCTATGCGATGATAGAGTTTCTTCCTAAAAGTTTATATTAACCCTGGTTTGCTTGTATAATACTAACTAATTCTCGAAAAGTGTCAAAAGGTCGATTTGCCAAAAGAACATCAGCCAATTTTTCGTTGATCCGAGGCGTCAGCAACAGGTCATCATGTGAAGCCGTGTTGAAAAAGCGAACGCAGTCTTGTTTCATCCTGTTCTCTGGGCGTTTTTGTCGGCCATCGTCCTGTAAAACTTGCTACAAACTAGCTTTAATTAGAAAATGATACGCTATCTTCGCTATCAAAGCTTTCAATGAAGTCTTCGCCAGCATCAAAATCGGCGTCATCTTCATAATCAGAGTCGGAAAGCTAAAAAAGAATAGGTAAAGAGCCCTGTACTATCTAAGCTGACCTTTCCATTCTTTTTTGTGTGTTTCGCAGCTTGTTTTGCAACTTTTCGAAGCGTAGCAGCATTCTATAAGAAATCCAGATTATATAGACAAAGAATAAAGTATTTACAGTTATTTCAGCTTCTTGCGCATCATCGCTTTCCTCACTCAATGTAACGACTCTTCTTTTAACTTGTTTCTAAAAGGAGCTGTTTAAAAAAAAGGAAAAATTATCAGACATTAGGTGATGGCGGAGGTCTTTTCAATGGAGCCCTTTGTGATTCGTCACTATCCTTATTGAGTCGTGGTTTGCACAACCATCCTAAATTTAAAAGTTACGTCTACTCAAATTTGAAATACCATCGGCCATTTCGTCGCCTTCGCTGCTGGATTCAGACAAAGTATGAGCCTTGGCCTTTTGTGGTGTAAGTGGTGCAGCTTTTTGAGGTGTAGCTTTGCTCTTTAACAACCGAAGATCGAAAACGTATATGAAATTACCCGATTTGGAAGTTTCCGCTTTCGTACAGGCTCTTCTTCGTCTTCTTCTGTAAACTCCGATTCCTGAAGAGAAAATTTTGTCTTGCACAAATGAAAGGTAAGTGATTTTCTCGAATGAATGAATGAATGAAAGAATGAAAATTTTTCGTCAAGAACATATTCCTTTTGTTGTGTCTCGTAGCTTTAAACGGGGAAAAAGGGCACCTTATAGATATGACACTCGTACCTCTTCATTTGACTGGACAATAAAATCATCCTCCTCATCAGATTCTTCATCCTTTTTGCTCTTTCTTTTAGCAGAAAAACCTAAAGCAATCAAGTTCGTAATCAAATCTCTTGATAAAGGTAAAGATTTTGTCAAATCCGGTAAATCGAGCCAAATCTCGAGAAAGGTTGATACCTTTCTTTCCATTGGTCACATTTTTTGTCTGAACAAACGATTTCATTGATGTTTGCTTTCCTCCAGAATTCAGACTGTGCGAAAAAGAAGCTAACTTGGCTTTTTTATAAGCCAAAGATTCAAACAATTCTCTCTGATCGGTGGGAGCACGGTGTGCGATTCGCCGATTATCACTCGAATCCGGCCCAAACTTTGAAGAGCTCATACTGAAACGTCAGAGTTGAAAAACATTTTAGAATAATTATGGAAATGAAAAAAAGAAATTTAAAAATGTGAACCGATGGAAATTTGAGGATCTCCTCGAGTTTGTTGGGGCTCTTGAGTGAATGCCGATGTACGAGTTTTATCTAATGACGTGGTTTAAATTCACCATGAAAGAACCTGTAAAGGTTAGAAATGTAAAGAAATTTCCCAATAGCAAAACATTATGTAGCCTAATTTGTTACCTACAAAGATTATTACTTTTTTGTTTTTTTCGAGAGACATTTTGTGATCAACCATGAAAGTTAACCCGATAAGGCCAATCGACACATCTTGCCCACTTTAGTAACTTTTCTCTGTGTTTAATTTTCATCACTTTCATAATTTCATCAGGGTTTTCTTTTGAATCGGTTTAAACCAGATTTTATATTTTGTTTTTTTAGATGTTCTTTGATCGTTCGGGAGCCGATCTTCAAAAAATTGCGGCGGAGAAAACAAGGTCCGATTTGATATGGTTTGCGATGTTGGGTATCACAGTTGAAGCAGGTTATTTTTTTAAATTCCTTATTAATTTTATTTATTATTACTTGCTAAACAAAATGGTACAATACCACTATTGTCTTGGATAATCGTTGTTTAAACAAATGATTGATGTTTCACCATGAAATTAATGCCTAAAAACTTTAACGTATCAATATTATTTATTATTATTCAATTTTTAGGTGCATACGTGGCGAAGAATTTTTGTGGCATCAATTGGATTTTAGCTTAGAAATTTTACTCAATAAACGTTAGCTTTTATTTCGTTTTATTGTCGTGCATATGTTTATTCTATGGATACCTACATCATGATTTTTCTGGCGTATACATATTTTTATGAAAATCTAGATGGCAAGCGATCCACAACTCGGCCGTTTTCTTCAACAACTTCAGGCTGAAACTCAAAGGCAAAAGTTTACTGAACAGGTGAATAAACGCTTATCTATTGCTTTAATTTTTTTTTCTTAGGTTCACACGTTGACTGGCCGCTGTTGGGACATATGTTTCACCGATTATCGCCCTCCTAGCAAATTGGATGGAAAGACTCAAACGTGTGTGCAGGTAAAATTTATAATTTTGCGGTACTAATTAACTATGTGGCTACTATTTGAAATGCTACTTGACGATAGTGATTTTCTAAATAAGCAGTTTCATGTAGAACTTTCATTTACGCTGTTAAATACCGTTATTTAGAATTGTGTCAACCGCATGATCGATGCATCGAATTTTATGGTGGAGCACTTGCAAAAGATGGAACACACAGGAGCGCACTTATGAATTCTTTAAACTTATTACACCCTGTGTGATTAAAATATATTTCTTTGAGTACATCATTGTGCTCAAAGCTGCCCTTGTGTGCCTTTTGTTGTTTGTGTTGTAAAAGTTATTGGAATACCCGAAGTTCGTTATGATTCTACATGATTTCTGTTAGGGATTAGAGACTATTAGCCATTTTAAGCTTCGTTAATTCGTACATTGTTGAGCTATGACTTTTTTTCCTTAAATAAAGACTTTGTTTCAGTTGTTACGTTTAACCCATTGGTTGAGTCATTTGATTCACCATAAAATATTAAAAAAATTGATGATCTTTTCAAAAATAATGACAGATAAATACTGTAATACTCTCAAAATAGTGAATAAAAATTATGGCTTTATTATCTTCTCGTCTTGAATGTCACTTATGATTGATGTCGGTTTGGTACGAAAAGGGTCGCCGGTTCAAATCCCAACCGAGAATTTTATGTAATAAATGTATCAATTCGAAACAAAATTTGAACTTTTTATAACTCAATAATCAAATCTATCAACTCTGTTCAGATATGGAGTGCCATCGTCAACAACATTTTGTCTTTTATCTTATTCAACCTTCGATTGTAAGAGTCATAAGTCAAAATATTCTAAATTAATTTTCTTTGCACAGAATGTATGAATTAGACCTAAGATGGAGGCTGTACACAATTTTCAAGAGTGGCACAACAGGATTACTGTAAAAAGAGTTTACAGTAACCCCCAAACATGACGGATACGGTCAAAGGTTGATTTAGATAAAAGACGGCATAGTATTGTTTCAAATTGATATCTGTATTAGATAAAAAATTCGGTCAGGATTCAAACACTTGACCCTTTTCTTAGCATTCTGACATTCAATCAACAAGTAGATTGTCCTCCAGAGCGAGAAGATGATAAAGCAGCAACTTGGAAATTTCTCTTCTCTCCTAAAGATAATGAACATCAAAATAGTGAAAATTTCAGATGACATCAAAATTGCGGGGAAGTCGTTTGGAAGCAGAAGTAGATCGAGCTCGGACAGAGAGCAATTGGCGACGAGTGACAGACCTTCTCAGTGCAGTAAAATCAAAACATTCTGGCATGGATGCGATGGTTGAGGTGGATCAAAATCTATATTATCATGCATAATTCAAATTTCCAGGTTCTGGAAGCTGAAGCACTATTAGAACAAGAGATTGAACGATTAGGTATAATAAAAACGGTAAACCGCTAATAAACCAAAGTTTCAGATGTTTTTGCTCCACGTGCCGAAAATTCCAGTTCATTCTCACAATCTTCTTCACTGTTGAAAGGTATTTTAGCAATCGTAAAGTCGCACAATCTTTGAATTTAAGAAGCCATTCTACAACGAAAGAACCATCCAGGGGTTCAACTAGAGGCTCATTTATTACTTGCAAAAGTGCTTTATCTTTGCTCAAATTATGAAGATGCTATTAAAACAATTGAAAAATCCGGTAAGTTAAGCAATAGAATTCGAAATTTATGAACTCAGCGAGATTTAGGTATGGACTCAGCGATTACTCAATTCAGAACGTTACGGGCGCTTCGTTTGGTCGCTGAAGCATATTCTATTAAAGGCACATACTGTTGAAATTGGTCACTTTATGCTGGTAATATTTAGGTTTATCAATTGAGGCGCTAGATGGCACTGGCAGCAAAAAAGCGATAACGTGTTTTGAACAGGCAGCGGAATTGGTAATATCGTATGTTGGTGAATTGGAGAAGTCCATATTTGCTGTACCAACTCCGTTACCTTCGAAAGGTGGTTTGCATTTCGTTTTTAAATTGAACTATTGAGCTAAAGGTACCCCTGTATCAACAACAAGCACCATACCAACCCTGCCAACTATAAAAGCAACCGAGAAAATGGGTTAGTTAAAATAAACTAATGTTTACATTTTGCAAATGTAGGTGAATTTCTGGAATGCAGTCTTGAACGTGTGGCAAATCTTCGGCTGAAACAATTGGCTATCGATGGTTTCTTTACCGAACAAGGAGTTGAATGGTTTAGAAGTTTGAGCTCACAGAACACACAAATTTTATAGGTATCGAAGGATAATTAGCAATCTTGGCGACAAATCGATTGGCGAGAAACTGCAACAACGGCTCTCGGTATTCAGTGAAAGATCAAATTGAGGATTGATTATTTAGATTCAACTAGCTGAGCTGCTTTATCGGGCGATTCCGGATCCTTCTTTGCATTCAGAAGCTGTGACGCAAAAGAGTAAAAGTTTAGGGTAAGTTTAAATCATTTCCAATCAATTCAGTGTTCCAAATTTACCTAACGAGATTCATAATAGTCTCAAAGATTGATGCGAATTGATTATAGGTTCTATACGGGTTCTCAAAAAGGTTATTATTCTCCTGCTTCAAAAATGGAAGAAATCATTCTGCTACTCTTGATAAGCGAAGTACTTGCCACGAGGTTTGAATGAGAATTTTTTTTCTGAAAATATGATCGATTTTCTAGAGAAGTTGTCTTGAGTCGAACGGAAGAGCTCACGATTTCTCGACACGAATCTTTACGAAATGCCAAATCCGTTTACAATTTAATAACACTGGTATTGATTGAGTACAAGACCATAAACAACAATCACCTGGGTTCTTACCAAATCTCTTCCAGCTAGGCATAAATCTGATTTTTTTCCTTGAATTTGATTTTTCTGAATATGAAGAACTAGTTTAGTGGTTATAATACTGAATTCTCTAGAGTATCTTTTTGTTCAAAATTTGTAAATAAAAAAACAAACCTAAAATTTATTTTTTGATGTTTATGCTTTTCCAGGGGTAATTTGATACGCTGATCACGAATTTCATAGTTAGAAGTTGAGAAAATGCTTTTTAGAGCGTTTTTCGGTGGCCCAAAGTCGCTGTCTTTACAATGGACTGCACTATGACGCTGAATTTCCGTTTTCGCTCATGTGGGGACAACATGCTTAAAATTTTAAAAAACTTTGAATTTTTACTTTAAAATTTTCCATGATAGGTAATATGGTTAAGATCGCACTTAGGATTAATAATTATCTCAGAAAAGGGTTTTTAAGACAAGAAAGTTCCTTTTGAGCTTTCATTATGGAAGCGTTACAGTAAAGTACACTGTGTGGACGGCGACTTTGAATCATCGAAAGACGCTCTAAAAAGCATTTTCTTAACTTCTAATTACCAAATTCGTGATCAGTGTATCAAATTATCACTGGGAAAGCAGAAATCAAAAAAGTTAAAGGTCCGTACTAGTATCAATCCTTCTAGCTATCAAAAAGATTTAAGTTCAACTTGATACACTAAAACCAAAATGATGCGTGAATTAGTTTGCAACAAAAAAAAGCGCACGAATGAGCAAACTTTCATTTTATTCGCCAAAAGAAAGGAGGGACGTGGCTAATTTGGCGCAACTCGCCATAACTTTCTTCTAAGTGGGGGCAATCTTTATGATTTTGGTGTCATTTTGTAGATCTCAACAAGTGCAACAAAATGACACCAAAAATTATAAAGATTGGCCCATTTATAAGAAAGTTATGGCAAGTTGCGCAAAAAATTTGGCGCAAAGTAGGACGCTTTAGAGGGAAACAGGATAATAAATACGGTAATAGGTGTAGTTTAGCATCAACCAAATAATGTTATTCACCGTATTTCTTCGAATAAAAGACCGGCTAAAGAGTATCATCGCGTACTCCTGCGTAGCAGCCCTTTTTAAAATCTCTTTTCTGCATAAAAGCTTCCAATCAAGTGCTATAGGGCTGGAAAATGGCTCAAAAATCTGTTAGCTCATGTGGTATTTTTGAGCCATTTTCCAGCTCTATAGCACTTGATTGAAAGCTTTTATGCAGAAAAGAAATTTTAAAAAGTGCTGCTACGCAGGAGTACGCGATGATACTCTTTACCCGGTCTTCTATTCGAAGAAATACGGTAAACAGTTTCATTTCTCCATTAAAACTTATTTCGACTAAAGAGCATGAGAAATAAAATCGAATCGGTTCAGCTTTTATCATCACTTCATCAATATCAACTTTTGAGCAATATCTATGAACGAGCCATGAAGTTTGCTAACCAGGACAACTATCTGTGGTGAAACTTCAGTATTTTTTCTTTTGAAAAGGTATTTTGTTTTAGGTATCAGTTCGGATTGTGTTTAATATGTCGGGGACGTTGGCTTCGCGCTTCAAGAGTTTTGAAAGAATGTTTAGACATAGAACATAAGTGATTTCAAACTATCCTTTCCTTATCATCTTAAACCATGTTTAGGGATGAAGAAGTAGCTAGTGAATATCTTATGGCATCATTGCTCCACATTGAACACTTAGGGCAATTTGAACAAGGTAATTTTTGTGTTTGTTTTTAATTTACGAACATCGTTTAGCTGTTGCCTATGCAGATCGGGCCGCACTTCTTGCTGAAAATAAATATTTGCGAGTTCGAGCGAATGTATTAAGATCAATTGGGTTGAGGTAATTTACCTTTAAGATTTTGATTTTAAAGCTACTATTAGTCAAATGGCTTTGTGCGAAGCAACTTTCGAGGCTCGTCGAGATGGACTGCAGAAATCGATTGATGTTTTGGAGAAGTCAAACCTTTATGAATGGATAACTGATATGTTTTTTGATTTTAGGTGCATTGAGGCTGATCCGCATGATTATCTGGCACTATATTATTGCGCTCTTCAACATGCGATTGGTTTGTGATCTTTAACGTAAGAGATTTCTTACCATAAGGTATATTTTAGTACGTGATTTGGATTCAGCCAAAGATAGATGTTTGCGAAGTCTAGAGGCTAATGCCGAGCAACCTTCCGCGCTAATGTTGTTGGCTCTTCTTTTTACATGCGAAGGAGATCTTAAATGTAAGTTTTCCGTTTTTACGCTCAATGTTACACGATATTTAGCTGCATTGGAGCTTGTTCTTACGGCCTTGAAAGATTTTCCGGAGAATTATGGGTTATTGGTGCTACGGCTACATTTAGAAAAACGCTTTGGTAGACTACAATGTTCAAGAATTCTATGTTTGTCATTTAGGGCGAGTTGAAGAAGCCTTAGACACTGCAGCTCATCTGTTGCAGTTTTGGAAAAAGAAAGAACCTTTTTATGTAACCACAGAATACGAAGAAAAGTAAGGCTCTATAGCTGTAGTTTCAAACATTTTTTATTTAAGATCTCAACAAACGGTTCACGGTGCAGATGCAGCTAGTTTGTTTCGAGAAGGAAGTATAGCTCGCACAGGTTAGCATTTTCTTTTTTGTTTTGTTAAACTTTTGCTTTTTAGGAACAGTTTCTTTGGGCCGCGAGACGACGCCTCTTTTCACTGGTCCGTTAGGCATCCCGACTCCATCATTAGCAATCTCTTCGCAAAGTAGTCAACTTGGACTTGATATGAGTGGTATGTAGTTTCAAAATATCTTTATTTGAAAATTTCTACGGCTTAATTTTATATTACAAGGGACATTACGCGGAACTCAATGTTAATTTTAGATAGTGGCGTTTTAACAGCTGGTGCTGCTTCGGATTATGGGGCCCAATCAACCGCTGACTCGTCTGATGCTTTTGGTACAAATTCGGCTTTTGCCAACAGAGCATATTTTCGAGCACAAGTAGTTGTTTTTTTTGTAACGAGATTGAAGCTGTTTTAGGCAAACATATGGACAACTCTTGCTGAACTCTTTTTGGATGAGGGTCGACTAAATGATGTAACTCCATGTGTTGAACAAGCTATTGCCCTTTTTCCAAACTCACATCAAGCGCTCTATTTAAAGGTATTTTTCTGTCCACGGTATTAGTACTAGAATTTTTTTGCTAATTCTCACGTTTAGGGAACTCTTTGTCTAGCTCGTGCTGAACGGGCTCAAGCCGATTCCCAGATACATTCGAAACTGGTAGTTATTTCTAAAAATTCGTTTTAATTTGCAAGCTTTCAGCTCGGTGACGCTAAAGTTTTTTTACTATCGGCGATTGCGATGTCTCCTTCTCATACTGAAAGTCTCGTTCAATTGGCTAAGCTTTATCGACTCGAACGTAATTATGGCATGGCAGAACAAGTATACAGGTAATTTTCGTGATGTAGTATCTTTCTGGGAAATTTTGACGGATATTTTTTTGCTAACATCATGCTCTCTTCAGTCCGTATTTCTGGAAAGTCACGGCATATTTACAATTTTGGCGTTATCTATATGAAAGTATTTAGAGAGTTGGTGCGTTTGGATCCGTTGTGGTGTGATTGGTGGCAAGCTCTTGGAGAAGTGCTGTTCGCAAGTGGCAACGACATGGAGAAAGCGGCCGAAGCACTCGCAATGGCTGCATCACTTGACAGGTATTTTGCTTTATTCTTATTAATTTACATTGAAGTTTGTCTAGTATAGCTTTTAATCAGCGAGAAATTTAGATCGACGCCGATATTGTCATTTACATGTATTCCTCTCGTGTTTCCAAGTCATTTCACTTGACTAAATTACTCGATACGTCATCGATCACTGTCGTGTTGAATTTTTTGAAAATATTCAGTGTATGTGTGTATACCTGCTTTTCATTTTAAAATAAATAATAATTTGCCAATATTTCAGCTGTCTTGTGATACATTATATCCCTGCCATTCCATTAGTTTTTAGGAACTTGTGATTTGTGGTTTTCTTGGGTAGAGCTTTGTAATTCATTTGTACAAAGAGATTCCAGAGGTAAGGTACACGCACAAATATATTTTCAAAAGATATTTTATATTACATCATAATAATCTTAAGCTTTAAAACCAATAAATTTTATAAAATTGAATTTTGAAAATGCAGTGTGAAAATTCGATGGAAACAACGTTATAAAAGGTCACAACGGTCATTCACTATCCATTAAAAGAAAGATTTATTGTTTTTTAAAAAGCCAAGCTCTGTTTGTCAGGGGTAGAGGGGGAAACCAACAGACAACTCTCACAAAATAGCAGCAGGGTTTGGGGCGGAGTCGAGTCGACTGAGGGGGTGTCGCACCGATGCCGTTGAGGCGACCTTGCACGCCTTTCTCCAACGTTTACTCTTCTCCATTTTGTGCTCGTTCTCCTCCTCTCTCCTTCTCACCACCGACAGTCTTTTCATCTTTTTTTCTCGATCATCGTCTTCAACCGAATCATTCTCGAGGCCCCCTCTTGTCTGCCGGTACGATTCTCTCGTGCATTCACTCTCCAATTCAACCTGAAACACGAATTGCTTTGTTGTAATATTGTCTACTTTCAACGGTACCGCCCACACACTTGCATCTCTGCCGGCATCAAGAGACTGGCGCGCCACCAGGCACTTTGCCTAGTGACCGCGGCCACTCCAAGGCTTTCACCCATACAGGGTTTTAATTCTACGCATTCGAAATTTACAAACAAATGATTCCGCTTTTATTCGTCGTGCTATGGAACTCGCTTGGGGTGAAAGGTGCTCTTCTAAATTATTCTATACCATCAATTCCTGGGCTTGAGTCGATGGCGTCTGATAAGGTGGCTCTTGTCTCTTGTTTTAAAATTCCCCCTTAACTTTTTTAGTATCCACATTTCTCGACAATAGAGACATTTTCGAGAACAAAAACGCATCGACATCGCCGAGAAGTAATCGCTGGCCCGATGTATGATTGGAATTCTTTTGAGATTCCATTTCAAATTTGGGGAGGAGATTGTGAGTATTGTTTTCTCTTTTATTACTTTTAGCTTTTCTTTTTAATAGCTTTTCCTGAAAATCTTCTAGTTCTCGATTTTTATTTTATTTTATTTTATTTTATTCATTTCTTCCTTTATCAAGATTGCTAAAATCCATAATCTTATTGAAAAGTTTTCTGAAGGGAATAGTCTCTTGGTGACACTCACACATACACACTCAGCCTATCACTTTCGATTGACTCGATTATCCAATTGGATTGCGGGGGTTAGGGAACGGCAAAAGTGAACGGCAACCACTTTCTTCGTTTCCCCCCACGCTCACTCACTCACTCACTCACTCTGAAACCTTTCATTGTTGCTCTCCATTTCCTTTCCATCTTTCTCAATTCTCCACCCGTATCCAATCATTTAGCTTAACGCAAAAAAAAACGAATCACTTTTGCCTTTGAGAATCACCTTTGCCTAGGAGAACCTTTTTGACATGACGAGGTTTTCCTTAACTTTTTTTTAGCCTCTAACAATCCAATAGAATCCTCTAACAATTCAAAAAACAAAAATCGATTAAGCATACTAAATTTAGTTTAAATTGATATGATCATTTACTTTTGATCAGTACTTTTTTTGTTGTTTACGAAAGTTAGAACGACTATTGTTGTTTTTTTGGGCGCGAATGTATCAGCTCCCTTTTTTTGGGAAAAGAAATGAGTATGAGTGATTTAAAGAGAATGTGTTAAAGAGAATCCATTTTTCTTTCTCTCAACTTTTTTTTTTTCGTCAATATCAATTTTTGGTTATTTCATTGTTGACCTCTTCAAACAGGATTCATTGAGAGAAATTTGGGGCCATAAAATGAGCCAATGGAGGGTTTAGTGGGTTTTTATTGTGTATGTAGAAGTAGGGGAAAGTCACTCAATAGTTTTGGTGTGTACATGGCAGAGAGGAGAAAACGAAAGACGCGATGGAGTAAAAAGAGAGATGCATAACCTTGAAACCGGTAGAGCCACAACCACAGCCGCCGGCACTTTCAATCGACCACTCTTTCGGCGCTTTCTCTTTCTCATGAGCTTTCTCATCGCTGTCTCAATCACGTGCCACAAAACGTTTCCCCCTTTTTTTTCTCCTTCTTGCCATTGCCCACCGGGCCAAGTTTTTACCTAAGCTCTAAATCGTTCTCCTCATCGTCTTGCTGACTGTCTAGAATGAAAGCTCAGTTGGTATTTTGGATTTAAACGTTTAATAAAATATACTTGAGCTTTCAAAGTGAAATAAATCAAAGCACAATAAATCAAAACCTCTTAACATTGACCTCTTAACATTTGAGAGAAAAGTGATGCCATTTTTTGTAGCTGCTATCAATGTTATTACTTTTTGTCTAGACATTGAGTAATGGGAAAACCGGTTTCTACCCACACACTTGACCTCTTGAGGTAACCGCTTGGAAAAACGAAACTCAAGCTTTTGACCTTAATCTTAAGCGACAAGAAAAAGAGAAAAAGAGAAAAAGAAAAGGGAAAAGCTTGTCGAGAAGAAAGAACGACCTCGACCCTGCCATCGCCTGATGACCCTTTGTTTCGGGAGGAAATGAAAGAGAAAATGTCACAGGCCACCCATGTAGATCGGGGAAAAGAAAGAGAATGAGCGTGATCACGAGAAACCGGTCTATGGAAGAGGTGAGCAAAGGTGGCTGTCTCGCCTCGTCTACGAGTTGCGCTTCAGTTGTGCTGAGTGTTATTGTATATTATGGGGAGCTTTTCTTCTTCTTTTTCTTCTTTCTCTTCTTTCTCTTCTTTTTCTCTTGCAATTCTCTCGCAATTCATCCGCCCATCAACAGCTTCCATCTCTTTTCTCATCTCTTTTTGGATGGGTTTCACTCACTCTCTCCTGTAACTGGTATTTCATCCACTTCCATCTGATCGTTGTCTCTTTCCCACCAAAACCACATTCATACAAATATACGGGATGTTCAACGAGGAACCAAGCAATCCTTTCTTTTCTCTTTAAATCTATTAATCTCAATTAATCTCGAGGTTTCCTGAAAGGAAAAAAAAGGGAAAGATCTGTAGGGGAAAGCTTCAGTTGTGCTTCAGCACTTGAACTTTGAGACTTTGAGAATTTAGTTAGTAAACTTGATACTAGCTAGAATCTCACACTAACATTAGCATAGTATTAGTTTAAGATCAGAATGTGTGATTTGGATGAATTTCGTGAATCCTGTCGGGAATAATCGAAAGTGTTAATGTCAAAGAAACAAAAACCACCTCAGAAATCGAGTTTCGCAAAAAAGTTGACCAAATAAACAACAAAATGAAAAAAAAAGCGTTTGTAGATAATTTTCAAAATCTCATCAGGAGGGGGATCCGAATGTGGGAAGAGTCGACGTGTCTCCGATTCCGAGAGAATATGCAAGCAAGAGATGCTATACGGTTAGTCAGATCAGATTGATTTCCCGAGATAAAGCTTTGTCCCGAGATCAAGCTTTGAATTCCACAATGATTCTAAAAACTCGAAAACTTTGCACATTGTGTTCAGTTCAGGTATGTGCTCGAGAACGGAGATTCCTGTTTTACGGAATATATTGGAAAGAATGGCGGTCACCAGGATATCATCATTGGAAGTGAATGCGCTGAGGTTTCTGTTGATTTCTTTTGTTTTCTTTTGTTTTATCACTGTAAATGTAGCTATGATTCATTGAAAATTGTACATGAGAGAATTGACGTAGGAAGCTAGCGAATAGCGAATAAAAATTGTCTAATACCGCAAAATTTTCAGGAATACGTAGTCGCTCATGAGACAGGACATGCGCTCGGATTTTGGCATACCCATCAGCGTCCCGATCGGGATAGGTGAGCAAAAGCTTCGAAAAATTTAACTTGAAACTTTTAATTTGATGTTTTGATTTGATGATGCCCTAGATATGTGTTGAAATTTTTAAAAAATTCTTATTAGATATATTTCGATCAATTGGAAAAATGTGATGGATGAGGCGACTGCATCATTTATGCCTTTCCGTAGCATGCTACAAGCTTTTGGGATTCGACAGGTCTGAATTTGTTAATCGTTGAATTTGTTTTGTCTGAATTTGTTAATCGTAAAGATGAAAGAGCAATGAAAAGTAGTACTTTAAATCAAAAAACTTTTCAAATTCATTCAAAAAGAAAGTAGAAATTGGAAATTAGAAAGTAGAAATTAGAAATTAGAAAGTAGAAATTAGAAAGTAGAAAGTAGAAATTAGAAAGTAGAAATTAGAAATTAGAAAAAAGTGTTCCAGGTCTCCCCTCGACGAGTCCCTTATGATTATGGCTCGTTGATGCACTATCATGCAGTGGCTCATGCCGTGAAAGTAAACATTTTCTATATTCTTTTCGATTGACGTTTAACGTTAAAGCTATCATTCTTAAGTAAATCTTTAAACTTTAGGTTTCCGACTTCACAATTGTGCCTAAAGAGTTGAAATACGTGACGACGATGGGCACAGAAAAAATGGCTTTCCTTGATGCGAAAGTGATCAACGATATCTATTGTCCAAGTGGATTTTAAAGAAAAAAACAAAAATCATATCGAAGCTTAGATGCTTGTGTGGGTCGATCGAGTATTCGTTGTCTGGCTGGCGGATACGCCGATCCGAACAATTGTGCTGTTTGTCGATGTCCTGAAGGTTTAGGTGGAGTGGATTGCTCGCTTCTGCAACCGTCTCGTAAGTCTCATTATTCATTTAAGTTGGCTAGGATTCATGAAATGTTTTCTAACAAAGAAAAAACAAAAAAAAATCTAGCATGTGGTGGCGAGTTACGAGCCACAGACACATGGCAGACATTGACGAGTCCCCGTGGGAAAACGCTCACTTGTTATTGGAGGATTTCGGTTTGTTAGAAAGGAATGGCAAAGTAAAAGGGTTTTTTTAGGTACCAGAAGGCTCACGGGTTCGTTTCCGTTTATCGGACGGAGAATTCCCTTGTTCATACGGTTGCCAATCGTATGTCGAAATCAAGCACAAGCTCGATGTTCGATTGACCGGATTCAGGAGGTTTGCAGGATTCAGAAGGTTTACGAATACTAATTTGCCATATAGGATGTTGAGATTGTTCTTAGCTTAGTTCAACCTTGGTTTTAGCTCCAAAATGTCTCTACGTCACAAGCAAGTTAAATCACAAATCGTTGTTAATGCAAAGGTTGCATTAACATCAAAATACTTATGTTAATCATTTATGAAAATTGAACATAGTCTTGATGTGATTTAACTGATTTAACTTAATTTAACTAATATATCAAAATACTAATTTGCCATATAGGATGTTGAGATTGTTCTGAGCTTAGTTCAACCTAGGTTTTAGCTCCAAAATGTCTCTACGTCAGGATTAGAGTATAGAAATTATTTAAGTACAAGAATTTTACATCATCAAGCAAGGAAGCAAGTTAAATCACAAATCCTAGTTGTTGCTATCGACCGAAAGAGGACACGATCTCGGAATCAAATCAAATTTTCATCATCTATCACCCGAATGGTCGAACGGCTCGTTTCTCGTTGCGTTTCAAGCGACAAGCATAAACGGTTGTTCTTTAATTTCCGGATATTAGCAACTATTTATGTAATTATTGAGTCCAAGTGTTTTTTTTTTTGGTGGATAGTTTCAATTCTTTTGAACGTTTTCGATGAACGTGAATTGCCTCTATGTTTCCCCCAAACGGGTCTTTACATTCCCAATAGTAACACTTCCGAATTCTTTCCGATATTATCCTTTTCTCCTCAACACTTCCGAATTCTTTCCAATATTATCCTTTTCTCCTCAACGCTTGCCCAAAATAAACCGCTTTCGCTCAGGTGCACTTTAGCGATCTTGATTTAAAACAAACAAAATAATCTATAGATCTTTAGAAACTTTTCTTCTTATAGTTTGTAATTTTATCGTTTAACAAAAGAATTTTTAATAGTATTGTATCTGATTGTATCTGATACAGTACTGGACAATGAAATATTATATTTGAAAAAAGATCGTCACTTTCGCGCGTCTGTAGCTCCCTTGTATTTACCGTATTTCTAAATATTAATATTACCATTGTGTAGCCCTTGAAAAGAGCTTTCAGAAAATGTATAACACTAATAGTTTAAACTCAAAGACAAGAAGGTTACAGACGTGTGAACGTGACGATCGTTTTTCAAATATGATATTTCATTGTCCAGTACTGTCGCTTGATCTATTGTAGTGTATTCTATTCACTGTACCAACTACCGTAGCCTAAGCTTGTCTTTTTTAGGATTTGAAAAATCATTAGCTTCATTAGCATTTTCAAATTTTCACGTTTTCCTTTCCTCTTTCCGATATTCGGTGACGTGATGCGGGACAATATTTAGAATTTCTTTTCTTTTTTCTTTTTTTTTTTCTTTTTTTTCTGTTTTTGTTTGTAGATAAAACTTTTATTTCATTTTCGAGGAAAGAAAAATTCATCAAAAAGATCAAAAAGATCTAGAGGGAAATGGTAAAAATGAAAAAAAAGAATATAAAAGTCGCACAGGGATATCAATAAATTCTTTTTTTTTGTCCTTAAAGGAAACGATTAGAATTTCGATCACCAACGATTTTATCAACGGGAAAAAAACGGAAACGAAACAGATTTTCTTTTACGAATCATTTTTTAAGAGAACTGGTTATGATCTTTTAATGATTTTTCTATATAGAAGATAGAAGTTTGAATCTTTTTTTTTTGACTTACCGTATTTCTTCGAATAGAAGACCGGGTAAAGAGTATGATCGCGTACTCCTGCGTAGCAGCCCTTTTTAAAATTTCTTTTCTGCATAAAAGCTTTCAATCAAGTGCTATAGGGCTGGAAAATGGCTCAAAAATCTGTTAGCTCATGTGGTATTTTTGAGTCATTTTCCAGCCCTATAGCACTTCATTGAAAGCTTTTATGCAGAAAAGAAATTTTAAAAAGGGCTGCTACGCAGGAGTACGCGATGATACTCTTTGCCCGGTCTTCTATTCGAAGAAATACGGTAATCGCTAACTTTGTGGAAAGAAGATGAGCAGAATCGGGATAAGGAAAAAACACCAAACAACACGACAAAATGAGAAAAATATACATAGAGAAATGTGCATTTTTTAAGGAAATATACACGGTTTTGAGTTAGCCATCGTATCGGGATAATCACATTGTGTGCTTGTTTTTATGTTAGGAAAAGAAATAGATCAAAAGGGGGAGATAAAGGGTGTCAAATTGGGTTTTTAGCTGGTGATAGAAGTTCAGCTTGTTACAGAAATCAGGTAAAATATCTAAATACATCATTTCTACAAAAGATTTAACAATTTGACACCTTGGGAGCTGAGGGATTGGAGGTAACGGCGGCACGAGAGCCCTCGATCAATTCAACTCATCTTGATCTCCGAAATCCGATAACTATTCTACAAGATACAAAAAAAAACAATAAGGTTTTAGTTTCAATGAATTCTGACTATTGTTTTCTTACAGTTCAACGATTTTGAAAAGGTCTAGCCTTAAAAGCTTTAGAAGATAGCTTTCAAAGATAGCTTTAAAAGATAGCTTTAAAAGATAACTTTAAAAGATAGCTTTAGAAGATAGCTTTTAAAGATAACTTTAAAAGATAGCTTTAGAAGATAGCTTTAAAAGATTAGCTTTAGAAGATAGCTTCAAAAGGCTTTCAAAGATAGCTTTAAAAGATAGCTTTAGAAGATAGCTTCAAAAGGCTTTAGAAGATAGCTTTAAAAAATACTGTTAGATCAATCAAAGTTTCAGTCTCTTTATCATCTCAGTATCCTCGTTAAAAGCTATTCAGTTAACGAGATTGAATATCTTTAGTTAACTTGGAGTATATAAAAGAAATTTACAACTTTTTAGACTTATCGTAATGACTCAATTTTTACAGTAAAAGTTATACAGAAAATCTAATTCTAAGGAAAAAAACGGAAATTTCGGAGGAACGATGAGCTTCGAGGGCCTAGATCGGCTAGTGGTTTAGGAAATGGTTTAATTTTGTTTCAAAAATCATTTAAAAACCATTTCCTACAGAAAGCGTTTAAAAAAGATCAAACAAAGTCACCTATACGAGGTTTTTGATGAAAATGAAAAGAAATTACCGTATATTTCTCTAATGTTAGTGCACGGTACCGAGCCGAGTTGATGCCTATTTTATGGTTTTCAATTTTTCCCAAAAGCTCACCACTTTAATCTCCCACTAGATCTCATCATCAGCTACATTTTCCGACCCCACATCGATAGGTTCTGATAAGCGGTTCTCGAAATTTCGAGCAATTTAGGCGACGCTCAGGGTGCTCTACTATTAGACGGTGTCATTTATCTAAATGTAAGTCTAGTGTCAGAGCCAGATCAGAAGTCGAATCCCGACCTAGGCTGGCCTGTAAACCTGGCTTGAGCCTGTGTGGCCCATAATGGTGATTTCGAGGAATCTAGTCGACAATTATGGTGCACTACTATTAGAGAAAATACGGTATATGAAAAAAAAGGATTGCTTGAAGAAAGGGAAATCTTTTTTTTAGAGAGGTATTATTTTATGGAAATCCTGATTAAACACGAGTGAGAGTAGAGCAAAGAAAAAGAAAAGGAGGTGAAAGATTACTTCAACTGTTCCTTCCATTAAAATCTGAGTCTTATTTTCTTATTTACTGTGATATGTAAATTATTGTAGTACCATAAATTAGAGGCTTTTGTAAAATAGCTCTTGTTTCTTAAAGCTTAAAATATTTGTATTTAGGCTTTAGAAAATAAGAGCTATTTTAGAAAAGGTGAAAACTAGGTTACAACTAGTTACTAACTAGTTACTAACTAGTTTTCTATCAAAAAAAACCTATCTAGACTTTTCTCAACTAATCTTTTATCCTTTTTTCAATCTAAATACAATTTAGAGGTAGTTTAATAGCTCTAAAGTCTAGAATTTGGTTTATAACTATTACAATACTCTCATATCTTTAGTTTACAGTTTGTAACTTTAAACCAACTCTCCTTATCAATAAATTCATCGATTACAGATTTTATAGGAAATAGTATTTTGCGAAATTTTGCGAAAATTGCGAAAACTTTCAAAAATTTCCCATAAAATATGTAATCCTAATGAAAAGTTGAAGAGAAAACGAAAGAAAAAACAACAACAACAACAACAAAGATATGTACTGAGTTGAAAAAAATACACATAAAAACCCCATATATTTATTGATCCGATGCACAGGCAACGGGCTTTTGAGATCCAAGAGAATAGAGGTGCCTTCTGAAATCAATTTTATTGCATTGCAAAAACAAAAACTCTCTTTGAAACTCACCGAAAGGCGAATTGCGGCGACAAAGCTAAGCACATTCCATGTTTTTCGTTAATGGCTCCATCTCGATTGAGCATTGGTGATTCTAAAAAAATTTCTTTCTTTCAATTTCTTTTTCTTCTGAATAAAGCTTCATAAAAAAGCTTAATCAATAGCTATTTTCATTAACAAAAAAAAAAAAAGAACTATAAAAATAGAAAGAGTCTTTGTAAATAGAAAGTAATCTTATAGTAAATAGAATATAATCTTATAGTAAATAAAAAGTAATCTTATAGTAAAATAAAAAAAAGCTTTAAAAGGGTAATTGTAAACTTTAGAATTTAGAACTTTAAAACTTTAGAACTTAAGAATCATAAATAGAATTTCATCTATTTAAGGTTAGATTTAAGATCTAGTCTAATCTTGATCAAAAACGAATTTCAATCTATCTAACTAAGTCCAACTGGATCCAAATGACAGTAATCTTTCAGACAACTGTCTATCTTTAGATTTTAAAGTATTCAGTGAAAGTATTCAGTTAAAGTTCAATGAAAGTATTTAGTTAGTTCAGTTAGTTCAATTAAAGTTCAATTAAAGTTCAATTAAAGTTCAGTGAAAGTATTCAGTAATTGAATGGCACCGATGATGATGATGATCACAATTATCTTACACAACGATGATCACAATGATCTTACTCAATGATCTTCACAATGATCTTACTTAATGATCTTCACAATGATCTTACTTAATGATCTTCACAATGATCAATGATCTTCACAATGATCAATGATCTTCACAATGATCTTACTATTAGATATTGATTGAACATAATTCAAAAAGAAAGTGACAGAAAGTATCTATTCTTGACTTAAAGAAAACAAGAATGTTTTGAATGTGATTAGTCAATGATTAGAAAGTTTGCAGGTTGATGAATGGTTGTCTAAAAATCTACTATATCCCACCTGTGGAGACTGGGCAGTGTGGAAAAAGGAGCCAAGAAGTGGTTGATGTTCACGTCGTGGAGTGGCACAATGCGGTCTTCCTCCAGCTTCTCCGTGATCACTATCTATTTCTTCATCTTCTAAAACATTCTCGTCAATTCCATCATGTGGATCCTCGTTCGGCTCGTGCACCAAAGTGAGTGTGTTCGAAAGTCCGGATGAGCACCCAGAGCCGGTTTCTTTTGAACCACCAACACAAGCTGAGTTCACACTGCCTGTCAGTGATACACCTGTAAAGAGCTATTTAATGATATTCTATTGGGTTGGTGAATTGAAAACTGCGGGCTATTGTCATATGTGGCAGTTTGAGCACTTTCTTCAAAAGAAACCCATTTTGGTGTCAATGGAAAAGTTGTAGAGAATCAAAAATCAAGCTTATATCCAAATTTTCAGAACGATTCAAAAACTGGTTTTGAAGAAATGCCAAATTTATGAATTTTCACAAAACTTTCATTTTAAGCGAAACTACTAAGTGTATCTTTTTGGAAATTTGGCTATAAGCCTCATTTTTGATTCTCTACAACTTTTCCATTGACACCAAAATGGGTTTCTTTTGAAGAAAGTGCTCAAACTGGGACATCTCAAACATCTCCAGTCCTCCATTTTTGAGTCTCACACTTGTCTCACACACAAACCAAAATCCTACTACGAAAGAGGATGCCTGTAACCCCGCAAATTGCCTGTAAAATGGGCAGAAGTCGTCAATAATAATGGAAATTATTTGGAATGAATTCATGGTTTGATGTTGAATAAATTTGAGTTCAAAGTCCCACAGTTTTCAATTCACCAACCCAATACTTATCATAATCGAGTGTTTAACCTACCGTAAATACTGTAATAGTACCCCACCCCTCTCGTACAGTCAGCAAAAGTTTTTTAGTATTTCATTTTTTCAAAGCACCCGTACTTTCAAAAAATGCGTTTTTTGTATCAAAAAATAGCTGAAATTCAGGGCTACTTTTTGATAATTGTATTGCTATTGTAACATAAACCAGTGTCGAGAAACACTCGTTCAAAGCTAGACTACACAACACTCCGCACCGTCGTTATGGGGGTGGGGTACTATTACAGTATTTACGGTATAATTCTTAAAATTGAATTTTTAACCTATTGAATTGAATTTCTCACCACTATCATGATGATCTTCTTCGGATGTCGTCCTTCCACTGAGCTCTTTTATAAACTCTTTTACACGCTCCATTGCACAACTGAAAATTTTAGTAAGCTTAAACTTTTTAGTAAGTTATTTTAGTAAGCTTAAAGTACAATTCAGTTACCAATAACCAATAACTTTTTGTGAATTACTTACCCAGCAGTGATCCGACCATCTGCTTCCGGATCCCACATCTCAACTCCAGTGCTTGCCAATTGACGTAAAATCTTAAAATAGTTTTTTTTTATCTATCTATTATCAAGATTTTATTCTTATTTGAAAAAGAAACTAACCGGATTGTCGGTGATTTTTCGACGATATCTTGGTCGAATCTTTTTTGTAGCGACAACTTCTCTCATTTGAGCGAGACTTGGATTTTTACCAACCTCTTCCTCATAAGGCATCTGAAAAGAAAGTTTAGATGATAAGAATTGCAATCTTTAGTTCAAAATCTTTCAAATCTTTCAAATCTTTCATTCCAATGGGGAAAATTCGAATCCAAACCTAATCCCAACTTCATTTTCTCAGCCGTTTCTTAGCCGATTGCTCTGAAATTTTGTCAAAATAGGAACTATAAAGGAGCTTTAAATGAGCTAAATAGAAACTATAAAGGAACTATAAAGGAGCTTTAAAGGAGCTTCAAAGGAGCTTTAAAAAAGCTGAATAAGAACTATAAAGGAGCTATAAAGGAGCTTTAAAGGAGCTTTAAAGGAGGACAAGCAGAGAATGGTAATTTCTATTTGTAAACAAAATTTGATAAAAATCGGCTGAGAAAACGAAGATGAAATTGGGTTTGAATTTGGAATTTTCTCATTTATTTATTTATTTATTTATTTATTCAATGCTTTTCACCTTGTATGGAGTAAGTGGCTCTTCTGGAGTGACTTCAGTCCTTGAGACGACTTCCCAAATTACCAAAGCGAGCGCATAGACATCCATCTGGAAAATTTACGTAAATAGCAACATTTGTTAACAATATATAACAATAGTAAAGGTAAATAAAGAAAACCTGTCGAAAAGCAGCTGCTGAGAACTCAGTGGCTCCTTCTAGCACTTCCGGTGCCATATATCGTGACGTTCCGACTTGAGCCTAAATTCTTTTTTTGCTTTCTTCTTTTTTTTGCTTTCTTCTTTTTTTTTGCTTTCTATATATTGGATTTTGTCATGGTTTTTTGAGATTATAATAGTTGAATCAATAAATACAAACAATTGGTGTCGTCCGGCTGAGCATTCCGCGCAACTCGTGGCCCCTGTGAATCAGCTTGTCACAGCGCATCGCCAACCCAAAATCGGTGAGCACCGCCGAGTAGTCATCGCGCAGCAGAACGTTTCGCGATTTGATGTCACTGAAAGGAAATTTTGCGGAATTTCAAGTAATACAATGCAGAGTGCGTCAGAAGTTTATCGTTTATAGATTTTAAACAAAATACCAATCAAATTTGGATTTTTTTTGAGTTTATTTTATGAATATTGAATAGAAAAGTATAAAAAGCGTCAAAGAAAATGTTTCTTGAAGGATTCTACTAGTTAGAAGGATTCTAGAAGAGTCTTTCTATTAGGTTGATGCATAAGTCTTTTCGTTTTTTTCGTACTTCTGTTAAAAAGTAACAAATTCACGAGTTAATCTATAGTTTGCTCTATAAAAAAAAGTGTTTTTTTGTTCAATTTGCATCTTTTTAAATGAATTTCGGTTCACTTTCAAGCAAATTCGAGAGTGAAAAACGCCTTTTTCGTAAAAATCTATAAAAAACTCTACGGAAAAATTGGCTGAATGAATTTCTCTGAAATTTTGGCGAAATATCAAACGTTTTTTTTCTCTATCTTTTATCTATTGACACGAAGATAGGTTTTCTTTAGCTAAGGTGTCTAAACCGCATCATCGAGTTAGCCCTTTTTGACTACCCGACTTCATACTCGCAAGAAAATCCAGGCATTAAATATTTTTAAACCCGTTTTAATGTTATTTTGCAGAAAAATAATTGCTTTTTCTAATGAAATCAACCGTAGTTTAATTGGTGCATTTGTTGGCTTGAAACGGCAGACGAAAAGGAACGAAAAGACTTATGCATCAACCTAATAGAAGGATTCTACTTTACTAGTTAGAAATCTAAATATACAGTCGAACTTTGATATAACGAACCTAAGAACCGCCTCAAATTTTCTGCGTAGTTGCCCTGATTGCATTTGGCTGGGGCAGCTACGCGGAAATTTTGGGCACGTTTTAGAATTTCAAATTCGTTGTATCGAAGTTCGACTGGAGATGAGGGCTGTCTGCCTATGTATACGAAAATTCTTCGAGACCCGTAGCAGCAGGTATAGCCGAGGGAATAGTGCGCCGGTCTGAAGATCGTCGTGGGTGGAAGGGTGGTGGGTTCGAATCCCAGAGCGTGCGATATTGCTGTGTTTTTTTGTGCAATGTTATTCACTGAAAGACATCTGAAAGCATTAAAAGATTGACAGATGCTATTTTGAACCTTGCTACTCGAGTTCTAGTATTTTCTATGGTAGAATGTTTAAAAGTTCCACTATTTTCTATGATATTCTTTATTGAAAGCTTTCAATTCTGACAAATTCACGTTTTTCAGCTTTAGCCAATTTTAGGAAGGACTTTTGACGCATTCTGTAATTCTACAAATATCCCAAACAACCAAAAAACAAACCGATGAACGATGGTGAATTTGTAGTCTTTACCGATGCTTCCCTCTTCGTGCAGAAATGCGACACCGTCGAGCAAAGTGACCAATATGTGCAAACAGTGATGCAAGCTCATTACGCTATCCTGAAATTGATTTGTGAATGATAATTGCTGTAGACAGACCTTGCAAAAATCGTACAACGATCCACGTCGCTGAAATTCGGTGACAATCGAGAGCTCTTGTCCCATCGGACCATCTTGTGCATAAACGCCAAAAAAGCGAGTTAAATAGGGATGTTGTCGGGTTTTCCATGTTGAGAGTGAGAAAATCTCCTGAAAATCTCTTTTATTTTATTCAATTTTGTTTTTTGCACAAACCGTCTCATGCATAAAGCTTTCAATCTCGCCAATTCGGAATTTCTTCAGCGCCACTGTTAGTGGCTCGTTTCGTGTAGTCAAAAACATCTCCGCGCGGAAGACTTCAGCAAAACGACCCATGGCTACTCGCTGAAAATTTTGGGGTTTTTATTTTTAAGGGAATTTTAAGAATACTTCTTGATTAGTAATCTCTCGAATATTTGGAACTTGAAGTGCTCGAATTCGGTCGTCACGCATTCGCGCTTTCTGCTGCTCAACAGTCATTGTTGTTGGATGTGACTGAAGGTTTTAAATTTAAAAAAGATTTCAAAAGATTTCAAAAGATTTCTAAAGCTTCAGCTTACAGCTCGACTGCTTGTCTTTGATTGTTTATTTCGAACGTGTGCTCGATAAAGATAGGATCCAAAGATGATGAGCAAGAAAAGAAGCATGAAGAGAAGGACACCGATCGAGAAGTAGATTATCCAGTGCACTGATGTATAATTCGTTGTTTCTGGACCACTGAAAGAACTCTCGTTATTCTTTCTTTCAATATTTTCAGCTTCTTTTTTTACTTACTCTGATCCTGGTGGTTTTGGCGGATTTTCCGCGGCCTCTTTCATCCGGAGCTCGGTTTCTGAAAGAAATTTTGTGAATTCTTTTCCGAAAACATTCTCGCTCAATTTTTATTCTTAAAACCCCTACAATCAAAAAAAATTTTTCAATCATTTTCAATTCAAAAAATTTCAATCAAAAAAAGAACCGTATTGGAACCGTATTAGATCTTTTTTGATCTAATACGGTTCCAAAACGGTTCCAATACGGTTCCAATACGGTTCCAATACGGTTCTTTTTTTGATCTAATACGGTTCCAATACGGTTCCAAAACGGTTCCAATACGGTTCCAAAACGGTTCCAATACGGTTCCAATACAATTCCAATACGGTTCCAATACGGTTCCTTTTAAGGTTCCAAAACGGTTCCTTTTAAGGTTCCAAAACGGTTCCAATACGGTTCCTTTTAAGGTTCCAAAACGGTTCCAATACGGTTCCTTTTAAGGTTCCAAAACGGTTCCAATACGGTTCCTTTTAAGGTTCCAAAACGGTTCCAATACGGTTCCTTTTAAGGTTCCAAAACGGTTCCAATACGGTTCCAAAACGGTTCCTTTTAAGGTTCCAAAACGGTTCCAATACGGTTCCTTTTAAGGTTCCAAAACGGTTCCAATACGGTTCCTTTTAAGGTTCCAAAACGGTTCCAATACGGTTCCTTTTAAGGTTCCAAAACGGTTCCAATACGGTTCCAAAACGGTTCCTTTTAAGGTTCCAAAACTGTTCCAATACGGTTCTTTTTTTGATCTAATACAGTTCCAATACGGTTTCTGAAAGAAATGTTGTGAATTCTTTTCCGAAAACATTCTCGCTCAATTTTTATTCTTAAAACCCCTACAAAATTCTTTCAAATTCTCGAATTCATCATCACAAATTTTCCCTTTGCTAGGTGATGGCCATCCGCATATCTCTAATAGATTTGATGAGCAGAGGACTTAGTCCCCATGGCAATGTTATCCGGTGCACGAGGCACTCATCCTTTATTTTCCTTTTCGATTTCCCCTTCTTTCCTCTTCGTTCTCGCCTTCAATACATATTCATAACTACAAAAATCAAAATCGCTCCCCTTTTTAACTTCTTATCTAATCTCTGTCGCCTCTACAAAAGTTTACCTCGAGAAAGCCGATTTAAAGGCAAAAGAACCAGTCAAAATTGAATTATTAAAAAAAAGATTCAGACTAGAATTTATTGAAAGATTAAAGAATTTCAAATATTTAAAGATTCAGACTAGAACTTATGGAAAGATTTAAGGTCACCTTTTTGTAAGCTCTCTTCGGTAATCGGTTCACCGCGTGCAAACAGGGTTTTCTTAGCGAGCTCTCGATAATAGTAGAGAGAATCAGCAACAAACGTCTAAATAAAGTCATAAAGCTTATACTAGACTGTTACATGATTCTTTTCTTTTGCGAAAAACAGCTACTCACCATGTTCCTATCGTTGCACAAATGCGTCTTACAGCAGCAAAAGAGCGCTTGCCGCTTTGGGCCAGAGTAATGAGCGAGACACTGAAAAGTATTTGTAAACGATTTTCAAATATCAAATTGAATGGGAATTGTATGGGAATTGTATGGGAATCGAATGGGAATTGAATGGGAATTGAATGGGAATTGAATGGGAATTGAATGGGAATTGAATGGGAATTGAATGGGAATTGAATGGGAATTGAATGGGAATTGAATGGGAATTGAATGGGAATTGAATGGGAATTGAATGGAAGTTGATGGAAGTTGAATGGAAATTGATTTCAAATCAACTCCAAATCAATCTCAAATCAACTCCAAATCAACTCCAAATCAATTCCCATTCAATTCCCATTCAATTCCAAATCAATTTCACCTTCAAATCTCACCTCATCTTCAAAAACACAACTGTCGACCATGTTGTGATCGTAGGGCCAACAACCACGCAACTCCATTGACTCGGCCGGGATTTGCAGCTTCCAATTGTTTCTCTCGATTGTCTGAAATATATTGAAATAAATGAAGATCAAATTTTTGATTTTAAAAGAAACAAACCGTCGTGTGATTGTAGGAGAAAGCCGCCATACATCCAGGTCTCAACGGATGCTCATTCTTTTTCTTCTCAAAAAAGCATTTCTCGATTCTCCTCGTGCAATCCCCTTCTAGTGTGCATTTCGTTGAGTTGTATTGCTAAAAATAATTGATAAAAAATGAAAATTCAAATCATCAAACCTCGCATAAAATGAATAAAGTTTGATCATCGATTGAGTAATGTTTTCCAAGATCTCCATACTTTTTATATTGATCGAGAAGATTCTTGTCAATCTGGGGAATTGTTTTTTAAATTGTTTCATTCAGATATTTCAATGATTTCAATGATTTCAATGATTTCAATGATTTCAATGATTTCAATGATTTCAATCATTTCCATCATTTCAATAATTTCAATCATTTCAATCATTTCAATAATTTCAACCATTCCAATCATTTCAATCATTTCAATCATTTCAATAATTTCAATCATTTCAATCATTTCCATCATTTCAATGATTTCAATAATTTCAATCATTTCAATCATTTCAACCATTCCAATCATTTCAATCATTTCAATCATTTCAATAATTTCAATCATTTCAATAATTTCAATCATTTCAATAATTTCAATCATTTCAATAATTTCAACCATTCCTATCATTTCAATCATTTCAACCATTTCAATCACCCTTTAAAACTCACCAAATTTTGCCCATCAAGTAACACAGAAAGACTTTCATTTGTCGATGTTGAATGATTGAGAATGTCGATGAACTAAAGGAAATTCTCAAAATTTCTTCTTTAAGCAAACAAACCACTTTCTCCATATCAGGACTTGGTTGTGCGTATGAGTAAACAGAAGAAACAAGTATTAGAAGAAAAAACAACGGCCTTAGCATTCTCATCGTGCCGACCATTTCTCGTAAATGATATCCGTCACGGATCAACGATGCGCGCGGCACTCGGGCCGTTAAGTGCGCTTTTCTGAATAGATTGGATAAAGTTGATTTAATATAATTGCAAATAATGTAAGCTGAACTGTAGAGTTTGATGAGAATGACAGTTGATGGGAGAAAAAAAAGGAGGGAAAGGGGTGGGGCTTGTTAGTGGATTGTTCTTTGGCCTATGCTTTGTCTCAGGATTCACACAGCGCCTCTTCTTTGCCCGATTTACTATTCGTTGATCGGAATTATCATCAAGAAAAAGGGGGGTTGTTTCAAGTGGGATTTTTATTTTGATGTAATCCCTTTTTCAAGGAAAGATTTAAAGAATATCAAGAAAATATTGTTCTTTCGAGGCTTAGGATTAGCTTTTGAAAGTAAAGGACATTGAGGAAGGGAAACGCGTTTGCTAATGGCATTTTTCTGATGACCTAACCCTTGTAATTGGACTCATTTAGGATTGTAGCTTATTTTAGAATAGTTCTGGACACTTTTATTGCTTAGATAAAATTCTGGACACTTTTATATCTTATCTGAAGTCGTAATTGTTTTCAGATAAAGTTTTGGATTAGATAAACAATCATAAATCCTTCCTTTCCTTCTGAACTCACTTTCGCTCCGGTCGTCGAGTCGTTTTCTTGATTTGTGTTTAATCTTCACCAAATATTTCGAAAAGAATTCTTTTGAGTGACAACGGCGGCCAAATTCGTCAATAGCCGCTCTCTTTGATCGTTGATTACTGAATTATTTTTAAGTTAAAGTTAAAAGATTTTAAAACAAGAGAATCAGAACAAGAACAAAGGTTTAAAATCAAGAACAAAGGTGAGTTGAATGGAAAGTAACGATTTGATGAGTTAAAAGAAACAAAGCTTTCATGAAGTTAAGGTAGATCAAAAATTCGTTCGTGGCCAGGAGTCGAACCAGGGACCCCTTCGCTTACCGCGCGAATGTGCTAACCACTATACCATAAGGCAGTTGGTCTAAACTGCTCCAGAGGGAGTTAAGTCATGAAAGCTTCATGAAATCATGAAAACTAAAACAAAGCTAAAAGTATGAAAGCTTTAAAAGAAAGCTAAAAGAGTATTTAAAAGAAAGCTAAACCAAAGCTTTCATTTGTTCGGAATTGAATAGAGTAAAGCTTTTAAAAGAATCCAAAAAAGGCTTAAAAGAATCCAAAAAAAGGCCTAAAAAAGCACAAAATTTGTTTAGAGAAAGAGAAGAAAGAAAGGTTATCGTGATCTTTGCAAATCTAGGTTAAGAAAGGGAAAGAAAGGATGAGATTGAGAAAGAAAATGAGTAAGAACAGCTGAAGGAAGGGGTAAAGGTGAAGAAAGAGTGCACATGCTTGTCCACTCTTTCCCCTTTATTGTTGGCGGTATCGATTTGGTGGCTCTTCTCCTTGAGCCTTTCCGATCCACCTTTCTTCCGACACCTTTCTTCTTTCTCACTTTGTCGTCATTTTTCTCTCATGCAAGTGATAAATAAAAAGATTGCTTTAGTTTTCTGTCTTTATTTTACAATTGATAATTCAGATAATTCTAATTCTAATTAGAGTGTGTTCCTCGGGAGTAAGTACCCTCTCGTACAGTCGTGTAGTCGCAACGATACAACGATACAACTCATTTCATGAAGATTCAAAGACAACAGCAACTGATGAACCTCTTTATGCAACACTTCGAAAAAATAACAGTAAGCTTTCTTAGCAATAAGAGATAAGCAATAAGAGATACCGTAAATACTGTAATAGTACCCCACCCGCCTCGTACAGTCGCGTAGTCGTAAAAGTTTTTTAGTATTTCATTTTTTTCAAAGCGCCCGTACTTTCAAAAAATGCGTCTTTTGGTATCAAAAAATAGCTGAAATTCAGGGCTATTTTTTGATAATTGTACTGCTATTGTAGCATAAACCAGTGTCGAGAAAAACTCGTTCAAAGCTAGACTACACAACACTCCGCACCGTCATTATGGGCGTGGGGTACTATTACAGTATTTACGGTATCTATATCCGTACTAGAGTGTGTTCCTTGTGAGTAATTACTCGAGTAAAATTAGCATGAGTAATTTTTTGACTCGATTAATCGACGTTTTTCCACGAGTAACTACGAGTAAATCCTCTTTACACGTCGAGTAAATTGAATATCTTTAATTGTGAAGGAATTTACCACCAAATCAGTTAAATGGCTGAATATCTTTAAAAAGAGTCGTATATAGGTCGTATATAGTCGTCGCTCGTGATTTTTTGCGCCAATCTTTTTTCAATAACTTTCGCTGTAACAGTAATTTTTCCCAAGTTTGGGTTTTAAAAAGCGCAGTGAGGAAAACGCTCTAATTCTAATCACCTATAAAGGAAATATTAAAAAGAGAACTGAAAACTGTGTTAAACTACTTTCTCTACTTTCCCTTTCTCTACTTTCTCTTCCTCTTTCTCTTCCCCTTTCTCTACTTTCTCTTTCTCTTTCTCGTACTTTCTCTCTTATCTACATCTATTAGATTTCGTAAAAGATTTAGAGAAAAAGAAAAAGAAATGACACATGAAAGGATGGATACTGTGTGAGGGCTGCACAAAGATTTTTACGTAAACAAAACAAAAAGCAAAGAAATTTGTAAAGATTGTCTGTGAATCCAGATGTTCATAAGAATAGAAAGATAGAAATTTGAATAGAAAGATGGACCCTACAAGGAGTGTTTTATGCTTTGTTTGATTGTTTGAATCAAAAAATTGAAATAAATGATTGAGAGATTTTTTTTTTTAGAGAAATAGAATTGAGTCTGTTGTGAGGGAAAGGAATGATTGTTTAAAATAATCTTCAAACAATCTTCAAACAATCATTCCTTTTCTAGCTATAATTTTAGCTTAATTCTATAGCTTTAATTTGTTTTTTTGTCTTTTTTTTGTCCTTTTTTTCCGTTTGATTTTTGATCGTTTCCTTTGCAGAAAGTATTTCTCTCATTCTTTTTTTGCTAAACTAATTATTGTGATTTTGTTTTGTCGCTATTCAACTGAATAAAGCATATCTATAAACCAATAACTTCAGTCAATTTTTTATCGCTTAAAAGTAAGCCAAAAAAAGTGAAAGATTTCTATGCACCTAAATTGGCATAATTTTTAAGAGATCTGTGTAAGGAAATTGAAAGGAAATCAATGCCATATTATGCAACAATTCTAGCTTTTTTTTTAAATCGACTAATCGATGACGATAAGCCTATAAATATTGAAGATTTCATACATCCATTTCTCATTAGCAAAACTTTGTACTTAAATTTCTTGGTGTTTAGCTGTTGAATTTCAATATTTTTAATATGATTAAATACGCGACATCTTTCTCTGTCGATTGCTATAAAAACTATTTCATTTCAACAAACCAACAGTGAGAAATTTGAGTTTAAAGTTTAATCACTAGTGCAAAATCGACTAGAAATCGACTAGAAGCAGACTTTTAAGTTATTCAGTCAAAAAGCTTACTGTTAAAAGCCTACCGTAAATACTGTAATAGTACCCCACCCCCGGTCGTACAGTCGCGTAGTCGTAAAAGTTTTTTAGTATTTCATTTTTTTTCAAAGCACCCGTACTTTCAAAAAATGCGTCTTTGGTATCAAAAAATAGCTGAAATTCAGGGCTATTTTTTGATAATTGTATTGCTATTGTAGCATAAACCAGTGTCGAGAAAAACTCGTTCAAAGCTAGACTACGCAACACTCCGCACCGTCATTTTGGGGGTGGGGTACTATTATAGTATTTACGGTATCTATATCCGTGGAATCATTTGAGAATCAGCTGACATTAGAAATCCAGGGCTATTTTTGATACCTAAGCGCGCATTGTAGCATAAACCAGTGTCGAGAAAAACTCGTTCAAAGCTAGACTACGCAACACTCCGCACCGTCATTATGGGGCTGGGGTACTATTACAGTATTTACGGTAGCTACGATTTAAAAGACTGAAATATCGATTGATTTCAAAGCTTTTTCTGTTCTTTATAAAGTAAAGATGAAAAGAGATGAAAATCTTTTGACCCGCTCTCTTGGAGTGAGTAGAAAAAAAGAATTCATTGAGATGACCTTGCTTGACTCTGTTTCATCTTTCCTTTCATCTTTCCTTTCATCTTTCCCCTCACTCTCTCTCTCTTTCAAAAATAACAGATCACTTTTGGCCCCATAACACTTTTCAATCTCTCTTTTTTTGATAAAAAGAGAAGTTTGCTCGTTTTTTTGAGACAAAAAAAATGGCAACACTTTCGAAAGAGAAACAAAATCAAAAGCAACCTTTCTACAAAATTTCCTAAATTTCCGGTTTCTGAAAATTTCGAGTATTTTAAAAGATAATATTATATGAAAATGATAAAATATTGCGAGAATTAAAAAAAAAACTTATCATCGCAAGATCTGCACTTTGATCTATGACAAAAAAAGGATTTTTCGATTCTCAAAAAGGCAAAGAATAGATATTTTATGATAATGATGAAAAAAGAAAAGCACAGACATAATTGAGATTTTAAAAAAAGTCGTGTTTAACAAAGGTATTCTAATGTATTCGATTTTTATGTGAAAAGTCCGAGTTTTTTTTGTTGAGTAAATTGTGTTTAAAAATTCATTTCCCGAGAATACGGTAAATTCGCTCACCTCTCAGGAAGATTGTAATCCTTAGAAATTCCCTGCACTCAGCCTAATCACATCATATCAAAAAAAAGACACTCATAGCTTTAGAAAATCCAATGATACTGTAATGAAAGGCAGAAGAAGGTCGACTGTAGCTCGATGTACTCAATCAATGCGTACAAATTGCTTAGCTTTGTTTAAATCCTATAGGAAACTAAATTAGGAACATATTAGATAAAAGGTTAAGATCAGTTAGATCAGTTAAAAGATCAGTTAGATCGGTTAGATCAGTTAAAAGATCAGTTAGATCAGTTAGATCAGTTAAAAGATAACTACTGTAAATACTGTAATAGTACCCCACCCCCGGTCGTACCATCGCGTAGTCGTAAAAGTTTTTTAGTATTTCATTTTTTTCAAAGCACCCGTACGTTCAAAAAATGCGTTTTTGGTATCAAAAAATAGCTGAAATTCAGGGCTATTTTTTGATAATTCTATTGCTATTGTAGCATAAACCAATGTCGAGAAAAACTCGTTCAAAGCTAGACTACGCAACACTCCGCACCGTCATTATGGGGGTGGGGTACTATTACAGTATTTACGGTATCTATATCCGTACTAGAGTGTTTTCCTTGTGAGTAATTACTCGAGTAAAATTAGCATGAGTAATTTTTTTGACTCGATTAATCGACGTTTAATTTTTTTTATATATTCTTTTACTTTCTTCTTCTCCCCTTTTTCCTTTTTTTTTTTTTTCCCTTTTTTTTTTGGAAAAAAATATATATATATTTGTCGCTATTCAACTGAATAAAGGATATATAAATCTACAAAAATTAGCATAAAATATCTAATCGAAACTCTAATAAATCTTTCCATTAAGCTTTTTATAAAAAAAAATTCCATAAAATATGACTCCTAATCGAAAAGTATTCATTGTTTTTCTCTTTTTTTTGACTGCGATTTAAAATTCGAGCATGAGAAACCATTGAATGAAATGGGAAGCCATTGAAAATTCCCCTAACTACAGTAACTCGTAATTATGAAGTGAAATAGATTGAGATAATCTTGAATATAAAAGAGAAAGAGGTAAAGAGGTAAAGGAAAAGGAAAAGGAAGGAAAATGAAAAGGAAAAGGATAACAAGGAAGACTCTAGTCAAAGATAGGTAAATGGAGCGGAGCGGGGAGGGGGCATAATTATTGCCAGATTATCTCCAGGAAAGTCTAATTTTGCACCTGGGTAGAAAGGGAGTGAGAAATTTGATCTATCTGTTCACCAATTAGAGAAATTTATTAAGGTTGAGTGGTGATGAGCCATCAAATGGGAGTCTAGGGTTAGATATTAACAGGGTAGATCTAGGGTAGATATTAACAGGGTAGATCTAGGGTAGATATTAACAGGGTAGATCTAGGGTAGATCTAGGGTAGATATTAATAGGGTGGATCTAGGGTAGATATTAACAGGGTAGATCTAGGGTAGATATTAACAGTTGAAATCTTCAAATTAGTAGCTTCAAAATTGGTTCAAAATACAAACTTCAAACACGTTTTAAGGAAGAGGAATGAGAATAACAAAAAAAAAGGTTCGGACGTGGTAGTGAATGGCACTAAAGTTCGAAAGAACAAAAGTGAATGGGCCGGCTGAGTAAATGCAGATAAAGATCTGTATATATTGGGAATTGAACGAAAGAAAAAAACGGTTATAGGTGGAAAATTTCATTGGTTATATGCTTGTTTTTCGTAAAAATATTTCCTGTTGGTTAGAGATTACTTAAAATTTCAAATTTATCAAATTAGAGAAAAAAGATTAGATAGATTTCGATAGATTTGGATTTGTTTATATTTGGAATACAGTCGAATCTCGTTAGTGAATGGTAGAAGGGATTCTGAGAAATCGTTCACTATCGAGGTTCGTTCACTATTGGAGTTTGATTAGTACTAAATCAACTCAAAGGGATCCTAAAGAATCCAGTTACTATAAAGGTTAGTTCACTGACGAAATTTGACTGTAATTGAAAAAAAAGCATGAAACATGAATGAAAACGTGTACATGCAGATGTTATAGTAAAGTTTTACAAAAAGTTAGCAAGTAATAAAGCAATAAAGCAATAAAGTAATAAAGTAATAAAGTAATAAAGTAATAGTAAAAGTAAAGTAAGATATTAATAAAGTAACAATAAAAGTAAAATAAGAAAGTAAGAAAGTAAGAAAGTAATAAAGATTTTAACATTGAAAAACAGAATCAATTAGTTGAAAGTAGTCATATTTTGAAATGAAAAGAAAAGTCAGTTTAAAGTTTAAAGTTAAAGTTTAAAGTTTAAAGCTAAAGTTTAAAGTTTAAAGTTAAAGTTTAAAGTTTAAAGCTAAAGTTTAATGTTTAACGTTTAAAGCTTTAAAACTTATCATAAAATGAACACTAGCTAATCATTTGATTCATTAATTGGTTTGTGAATCAATAAAATCCGGGAGAAAAGAGGAAAAGAGGAAAGAGGTTGGATTAAGCTATAGGAGGGACGGTCGAAACGAGAGAATCGAGATAATCCAGCACACGCACAACCATAAGAAGGATGGGCAAGGGGGAAAAAGAGAGAAAGAGAGAGAGAAGAGGACTTTCCGAGAGTACGTCGTGTGCCTATGCACACCAAGGCGATCGATAGCTGGCACTTGTCTTTTGTACTCTTTTCCCTCTCCCTTTCTAGCACTCTTTCCCGAACACCTGCACTGAAAAAAAACTCGCTCTTTTTCTTCTCTCTTTCTTTTCTTTCGCTTCCCTCTTTCTTTCTCTCACTCTTTCTTGATAAAACTCGCTTTTTTCTTCTCTTTCCCTTCTCTTTTTCTTTCTCTCACTCTTTCTCTAAGCTTGATAAATTTTTGCCAACTCTGCAACAGTTTTTTTTGTTTACTTTGATTCTCTAAATTAATGACTTTTAAAAGCCATCAGTTTTTTGTAAGAAAGGGAAAACAGTGATGAATTGTTTATATGAAAAATCTTCATGATTTTTTTCATTTTAATCTTCATCTTTCTTCATTGATAACAATCTGAACAGAAAAGAGAAGGTAAGATTTTAAAAGAAAGGCAAGGAATGAATTCGAAGATATGAGGTGTGGAGGATAAACTTACATAACTAAAAAACAAGTTCTATGAAATGTGAGAGGAAATCCGGTGACCGAGTGGGCGATTAAATCCCCGTGACAGGCCACAGATTGATGCCGTAATTTTAAATAAAACAAAATTTTTCACTCAATACAAACGACTTTACATTTGTTACATGTAACAAACAAATTTCTGGGAACATAGATCAAGGCTCTGCTTTGGAGGATTTCAAGATCTAGAGGATTTTTGGATTTGAAGAAAAGTGGGCTTTGATTTGAAGTTTTAGATTAAAAAGACAAAGATAAGTAGAAGAAGAAGAAGAAAGAAGATAAATTTCCGAATAAAACAAGTTACAAGGCAAACTTTGATCATTAGACTTTGACGACCTTGATGACTTTGATTGGCTAGTTCATTGTCGATTCAACTCCGATTCAACTGATGATGAAAGGGGAAAATTTATGGGTGGGAAAACAAAAGAAAGTCGGCGGTGGGACTCGAACCCGGTACCCCCCACCTACCAGGCTCACATGCCGGCCCGGCGCTCTACCACTGAGCTATATCTCGATGTTCACTAGGCCGTCAAGATAGCTTCTTATCTCTTACTTCCCAACTCAAGCAACCAATACTGAAAGTTAAAAATCTTTTTATTCAAACCTTTTTATTCAAAGCTTTTGATCCAAAGCATTCCCCAAAAAACCTTTTTCAGTTTTTCATTTCCTTTGCAACATTCCGTTTCTCAAAAAACGAAAAACGTCCATTTGTCAGAAGACTTGATTCGTAAATGAGATTTTGCCCGCTTTCCAATTTCCCCACCTTTCCATAAGACCAAAAAGAGAAGAGTGGTCTTAAGGGAAAGTCTTTCAAAAGAAGGCGTAGAGTAAAGAGCCAAAAAGAGCAGCGATGTGCTTGGGCATTTCTATTGATCCCCGGCTGGCACACAACCATTTCATCTTCCCTTTTTCCTCTTTTTGTTTCATTTGTTTATTTCATTTATTTATTCAAAAGCTTCTCATATTCATAAAATTTCATTTTCTTTTTTTTTTTTTTTCGTTTTGTTTCGTTTTAGCATTGATCTCTCATCATTTTTACTAATTTTTCCTCTTTTTTTAAAGAACATATCACCTAGGAGATCATCAGAATTTCAACTTTTAAATAAAAACTATTCAAGAAAACGAATTCTTTCGTTTTATGTAAAATAAATAAACTTTCTTTTCCGCATTTTCCCCTGGAAATCGTCTTTTTTTTTATCAATTTTCATCAAATTATATATATATATGCTTTATTCAGTTGAATAGCGACAAAACAAAATCACAATAATTACCCGGGACACCATTCAAAACACACCCAAAAGTTAAATAGATACCTCAAGAAAGAATCACAGAGCAGTCAAATCAATTGCCGAAATTGCGGCTTTAAATCTAGGCAATCTAGGCAGAATCTAGACAGAATATGACAAACATAAGGGGGTAAAATGTTCCACAAGTTAATAGCTCGATTAAAAAAGAAACTAGGCAGAATCTAGGCAGAATACGACGAACATGAGGGGGTAAAATGTTCCACAATTTAATAGTTCGATTAAAAAAGAAACTAGGCAGAATCTAGGTAGAATACGACGAACATGAGGGGTAAAATGTTCCACAAGTTAATAGCTCGATTAAAAAAGAAACTGTGCGAGCTTTGTGAGGAAACGGAAAGTTGGCGTATGAGAAAAGTATTCAACCAATTCTCTTTGACTATCCTATTAAAACTAAGATGAAATGATTTATATATATATATATATATATGCTTTATTCAGTTGAATAGCGACAAAACAAAATCACAATAATTACCCGGGACACCACTCAAAACACACCCAAAAGATAAATAAAAGAAAAAAGGTAAAAGAAAATTCAATATTTTTTTTTTGAAACCATTTCCTAGTGGATTTCAGAAAATGTAAAAACAACGGCTGAGAAATGACCTTGAATTTTTCTTTTTTTGTGTTCATTCCTTTCTCCTTTCCCCCCTCCACACAAAAGCCTTTTTCACCGAGAACTTCCTCTTTCATTGATTCCTCTTTTTTTCCATTGTACTTTAAATACTTTTCAATGTAATCTCTTAAAATTTTCAATTTTGCAATTTATCCAAAAGCAATAAGTGCAAGATTATAGGAAGGTTTTCGGAAGAAAAAAAAGCACAGAACGATGACGGAATTATTTTTCCAAATGGAGAACCAATCGCTGGTCTTTTATCCGGGGCAAATCCTTGCCGGAACTGTTTTACTTCAAGTGAGCAAAAAAAAAAGAAAGAAAGTAAGCCGCATGATTGTCGATAAAAATATGGATATCAAAAAGATTTACATGTTTTTCACGATCACCTTTTTCATCCTCCAGGGATTTGAAAGAAAAAAGAAATGATCTTTATTCTGTTTGTGATTTTTCTAAATCAAGTAAAGGTCAAGAAATAGAAATCTAAATAATGAAAATTCGATGTAAACTTGAAATGTTCTTTAAATGTTCTTTAAATGTAAATTTTACAGTTAGAAGAGCCGTGCACAGCGCGCGAGGTGACTCTCTATTTGAGGGGAAAAGCGAAAAATCATTGGACGAAAACAAGAAGTTATAGCGGGTAGGAGTTTAAATACCGTATATTAAGAATACCGTATTTTCTCTAATAGTAGTGCACCATGATTGTCGACTAAATTGCTCGAAATCTCGAGAACCGCTTATCAGAACCTATCAATGTGCGGTCGGGAAATGTAGCTGACGATGAGATCTAGTGGGGGATTAGAGTGTTGAGCTTCTGGGAAAACTTTGAAACTGTAAAATAGTCACCAACTCGGCCCACCGGGGTGCACTACTATTAGAGAAGATACGGCAAACAAATTCACCAATGAAAAGAAACGAAAAGATTTTCTTAGCCTCTTAGCCAGTCAGCCATGGCGACGGAATGGCGATGGCGGCCAGATTTCTATCTAGTGCGTTCTCTTTAGCATTAGTGTACCCTATTAGAGAAAATACGGTATAGATAAATCGAGATAATTTGATTTTCTTTAGAGCTAATGGTACCCGGCACACGACCACCGATCACTATGATTCGCGGATTGTGATTATTGACGAGTCGATTCGTTTGTGGGGAGATGGGAAAAAGGATAAGATACCCACTGGGAATTATGAGTTCCCATTTAGGTAATGTGCTAAATTTGAGTACAGATAACAAATTAGCATAGTTGTCTGTCTGTCTCTCTGTCTGTCTGTCTGCCTTTCTGACTTTCTGGGATACTTTAATGAGAGAGAAGGCTCACTTTCATAATATTTTTCAACACTTTATTTTAGCTTCCGCTTACCGATCAGTTGTCTCCCGTCTTTCGAAGGAGAATATGGACATATTCGCTATGAATTAAAAGTAGAAATCGATCGACCATGGAGATTCGATGAAGAAGCCACTTGTGTAAGAGAAATGATAAAAACGTTTTTATATTAATCTAGCCCTTTACTGTGGTTACGGTATGTGATCTGAATTTGTTTCCGTATGCCAAAGAGCCAGCTTTTCATGTGGTTTGCGAGAAGACCGGACTTCCAATTTTTCGCAGAGGCGATGTCGGAGTTGAGGTACGGAAAAGTTCGAGTTTTAAATCTATATATCATAGCCGTTTACGAAATTCAGCCGTTAAAGAATGATTTGTTAACAGCTAGCCGTTTACGAATGATCCTAGCTGAAGCTGATATCTAGCTGATTACGAATCATTCGTAAACGGCTAGGTGATTACGAATCATTCGTAACGGCTGAATTTCCTAAACGGCTACGAAATATACATTCAATACATTCATTTACACGAATTATATGGTACGAACAGAAGCCAGATTAGAGAAGAAAAAAAAACCCCATATATAAGAAAAAGAACCAATAATAGCAATAACGGGATTGAACCCTTGGACCTACCGACTAAGATACAAGCCTCTTAGCCAGTTGGCCATGATGGCCGTTTTTGTTAAGGCGAAACTTACCATAATATCTGAAACGTTTTTAGGTTTATATGCCAAAGCAGGGCTTTGTGCCGGGTGAAACGATTCCAGTGAAGATTACAATCAGTAATGAGAGCTCAAAGGATATGGAATCGGTTGGTAAAAGGAGTTTTTTTCAGGTTTATATCGATATTCAGATAGAATTAGTGCTTCGTGAATACGTGGATTATGCAGCTTTTCATCCAGGATCCGATTTCCCGGTGAACGCTCTCTACACTGAATCTGCGTGTGGATCGTCGTTAAAAGAGCACCGAAGAGATGTTGCCAATGTTGAAATGGTAATATTGAAATGGAAATGGAAATGGAAATGGAAATGGAAATGGAAATGAAATTGAAATTGAAACAAGTCTAAACTCTAATCTAAACCTTTACAGCCGGTGAAACTAGACGCTCACTCCGAGGGCTCATTCACGGTCAACCTCGTGATTCCTCCAATCGTTGCCTCATTTCAATGCGCAATTACCAGAGTTTATTATATGTTAAAGGTATTAAAAGAGCTTTTGTCCAGACTTTTATCCAAATTGCGTATTTTCGTTTAAAAAAAATAGCAAATTCATCAATTAACCTAATAATGAAAAAACGACGCTTTTTTGCCACTTTTCAATCATTTTTTTCTAAGTGCTGGTTAATGCTAAAAATATGTGTTATATCTCAAAAAAAATCACCCATTCTCTCTACTTTAATTTGATACCTAAGCGCACAGAAATAAATGTCTGAGCGCCGAGATATGAGCTTTTGTTTGAGAGTAAACTTAGACTACGCGACGCTCCTATAGGGGCTTTTTCTATTAAAGCTTTTAAGGTAATTGATGAATTTGTAGGTTTTAAAACGGAAGTACGAAAAGAAGAAAAAGATTTCTGGAAAGGCTCAACTAATTTTGCATCAAATATTTCCCAGGTTGCTGCCTCCACAGAAGCCACATTCAACTCAAAAGTAAAACTCAAAATGCCACTCATGATCGGCACGATTCCATTTCGGTAAGTGAATCAAAAAAAAAAAACTAAACTAGATAAACTAGATAACATATCAGATATTTGAGAATAACTAAACTAGATATTTAATGATAAAAAGCTTTTAAAAAAAGTGATAAAAACGAAATCTATTTGAGAGAGGATCCCCCACCGCCTCTCGATTCCCCTCCCGCCTATCCAAGCGCTCACCCCGATCCACAACCCTTTCTTCAACCCGGTTTCATCCGAGATGCCCCACAGTTTGCACCACAACCATGTTCGTTCATACCATTCAAAAAGAAAACATATAAGTTTTAAAAGCAATAATTTAAATCCTGGATTTTTTTTAGCTAACAACAACCCTTCAGCACCGCCGGCCGAAGAGTCGACAGAAGCCACTGGTAATTGTAACTGTCACCTGAGCTCGGGCCATAATGTTGTGGGAAATTTTTGGATTTTCCGCGACATTATGGGGCGCGAGGAAGGATTTCCCGCGGGAAACGTTTCCCGCGGCATTATGGCCTAGGCTCTGAATACTTTTACAGGTTGATCAGAAATAACGGAGTATTTTTGTTAAATCTTTGATTCTCAGCAAGGAGCTGAGAAATTGTGAGCGGTGAGCGGTGAGCGATGGGCTGGACATAATGTCCAGTGAAGTAGAGTGATCAGGCGCCTGAAGTAATCAGAAGTATCGATCAATCGAACGAAAATCGATAACCGAGAAGCCTCGTATGCTTAGCTGAGTTGAGTCTCTGTGGATGTATAACCGATAAGTACCAAAAGCCATTACAAAAATCATCGGATGTCCGATATAGACTGTAAACAATAAAAGACCTTTGAAAAATGCAGAAAACTACAGAAAACGCTTAAGAACATATATTAAGCATGTTTATATTATTGTTCAATCTATATAAGATTTAGATTGAATCTAAATAGGACATCCGATATAGCCTGTAATCTAAATAGGACATCCGCGATATAGACTGTAATCTAAATCGGACATCCGATATAGACTGTAATCTAAATGGACATCCGATATAGCCTGTAACTAAAAGACACCGACCTTAACTAATGCGCCAAATCGGACGTCCGATATAGACTGTAATCTAAATCGAACGGAAATCTAAATCGGACACAACATATATAAAAATAAAGAGAGTAAAGAAAAGAGTTTAAATTTGTAAATTTCAAGAGTCAAATTTGTAAATTCATCTTTTACCTTTTACAGCCTCCACAGATCGTAATTATTTTATGAAAAAAAAGCCGGTATTTGTCGGCTATACATCCACAGAGACTCAACTCGGTTAAGCACTGCGAAAATTTCAATTTTATTTTTGACATCTTAATCGGTGAATAATTGAGAATATTAATAGCTAAACTATTTAAAAAAAATATCTAAAACTTGTATAGCTTTATAATACTCTTTTCTGTTTTTAAGTTCTTCTTCTTCTTCTTCATAAAAATCACTCCATTATTTCTGGTGATGCTGTAAAAAGCATTTTATCTGATAACTTAGAAAAAACACTAAAAACTTTTAGCTCCACCACTCAGCCCGCCAGCTGGCCCACCCCCATCCTATCAAGAAAGCATCTTTGGGCCAACGGCGCCCGAAGGAGAACGACGGGTTTGTTTTTTTGATTCCTAGCTCGATTTGATTTAATGTTTATTTTGAGCAGAACAATTTAAACTTTAAAGCTTTTCCATTTCTACAAAAAGCTACGTCGTTCTGTTCTCGTAAATGATTCCAATTTAGCCGTTTGCCCCGCGTTTCCCCTTCTATCCGCACCTCTCGATCGATAGCTTGAAAATCGAAAAATGAAACAGACTTTGTTTTCTCATCATTATATTTCATCAGGCTTTTTTTTGTTTATTTGCTTTATTTATTTTATTATTTACTTATTTGCTTTTTTTTTTTTGCTTGCTTTCTTACCACTTTTTACACTTTCACAATAATTTTTGTCTAGGATTTTAAGATTCTTTTCAAATGATTTGAATTTTTTGAATTTTTTTTAAATTACTTTTAAGAAAAAGAATTCATATTTATAATCGAGAATATATAAAATGATGTAAAAAAAAATAAAAACTATAAAATCAATGTTTTGTAACAAAAAAAATACCGTAATATGTAATATTGGGTTGTCCAGTTCTTTTAAAAAAAAAAATACATTTATTGAAAACCAATAATGTGATACAAACAAAGGGTACATAATAAGACATAAAGGTTAAACACACAATTTTATGGCACTGCGGCCGTTCTCACCCCTATTTACCCCTATTACCCAAATGTTGTGAAAGAAAAAACCCACTTGGTGGGAAAAAGAAACATTTTTATCTTGCCAGAGTGATTGAACCCTCGACCTTCCGCTTAAGAGACAAGACTCCTAACCGGTCGGCCATCTGGCCATTTTCTCACCTTCTGACTGTGAAATTTGCACAACACTTCGGATTACCGTATCCGTCATTAGAGAAAGAAAGCTGAAATCATTTATTGGGTTGTTTTTTTGTTTGTTTATGAATTTTGTTTTATGAATGCGCGTTTTTTACTATTTTGTAAATTTCTCAAGATACCGAAATCAAGAAAAAGATATATATAAGTATTATTTGAAAGCTGAAGATCTCCTCTATTCAGCCAATTTAATCAAAAACAAACTTGAGTTTGAGCATTGTAATAATATTTGAATGATACTCCAGGACCACATTGTTTTCCAGCGTTAGATGAGAGAGAGCATGTAAAAGCTAAAAATCTTTTACTTTTCAATTTCTAGTTTTTTTACCTTTAGTAGGACAACATCCGAACATGTTACCATCAAAATAGCACTCATAATTTGCAGGACATGTCGATTTTGATCTTGTCGTTGAACAAGTGACAAATTTTCCCGATGAATCTTTATAAGATTGACCTTGTAGACAACGAGGTTCAGCTAAAGTTTTGGATTTTTGAGGGTTTAGGTTTCGTTCTAGTTCTAGTTCTAATTCTAGTTCTAATTCTAGTTCTAATACTAGTTCTAGTTCTAATTCTAGTTCTAGTTCTAATTCTAGTTCTAGTTCTAATTCTAGTTCTATTAGGTTGATGCATAAGTCTTTTCGTTTTTTTCGTACTTCTGTTAAAAAGTAACAAATTCACGAATTAATCTATAGTTTGCTCTATAAAAAAAGTGTTTTTTTGTTCAATTTGCATCTTTTTAAATGAATTTCGGTTCACTTTCAAGCAAATTCGAGAGTGAAAAACGCCTTTTTCGTAAAAATCTATAAAAAACTCTACGGAAAAATTGGCTGAATGAATTTCTCTGAAATTTTGGCGAAATATCAAACGTTTTTTTTCTCTATCTTTTATCTATTGACACGAAGATAGGTTTTCTTTAGCTAAGGTGTCTAAACCGCATCATCGAGTTAGCCCTTTTTGACTACCCGACTTCATACTCTCAAGAAAATCCAGGCATTAAATATTTTTAAACCCGTTTTAATGTTATTTTGCAGAAAAATAATTGCTTTTTCTAATGAAATCAACCGTAGTTTAATTGGTGCATTTGTTGGCTTGAAACGGCAGACGAAAAGGAACAAAAACACTTATGCATCAACCTATTATTTTGTAAATTTCTCAAGATACCGAAATCAAGAAAAAGATATATATGAGTATTATTTGAAAGCTGAAGATCTCCTCTACATTTTGATATAAAAAATTTTTGAATTTGTTCAGCTTTTGGGCAAATTGACTGCACAAAAGAAGAAGTGGCCAAAAAATGGAAGGGTGCCTTTGGATCAAGTTTTGGCTCCGCTCAAATTGAGTTAACCGTTTGATGTTTGGCCAATAGATATATCAATACAACTTTTTAAAAAATATAACAATTTCAGAGCATCTTTACTTTTCTTTTCTTTTCTGGGCGGTTATTTTACACCATAAAACTTGGGGAATAGCTAAGCTGAAATGGGTTTTTTCGAAAACGACCTCTCCCTTTGTGCAGTCAATTTGCCCAAAAAGTTGAATGAATTCAAAAGCTTTTTTTATTCCAAAATGTAGAGGAGATCTTCAGCTTTCGAATGATATATAACACTCATATACAGTGGCGGACATAAACTTATCACACCCCAAAATAATTTCTTATTTCTCCTCTAACTTTTTTTCTAAACAACCCTTTGAGCTAAAAGTTGGTTTAGACACGTACAAACAAACATATTTTAATATTTTAAGTCAAAAAACTAAATATCTCTGATGAAAAACTTTTTTTGAACTTTTTTATTATAAACTCGAACGACATTGACTTTAATGAGATTGATTCAAAAGTCGGAAAAAAACCCAAAATAAAAACGAAATTTTAATGTTTTGTGTTGTTTTTATGAGGTGTTATAAGTCAATGTCGTTCGAGTTTATAATAAAAAAGTTCAAAAAAAGTTTTTCATCAGAGATATTTAGTTTTTTGACTTAAAATATTAAAATATGTTTGTTTGTACGTGTCTAAACCAACTTTTAGCTCAAAGGGTTGTTTAGAAAAAAAGTTAGAGGAGAAATAAGAAATTATTTTGGGGTGTGATAAGTTTATGTCCGCCACTGTACATCTGTTCGATATCTTGAGAAATTTACAAAATAGTAAAAACGCGCATTCATAACTGGACAACCCAATAGTATCCCACACCCGTCGTACAGTCGCGTAGTCGCAACGATACAACGATACAACTCATTTCATGGAGATTCAAAGACAACAGCAACTGATGAACCTCTTTATGCAACACTTCGAAAAAATAACAGTAAGCTTTCTTAGCAATAAGAGATAAGCAATAAGAGATACCGTAAATACTGTAACAGTACCCCATTTGTGGAGCTGTAAAGAGAAAAGGCCATCTCCTCATTCCCGTTATTTTACTTTCAGTGACTTTTATTTGGTGGTCTTTACAATTTTGAGAGACTTTGAGAGAATAGATACCGTAAATACTGTAATAGTACCCCACCCCCCGTCGTACAGTCGCGTAGTCGCAAAAGTTTTTTAGTATTTCATTTTTTTTCAAAGCACCCGTATTTTCAAAAAATGCGTCTTTAGTATCAAAAAATATCTGAAATTCAGGGCTATTTTTTGATAATTGTATTGCTATTGTAGCATAAACCAGTGTCGAGAAAAACTCGTTCAAAGCTAGACGACGCAACACTCCGCACCGTCATTATGGGGGTGGGGTACTATTACAGTATTTACGGTATCTATATCCGTACTAGAGTGTGTTCCTTGTGAGTAATTACTCGAGTAAAATTTGCATGAGTAATTTTTACTCGATTAATCGACGTTTTTCCACGAGTAACTACGAGTAATCCACTTTTCACATCGAGTAAATTGAATATCTTTAAATGTGAAGGGAATTTGGCACTAAATCAGTTAAATGGCTGAATATCTTTAAAAAGAGCCGTATATAGGTCAATAAAAATAAATAAAATTCGTGACTGTTACGAAAGGATTGCAAATGGAGGAGACAATCTTTTGATGACACATGTAAAAATGTGTGTGTGAGAGAGAGGAGAGAAAGAGCGATTGTGGATTCAGAAATGAAAAAGAAAAGATTCTATTCACGTCTCAATGCGGTGCTCTTTTCGACCAAATTTCACAATTCTACGTCATCAATTGAAAGATTGCTGATAAAAATCACCTTTTAAAGAGTCATGAAAATACGATTAGTCAAAAAAAAAAAGGATTGATGCCCTATTACTTATCACCAATTACCAAAATCCTATTACTTATCAATCCTATTACTTGAATAAGTTTATTTTCGGAAATTAGTATTGTAATTTGTTTCTTTTGATTCGTCCTTTTATAGAAATTGAGATGATTTGTGGTTGAATTCGAAATTTTAGTTAAATTCTCTTTCTAAGATTTTTTTTCTTCTTTTTCGATCAAGAAATATTCGAAAATTCAAAAATAACAAAAATTATTTCACTTTTTTATTTTGACATAATAAAATTGTCTTTTTCTTTGTAAAAGTATTTCTAAAGGTGTTAATTGCTCTGGAAATTGTTATTAACCCATTCGAAACTTCTGCAGCGAATAATCGCTGCAGCAAAAACTCAGGAACGGACCGCTGCAGCGAAAAAATGTCAAAAAAGGGCTTGGTCCGCAGACGAAAAAAAAGAAAAAACTCTGCGGTTTCGAATGGGTTAATCATTTTCATAACGACAAAATACTTAAAAATTTCTTGAATCTTGAAACAGAGATCTTGAAACAAACTGGAATTTCTTGCTTAGAGTATCAGGTTTATTTGTAGACTTTTTTTTTTGAAGCTGTGGTTGAAGCTTTATTGTTTATTACTTGCTTTAAAGCTATTTGATGGTTTGAAGCTTGCCTTGTAGTTAAATTCTCACAAATTTCAAAGCCTTCTTCTTTTCCGAATGATTTGTAGAGAAAGGTTTTTCCTTTTCCTTGATTCAAGCAAAGCAAAAGCAAAGCAAAGATTCACCCTCTATCACTCCTTATCTATGCCCTCTTCGAACCTCTCTTCACCAAAAATTCGCCTTTTTCTTTATTATAAAGAAAGCAATATTTAACCAAATATCAAAAATTTATTAAACTTCATTATTTCTCGCTGCTCATTCACAATTTATTCCTTCATTGCCTTTTTTTTCACTTCTTTTTTTTTGTTTGTTTGTTTGAATAGTTGTATATTTACACAGAGCCTTTTTTTCATAAAAATAACGATCAAAAATCGATTTTCGTTTTGAAAATGTAGAAAAATGTTGAAAATGTTTGAGAATTCAACTACAAATCATCTTCAAGACAACTTTTAAAAAGAATTGGAAATGTTTTAAGGGAAATGAGCAAATGAATGTTCTGAGAAAAAGAGTGATCGTAAAAGATGACTCATCGAAAGTATTTCCTTTGAAACATTCGTCAAAACAGTCAAATAAACAAACGATCCTTCAACATCATTAAATTCATTTGATTTTTACATTATTAAATTCATTTTAAAGATTATTTAAGCTTGATGAAATTCTTTATCGTTTTCAACGAAGGGAAACGGGTTTTCTTTCCCGGGCAACTTGTTGAAGGGGTGGCTATCTTGCAGGTTCGTTTCATTTCAATAATTTCAATCTCTTAAGGTCAGCTTTTATATTATAAATAAAATTGCAGCTAACTGAAGAGTGCTCGGCGCGCGAAGTGTTCATTCGAGTGACTGGACACGCGAAAAATCACTGGTCTGTCAGCCACACCCATACCACGTGAGGGTTTTTATTTGCTTTAAGGATTTAGGTGTCTCATTTGGCTTCATTTCTCATTGATTTTATTGTAAAACTTCAGAACAAACACTAATGGTACTACTTCGTCGCATACAACCACCGAGCACTACAACGCTGTGATAAAGTTCGATTTCTAGGCAAATCCAATAATAATGATAATTTCAGCATCTTCAATGGTCAATCGAAAGCTTGGGGAAATGGTACCAAGCAAAAGATTCCCGCTGGAGAACATCGATTCCCATTCTGGTAAGAAGATCTGATAATGGCATCTGATCTGATCTTTGTCTTCAGTACAGCTAGAAACTTTGTCTAGCTTTAGATTGAACTTAAAATTTTAATGAGAAGAAGAAAGAAAATGAAACTAGACTCTAGCCGATCCTTTTATTGACTGGGAATACAAGATGTCGGCACCGGGATTCGAATCCCGACCACGAAAGCGAACTCTCGCTTACGCTCTAGCAATCAGCCACTTAGACACCTGACAAGTGGCCGTCAGGATACCGTCTTATGCTTTACTATTTAGCTTTCAACTCCCAATCCGTTGTCTCCCCTCATACGAGGGATGCCATGGGCACATTCGATATTCAATTCGTGCCGAAGTCGATCGCCCATGGAAGTTCAACCATAAAGCCGATCAGGTTTGTGCCTTCTGAGTCTTTTTACCTTCATCCACAATACTTTCAGCCATTCACTGTCGTCACGATCTCCGATCTCAACCTGACCCCATCTCTCCGTGCTCCTCTCGCAAATTCACGATGCGAAAAGACTGGCCTTCCACTTTTCCGACGTGGAAACATCTCTATTAAGGTATGTATTTTAAAAACGAAACCCATTTCCATTTTCTACAGAAATCCTTCAAAAATGAATGTAGATTGTTCAAGCTATTTAATCAAAGAAAGTCGACAAACTCAAGCTCAAACAGTTAAAAGCAAACGCAAAGTTTAGCAAAGATAAGGATCAAAGTGAATTTTGCCATAATCTATAACAATTTTTAGGTGGCCATTCCGAAAAGCGGCTTTGTTCCCGGCGAATACATCCCAATTACAATCCACGTCGACAACCAAAGCTCAAAGGATATGGAAACGGTGGGTTTTGCGTGAATGAATCCAATGAAATCTTATCTTAGGTGGAAATCGTCATGAAAGAGCACGTTGATTTTGTGGCTTTCCGTTGTCACAGTGAGTTTCCGATTGAGTCAGCTTTCATCCACACTCACGGTGGCCACGAGAGAAGACATTCGAAGAGAGAAGTCGCCAGGCTACGTCAAGTGAGTTCAGAGCTTTATCAAGGTGATAACTTTTAAAAAAATCTTTCAACTATATTGAGAATCAAGCTAGAAAAACCGGAAATCTTCAATGAATGAAAGGCAAAGCTTTTCAGCCACTCAAAATCCCGAAGAACTCTTCAGCGAGTCCGATCGTTCAACTACGAATCCCGGCGGTGGCCGCCTCGTTTCAATGTGCAATCATCCAAGTCTACTATAATCTCAAAGTAAAAAGCAAAAAGAGTTGAAAAATGTATGTAAAAATCTTCAGGTAACAGTCACATCTGCCGCCACATTCAACTCATCTGTGGTTTCGAAATTCCCGCTTGTAATCGGAAATGTGCCGATGCGAGAGTTGCCTGTGACCCCTTATGTAATGCCCACTCCTCAACCAGGACCAGCAGGTGCTTTGCGATATAAATGTTTTTTCAACAACAATTTCAGTGCCCCCATACCCAACCGCCGGTCCATCGTCAAGCCCATATCCACAACTTCCACCGGGTACCACCACAAGTAAGTAGATAATCAGAAATTCACAAGAACATTCAAATTAGCCCCGTCTGCTCCACCACCGCCCGAGTATGCATCAGCTCCCCCACTTCCAGTGCCAGGAGCTCAAAATGGTCCACCGCCTGAATATGGTATCATTCACTAAACGAAATCGAGTAAAGAGAAACTCCTTAGGCGCATTTGGAGCTCCACCTAGCTACGAGCAAAGTGTTTTCGGTCCAAGCGCCCCCACCAAAGAAGATGAGGTAAAAGAAATCAAAGGCATTTTTTGGGGTATAGTTTAAAACCGTGTTCGTCGAATTCATCAATGAAAGCGCTAACCGAACAAAAATTTTAGGCATTTGCCCCCAACTATCTCTACTTCAACTTGCCACAACCACAAGCGCCACCCACCTCAGGAAATACCAAATTTTAAGCGCATTTTTATGTTTTCGAATAAAAGTTATTTATTGGAAGTTTTTAACAAATATGGTATGAATGAGGTTTTGGAAAGAAAGTCAATAACCAGTTTGAACGCAATTATAGCTCTAAAGCGGTGTAAGGAAACGAAACCGTTTAATTGGCGTAGAGAAATTAATATGTGCAAAGCCTCATTTCACAATTGTAAGAAAAAGATCACAGATTTCATCTAAAATTGACTATTTTAATGCACAGTTAAAAATAGACAGATAAATCTACGGATCGATGAAAAATTACGAAACAACCAAAGAGAAAAATAGAACCTTGGACTAACAACTATAATTCAGAGTGTAATACTTAGAAAATGAAAACCCTGGAAATCAGTGCCATTTCGACATTTTAACAAAAGCCAAAGAAACATAACAAAAACCAGGATCAAATATTTCGTGCGATGTATTATGATGGTTTCTAGTACTAACAAAACAAATTGAAAAAGACATCATGAGAATATGTTGTAACTTGTTAAATTCTAGGTTTTGGACATCTAGGACAGCTCCTAGGAGATAAAAAGTCAACCTTCAATCAAATGCAGAGGAAATTTTTCTACCTGGTGGGACTATCCTCGTTTTTCAAACCACCGTCCATAATGTGAATTTGTACAAACGAGTGTTTCTTTCGGCCTTCATTATTGCTTCGTTTCACAACCGCCGGTGTTGGTCGTTTTAGTTTTTTACCAGCCACAACATCTTTTACCTAAAAAAGCGAATGTTTGATGTTATACCAAACTAAAATCCAAACTACCTCTTCCGCAGACAAAGTTTCATATTCAAGTAGGGCTTCAGCAAGTGCTTGGTGCTCTTTCTAATTTTGCATTTTCAGGGTCTAATTGAAAATTAAGAAAAATGTTTCATACCTTATGTTTTGTCAAAATCTCCTTTGCACGCTCGTAGCTTTCTTTCAAAATCCGATTGATTTCTTGGTCGATAGTCTCATTTGTGTGAGGGCTGAGATCATTCACCTAAAGTTCAATTTAATAAAGAGTAAGACAGTAGATCTACCTTGACAATTGAAGAATCCGAATCGCTGACGGAAAAATCTCGCAAACCAACCTATAACAAAACAAAAAATTTCAGTTTGAATGAATCTACCTACCTTATCCGAAAAACCAAATTGTTTAACCATTTGTAGAGCCAACATTGAGGCCTTTTTGAGATCATCGGCTGCACCAGTTGTAACCTAAACAACTCTTTAATTTTGTTATCATGCCCAACTTTTACCTTGTCAGATCCAAATACCAGTTCCTCAGCAACTCGTCCACCCATCATCATATCTAGTTGAGCATACAATTGTGCCTAAACTTGCAGTTTTAGTATCATTAAACAAAAAGCTCACTTTTGTCATTTGATAAGAATCTTTATCGGGCAATAAGGCTGTGTGTCCCATAGAAGAACCACGTGGAATTATTGTGACCTGAAAATAATAAGTTTGCACAATAGTGAATTAATAGCTACCTTGTGCAATGGGGTCGAATCTTTTGTCATCATTCCAACAAGGGTGTGCCCGGCTTCATGATATGCTGTGCTTTTGTTTGCCTCTTCGTCCGGAATACGTCCAGCGACTCGAGCGGGACCCATCAAAACTCTAAAAATTTAATTTCAAGTAAAATAAACCTTTAAATAAGCACCTGTCGCGAGCCTCGTCTAAATGATGCATTGCCACTTCGGTGCAATTTTCAGTGGCCGCCTTTAGAGCTGCTTGGTTAACCATATTTTCAATATCAGCTCCAGTGAAACCAGTGGTTCCCTAAAGATTTTAAGAGTTAACTTAACACAAATAGCCGTACCTTTGCCAAGGTTTGGACTTCAATTGAACTCGCATGCACTATTTTGCGCAAATAGTGGGAAAAGATATCTTTACGGCCTTGGAGATCGGGTTTTGAAACGGTGACACGGACATCAAAGCGACCAGGTCTCAAGAGAGCCTAAAATTTATAGATTTAACAATCTATAAACGTAAAGTATTTCCTAGTCATACCTTATCAAGATCTTCAACACGGTTTGTAGCTGCAATCACAATAATTCCCTCATTTCTGTTGAAACCGTCCATTTCACTATAAAAAAAATCTTTATAAGCAGCTTTAGTTTTAAAAAACCTGAGAAGTTGATTGATGGTCTGATTTGCATACGGATGAATCGAATTGGATACACGTTTAGAACCAACGGAGTCAATTTCATCGATGAAAATGATACATGGAGCCCGTCCCTAAAACTAATTAATTTATTAAACTTCTGACAGCAAACCTTAGCCCGTTCAAAGAGATCTCGTACACGTCGTGCACCTTGTCCAACAAGAACTTCGTCAAATTCAGATCCAGATGTGTGAAAGAAGGGTACCTAAAGACAAGAGTAATTAAGAAATATTAATTCAACAAAACCTGGGCTTCACCGGCAATTGCTCTGGCAAGTAGAGTTTTTCCAGTTCCTGGAGAGCCGACCAAAAGGACCCCCTGAAATAAAAGCTTTGCTAAATTAAAAAAAAAAGATACCTTTGGTAATCGTCCACCTAATCGTGAATATCTTTCCGGATCCCTCAAGTAGGACACTATTTCTTCGACTTCAACCTTTGCTTCATCCATCTGAATTTAAACTACAAACAGAATTAAATAATTTCCTTACCCCTTTGACATCCTCAAACGTCACTTGTACATCTTCCGGTTTTACTTCTTGTGGCGCATTGAAAATGAACGACAACGGAGAACTGCCCTTATTCTCGCCTAAAAGTTTCCGGTGAACTGCATCATAGACAAGAGCTAACCTCCTAACAACGTGTACAACAGTGCAAAGCTAAGGACCAAAATGTAGACTCGGGCAAGGTTTGAGGTTCTTTTTGGTGCTTGCTCATTTGATGATCCTTTCCGACTTGTCAAGAGGCCTTTCACATAAGCGTCCTATAAATATGCAATAACGAATTTGAATTTCAAACCGTTGACAAATAAAACTCACCATGAAAACCTTTTGCTGATCAGGTTGGACTTTCTTTAATTCACTTTCGTAGGATGCCAGCTTTTCTTTGTCCAAGCTCGGCTAAATTTTTGTTGACAACAGCATTCATAGTTTTGTCTCAACCTTTTTGTCATCATTTTTGCGGAAACCAACCATTTCTGACAAGTAGGAGAATGGCCAGATTTTTGGTGGCTAAAGAAAGTGTTAAATATATTATGTTTAAATTGTAGGTTTTAAGAGTCAAAAACAATGCCGTACCTCGTTTTCAGCACTACGAGATTGCAAACCAGAAGTTACTTTTCGCGCGCGAAAGCCTCGTCGTTGTATGTCTAAATAAAAGAATTTGTTGAATAAAAAAAGAAATAACTTACAAATTGAGGGCTGCTCTTTCGACACGCGTAATAGAATTCGCGCATATTCGTTGACAAATAATGAAATCTCCTTCTTGGGCGCTTTCTTTCCGATCAAGAATTCGTTTCCTAAAATTAATAAATATGTAGCAAAATGTAGCACTGATAATTTTTAAAATTTCAATTTTAAGACAGAAACACCCAGCACTTTAGAATGCCAAAAGATATAAAGCCATAAGAAAGGCAAAAGGTATGTGCAGGCATAAGAATACAGTCTTGACTAATTAAAAAAAAAAACTAAAAACAAACTTCGCAGTGCTGTTGCAAAATGTGAGCCGAAATTTGAGAAAACCCGTTGATACTGATGCGCCGTCATTGTGGCTGCTCTGGGCTGGCATATCGACTCTCTTCTCACGCCAATACCCCATCTAAACAAAAAAATATAGCTAATAAATAAAATTTCACACAAACCTGGACGTTGGTGAAAATCCGCCCACCATAAATGAATGCTCCAGGGCAAACATTCCTTCTTTTGGCTGAAATTTTGAAGACATTGTATTGAATCCAGAAAAAAACAGACAAGATCCGCTAATCCGGATTAAGAAAGATTGGGAGAAGAAATCGAGCGAAAAATATGGTTTTATTCGACGAAAAGAGAAAAAATGGGACGGATATTTGTTCTATCGGATTTGGCAAGACCCAAAAACCCATTCTTATAGTTATTACTTCGCCGATCAAAGGTTTAAAAAAAGTGAAAATTTTAGCGACGATTAATGTTTGAAAGAAGTGACGTTATCCACGAAAACTCCGACACCTTTTAGTTTATGACGTCACGTTTTATACCAATTTTGCTTCATTGAATATTTTTAAATTTGCTTACAAATTAAACGATATTCAGTTAAATTTTGAATCAAAGGGATATCTAGCAAAATTGTTCGAGTTTCATAACTTTCAAACAATAATTGTTTTCATTTAAGTGTTTTTATGATTAGAAATTGCGAGCTTTAATGCGCCAAGATATGCTGATTTAATGAATTTCATCAAAAGTGGCGGGTCGAAATTCTTTTTAGAGGGCTACGAGTGACACTTCTAAACAGCGCCTTCATTTTCAGACCCCAAATTTCTTCTCCTTTCCTTTTACCCGTCTCTGCACTTTCGCAAATTCTCATTTTGAAGAAATTGAAAGCCTTTTGGGAATTTAAATTACAAAAAACTAATTTTTTTTTTCAAAAAATACCTTTAATTAGCGAAAAGTTTGAGCCAAACGAGAAGAAGAAGATTAGCAAGTAGGTGAAAGCCAAAATGCAAATAAATAACGAATTTCTGAAATGTTCAGAAGCACTTAATTTTATTACTTTTAAGCATTGTATTCAAAATTTAGATGAAAATAGAAAAACGTCCAATTTGAGTCAAAATCTCGCTTTTGCCGGAAATTAGCAATTCCCACCACTTTCTGCCGTAACACTTTTTTGTGTAGTCATGCGTTTCATGAACAATTTAATTCAACAAACAAAAAACTTCACGCAAAACACCCGAGAATTGAAAAAAAGGTTTAAAAATTATGTCTGAACAAAGTTGGGAAGGCTTAGCACCAAGTTTATCACATGGTCAATTTAGGGCAAGGATTTAAGGCAAGTACTTGAGAAAAATGGGAAGATTTAGAAAAGTGAATCAGTTTTATTGAGAGTAGAGACAATTGTTACCCATATCTTAATGTGAAAAAGGCGAAGCTTTATTTTCTCTTATTTGATTTCTTTGGCTTGTACGTCCAAGGTGTCGAGCGGATATTGGGAGCAAAACGGGGCTCAGGACCGCCCAAATCACCCACATATCTGAAATGAGCGTTGATTAGTTGGATAGTTTTTCCTCACCGTTCAGCATCACTTAAACGAAGGCCACATGGTCGACGGAACTCCTGCTGTGATTCGTGGATCCATTTGTTCGACACCCACTGTAAATATTTCTTGTAACGCTTGAATATCAAGTTTTTTTTAATCGAATGCACGGTATTCAGTTATCAGAACTCCTTATAGAAGCCTTGCAATATGTTTTCAATAGGGATTACGGTATTATCTATATCTATCTTTTTCTGGCTCATGCATAGTTTTTGTCGTCGTGGTGTCAACGTCTACGTCGTCCGTTTTCGTGCGAGTCGGGAGTGCGCTTGTTTACGGCTCACACAACCCAGGTTCGACCCCAAGTAGTGCCACTCAATTTTGACTTTTTTGATTTTTTTATTTGAAATTGCACAACTATATTATATTTTAAGACTTTTTTAAAAATTTTGGTTTTTTGGCCCAAAGACGGCTGAGAAAAAGTCAGGCCAACCTTTATTCCAACCAAGACCGGACAAGCAGCGTGTCTCGTTCGATCATCACCCTCACCATTCCTATGCAAATTATACCAAAATAGAGCATCGTTCTGAAATTTTCTCTTTCTAAGGTATTCATCCACTTTTGACCTTTGAAGGAAACATGGTTGATTTGACTTCGGTGAACACAGTGGCTCCACCAAGTGATGGCTGAGACATCTAAAACCACATTTCAATTACTACCTTGATCCAGGAACTTATTTGCTAGCACAACCTTACAGTTTTGAAAATCTTACATAGAAGAGTACGGTAGCGATTCGGTTACCAGTTCCAAGACTCTCAAAGGCTTTTCTCTCTTCTTTTCTCGCGTGATCAAAATGAGGATCATAATGACCACCAATTCCATAATTTGCAATCTGAAATTTATCTTCTCATAAATTCATTGTTTTTCTTAAAACCTGCAACTCTTCAGCGGTGTCCATGTCAAGATTTGTCATCAACTCGAGCCGTTTATTCACTCGTTCCACAATTGGATATTCTTCTTCTCTCAGCCAAGCACTAAAGCAAAGATTACTTACAAATCCGGGTATTTCTTTCTTTCTTTCTCTTTCTTCTTCCTTGTCTTTCCTATTTCTTCTTAGGCAAAGAGGGCGTCAATAGCTCAGCGGTAGAGCATCTGCTGGGTAAGCAGAAGATCGAGGTTCAATTTTCCTCGGTTTCAAATTCTTTGTCATTCATCTCTTTACTTTATTACAGTAAACTGCTATATTTAAATCATTAATATTATACATAAGACTTTGGATTTTCTATTTACCTCTTTGAAATCCGGTAACTGGCCGTTTCCAATTGTCCTGTCACCGAGTTTTGAACCGTAGCTCGAGCAAGCTGAAAATGATTTAAGTCAAGATTTCAATTCTGATTTTTATTATATTATCTTATTATTATAGTTAAGATACGAACCTTTGGCTGAGCATAAGATTTGATTGCTGTAATCTCATCGTCAAGCAAAACTCCTCTAAAAAGCACGGCCATCGGGTTGAAGCGAATGATTTCCACCTGAAGTTTTGTGTTTCATGAAAATAATAACCGCAAACCTTGAATGGCGCTAATCTCAAAAATGGTCGATCCATTTTGTAGTAGCAATACAATTTCACAGTTTCTTTCGGGCTCTAAATGCTGACAGATGTTAATTCAAAGACTTTAACTTACCACTGGGATCTCATTTCTGCACAACGCTTCATAGGTGTTCCTCTCGGTGGTTCCCATTCCATCGGATGGTCGTCGATTCATTGGAGTTCCCAGGTTCTAAAGTTAATTTTTATCACCAAAAAGAATTTAAAGCTTCATTTTCTTACAATATCCAACCTTTCTCATCTCACTCCTTCGAACGCCTTCCTCTGCCAGCAGATCCTCATACCATTTAATATTCCCCTTTGCTCTTGGATGATTCGGTTCTAAAACATTTTATAATCTTGCATTAATTTTTAAACTTTACGTTTCTTGAATAGATCTTCGACAAGTCGGAGAGCTTGTTTCAAATTTCCTTGCTTGTACATTGCAAATGATAGATACTCAAGAATATCACCTTCATCAGCAGTTGGTGGGCTCTCCAGCTAAACCTTTGTAACATTAAAAAAAATTCGATTTATCAAGATTATCAAGATTTCATTTAACTTCTTCAAATATTACCTCATTTCTCCGTTTGGCTTCCTCCATCCAAAGAATCACGTGGTAGTAATCCTCAGCATTATAGGCGGCTCTCGCAATTTCGAAGCAATCAAATGCTGAAATAAAAAAAATAACAATATCACAAAATTACAGTCAAATAAAACAAACCAGAAAGCGTATGATTTCCCTTCATTCCTTGAATTTTTCCGTCAGCGAGTTCCCTCGTGTCCAATCGATACGTGTCTTGTAAACGCATCAAACCGATCGCCGCACCCGTGTAATCCTCCTTAAATACTTCTTCTACAATGATAGATTTTACAAAATTTAAATAGATTTCATAGATTTCCCTGTATCTACCTGAGTTGGATATCGAATTCCATAATTGGCATCAGCCACCGATTGAATGAACTCCTCGGCACCGTTGTTTGTCATTTCATTCTCGATTTTCTAGAAAAAAACCCCACTGATTACGATAAAAGCGTCCATGTTTTACCCTCCAATCAAAGATCTTTTTTTTAATGATTAAAAAGGCGTTGATGGGATTGGCCAAATCGGCGGCACCGGTCTCGATGTTGTTCTCATTACGCGCCTCGTACTCCTTCACCAATCTAAATTCTCACGTTAATCAAAATAAAGCAAATCTTGTATCTGTTCCTCGTCCGACCTAGACTGATTCTGGGCTGATTTAGAGTGAAATGAGGTCAAACGTTCGACCTAGAATCAAGTCGATCACTCTAAATCTAAGTCTGGATCAGATCAGACGTCCGATCTAGAATCAGTCTAGATTGCACGTAACATATCTATTAATCCAAGGATTCAAGCGAGAATCCTTTTATATACAAGTTTTATATTGTAAAAAGTTGAACCAACTTGAAACAAAAACAAACTTTTTCAAATTCTCGAGCCTCTCCTCCTCTTGTTCGATGTACTTCAAAAGCGCATGCGGCACATTCTTTTCCGTTTCGAGCAATCCTTGTAGATCGGCGGTGGATGTGAAGAGATCCGCCTCAATCAACCCAACGATGCTCAACAAGAGCACCCAACGAGCTCTCATCACTGAAAAAAAAATAAAAAATTTTCGATAAACAAGAAACTTTTAAAATATTTATACGAAAACAAGAAGCCTATGTAGTTCATGATGAAATTTTCATTCATTTCGGGAAAAAGGAAATTAGAGGAGAGAAACGGCTATATGGGGAAGAAAAAAAGGGGTAAAACCGGTTATCTTCGATTCTCAGACATTGTTTGGAGGAATTGTTCAAAAAAAAAAGATTCGTCGAATAGATTCGCACAGCTTTTTACTTTAATGGTACTTGAATAACAATAATAATTATATAATAATAAAGTTGATAAGATTAAATTAAATTGCTAAAATTTCAGAGACAACAAAAAGAAAATCTTTTTGAAACTTTATAAGGCTGAGGATCTGTTTAAACATTTCATTTGAAAGTTTTCAAAAAAAAATTTATTTGAACAGACAAATCATTTCTAGAAAAAAGTATATGAACTAATGAACTAAAACTAGAAAGTTTTCGAAAAGAAACACCAGCTTTCAAAAGTCAACAAGGCAAAATGTCGGCAAAAAAGGTAAAAAGGCAAAATCGAGATCTCAAAGAAGAACAAGTTTTCCTTTTTTTTTAGCATAAATAAAAACATTTAGCTGAAGAAAGGAGAAAGTGGGGTAATTGAGGTCAAAACAAAAAAGAAAAGAGAAAGAAAAAAAACGTTTGCTCCAGTGGTCAATCAATCGAAAGAGGCACACAAGTGTGGCTCTCCCTTTTTCGCTCTCTATGGCTCATCCGTCGCCTCTGGCCGCTCTCCACTCTCATCCTCCACCTCCTCGCTTTTGTTCCACCATTTCTTTTCCACTTTTCCCCTCTTTCTGGTTGCCCCTTTGACCTTGCTGACCTCAATACACTGAGGCGTTCTTGCCCTCAATTTTTTTTTTTCATATGCAGATTGAAGATTTGTAAGCCAATTAGTCTAAAATAAGTAAAAAAAATAGTGTAAAAAGTTACCCCCCCTCCCCCCCCTCCTCTCCCTTTTTTTTTTTTTTTTTAATTTTTTTTTTATTTTTTTATTTTTTTTTTCTCTTTTTCCCCTTTCCCCTCTTAAACTAAAATTTCAAACCCTTCCTTTAAAATGGAGTTATAATATTTTTTTTTCTTAAAAACAATCAATTCTCTTTCATTCTTTGACATAAATACGGAAAATTGGCATTTTTTTTTGATAAAAACAAAATTCTTCATGTTTCGCTTTTGTTTCGAAACAACTAGATGATGATGTAAGATTTGGGGAGAGTCAGCGAGTTTTTTGGTGAAACGAGTTGGCACACAAACGAAAGAAACAATAACGAAGCTGACTGTATTACCTGTTTGACTCCGTACAAAACTTGATGTAACTTTAGCCATGGAAATCAAAGTTCTTGACTCACCAGTTCTTGCTATGCTTGCTTCTTTTTAAATAATACATTTATTCACATGACTAATACAAGCAAAACACAAGCACAATCCTTAAGTCCTAAATGTTGCGAAAACTCCCATATAGATGGAAAAAAGAACCAAAAAGCGAACCAATGAGATTGAACCCTTGATCTCCCGACTGACATACAGGGTTCTTATCCAGTCCGCCATGGGAACACCGAGAAACCTGTGAGTTTTTTATATGTTATGTTGACATTGATTTTCTCAACGAGACCAGTAAGTCTTAATTTTTTTTTTGCGTAAATTTCAAACTATCTAGCAAGGTATGACTAAAAATGAAGGGAATGTGCTAAATCTGAAATTGAAATTGAAAGAAATCTTCGCAAATATCCCACTTTGCTCTTTGATCCTTTTCAACTTCGACCCTGTGTTTGAATTGTGCAAAAATGGGAGATTTCGTAAAAAATGTGGTGCCGAGAACTGGAATCAACTGTGCCCTAACCGCTTATTGTTAGCTTTTGATGAAGGTATTTGATGAAAGTACCCTGGGAATGCATTGTCACATGGACACACACTCTTCCATACACACAGGTCCAAGAAGACAAGAGAGGGGTGCAAGTGAAATCGAGACGTGCGGGGGTAATGTTGGGCGACATAACAGAGAACCGGTTGCCGTGACGGCGTGCCACAAAAGACGACGGAATTCGGAAAAAAACAGAGGAAGATTGAGAAGAGGTGATGAAAAGAGAAAAAAGGGGTATGTTTGTTGAGAGAGAAAGCGAAGGGGTGCGGATGCGCATACAGAGACCCCCGATGGCCCCAAGTCGATAGTGGCACTGTCTCTTCGGTCTTTCCTTCTTCTCATCTCGTCGTGATGGGTGGCCCAATCAAATCTGATATCAGCCGCATTGTTGATCCGGCATTAGTGCCGACAAATCGCAGATGAGACTGTCTCCTTTTCATTTGCTTTAGAAACGACATTCAATCATTCAATGAGATCACGTCAAATAAAAATGTTGAGCTAATAGTGGGAGATTTGATCGAGTGATGGCTTTGGCTTTGTGAAAATGCAATTCCAACTGCACTGTTCTCTCGCTTTTGTACAAAAATACAGAGGAAGATTGAGAAGAGGTGATGAAAAGCGAAAAAAAAGGGGTATGTGGACAAAATCAGCTGGCTGACAACTGACAACTGACAGCCTAAAAGTTTGAGCATAGTAGCCAGCTCACTATTTATAAGTTATAGCTGTAGTTATAGTTGTAGTTATAGTTGTTATAGTTGTCTTTTTGTTCATTTATTACCAATTTTCTAGGAGTCCAAAACAACAAAGGCGGTGAGAATACCCTAAAATTGTTTAGCTAGGGTTTCTACATCACTAAACACAAAAAGCAAAGGAAATGTCTGCAAGCGGACTCGAACCCGTGAGGTAAAGAACTGAAGGCAAGCACACCAACCAGTAGGCCACGAGCACACGTTCTCAGAGCTCTGCAAAAGCAATTTGGCTATCCAAAAAGCCATGCTCAAAAATTCTGTGTAAACTTTGCAGCTGAATGCTGAATCTTGCGAATTTCAACAAATCATTCCCAAACGATCTAGATATTCGGAATCAGCGCAAAAAACTGCACCAGAAAGACTATGTCTAGCCTCAAAAGCCAGGTGTAAATCGAAAAGTATCTATAGTCAGTCGCTCACCGCTATTTTGAATATTTTGGCTGATCCAGCAATTGATAGCAAAGGAGCAAATCGAATCGCGCAAAGAAATCAAAAAATTTAGTGATTAACTTCTTTCAATCTCGCCTACTACGAGAAGGGGCTTCAATTCTTGCATAAACCTTTGCAATATATGCAATATGATTGATAAAGATGGAAATTATATCTCAGCTTGGAAGCTTATATCTCAGTTTATTTTGCTCTCAGTGTTTCAAAGTCACCTTAGAAAAGCATAGCATAACAAAAACGTAACATAATCGTAAAAACATTATAGAAAAACATAAAAACAAAAACAAGAATATAATAGCACTAAAAATTTTAAATTCTTTTAATTTCTTGTGTTGGAAAGAGAGCATTTTATACTTCCCAAAATTGTCGTTTTCTAAAGTGCACCTTCCACGTCTGTCTAGGTTGTCACTAAGAAAGTCCCGTAGTTTTTGCGATTTTATTTTATTTTCCCTCTCTCTCTAGATTTTTATTTATTCGTCATATTGATTTTATTTTATTTAAATTATTTATACATTGATCCGTTTTCATTTCTCTGGATAAACGCTAACTATTATTCCACAAGCAATTACATTACAACAGTCGCAAGGATATTTTGTAGTAGTAGTACTACAACATTTTGAAAGAGTACTTTTTATCAAAAAAGCCATAAAGTCAAAATTTACAGAGCAATAGTTAAAAACTAGATTGTACAATAGCATGATTTAAAAATTTGGAACCGATCTAAAGACATTTTCCGTTGGGAAAGTCTTAATCAATTGTTAACCCATCAAAAAACTCTTTCATCACATTTTTGCCATCTCAAAGCTAACATTTATTTCCGTTTGGTTATTTTCTGAATGCAACACGTATAAGTGTGTGTGTGTGTGTGCGAATGGTTCAGGGTTCATCCCTTTTGTGCGCTTCCGTAGATGGTGGGAGAGGGCGGGGTGGGCTCTCTTGTCAAGGGGCTTCTCTCCACCCCATTTCTCCCTCTTCCGGACACGTTCCCTCCGCTTCTCCGCACCTCTTCATTCCACTTACTCTCTACAAATATTCCTCTGATTTCTCCACCTCCTCTTCTCCGCATATAAGTTGTGGTGCCCGTGGCCGAGTCTCCCACAAGCCTTCAGTCCTCATTCTCGCGTGATGCTCGGTGCAGCCGTATTCACCTCTTGTTTAGCCGCCATTTCTTTGGCCCAATTTGCGCCAGGTTTATAACTTACACTTTACAACTTTACAATACAATACAATAACTTTGCACCTTTCCTATTTACAGACTTGACTTTGAAATAGTTTTCTATATATTTTTTACAAAACTCCACGAAATTTTATACCTTTCTATATCATCCTAGAAGAAAACTAAACCTTTTATCGCATTCTTCAGTCGGAATTTTCGAATTTAGCACCGTTGTACAGTGCATGTAGCCCAGCAGTGCCCTGCATGGGCGGTCTTGCTTGTCAGGCGTCGGTCTGCGTGCCCGTTGCTGCGGCACCAGCTCTCCTCCCAGCCCCGGTATGGGTCTTTGTAATAATCCACCTTTACCCCTGCGACATCTGCAATCTTCTTTTTATTTAGGCTCCAGTTTACGCAGCCCCAGCTCCAGTTTACGCAGCTCCAGCTCCAGTTTACGCACCTCCAGCTCCAGTTTACGCTGCCCCGGTGCGTTTAAATGACTTTTCATCTTTTCATTTCAAGCGAACACCCAAATCTCTTATACAACTACTACATGACCTTTGAAAGTTTTATAAACTTCTAGGCCCCGGTTGCCCCAGTGATTGCCGCTCAACCACCAGCTTGTGCCCCATCTTGCATCGGAGGAGGAGCGTAAGTTTTAGCTTCTCCAACGAGCTCCAATTTCAATTTCAGTTGTCTCGGCGGAGCTTGCCAGTGTGCTGCCCCAGTTGTCTATTCCCCCGTTGTTGGGTGCGCTCCAGCACCAGTCCCAATCGCTCCACTTCCAATCGTTGCTGGACGTCTCATTCCACAGGTTTATAGCAAAAATCTTATGCTCTATGCTATTGTCTCTCGATAAGGTTGCCAAAAAAAACAAGAGTGTTTAGGCTCTTCCTGGTGCGCCGTGCGAGCCAGGAGTTGAGTGCACGGGAGGATCGGTGTGCTCTCTTGGAGTGTGCGTCTGCCCACCAGAGCTTGTCCAGGTGAGAGGAAAGACGCGCAAGAAAAAGGAAAGACCGTGGGAAACATGGACTCACAAGGAATAAAAAACAAAAAAAGACTGGTCTATTGACGGATTATGACAACTGCATTTAGGAGGGAACTGTCTGCGTTGCCCGCACCGTGTACGGAGTTGTTCCACCACCAGTCATTCCAGTTCCAATTGCGCCAGCCCCGGTCGCGGTAAGTTGTAAAGACATTTATAAAGAATCCATTTACAAAATCCCTGTTCCTAAAAAGATAAATGTAATCTTAAAAATGTTCTAGATGGTCCCCGTTGGAGCTCCATGTGCCCCAATGGCTGCTGCACCAATGCCTCCACCAGCTTGCGTGCCTGGAGCCGTCTGTGGACCTGCCGGAGTCTGTGCTTGCGGAGCTGCCTACACCCCAGTTCAAGGAGCCTGTGTTCGCAGAAGTATACACTTTGAAACGAATTTATCGTATAATTTCAAATATTTTTAGGACACGCCAAGCAGGCCGAGAAGGACGAATAGAGTGTGGGAAATCGAAATGAAAAGCGCAGTATTCCCCTCAACTTGTGATCCTCTCACTCAAACATTTTTATCTGTACAGTTGTCTTGTGAACGATCCTCTTTTTTTTTTTTCGTTCTACTCATTTGTTTCCTAATATTATGTGTGTTAAATAAACACTTTTTGGGCTTCAGTGAAAGTTTGACGTTGTGACAAGTGACGAGTTGCAAGAATGGCAGACAAAAATAGGCTATAAACAAACAATAAAACACTGAGTTGAAAGTTTTTCATTTGGAAAAAATCATTTTCGAAAGAATTAGTATAGAATTTGTGTCATATTGACTGAAAAGTGACATCTCTTTGCCATTAGCAATTTCTTTTTCACTCATCACCATTGACATCAAACTTTTATCGATTCACAGAGAGTAACTTTTTTTTTGGTTTTTGCGCATTTCATTCTTGTAAATCTTCTTGTAAACTATTTCATTTCTTTATATTTCTACACTCAACTTAAACTATTATAAACTTCATTTCTTTGTATTTCTACACTCAACTTAAACTATTTTTGATTTTTCGGATTTGAAATTGTTGGTTGAAAGATAACTGAAAATTGAGAGAATTATTGGAGAAGGGATTTTGGTGGGAAGACCTGTTTCTTCACTTTTGTTTCTTTCCACTTTTCTTTTTTTTCATTTCTTGCAATTGATAGCCTCTTTTACGGCAATCATGCACATTTTACTTGTCTATTTTCTTTATGAAATCCTTTTAATTAGGTTCAGTTTATTAGAATTTGATAGTAACAATTTCATCAATTTCATCAACAACAATCTTCTTCAAATTCCCCGAATTTCTAAAGCTATTTTATTCCGGGAAAGCTTTTTTTTTAAAAATATTTCATTACAATATTAATGTATTCTTGTTTGATAAGAATTTAAAAAGGAAAAATGGACGAAGATGTGGAAGGAGAAAGAAATCGAGTGGACCCACTCGGCCTCGTCTTCGAGATGGCTCCTGTACTTGCTCATTCCGGTACACCAAAGGTGAAAATATTCTTTAATTATTAATTAACTCTATTCATTCGCGTTTGTTATTGTTCTTTTTTTTTTCATTAAAAAGTTTAATTTAATTTATTTTAGATTCAACTAACGCCTTCTTTAGTCCTCCAAACCACTCAAGCCATTCCAGCAGCTGTAAAGCATGTTTACAGGTAATATTTAGATATATTTACATAGATTTAAATAAACTATAATATAAACTATAATATAAACTATAATATAAACTATAATTATTTACTAAATTTTTATTTGAAATTTAAATATTAGCCGATTGGCGGCAGCGGCAAGTGAAGTGGATGAAGGGATTGCTTCACTGTTGCTCATTCTTGTTTCTGATGGAAACACATGCAGTAGATCGGTAGAGTTTTGAATAATTTACAGTTTAAAATATTTTATTACTTAGTTATTATAATTATTTAGCTAACAAAAAGCATGGAAAAAGCGATTAGTGAACTGGTAGCCAAGACATCGTTATGGTTACTTTCATCGGGAAACGCTGAAGAACCTTTAGCTCAAGTTGCTAGCTATGCAATTCGTCAAGTGCTACCAAACGTATAAAAACTATAAAACTACAGTAATCCATTGATTTAGCTAGAAAATGAGTCCGAAGTTTTACACATTTGCGTAAATTCACACTCGGTTGTTCTCGAGGAAACGGCAAGATCAATTACAGTTTGTGTTTTGAATCTTTGATCTGAAGCTTTGATCTGAATCTTTGATTTGAATCTTTGATTTGAGTCTTTGCTCTGAATCTTTGCTCTGCATCTTTGAGCTCAATCTTTGCTCTAAATCTTTGAGCTCAATCTTTGCTCTAAATCTTTGATCTGAATCTTTGATCTGAATCTTTGCTATCTTTGAGCTCAATCTTTGCTCTGAATCTTTGAGCTCAATCTTTGCTCTAAATCTTTGATCTGAAGCTTTGATCTGAATCTTTGCTCTGAATCTTTGCTTTGAATCTTTCCTCTGAATCTTTCCTCTGAATCTAATAAATCTAGAATCCTCCCGTTATCGTCAATGCTGTGCTGAACACTCTTCTCATTTTATGTAAAGAAACTATAGAGGTAAAGAAAAATTATAGAAAAGTGATGAGAATTTATCATAGGATGCTGAATGCGCTAGATTCCGGGCTCAACTAGCCATCCGATTAGCACAGCCACCGCCTGGTTTGATTTAAAAATTCTAAATTTAAGGCTACATAGTTTTCAGCCTTATTGATCGGTGTCCCATCGGAAAGCGGAGTGATCCCACAAGCGCAACTCCAATCAAATGCTCCGATTCTCCTCTCGCCGAGCAGCGATCATCGGCCACTTCCCGTTGTTTTCTTTGCCGCTGAATCCGCGTCATCCCTTCAGGAGTTGATAATTTACGTTGAACACGGGCTACCAGTCATCATTTTGCAAGTGAGTGACAGAATGTAGATCTATCTAGCTGGTTTTAAGAGATGCTAAAGCGTCAAATTATTTGCGTCATATATCATTTGCACCAAATTTCAACCTTTTGAACACACTTTCCTACCAACTTTGATCTTTATTTTTTTACTTACTTTACTTTTCCTTATTCTACTTACTTTTCCTTACTCTACTTACTTTTCCTTACTCTACTTACTTTTCCTTATTCTACTTCTTCTCGTCGACGATGCTCGCTACTTCGCCGAATCTGAAAATGATATAAAATCGACATAAAGAGCAAAAAAGTCTAATCAGTGACATAAAAAAAATGGCCAATTTTAAGTCTGTATAGATATTTAAATGTATTTTCTAATTAAAAAAAACAGTAGAACTAAAATTGTGAAGCAGAAAAGTGAAAAAAAAGTTGGTTAGGAGTTGGGAAAAGTGTGATTTATTACGGTGATTTTCAATAAGCGTAAATTAAATTTGGCGCAAAGAATTTTGACACAAAGGCTTTTGAGGCAAAGGATTTTGACGCGAAGGTTTTTGACGCAAAAAAACGCGACGCTTTTGCTAACACCTCGGTTTTAACGGTAAAGATAAGTAGAGTCCTTGCCTCGTCACAGTAAAGCAGCAACACTGACTATCGTTCAATTCTTCTCTTATAGCAAAAAGATATCAAGTCTTGTGCATTTAAAATATTCTAATATACTGTATAAAGTAGAATCGCAGATTTTGTGACATTTAACTGTTTCTAGAGTGTGCAGGGTGATTGATGACTTGACTTGAGAGCCCACAAAACTTTGCAAAATTTTCCAGGACAGTTGCGAGCTGTGTGACACCCTCTACAACGCCTTTCTTCTGTATAAAAGTGCCGAGTTTAATCACGAGAAATTCATGAAATGGCTTGAAAAGAAATTTGGAGGTTTAAAAACTAGAAAGAAAAAAAAAAAAGATTAAAATCATTTTTCAGAAGAAAACCACCAAGCAGAGTTGATTTCAAGAATATTCGCGCTAGCACTCTGCAACGGTGAATTGATTGAGTTCATTTCGAGTGACGAGGTTTCGTTCAATTTTCATTCAATGCTTTTGAATTCATTCAATGAATTGTAAACAACTTTCAGCTCGCTACGCTTCCATCAAGAATTGTCGAAGCTTTTGTGACGACGTTTACCGATAATCATGTATAATTCATCATTTTAAATCTTATCATTAAGTAAATAAGTTTCAGGATATTCAGCGAACTCTTCAGCTGGCAGCTTGTCTCAATTTGCCGTCATTGCTTGATACGGTGGATGTGAATGCTATTGATGAAGAGGTCAGGGTGATAGATTTTGGGGGTAGGCTAGTTTCCGCAACTTTTTTTGCGCAACTGGGTCGTTTGCGCAACTCGCCATAACTTTCTTCTAAGTCTGTCAATCTTTATGATTTTGGTGTAATTTTGTAGATCTCAATAAGTGCAACAAAATGAAACCAACATCATAAAGATTGGCCCACGTAGAAGAAAGTTATGGCGAGTTGCGCAAACGACCCAGTTGCACAAATGACCCTGTTGCGCAAAAAAAGTTGCGGAAACTAGCCTACCCCAAATTTTGACATCTAATAGGCAAGCTTTTAATTTTAATTCTTTGAACAATATTGTATTCGTATGTATTGGATAAAGTATGCACAAAAAGAAGATACCGTATTTTCTCTAATAGTAGTGCACCCCGGCGAGCCGAGTTGGTGACTATTTTACGGTTTCAAAGTTTTCACAGAAGCTCAACACTCAAATCCCCCACTAGATCTCATCGTCAGCTACATTTTCCGACCCCCACATCGATAGGTTCTGATAAGCGCTTTTCGAGGTTTCGAGCAATTTAGGCAACGCTCAGGGTGCACTAATGTTAGAGAGAATGCACTAGATAGAAATCTGGCCGCCATCGCCATTCTGTCGCCATGGCTGACTGGCTAAGAGGCTAAGAAAATCTTTTCGTTTCTTTTCATACATTGGTGAATTTGTTTACCGTATTTTCTCTAATACAGTGCGGTGCAAAACCATACGCCACCCCTTAAATTTCAATTTTCTGCGGCTCCCGTGCCAGTGACAAAAAAACTGAAAACGTAGTTAGATTCAGGACCAAAAATAACCCTGAAACCCCAAAAATCGTCGACATAGCATGAATAGGGAAAATATAACAGCCAAAAAACGAAAATTCACCCGGTGCAAAACCATACGCCACCCCCCAAATTTTGGTGTCATTTCATACTTTTTTTTCTAGTTTAAAAGCTAAATCTGCCTCTGACAAACATAAGTCCCTCCCTTCACTTCAGATTCCTTATAAGGAGGCCTAAAGAGCTTACTTTGAATTACTTCAAGTTAACAAAAAACAATGCCGAAAGCAACTCAACCCTCTGACGAGGAGCAAGCTCAACTCGACCTCATGCAACAACTTTGATTGTCAATTTCCGAGATGTCGTCAAACCAATCGCTCAAGAAACTGTATCAACCGTTACCTCAAAGCTTCAGTCAAATATGGTACTTCAAATGCGCATGGTCGTCACAAGAGGCTCTCCAAACGGGCCAAACGCCATATCAGAAACAAAGCCTGAAACTCTACGAGGTCGGCAAATGAAATCAAGCGTGATTTGCAACTTCCAATGTCAAAGTGGACTGTTCTGAGAAGCATCAACTCTTCTCCACATCTCACACGTCAGGTGATGAAGCCAGCACCTCGCTTAACTCACCCTACAGCAAGACAACGCCAGCATCCACATCAGCCAAGCAACCAAGTAATGGCTTCAGTCAAAATAAGTGCCTCTTCTGGATTGGCCTGCGTGCTCCCCCGATCTCAACCCCATTGAGAATCTGTGGGGATGCTTGCTCGACAAGCTTATGGCATTTCCACACAATACGCAAATTTTCAAGCGCTCAAAGATGCCATTACCCGTGAGTGGAATGCCATTCCAAGAAGCACCATCAAAAAGATAGTTGACAGCATACTGAGTTAATAATTTGACGTGATCAGTCGTCAGGGACAGACAATAAAATATTAAACTGTTATTGTTATAAATAAACCTTGTTATCATAAAAATTGAACAAAAATGCAACAACGACACCAAAATTTGGGGGGTGGTGTATGGTTTTGCACTGGGTGAATTTTCGTTTTTTGGCTGTTATATTTTCCCTATTCATGCTATGTCGACGATTTTTGGGGTTTCAGGGTTATTTTTGGTCCTGAATCTAACTATGTTTTCAGTTTTTTTTTGTCACTGGCACGGGAGCCGCAGAAAATTGAAATTTGGGGGGTGGCGTATGGTTTTGCACCGCACTGTAGTAGTGCACCCCGGCGAGCCGAGTTGGTGACTATTTTACAGTTTCAAAGTTTTCACAGAAGCTCAACACTCAAATCCCCCACTAGATCTCATCGTCAGCTACATTTTCCGACCCCACATCGATAGGTTCTGATAAGCGGTTCTCGAGATTTCGAGCAATTTAGGCAACGCTTTGGGTGCACTACTATTAGAGAAAATACGGTATTCAGCTGTAAATACCCGGGGGTTTTCGGGGTCAAGGAATTGATTTACAGTGATAATTGAAAACTCCGGATAACGGAGCCAACAATTCATTGCGATAGTCCACCTAAAACTCAATCAAATCGTGCTTTCAGTTGATGAACTCTTTACTTGTCGCCAGTTTATCTCGAGAAGATCGTGTCTCTTTTCTTGCTGCTCTCCTTTCTCGACCCGATCTCATCTCGATCACTGAAGACCTACTACTTCAAATTCTACACTCGAATGAGCAAGTAATTCGACTGGAAATCAAGCTTTCTATTCCAAAGTTCTTAGCAATTCTTTAATACGATTATCTTGTGCCAATGTCTTGGACGCTCATCAACTCTCTCTGAAGTTGATAATTCATTGTGCAAAGATCTTGACTCGCTTTTTGTAAGTGAAAAGAAAAGCCGTTTGCTAAAATCCGATCCGATGATCCAACCCGATTGATGGTCCGATCCGATCCAATGATTTGATCCGGTCCAATTATTTGATCCGATCCAATGGTTCGATCCGAGCCAATGATTCGATCCGATCCAATGATTCGATCCAATCCAATGATCCGATCCAATGATCCGATCCGATCCAATGATTCGATCCAATCCAATGATCCGATCCAATCCAATGATCCGGTCCAATCCAATGATCCGATCCGATCCAATGATTCGATCCAATCCAATGATCCGATCCAATCCAATGATCCGATCCAATCCAATGATCCGATCCGATCCAATGATCCGATCCAATCCAATGATCCGGTCCAATCCAATGATCCGATCCGATCCAATGATTTGATCCGGTTCAATGGTCCGATCCGATCCAATGATTCGATCCAATCCAATGATCCGATCCAATCCAATGATCCGATCCAATCCAATGATCCGATCCGTTGATCCGGTTCAATGCCGTCCGATCCGTCCAATGTCCGCAATCCAATGTCCGTCAATCCAATGTCCGTCCGATCCAATGTCGTCCTCCAGTCCGTCCATGGTGATCCGATCTAATGATCCGATCCAATGATCCAATGCATTTGATCCAATATTTCTAATTTTAGACTCGACTTTCACATGGAACCAATGGCCTTTTCCCCCATTCTTTAACCCCACCACTCAATGGTGAATCAGCTATTCAGATTTTAGCTTTATGGTGCTTATTCTTGAATCGACCCACTCAAGTATTGAACTTTAAAAAAAAGCTGTAACACTTTTTTGATAGACAAAATGCCTTGTCGCACACACCGAGCAACCACTGGCCACAGCTCTCATTCTGAGTCGAATCGCAAGAAGTCTTAGCAATGAGGTTTCATTTCAAGTTTCACATTTCCCAACGAAAACCCCCTTCAGGCCTACGATTGGTTTTTCTATGCGGAATCGATGCGATCTCTTTCACAAGATCTATCAAAAAGTGCCGAAGCTTTACTGAATTCAGTGCACAAAAAGTTTTATTAGATTGATTTTCTAAAAAAAAAATCTCAAATTTTAGATCAAGCACTCGTTCGTATCAAGTTCTTTGTGAGCCATTAGAAGCATTTGGTAATGCTCCGCTCACCGAGATTGCTTTTAAAGTTCTTTTTCGAGATATAAACTAGAAAATAACTACTATAACTAGAAAATTTGATTTTCCAGGCAGATAATCGAGATTTTTTGGCTCACGAAAGCTCTCAACGATGGGTTTACAGATTACTTTATGGGAATTTACAAGTAAAAAGAAATAAAGAAATAAAGAAATAAAGAAATAAGGAAATAAATAAATAAATAAATAAATAAATAAATAAATAAATAAATAAATAAATAAATAAATAAATAAATAAATAAATAAATAAATAAATAAATAAAGAAATAAATAAATAAATAAATAAAGAAATAAATAAATAAATAAATAAATAAATAAATAAATAAATAAATAAAGAAACAAATAAAGAAACAAATAAATAAACAAATAAATAAACAAATAAATAAATAAATAAAGAAACAAATAAATAAATAAATAAAGAAACAAAGAAACTTTAGACTAATTTAAGCTAATTTTTTTCAGATTCGAGCTGGAGCTTTTCCCTCATGTTTCCCTAAATGGATTAAACTCTTATTTAGCGGTTTTGTTTTTTAAAAACTTTAAATAAAGCTAATTTATTTTTAGCTTTATTTATAATATTTATTCGTTATTGGGTGGCATTGAGACCGTCATCTCATTTAAAAGAAAAGAAAACAATCTCACCAACAGGTTTAAAAGAAAGAAAATTGAGAAAATTGAGAAAATCTTGCTTCTAGTTGCTCTTCTTGATACAATGCGATCACCTAGGAAAACAAGAGCTTATTCAACTAATAGGTGAAGATAGAAATCATGAAAAACATTCTACAGTATGCTACAGTATGCTATCTGGAAGTACGGTGACGATGAATGTGCACACTCATGCGCCTCTTTTATATCAAAATGTTCACAATGGTGGAGTCGATTCAGCCACTCCGCAAAGCATGGTATATTGATTGTTTTTTCTCGAGTAACTACTTGAGTAAAGCGTTTTATCAGGTTGGCAACTAAATAATGGCCCTTTTCAGTAAAAACAAAAAATTTATTAACAAGATGAACAAATATCAACATCAATCCAAAAGGTATTCTCCGTCATTCTTTATTACTTCTTTCCACTTTTGACGGAGCAACTGGATTCCTCTCTTGAAAAATTCTTCTGGTTGATCGTCAAAGAACTTCTGCACTGAAATTCGGACTTCGTCAAGGTCATTGAACTTTTTCTCGGCTAGAAAGTGTTGCATCGATCGAAAAAGATGGTAATCACTAGGCCCCATATCCGGGCTGTATGGCGCATGAGGAAGAACATTCCAGCCCAACTCCTCGATTTTCTCCATTGTAAGTTTTGCAGTGTGTGGTTTTGCGTTATCATGGAGAAAGTGAATTGAAGAGGGTTCGAGTCCTTGAGAGCGAATTGCTTGATCTACGCGATGTATTAGGTTGGCGGGAAAATAATGCGAATTTTTTTGACCCGAATTTTTATTTAAAAAAAAACAATCAATAAAGAGGATTAATATAAAAGGTATTCTCCATTATTATTTAGAACATTATGTCATCTTTTGCTCAATTGAATAATTCCTTCTTCAAAAAACTGGGGACTTTTTGACGAAAAATAGTTGGTGACCGCATTTTCGACTTCCCGGAAATCGTTGAACAGCTGATCGGGGATGAACTGCTTTAGAAACCTGAATAAGTGATAGTCTGATGGGGTCAAGTCAGGGCTGTATGGGGCGTGAGGTAGAAGCTTCCAGCCCATCTCTTCGATTTGTTGGAGGATCATCTTTGCCGTGTGCGGTTTTGCATTATCACGCAAAAATCGAATTTTTGAAGTGTCATGTCGAGATTTCGGTAAAGCTTGATTCACACGCCCTAACTGCTCACTGTAAAGTTCAGATGTGACAGTTTTACCCGGTTTGAGCAGTTCAAAATAGACCAATCCACGATAGTTCCACCATACGCACAACATCAACTTCCTTCCATGCAGACCAGGTTTTGACATGACAACCGGGACTTGCTTTGGTGATGGCCATTGGTGCTTGCGCTTAACCTTATCATATAATATCCACGTTTCATCAGAAGTAATAATCGATTTCCAGAAATCATGTGCTTTTGATTTTTGAATCAAAATTGAACAAGTGTTCATACGGGAAATTTTGTGATTAAAGGTCAGTTCATGTGGGACCCATTTTCCGCATCTGTTTCACTTTCCAATCAAATGTGAATGCTCTTCAATGGTGCTATGATCAATATTGAACATTTCCGACAACTCCCGAGTGATGCAAGTGGGATCTTCTTCGATAATTTGCAAAAGTTGAGACTCATCCAGCTTTCGAGGACGTCCTTCGTGACGCTCATCTTGTAGGCTCTCGTTTCCATTTCGAAATCGCACAAACCATCGATAACATTGGCTTTCGCTAATACTACCTTCGCCATAGGCCTTTGAAATAGAATTATGCGATTCACGGGCAGATTTTCCAAGCTTAAAGTCATAGAGTAAAGCAGCTCGAATAAGGAATTTTTGTTCCGTCATTTTTTGATAACAAATGAACAAATGTTTTCAAATAATATTATGATTGTGTAAGCAAACACACTCTGCTTCTCTGTTACTATCGCGGTTTTCTCTGTTTGTCGGCCATTACTTTCCCAAGAGCACAAGTTAAAAATTCGCATTATTTTCCCGCCAACCTAATAGTTGAGACGAATAGAGTTCTGAATTAACCGTTTGCCGGCTTTTGAGAACCTCGCAATGCACCAACCCACGAGAACTCCACCACACACAGAGGAGAGTTTTCTTTGAGTGAATATCCGGCTTCGGAGTTGGTTTTGGGTCTTCGTTTGTGCTAAGCCACTGTCGTTTTCGCGTTCGATTATCATAAAAGATCCATTTTTCATCAGAAGTGACAATGGAATCCAAGAAGCTTCCCTTTTTCGCAAGTTTTAGTAGTATTCCAGCTGTGATAACACGAGTAGCCTTATTTTCTTCGCTCAATTCATGCGGAATCCACTTTCCACTGCGGTTACTTTTCCCCAATGCATGAAGTCGCTTTTCGATTGCAGTATGCGAAAAGCCCAATCGATCCCCTAGCTCGCGTGATGTTTGACTTGGATCCTCCTTTAAAGCTGCTTCCAAAATATCGTTCTGCAGAAGTTCGGGTCGTGCCTTGGCCAGGCTCATCTTCAAGACTTTCATCCCCTTCCTTGAACCGTCGATACCATCTCTTACATTGTGTTTCGGAAAGAGCTTCATCACCAAAAACTCGCAATAAATCTCTGTGGGATTCGGCAGCAGTTTTGTCTTGTTTGTAGTCGTACCAGAGACAGACACGCATTCGATATTTGAGATCTTCCATTTCTAAATAAAATTATTTGAAAAGTATCAAATCAAGGAAAGTAAAAAAACGTATAATAATGCACCAGAAATTCAGTAATATTCAATTAATAACGAGCGAGGGTAGATTAAACGCAAAGATTAAAAGATTTTATCAAAAAAGGGCGAGGGCCATTATTTAGTTGCCAACCTAATATTTGAGTAACTCAAATAATGATATGCTATAGTAATGGGATTGTACTCATTAGGGAACTATCCCTAAGGTTACTGTCGATTAGGCTCAAGTAATCATATTTTTTTCAATTGCTCAAACAGTTTTATTACTCATCTATACTTTTGAAAGCTAATAATTTGAGTAAATGTTAACTAAAACCCTTTGAATCGATCTAGCAAAGAAAGAAAATTTTTTTGAAAAAGGCGAAGAAATTTGACTGGAGCGAGGGTCGAACTTGCGGCTTAACGGCTGTTCGATTTAGAGCTAAGCAAGCCACTCGGTCAGCCAGCAAACTGGCTTCCCCCTTTGAAGCGCGTCTTAGAAAGCAATTACTCGGAAGGAAAATACTAGTATAAAATGAGAGAGACTTGGCTGATGAGTACAATAGCCTAATGGACAGTTCCCTAATGGACAGTTCCCTAATGAGCACAGTAGCCTAATGGACAGTAGCCTAATGGACAGTTCCCTAATGAGTACAGTAGCCTAATGGACAGTAGCCTAATGGACAGTTCCCTAATGGACAGTTCCCTAATGAGTACAGTAGCCTAATGAGCAGTAGCCTAATGGACAGTAGCCTAATGGACAGTAGCCTAATGGACAGTAGCCTAATGGACAGTAGCCTAATGGACAGTAGCCTAATGGACAGTAGCCTAATGGACAGTAGCCTAATGGACAGTAGCCTAATGGACAGTAGCCTAATGGACAGTAGCCTAATGGACAGTAGCCTAATGGACAGTAGCCTAATGGACAGTAGCCTAATGGACAGTAGCCTAATGGACAGTAGCCTAACGAGTACAGTACCTTAATACTCGTCCTGTAGAATGGAATACTCTGAGAGAAAATCCAAAATCAGGTGATCCCGTTCACGATTGAAGAAATGGACACAAACACCGCTGTGCCACGTTTACCAAAAAGAAGAAAGGAAAAAGGGCACACAAAAAGAAGGTTTGAATTTAGTGAAAATAGGAAAAATCTCATTTCAGATGGAAAACCCCAACATTGAGAACTTTCTACAGTACGCCTATTGTTAAGTATTGGGTCTCGTTGACTTTTCGTCTCATTCATATTGGATTGCTTTCATATTCAGTGAGTCTCTTGGGTTTCAAATTAATTTCATTTCTTAAGCCTTTTAAAACTAAAGCAAACATAATAATCGTTTAAAAAACTCTTAAAATCTGTGAAAACATCGATGAAATCTCACTAAATTTTAGGTTCTTTTACCCGGTTGTGGCTCAAATCTTTTGGATATGATTGTATGGGTTTGGACGCTGATTGCGTGGATTGAACAGGTAATATATATGCTTTAGATTTACGCATAAGAATGCTTTAGATTTACGTAGTTTACAGTCGATCTCACTCAGTGCCAATCACCGAAATGCCTTGGAGAGTGAGAATCAAAGTTTCTCGAACACTTTTCAACTTTCATAAAATCTAGATTTTTGATCTCATCATCACTTTCGGCTATCTTATCGGCATTTTTGTGTTCAAACTTTTTGGAGAGCAAATCTTTTCGTATTTAATGGTTTGCTGAAATGATTGTTTTTATGGGAGTGGGACAAATGCGACCTTTTTTTTGCGCACCCGGACATTTGCGCACCTTTTTTTTCCGCACTTAGCCCATTAGCGCACCTTTTTTCGCGTTTTAAAAAAGCTCTAAAAAGCTAATATTAACCAATTTCTATTCCAAAAGTTGTTTTTCTAGGTAATTTTAGGGCGTAGAATCGAAATTTTGACATATCAGAGCTTGTGGAACCATTTGATTTGAACCAATTTGAAAGACAAAACGGCTAGATAAAATTACAGAAAATTGTCGATTTTTCTCTTTGTATAACTCCGTTCGTTTGTTTCCACAAGCTCTGATATGTCAAAATTTCGATTCTACGCCCTAAAATTACCTAGAAAAACAACTTTTGGAATAGAAATTGGTTAATATTAGCTTTTTAGAGCTTTTTTAAAACGCGAAAAAAGGTGCGCTAATGGGCAAGATGCGGAAAAAAAGGTGCGCAAAAAAAAGGTCGCATTTGTCCCACTCCCGTTTTTATGAAAAACAAAAAATGAAATATTCAGCCGATCTCTGTTTACCAATCGCGAGTGATTTCTGCTTTCTTTTTACTCTATTTTTGTTATGCTACTCTTTTTACATATATTCCATTATCAGAGGTAAAAAGGAAATTAAAAAAACTGTAAACCTGTAAACTGAAGAATCAAGAATTTCAGCTTTTCGGCCCACTTGTCATTCGGGTAAAACTAATGTTGCTGAGAGATTTCACGAATTTCCTTGTCATGGTAGCATTGGTGATGATTAGGTGAGTTTAAAGCCATTTAAAGCCAGTTTAAAGCCATTTAAAGCCATTTAAAGCCATTTAAAGCCAGTTTAAAGCTATTTAAAGTCAGTTTAAAGCCATTTAAAGCCATTTAAAGCCAGTTTAAAGCTATTTAAAGCCATTTAAAGCCGGTTTAAAGCCATTTAAAGTCAGTTTAAAGCCATTTAAAGTCAGTTTAGAGCCATTTAAAGCCATTTAAAGCCAGTTTAAAGCTATTTAAAGTCAGTTTAAAGCCATTTAAAGTCAGTTTAAAGCCATTTAAAGCCATTTAAAGCCAGTTTAAAGCCAGTTTAAAGCCGGTTTAAAGCCATTAAACTTGTAACGTTAAAGTTTATTTTAAGCTCCGCCTTTGCTGTTCACTCGCTACTCTATCCAGACATGCAACTTTCACTTCAATCTTTACTCAACAGCCTCAATTGGGCTTGGCTTTCCATTTTTACGACAGACATGAGTGCACTTCAAGGTAAGCTTTCAAATCTAAACTTGTTCTTTTTCAAATTCTTCTTTTTGCAATTGTTCTTTTTCAAATTCTTCTTTAATATAATTTATAAAGTTTAATTTTCTTATTGAAAATTTTAATTTTCTTATTTCTTATTTATTGATTATTTAAAAAAGTCTTTTCGTTTTTTTTTTAAATCAACAACAAATTCATCAATTAAACTACGCTAAAGCTACTGATTTTACTGCAAAATAACGCTAAAACTGTTTAAAATCTCTGCATTAAACAATAAATACTTTTTCTTAAAAAGAAAAACTGATGAATTGATGAATTTGTTATTTTTTTTTTAAAAAGTACGAAAAAGAATGAAAAGTTTCTCTAAAGCGCTTAATATTATTAAAGTTTTATAGAAAATTTTCCAATCTAGTACTGTTTTAAAGTTGTTTAAGAATCGGAGAAATGCAAAAAGTCTTTCCTCGGCTCTCCACGATCATTTTGTTCTTCATTGGGCCATCACAGTGATTCGTCATGTCCTCGACAAGGACTCCCTGGATACATTGTTATTATCGAGTGCTTTATCAATAAATTCATAGCAATCAATTTTTCAGATATTTTATTGTCTTGAAGTTGATTCTTTGGCCAATTCTCTTTGCGTTCTTTACAAAAACAGCGAAAAGCGTTGATGAAGAAGCGGATCGAATATGGAAACATCAAATGTATGGGCTCGTTACAGAATTTGGGTTAGTTTTGCAAAGAAAAGATATTAATAATCAATAATCTAACGGGATTGAACCCTTGATCTCCTGCCTAAGATTTAAGGCTCTTAGGCAGTCGGTCATGATGTCCATCTTTGAATAAATTTGGATGTCCATCATTGAATCTTTGGATTTTCATCTTTGGATCTTTGGATGTCCATCTTTGAATCTTTGAATATCCATCTTTGAATATCCATCTTTGAATGTCCATCTTTGAATGTCCATCTTTGGAATGTTCATCTTTGGATGTCCATCTTTGAATGTCCATCTTTGGAATGTTCATCTTTGGATGTCCATCTTTGGATCTTTGGATGTTCATCTTTGAATCTTTGAATATCCATCTTTGAATATCCATCTTTGAATGTCCATCTTTGATGTCCATCTTTGAATGTCCATCTTTGAATGTTCATCTTTGAATGTTCATCTTTGAATGTCCATCTTTGGAATGTCCATCTGTCCATTCGAATATCCAATTTTGATTTTCAGAATTCGTCCCTGCCTTCCACCACCGTTTACCCCAATTCTATTACTCTTTGGAGGGTTTGTATTTAAAACAAAATCTAATGATTAGATTTTAAAAATTTTAAATACTTTATCTTTATTTTAAATGTCCTTTCTAAACTAGTTTAGATCTAGAAGCAATAAAAAGAAATAAATTTCAAATTTTAGAGCATCTACTTGCATGCAACGATGTGCTACGACAGCCACTACTGAGCATCCTGATATGGTAAAGATAAGTTTGAGTCTTTCACAAATCGTTTTAGATTGATGGAGCGATCAATCGGAAATACACAGTGTACCGAAATCCATCGGTTCCTTTCAAGTTAATTAAATCTTTTAAAAGAATATTTAAAAGCTTAGAAAATTCGAGTTTTTGAATGCTTTCTGGCGAGAGATGGCTATTGATTTGTGGAAAAAGGAAAAAGAAGCTAAAATTGAAAAGGTGACAAGATTTTGAATTGAAAAGGTGACAAGACAAGACAAGACAAGATTTAAATTCATTTTTTTAGATGCTAGATGCAGATCTAGATTGTTCTAGCATCTAAAAAACAAATGCAGATCTAGATTGTTTTTTAGAAACGATTCTTTCTTTCTTTCTTTTTCTTGATCTTTCTGTTTGTTTCTTTTTCTTGCTCTAAATTGTTTAAAGAAAATTTCCAGAACGGAGAAACTGAACTGAAACGGATCAAGGCTCAATTGCGTCGAATGAATTTAGCTGTGGAATACAATCGTGAAAATGCATTGATTCAAACGGTATCCTTTGGAAAAAAAAAGTCAAAACCACTTTTAATCAGAAAACTTTGGAATTAGATAAATTGATTTTTAGATTCGAAAAGTACAGTATGAAAGCTCGTCATTTCAACGTTTGGTGCTACCGGAGAACTTAAAGAATTGGTATGTTTTTGAGGAGAAAAGTGAAAAAGAGATTCTCAGGGATACCCTCTTTCCATCATACAATCCACCATTTTACAATAAACCGACCGAGGAATTTGCGATTTTTCTTCAAAAATACGTGGAAGTGCCGACAAGACAGGTTTGAGAAAATCCTCTTTCCACAAGAATAGGTCCTCTTTCCACAGGTATAGGTCCTCTTTTCACAAGTGTAGGTCCTCTTTCCACAAGTGTAGGTCCTCTTTCTACAAGAGTAGGTCCTCTTTCCACAAGAGTAGGTCCTCTTTCTATAAGAGTAGGTCCTCTTTCTACAAGAGTAGGTCCTTTTTCTACAAGAGTAGATCCTCCTTCCACAAGAATAGATCCTCTTTCCATTTTCAGTACACAGCTGAGATGAGACGTTTGTGGCGATCAAAACAGCTAAACGATTCACGAATTCGTCTCTCTGGTATCAAGAAAAAGGTGTAAATGATTGATTGTTCTATAGCGCATGGCTTTCCGTTGAATCCATCTGGAAGAACCGGGATCACCGGACGTGGCACTCATGCTCGCTTTGGACCGAATGCAATGACTTTTTACATCATTTTTCATGGCAATCGTGGAGAATCTAGAGTTATTCGACCATAAAATTACGATTCTTAACGAAATTTTAGTGCTTATTGGAAAACGGAGCATTGCCGCATGATTGGCGCTACGATTGCGGAGCAAGGGATGATCGATTGAGGGCATTGCTCGTTCAAATCGGAATCAACGAAGGTGATGCACAAGTGAGTGGTTCACAAATAAGATCGTTTGGCTATTTAAAATAAAAAACAAAAGTAAGTGGCACTACGGTGGGCTTGAACCTGGGTAATGTGAGTTGTAGACAAGCGCGCTCCCGGCTGCACCACGGCGACTGGAGATTGGCCCCAGAAAATTATGCTTATGAGAAAATGCTCATCAGAAATGCTCATCAGAAAGAAAAGCCGAAAAACCCGTCTAATACGGAGTTTTTCTGAGGGTGCTCTGTTGTCATCATTGTGCAGTCGGGAGGGCACTTTTCTGCAGCGCGATGCGGGTTCGACCCACCGTACCGCCAGTTTTTCTTTTTTTTATCAAATTCATTTATCCTAATCACTGCCATTTCTTATCTAGGTACTTTCTACAAGACGAATCGATCCCGGCCTCTCGACTCCATCCGATACTGGGCCAAATAGCATCTACTCAGCACTAGTGTCATCAGCTTCCGATACAGATAATGCATGGACAGAATATGACGTCTGGGCAGTGTCATTAAGGTAATGCGAGAATGAATTTTCGAGAAAGCAACACACAAATTTCAGATCTCGACGCGTTAATTTAAACCCTGGTGGTGGTTTTGAGTGGATTTCTTTAAGTCAAATCCCCTCACTTGCATCACTCGAAATTGGCTGGCTGAAAAAAGCTCGTGAATCATTTTCTCTTTAATTTATTGATTAAAAGTTTTTTTTTTTTTAAAAAGTAATTGAAGAAAAACAAAAAGCGATATATAACCCGTTTTGTAAAAGAAAATATAGGCAACAAAGAGAAGCACCGTCATTTGAGAGATAAAACATGAAAGAAGCTTGAGCAAAATAAGTAGATAAAGCTGATATTTCAATTTTTATATTCAATCGTCTCGTCTTTGTCGAGCTGAAAATGAAGATCATTTTTTTGCATTGTAAAGAGATTTTTACCAGGCCAACGTATCCATTTTTATCGATTCTCTGTCGTAATTGTTCGACGGTTCCCGACGAGATTTGACTCCAACCAGACATTTGACCCGGATTTCCAGAACCAACTCCTAAAAATAAGTGCTTAATAGAGAAGTAAGTAGTCGATACTATTTTTTTTGAAAGATACAGTTGACTCTCGATATAACGACTTTGTCGGGAGCGCGAAATGGTCATTAGTCGTATGTTGTTATGTCGAACATCGTTATATATATATATAAAAGATTAGAAGTGATTTGAACCTTTTCCTTTGTAGAATCTGAATCTTTAGTAAAACAAGTTATAAAAGAAAACTAAAATAACGATGTATAAGTTCTAAGCATTAGCTGACTAGTGAGATTCGTTTCTCTTAAAATAATGCTTATCAAAGAGTCTCTGTTTCTCAAAAACATTGTAGAAAAGTCAAAGCTTTGGTACTTTATAACGTTGATATTTTCGTAAATTCAAAGATTAGATTAGAAGTGATTTGAACTTTTTCACTTGTAGAATTGTCGAAAGAAATGAAGTACAATCGACTCTCGATATAACGACGCTGTCGGGACCGCCAATATGGAGTTGTTATATCGAACAAGTCGTTAGATAGAAGTAAGTAAGTCCTGGACTGTATGTATGAGTCGTTATATCGAACAAGTCATTATATAGAAGTAAGACCGAGACCGTAAGTATGAGTCGTTATATCGAACATCGTTATATCGAGAGTCGACTGTAATGCGTTTATCTTTACCTGGCCGACTTCCTTTCACGTTCAATGTCTCCCATTGATTCCTCAGCTGAGATACTGTAGGTTGGGGCTCGTTGTTGACTTCAATAGTCTGAAATCGATTTTTATAACGTGATCCTGCTTTGGCTAATGTGTACCAAGATCGATGGATCAAAGTAATCGGTGAGTATGTCGATTATTTGAAAGAACTCAGGCCGAGAAGAAGGCTCCGGATGCCAAGCCTCGGAGATCACCTGTAATTGCTTTTTTTACACTTTAGATAAAAACAAACTCTGATAATATGATCCGGGAATTGAGCTGAGCCAAGACTCGGTAGCGATGGTCTGCCTAAATAGTTTTAATTTTTAATTCTAAACTTTCTAACCTCTCTTGTAGGTCATTTCAGCAGCTGCAGCGGCTGGTTTGAGATGCGAAAATGGGAGCTCGGCTGAGTGGAGTTCCCACAAGCATAGACCATAGGAAAAGACGTCAGCCTGCAAATATTTAATGTAAAACCGAAATTAGCTCCCTCGTAAGGGAGATCGGGTGCGTTGTGGTGTAATGGTTAGCACGGTGGGCCGAAAGGTCGGGGGTTCGAGTCCCGGCGAGTTTGGATCTACCAACTCTCACTAAGATTATCGATATCAATATAATTTTCAAAGTTTTGTATATTGTAGAAATTATTGAAGTAAATAGGTTTATCAATCAATCTTTAACGTCTTTTTGATTTGATCAGGAATTAGTCGGCTTTTCAGGCTAATTTCAACCATTCACTTGAATGGTTTAACATGTAAAATTGTTTAAAAATGATTAGGTCAAAAAAATTTAAGGCAAATTGAGAGGAATTGATTGGAGTTATTCACGTTGTATTACTGCACTTACTTTATATATGTCGTAGCCGCTAACGAAATTCAGCGGCTCGTTAACGGCTAGCCGCTAACGAATGAAATTTTTCGCTAGCCGTTTACGAATGATTCGTTAGCGGCTAGCCGTTAACGAATCATTCGTTAGCGGCTGAATTTCGTAAGCGGCTACGACATATATTTTGCTTAAGGTAAGCGTAATATATAAATAAGGTAGTTGGAACTAGGGCAGATCAAAAAGCCATGCCCCGCTGGGAGTCGAACCCGCGACCTTCCGCGTACCAGGCAACTATGCTAACTTCACACAACGCCCTTGATCGCCCTGACTCTAAAGGGAGTTAACTAGGTAGCTATTACGTAATCACTAGCTTCAAATTTGAACTCACTTTCCGATCGTATCGCCCGGATTGAGAGAAAACTTCGGGAGCCATCCATCGAAGATTCTGGAAGAGTTTCATTTTTTCTTTCTTTTTTTTTTGTTTTTTTCAAATCCACTGACCCCTGGCTGTTTTGTCATATTCTCATCATCGCCATCACCGAAACGACTTTCCCCAAAGTCAGCCACCACTCAAATTTCACTTATTCCCGAAATTCTGTTTTTACAAATTACCCGCTCGTCCATCTCCGTGAATTAGAATATTGTGACTGTTCAAATCTCGATGAATCACCGGTTTTCCAACCTGAATTCTTTTTCTATTCTAGAATTTTCAAAAATGACTAACATTTTCATGTAAATATCGCATTCCTTGTGCCACATCCCAACCGATTCTCAAGCGAAATGGTGGCTCGAGTACTCTTAAATCAAAATTTATTTGCTTTTCACACAATCAACCATGAAAAAAAACCTCTTTTGCTCATGAAGAATGGAGAAAAGTGAACCATTCTCCACAAATTCAGTGATGATCGCAAATTGCTAAAGTGTTTTGTACATGAAAATAGTTTAATGTGACAAATTTACACAAGGATCATCGAGAGCGGCTCCGATAAACTCGATGACATTCGGGTGTCGAACTCGGCTCATAATCGAAACCTCTCGACACAGCATTTCCACTTGTGATTTACTGCCATAGCATACAGCTCGATATCTGTTTTTGAAAGTATTTTCTTCAGGATTTATCTTCAGAATATATTTATTCATTTAACAAGGTTTGAATAGAATCAACTTATTCGTCGCATTTCGCATTCTACAATTTTGTTTTCTTCTTTTCCTTCTTTTCTTTTCCTTTTCCTTTCCTTTCCTTCTTTTCCTTCTTTTCCTTTTCTTTCCTTTTCCTTTTCCTTCTTATGTCCTCTTTTTTGTGCAATAAGTGTATGCCTGTGTGTCATTTTTTTCAATTAAACATATCCCATTATCACTTTTTCTTCATGCTTAAATCGGTATTGCTCAAATCTCAAATACAAACCTTTTAATCGCCACAATTCGACCGTGGTACGTTCCTTTGTAAACTTTCCCAAAAGATCCACTTCCGATCGCTTCCTAAAGGTAATCATATTGCGCTTAAACTCAACTTATTTCATTTCCCTCTACCTGCAAGTCGATGTCAACCATGGATAGATGAAATTTCGGATTGAGCAGTGAGCGAAGCTGTAGAATCTCGGCTTTTTCTCTCGTCAACGATTGCAATCGGCCCCAGGGTGATGGCAATGGCGTATACGATGATTCTCCAGAGCTCAAAAAAATTCTCCTAATTTTTTCAATTTTTGTTTACTTTAATACCTGTATTCACTGCAAAGATCGCCTTCAACTCGCCGATTCGCATAGTGCTTGAGAAGAGCAACGATCCGATCATGTCCCCTCTCGTAAGCCCAAATTATCTAGAAAACTTTCCAAGTTTTAAGATTTATTTAAAATTTATTTAAAATTTATTTAAAAGTTTATCTACGGGTGTTTGCTGTTCATCCATTGAAATAGTTGAATTCATGCTTGAGAGATTTGATGGAGTGTCGGCTCGAGTTAACGATAAAACAGCTGATGAAACAAGTCCTGATGAGGTCGATGTTGTTGGAGTGGTTGATCCTAGATATGTTTACATTAAAGAAGCTATAAATACTATAATGTTAAGTAATCTATTAGTTTTTTTTTTCTTTAAATCTATACCATCAGTGTCAGTGCATTTAAGTGGAGACTCGACAGCTCTTGCTGTGAGTGATTGATCGGCGCCATTGTCAAGTAGGAATTGCACGAGCCTCACATGTCCATGATAGCAAGCCGAATGTAAAGCTAGATTCAAAAATTTAGAGATTTTTTTAGTTCGTTATACCGGTATGACCATCTTGTCCCTGATAGTTGGGCTCAACGCCGGGTTGTTTAAGGAGAAAAGCCAACATTTCAAGTGAACGCCCACCAGTGCAAGCTGCATGCAGAGGAGTCTCCGAGAAAACATTTTCCTAAACAACTTCAAATAAAGCAGTCTTTTTACAAGCCGTTTCCAATGCCTCCATGGCCGAGTGGTTAAGAGCCCTGTATCTGAGGCGGCTAGATTCAACCTCGCCGTGGGTTCAATCCCCCGTTGAGACTTTTGATCCCTTTTTTCTTAGGCTTTTGCTTTTGTTTTCTATTGTATTGTTTGTATCAAATTATTCGTAAATGTATTTGAAATAAACCATTGTCAACAGTTGACTCCCGCCGGCATGAATAAGTCGCTTGGCGGCATCAAGACGACCGGCATAACAAGCCAAGTGAAGACACGTATCTCCATACATATTTCGACATCCAATCATCTGAAAGAACAAGCCTTTGACTTAAAAAATGTTTTTAAAAGCTATCCGAATAGAGCTCACTTCAGTAAACTGATACAAACAGTACCTGTGTTGGCTGGCTGGTGGTTGAAAGCAAGACATCGATCACTTGAACATGGCCACCTTTTGAAGCAAAATGAAGAGCACTATTCCCCTCTTCATCAGTTAAAGAAGCTAAATGGATTTGCATCAAAAAAAAAAAATGCTAAACAGTCCAACCATCAGCTCCACTTTCCAGCAACAAATTCACCATCGATAAAAGGCCTCTGCTAGCGCCGAGATGCACTGGTCTAGAGAAAGATTTATCAACTTTCTCTTTGTCTTACCGATCTTTCACTCCCCCACAAAGATTTGGATCAGCTCCAGCTGAGAGAAGCAATCGAACTACCTAGAAAAATCTGCAAAAGAAACTTATTTTTTTGTCAAACTTGATCATGTGCAAAATGCGTAGCACAGTGAAGAGCAGTGAATTTGACGAAATCCGTTTCATCAAGCCGACAACCACTCTCCAAAAGCATTTTACAGATTCCAGTGTGTCCACACATTGCAGCCAGATGTAAAGGAGGCAATCTGAAAAGGTTTTTCTTCATTTCTTCATTTCTTCATTTTGCAAATATTGTTATACTTGTGTGTTCCGACAAACGATGGATCCGCGCCAGCTGTAAGCAAAGCGGAAACGAATTGAGGCCATTGCTAAATTGAGTTTCTAGTTTTGAAAACTGTAAAAGGATACTTGCAAAATGTAATCTACTAATTAAATGTATAAATCAAATGTACTAATCAAATGTACTAATCAAATGTACTAATCAAATGTACTAGTCTGTACTAATCAAGTGTACTAATCAATTGTACTAATCAATTGTACTAATTAAATGTACTAATTAAATGTACTAGTCAAATGTACTAATCAAATCAATCAATCAAATCTTTTTTTCATTTCTACCTTATAAATCGCTAGATGAAGAGCCGTGAATCCGTTGTGTGAGAGGCGGCTCAAAATCCCGACTCGCTTCTCTTTCTCAAAGTTTTCCAAAAGTTTCAGCGTATTTTGTAGCTTTTCATATTGCTAAATGACAACATTTTTGTTTTTCCTTTGTTTTTTTTTTTGCTTTACTTTGTACCTCTTCATTTCCACCAGCGCAAATCGTATGGAAAAGCGTGAGTCCGTGTGGAGAGCGAGCCTCTAGCGTCTCGGTGCAAATCTGAGAAACTAGAGCCTCGGCTGGGCCATCACTGAAAATCATTTTAAATCCAAAAATCATCGACTCCTCATAAATAAAAGCCACAAAACGCCCTTCGACATCTTCAACTTACTATGCGATTTTCCATGGTTCTGGCAAATTGTGGCGTTGTTTTACGTCATCGGCTAGCCGACTCCTCATCACCGCATATCCCTCGCTAATCTTTTTCTTTAGCTCATCTATAAAGTTTTCCTCTTAATTGGTTTGTTTATTGATAGATCTATAATTTTGATTAAATCTTTAAATCTCTTATAATAACTTTCTTTAAAATATCTTTAAAATATCTTTAAAACATTTTTAAAACATTAAGACATTAAAACATTAAATCAAACATCTATCTGTAACATTAAACATTAAATCAAACATCTTTAAAACATCTTTAAAACATCTCTACCATTTCTAAACCCACCTGCACATGATGTAAGCGGTCGTGACTTGTAATTACCCATAATTATCGCAATATCATGTTGATCATTAGCTCAAAAAAATAAAGTTAAGAAATTTACAGAAAAAGATGAGTAACAAAATGAGAGATTGGAGAAATCGAGAAAAAAAAACAGTGAGCTTTTCGTTGTGAACAGGAGAGAGTAGGGGAAAGGAAATGGAGAAATGCTAAGAAAGCACAGATAGTGTGTACACAAGAAAAGCGGGGCGGAGACCCGGCTGTGAAGAAATAGAGGGAAATGTGGGGAGAAGGTTGAGGGGTGAAGAAGCGCTTAGAGCTCTGAGTGTGGTGGAATGGGATGGCTGGCCTTTGTGTCCCTCTTTTCACTGATCTCTCCTCTCCTTTTCTCTCATCACTCACACTGATCACCCTTTCTACACGTGTTTTTCGATGCACAGATAAAGCAAAAGTTAAACCGATTGCTTTCCAATTGAGACATGAGTTTGGAGATGGATCAAGTAGTTGGATCCAATTGGATGAAGCAATTGAATCCAATTGGATGAAGCAATTGAATCCAATTGGATGAAGCAATTGAATCCAATTGGATGAAGCAATTGTATCCAATTGGATGAAGCAATTGAATCCAATTGGATGAAGCAATTGAATCCAATTGGATGAAGCAATTGAATCCAATTGGATCAAGCAATTGAATCCAATTGGATCAAGCAATTGAATCCAATTGGATGAAGCAATTGAATCCAATTGGATGAAGCAATTGAATCCAATTGGATGAAGCAATTGTATCCAATTGGATGAAGCAATTGAATCCAATTGGATGAAGCAATTGAATCCAATTGGATGAAGCAATTGAATCCAATTGGATCAAGCAATTGTATCCAATTGGATGAAGCAATTGAATCCAATTGGATCAAGCAATTGAATTCAATTGGATCAAGCAATTGTATCCAATTGATCATAGAAGATCAATTGGATTCCTTGTGCACTTTTTAAACAATATTCATTTCAGAAAACTACCTTAATCAATCATCAATTTATATTCGATCATTGGCTAACTGAATTACAATAGTTTTCTAAAAAAACTACCGTAATCCAGTTAGCCAATGATCCTTTTAGAAAGTGAATTAATCAATCTAATCTAGAAGTGTAAAATTTAACTGTCAAACGTCAAAACTGTCAAACTGTCTAGTTTAACTGTCTTTAACCGTTAAATAAGCTAATTTTTAGCTAGCTTAGCTTTCGACAACCATAAAAAAATTATAAAAATAGAAATTCAATCATAAAACATCAAGAATTTCAAATCTTTATTCAAAACACGAAGGAAATTTGAAAATAGACAAAAGAAATAAAAAATGATTTCCACAAAACAAAATGATTTAATATTCAATCTCAAAATGATTTAATTTCAATGTCAGAATGATTTAATTCCAATCTCAAAATCACTTCTCTTTATTCCATCCGGTACCATAAACGTCTAAACTCTTCATAAAATTAAAAGATTTTAAAAAACCGACTATTTCTCCGTTTCCCATACATCGTTCGATACGTGAACGAGTTCCCATGATTGACCAGCGAGTTGCCTGCATTCCCGCTCGATCCACCGTAACCATCGTTTAAGTTCAAATTGTTATTGTTGTTGTTGTTGTTGTTTAAATTCATATTGTTATTGTTTCCATTGTTACCTGAATGAATTCTTGTGGTAATTCTTTTGAATTCTTGTGAAACTGACCGCATCCACCGCCACACGAGCTCCCACTTGCTCCATTCCCAGTCACTCCAGTCATTGGGTTCATTCCCATTCCCCCATACATACCATAACCACCCATCATTCCGTAATTTGATAGATAATTCATATCTAAAGAATAGCTTTGATAACTAATTTAATAGTAGTTCTTAGTATTTCACTTTCGTTCTTTCTTTCTCTTTCTTTCTTTCTTTTCTCTTCCTTTCTTTCTCTTTCTTCCTTTTCTTTCTCTTCCTTATCTTTCCAATTTCTTCTTGGGCAAAAACTCTATCCATCTAGCTCAATGATAAAGCATCTATCTGGTAAGCAGAAGATCTCTCGGTAAGGTCAAGAGTTCAATTCCCCGTCGGCTTCTTTGCCATTCATTTCGTGACTTTAGTTCTTGTCTCTATTTTCAGTCTGAATTCGGTTACTGATTTAGACGAACGAATTAGAGTGATACAAAGGTTTGCTTCTTTTAGGTTTACTTTTTAGCACAGATTTTTATGTAAACCTCACCACCGTACATATCCGAAGCACCACCGGACATCATACCCATTGAACCGTAGGGATTCATCATCGAACTGTAGGGATTCATCATCTGTTGGTAATTAGGATTGTAGGCCATTCCATATGGGCTCATCATGTACTCTAAAAGTTTACTAGTTAACAGATAATCTATCGCTTTTTAAATCCTCTAAAGTTTCCCGAAAGATCTCGAGTTTGAGTGAGCCTACAATGAGGCTAAAGCCTACAATGAGCCTAGAGCCTACAATGAGCCTAAAGCCTACAATGAGGCTAAAGCCTACAATGAGCCTAAAGCCTACAATGAGCCTAAAGCCTACAATAAGGCTAAAGCCTACAATAAGGCTAAAGCCTACAATAAGGCTAAAGCCTACAATAAGGCTAAAGCCTACAATAAGGCTAAAGCCTACAATGAGCCTAAACCCTACAATGAGCCAGCATTATCTGTGGAACAAAACCCCCTTTTCTGCTTAAGAATTTGAGTCAATTTTTCGAAATACCATTTCTTTACCTAGCGGATTCATTCCGAAACCCCATTGTGCAAGGATTGGACTCAAATATAGCCAGAAAACGAGTAGCTGAGTCGACATCTCGGTGAATACGAATAGTGAATATTGTGGTATGAAATCTGTGGGTTGTTTTGTGAATGAAATTGAAACTTTCAGGGGCATTCGGGATGGGCCAACCTCCTCTTTTTCCCTCTTCCCAATATGTCAAGGGCTTTCGGGCACTCCTTCACCACAAATGTTTCCCATTCTCAAAATTTCTATCGAGTGCTCGATTTTTGCAATCCTGTTTTGTCAAAGAATCAATGTCAAATTTCTGTTTTTAAAGTGAATTTCCGTGTACGTAAAGAGAATTTATTCGTGAAAACCGTAATGAAAAGATTTAAGGTAAAAAATAGTGATTGCCGGTCGTGATTTCTGGTTGCGGAGCCTCGCAGTTTACGTCAGATTCGGTGATTGAAATGTTCTGAAAGTTTTAACGATAGCAAAATGATGGAAAGATATATTTATTAGGCTCTTCGGATATAAACAAGCGTTACTAAACTTATTGTTGTGAGGGAAACTTTTAAAACATGTCTTTCTGTATTTAAAAACCTTTCTAAAAAGTACGTTATCTTGTGTAGATTTGGAATCTTTTTAAACGGATAATTTCTTATTTTTAAGAACTTTTTTCTTGCTTTAGATGACCGACTTCGAAATATCAAGTTCGCGTCTGCCTACTTTACGACTTCAGCTTTAGATGACCGACTTCAAACAGCAAGTTCGCGTCTGCCTACTTTATGACTTCAAATTGGGCAAAAAATCACTGCCTACTTTACGAACTCAAATATCAGGTTCGCATCTGCCTACTTTACGACTTCAAACTGGGCAAAACAGAATCCCATTTGGTCAAAGATTTGGTCAAAGCATTTGGGAATGATGTATTGTTTGAAAGCCGATGCCGAGCCTGGTTCCAACGTTTTCGGAACGGTGATCAAAGTCTCGAGGATCATGAACACTCTCGTCGACCTCAAGCGGTAGACAACGATATTTTGAGAGCTGCAATCGAATCGGATCCATGTCAAACGACGCGTGAACTTGCTCAACAGTTTCTATGTTCAAATTCTACCATTGATGAGCATCTTCACGCCATGGGAAAGGCGATCAGATGCGGGAAATGGCTTCCTCACGAGTTTTAAAGGAAATGGCCTCTATTAAAGGAAATGGCCTCTATTAAAGCGAGCAAGCGCTCGTTTATATCCGAACAACCTAATAAATAAAAGTACTTAAATAATTAAAAACTTTATTGGAAAATTAGACAAATTTTACAAACAACAAACTTTTGGCGTCATGATGTATGATGATGAGATGGCTGAGAAATGGAAAGCGTAATCGGCTCGAGCTGCCACACACGGCACATCTCTACAGAATCATTTTAGCATTATGAATTATAAAAAACTAATAAAGTTTTATTGTTATTCAATACCGTTTTAGTCTGCTAAAGCAAACATGTGGAGTTAGACATCGAGAAACTTTCATTGTCCAGTGCTCGGCGTTGATCGCACCTAATATTTCAAATTTGAAATGAAAGAAACTAGAGAAAGTCAACTGGCTAAAGCCGACCATTGAACGCAGAACTTTATGCTGATTCCGAATATATATTCCGTTTTTGATAAATGACAATCTGGCAGAAGTTATAAGCGTCTAAAGTTTTGTTAGGACTCTGAAAATGCGATTATTTCTGTCTTAACGGCCTTTTTGCAGACTCAATTCGATGCAGGAAAGAAAAAAAAGAAAGACCCGAAGTGGGGATCGAACTTGTGAGGTGTGGCATTGGAAACGAAGGCTCTACCACTCGGCCAAGGCTACGATCAAGCCGGCCCGCAAGAAGGCCCTTAAGACCCAAATGACCACATAAAACCAGCATAAAATTCTGCGTTGAATCGTATAGGTCGCATTGAGCTTTGACCCGCTCAGCCAGTTGACCTTTCCTTGTTAAGAAGTACAAAGAAAGAACAATAGTACAAACAAGACATGGGGAAAATTCTAAGCCGAACCCAATTCCACCTTCCTTTTCTCAGCCGTTTCTTGGCCGATTGCTTTGAAATTTTTTCTACAAGCTGAAAATACCGATTTCTATTTGTAGACAATATTTCAAAGCAATCGGCCAAGAAAACAAAGGTGGAATTAGGTTCGGTTTGGAATTTTTCCATGTCTAGTACAAACCCATGCACTTGTCGAAGTCTTCAAAGGACTCAATGGAAGATGGAGGCAACTGAGAGGCAGCGATTGTGTTTAATGAGGAGAAAAGTCGCTTTTTCCAGGATCTAATCAAATTTCGGAATTTTTTGGGGAATTGTTATTGTTAAAAAGGCGAAAAAAGTTCCTACCGATTCAAGATTGACTGCAGGGTGGTCATGTCGATCTCGGTTGGGCTGGGCACAGTGCCGTGACTGTGTCGGAAGTGATAGAAGTGACCTAATAAAGGAGTGAAGGAAGGAAAGTAGATTTCCGGAGAGGGGATTGAACTCTTGAGCTTTCGCTTTCCGGTAATTGCACTAATCACTAATCACTAATCACTAATCACTGAGCTATTCAGTACCTTAACTCGGGAATAGAAAGAGGGAAAGACAAGGGGAAAGAAAGAAGAGAAAGAAAGAAAGAAAGAAAGAAAGAAGAAAGAAAGAAAGAAAGAAGAAAGGAAAAGAAAGAAAGAAAGAAATCCAAAAATTTAAACGTTAATCTCAGAGATTTTGAAGTTAAATAAAAGTTTTAAACCTTTTCTACACGGAACTCGCACTTGCACATAGCCAAAACGATGAATTCCCGTTTCGTGCATGTTCACACTATCAACTCTACCTGAATTATTTGATTAGAAATTTAATGAAAAGTAATTCTACTTAAAAGTATTCAATTTTTTTTAAACCAACTAGCATTCACAACAACCCGTGTCTTCATTCTCCAGACCTAAAAAGAAAGGAGATGATAAAGCTGGGGAAATTTGGGTACCGTAAATACTGTAATAGTACCCCACCCCCATAATGACGGTGCGGAGCGTTGCGTAGTCTAGCTTTGAACGAGTTTTTCTCGACACTGGTTTATGCTACAATAGCAATACAATTATCAAAAAATAGCCCTGAATTTCAGCTATTTTTTGATACCAAAGACGCATTTTTTGAAAGTACGGGCGCTTTGAAAAAAAATGAAATACTAAAAAACTTTTGCGACTACGCGACTGTACGAGGGAGGTGGAGTACTACTACAGTATTTACGGTAAGTATTATCTTAATTGAAAGTTAAAAGTTTTACCTGACAGTTTTGTTTGAATTTTGTATTTTGAAGAAAATTGAAGTTAAATTGACTCAGGGTTTTTGGTGGTTCTAAAATTTTATTTATTATGAAAAGAATTCAAATAACCAGATGGTAAACGCAATTGCACATCTCGATGTTCAAAAGAAGTGATCCGGCTTGTGGATGCTCGTCGAAGATTTCCTATGCTTTGTGATTGATTTGTCTGATTGCATTCCATAGTTTCATACTAAAAATTGAAAAAAAACAACTATTCCAACCTTGAAGAGCGCAGGTGTGCCACCAATGATCACATTTGAGGGATCAGCTGGGAGATAAAAGTCGTCAATGTCTAAAAATTCTTCAAATTCTTCTAGCCCCATATATCGGCGTTTGCCAGATGGAGAGCGATTACGCGGCCGCACAAAGAACATTTTTACAGTTATTTACAGAGATTTTTCTTTTGTTCTCTTTTCTGTTTAGATGATACAAAAAGATTTAGCTGTAAATTACCCGGGGTTTTTCGGGATCGGTGGATCGATTGGAGCTATTAGAGCTATTAAAGCTATTAAAGCTATTAAAAGCTATTAAAGCTATTAAAGCTATTAAAGCTATTAAAGCTATTAAAGCTATTAAAGCTATTAAAAGCTTGGAGCTATTAAAGTTATTAAAAGTGCTCATTCAAAACTGTATAACGACCTTCACTCACCAGTGAACACAACCAGATCGGCCCAAGGCTTTGTGTGTAAGAGGCAATTCACATGCGACTCCTCGATTCCACGAGAAAGTACCAAACCTGGATTCTATTTGAGTTCATAATTATTTTGAATCTTGAATCTTAGCTACTGATCTTAGAGCTTAAAATCTAGATACTTCAATTTAAACGAAACTTTATTACCGTTCGGATTCACATCAGAAAGAGTTGGCCACTTTGGCCATTCTCGAATCTCCACGTAACCTAAAGTTTTTGATGATAAAGTTTCTATTGATTCTATTGAAGTTTCTATTGATTCTATTGGTTTTTATTGATTCTATTGATTTTCTATTGAAATTTCTATTGAAGTTTCTATTGAAGTTTCTATTTATTTATTGATTCTATTGATTCTATTCATTGAACACACCTTTTTCTTGATATTTTTTCAAAATTGAATAAGCAGTTGTTGAAGCAGACTGTACTGGGACAATGATTTTCTGAAAACAATTTTAGCAATTCTTTTATCTCAAACTTGTGCTCCCATTGAAAGCCAAGTTTCGAGTCCAAGTAAAAGAATCTCCCACTCAATATAAATATACATTGGAGCCATGCATACCTAGGCTTTAAATAGAAAATTTTCTAATGATTTCTAATGAGCTACGACAAGATCCGCTTTAGGCCTTATGTGTTTAGGGATCTCCGGGTGGATCAATAGGGATTCCAGTGGGTCTGCCGTGGTGCCTATCCTGAATTTTTTTTTGTAAAAAGTACAGTGATATGATATTAATGTAAATATTTGTTTAATAATTTATAAAGCTTTTTCAAAACCTGAGCTCACGATGTGTATGAACCTCGACTTCACACTCGGCCAAGTGCCCAGCCCACGAGCAAATGTCGTTAGCTGCTCGTTTACCTATAGAATTGATTAGAATTGATTAGAATCCATTAGAATTCTTTAGAATCACTTATAATCCATTAGAATCCATTAGAATCCATTAGAATCCATTAGAATTGATTAGAATTGATTAGAATTCCTTAGGATTCATTAGAATTCATTAGAATTCTTTGGAATTCTTTAGAATTCATTAGAATTCATTAGAATCCATTAGAATTCATTAGAATTCATTAGAATTCGATTTCATAAAGAAATCATGATATTAAGATACGTTAAAAGATTTCAGATTTAAAGTACAAATGTACCTCGATGAATCCTCTGCACATGTGCTCTTGTGGTCATCGTTTTCCCATTGGCCATCATTGTGTGACAGTAAAGCGGATGTTCCATTCTTGTATCACCCAGAAAATGAACGATCTAGAATTTCAATTCGAATGGCTGACTGCTTTCAATTGATACCACGAATTTCCCATCGAAATTTTGCTCGCTTTTCTCACGAAAGAATGTTCCCAACAAAATTTGCCGAGAACCGATCTCTTTTCGGAGGAAAGTGTCACCTAGAAATTCATATTTTCAAAAGAAGCTTTTCTTTTAAAGAACCGATATTTTTCATTGCCCACATATTGATCGTTCTTTGATAAATAGCCATCCCGAAAAGAGTCGCTGACAGAATGAGCGCGATTCGAAAAATCTAAAATCATTGAATTATGAAAAGTTGAAAAGCTGGCTTTTCAAGCGCTTCACTTTTCAAGCTTGACTTGAAAATTTAGCCTTAAAACACCTACCGTAAATACTGTAATAGTACCCCACCTCCATAATGACGGTGCGGAGTGTCGCGTAGTCTAGCTTTGAACGAGTTTTTCTCGACACTGGTTTATGCTACAATAGCAATACAATTATCAAAAAATAGCCCTGAATTTCAGCTATTTTTTGATATCAAAGGCACATTTTTTGAAAGTACAGGCGCTTTGAAAAAAATTAAATACAAAAAAGCTTTTGCGACTACGCGACTGTACGACCGGGGGTGGGGCACTATTACAGTATTTACGGTATTAGGGATCTAATAGTTGTTTTAAATCATTTCCAAAAGATTATTTATTTGTTAGCAAGTGATTTCTAAAGTTTTCTAAAGTTTGGCCCTCTACCTGGGTCAAATTTGGTCACCTCTTTTGGCAAATTGTCAAATTCATTGTCATTGTCAAATTCATTGTCTTTTGACTTTTGTTTTTCAAAAGAATTACCCAATATTTCGTTTGTTTAAATGAATTTTTAAATCAACTTCGTTAACTACTTAAATTTGTAACATCAACATCAACAAAACATCACTAATTAAAATCATGAGCAACTGACAATCATTGAGGCTTCTTTTGACGTAAAAAGACGAATTTTTGTAGGCAAACGAGAGGAGAAACGCCGTAGAAAGGTGAACATGCCCGCCATTCCCATCACCACACGCACCATCCTCAAAAAATTATTCTTTACTCTTTCTTGTTTTATACCAAAACAAATATTAAAAGTAATTAAGAGGAAAAAGAAGATAATAACGAAGATATTTAATCGTTTATACCTGATAGATATACTTTCAAAAAGTCCCCTTGGCTGAATCTCTTCTAGTTTCGTGGAGAATTTAAAAAAAAAAAAGGGTAACCACGTAAAATCTAGCTAATCTGCCATATATTTTTTTGTATAAAATTAAAAATTCAACTAGAGTTTAGGAGAAACTTTGAAAGTATATTTGTATTTGAAAAGTATAAAAGTAAAGCAAAGTACTGAAGTAGAATCGTTTGAGAAAAGCCCACCTTGAGCACAGCTCCGCGGAATGTGCCTAGGATTCAGAGAATCCTAGGCACATTCCGTGGAGCTGTTCCGAGGTTTAAAATAAACACTAAATGATTTAATGTTTTACAATACTGTTAGCTTAAAACAAAAAAAAAGTGATTTGAAAATTGATCTTAAAAACCAATGAAAAAAAAAGAGAGGTTGAGGAAATGTTTGAAAGAGAAAAAGAAAAAGAAAAAGATGACCCACTCTGGTGGAGAGATTCATCCGAGATTGGATCTTCGGAGACGAGTTCAGCCTCTCGTTTACCTCTTTCCCTCTTTCACTCCTCATTCCTTTTATGCTCATGAAAATGAATTCAATCTTTTGTTTGTCTATTTTAAATGTAGTGATTGTTGTACTGTTGTTGTACCTTTTTGAGTGAATTCGAAATCATTTCGTCGAATAATTTCATAATATGTATTCATTTTCTCAAAGCAAATACCAAAGCTACATTGAGCCGCAACAAATGTGAAACAAATTCAAGAAAGAAAGGAAAAAAAAACGATGAAAAACTGGCACTCAAGGCCCGTAGCTGTAGTGTCAAAAGTATGGGACGCCTATTCGCTTCTAGTTATTTAAAAAAAAGAGAAAATTCTAAGAAAAGAATGGAATGTTTAAGATTGGAAAACGCTGAGCAAAGATCCTAGAAGTTATCACAAAAAAAGTGTGTGTAGGGGAAAAGTGTTATGGTAAAAGAAAACACGTCGAGTCACCGAATCGGTTAAAGTAGAAAGTAGAAAGTAGAAAGTATGAAAATTAAGTCAAATACACAGATAACATATAGAAGAAAGTACTCATTGGTTATACCATTCGAGCTTTTAATTTACATGTTCTTAGAACTGTGAATAAACTATACTTGTCTTTCACTTGTCTTTGATGATGTGAAAGAATAGTTTTCAGAGTACGGTATAACCTATAAGTACTTAAAAACAATTAGAACAATTAGACAAGAGTATTGTAGACAGCGGTGTTGATTCCACTGCCGTTTGAGTGCCCATTTTGCCTGGGAGTTGGCGGGTAGAGCTGAGGCGGTGAATCGTCCGAGGAAACACCAGCATCGCGCGAGAACTCCAAGAACACCTGCAAAAATGATTTTTAAACATTAACCATACAGACTTAATGTCCAAAGAAGTGCTTTAGTTTTACCTGTTCCAGAGTGGTTTGACTGAGCGAGTAGTCCTCAAAGTCGAGATCTTGAGCTATCCTTTCAATCTAAACCCAATTTTAGCTCTCATATTTCAACGCTTAACCAAACCTCCTCGAAAAGACTCGACCATGTCTCTCCATCTCTTTTCGGCACCTCGAAATTCAATTGCTGCACGTGCTCTTCCTAAAGTACTGAAGTAGAATCGTTTGAGAAAAGCCCACCTTGAGCACAGCTCCGCGGAATGTGCCTAGGATTTTCTGGGTTGCTTGTCGAGGATCTCGATCGGGCCTCAGTCGAACCAGCAGAGTGTACCCGGCTCCATAACTGGAATGGAAGATTGCAACTGTGAGGCTCAAAGCTTCCCATACCGACTCTTAATGTGCTGACAACTTCCATAGCATCGGAATTGTCCGTAAACCATGATGGCCAACTCGGTGCACAGTGCCTCGCACTCGTCCATCGAGTGCGAGGTCAACACGATAGCTGTGCCCTGTTCTCGGACCTGGAAGAGGATTTGTTGAAGAATTATTTGTTGTCTAATTGTTCAGTAAATTAAACCTTTGATAGAATGTTCCAAATGATACGTCGAGCCTTGGGATCAACTCCAGTAGTCGGCTCATCAAGGAGAAGCACATCCGGCAAACCAACTAAAGCCATTCCCAGCGAGAGACGCCTCTTGTTACCACCACTGAATTTTTCTATTCAACATTTCTGATGGATCAAATCTACAGTAGCACGATTTAAGAGGATTTAAGATTTAAGAAGTTTCAGAATATTCTATTTACTGTACTTATTGTTAGCTAGATACCTGTAACCCTTGATTTGTCTCTTCGCATAGATTCCGATACCGATAGCGTGAATGACAGCTTCAACCATCTAAATACTAGCTTGAGAAAATGTTCATGTACATTAAGATTTAAAAATTAATAAATAAAAATAATTTTAAAATATATAAGCTCACCGGCGGGATGTCTTTCTCGGGAATTCCACGAATTCGCGCAAACATGTACAGCGTCTCTTCACCGCTCATCTCCTTGATAACCGCGTCGAATTGTGGGCAATAACCGATGTTGGCTCCAGCCTGAAAATGATTATGATATTTTTATATAATAACTGAAACCATTCTATTTTTTTTCTTCTATTTTTCTCTTTCTCTCTTCTATTTTTTATGCGCATTATACTTGTGTCAGAATTGTTCCTGTTTCCCCTCCCGAAATAGCTTCTCCCATCGTCGTTCAATATTTTCAATAATCTTTTTAAAGCAATAATAATCTTTTTGTGAGTGGATGGGCAAAAACAAGGAAAAAACCAAAAAAAAATGGGGAATGCGTGCGCTAATTGAAATTTTGAGTTTACCAATATAACTAGACCGAATAACTAACTAAGTCTTACTCCAATGGGCTTCAAAATTATTAGCTTACGGTAAATAAAGGGATTTGCATACAAAAAGTGCTTACTTCAGCCCCCATGAAAGTCACAAGTAAACCAAAAAATCTTCTCACCCCTCTCCAATCATTTTGCACACTGTATCCTTTGACCGTTGCATCACCGCCTGAGATCTCGTTTTCACCAGTCAACATCTAAATAGCTTCAATTTTCGTATCCGATTTTTCCTCAAATGGTTGACTGGCTAGGAGCCCTGTATCTTGTTCGCGAGGTCAAGGGTTCAATCCCGCTGACTAGCTTATTGATTCTTTTTTCGCTTATATATATTCTTCCCTATATTTGGGGCTTAAAGGCTCGTGCTTTTGTATTGCTTGTATCACATTATTTATGTGAATTATTTGTATTTGTATTTAAAATTATTTGTACATTATTTGTACACTATTTGTATTTAAAAAAAACCTGGAAAGTGGTCGTTTTACCGGCTCCATTCACACCGAGAAGACCGAAACAGTCACCGATTTTCACGTGAAAGTTGACTCCCTAAAGATTTTTGATTAAAACATTAGCTATTTTTAACTTCAATACTTATATTTACTTTATGTTTTTTTCTTACTTTAACGGCGTTGAAGTTTCCGTACCATTTCTTCAAGTCTTTCACGACAACCGCTGTTTCTTGTGGGTCAAGTCGGAGGACATTCTGAAGAAAAACGATAAAGTTACATAAAAATTTCACATTCTGAAGTAAACCAATAATTAATTATGTTTCTTTTCTTATTTTATATTTTTATTGTACCTCCTTTTCAGCAATCACATCCGAGTCCTCGATCGATTTTGGTTTCTCATCTTCTTCCCAATTGAAGCCCTAGAATTTGAGATATATTGTAATGTAAACTTTTTATATAAATATATAAATACAATAATAAAACTATTGTATTTTAAGCTTACAGTATTCGTGGCTCCTCCTTGCGCATTACTCTTCTTTCCACAGCAACACGCTCCTTTCAACTTCTTGAACAGTCCAGTCTCCGTTCCATAAACGAAGAACCAATATGCAAAGCCTAAAACATAGTTATTTTGATATTCCAAACTTATCAAACCTTGGATAAACATGAAAATCAAGTAGATGAGCACTCCGTATTTTCCCGGGCTTGTCAATGGATTTCGCACATAAACCAATTCCGAGTCGTCACCGCAACACTCTCTAACGCCCAGTTTAAAGAAGGGGTCTTCGCATTTAATTGTTTCACACGATTGTCGACCGTATTCATTATTGTAAAGCTAAAAATTGATTTTAAAACAATTCAGGAAGTTTCTTACCGTAGTGATCACATTTGAAATGTTGTAGACGGGGAAGAGGAAAGAGAAGAAAATACTCCATGAGTGCGCCGCGTCATCGGATGCTGTTGACTGAATGATTGGAACGGCAATTGTGCCGATCATTCCTAAACAATGAATAATTTATTTACTGAACTACTCTAGCTTTATGCTCTATATTCACCTGAAATTATGTGGTACATTACGATAAGCGTGTAGCCTTTGGGAGCTGTGTTGAAAGCGAATGAGAACCAGTAAACGAAGGGAATGTCGTTCCATCCGAAAAGCAAAAAAGCTAGATATAAGGTACCCATCGTTGCGCCGCGTTTCGTGAATTCCTAAAATACGAAATATTACATTTAATATTTCTCACCAAACCTTGACACCAAAAGCGGCAAAGAGAATCATAAAGAAAGCGGCGGTGATCGCGTATTGAACTGCATCCCAAAGGAAAGCTGTCAGCCAGTACATCCACGCCCGAACTCCGCACAACATCTAAAGATATACATATCAAGAACAAATTTTCTATAATCTATCGCAAAATTTAAGCAAATTTGGAGATTTTTAAAGCTAAAGATTCAGTGTTTTGTCTCATTGCAGCTATCTAGCGCCAAGACTGAATATCCTTTGGCTCATTGTCTGAATTTAAAGAATATTTAAGTTAAAGACTATAGTGTCAAGTAAAAATTGATCCTCTACCTGCATGTGCTTGGATTTCTTCTTTCTTTCTCGAATGATGAAGGAGCAGAAACCGGAAACGACCATTGAAACGGAGACAATGATGGCATAGCTGAAAATATACAGTTGTATACAATAGTAATAGTAAGAAAATGAAGTAAAAGAAAAAGAAAATAATATTAAGACGCTTTTTGTAATGTCTCAAAACTATTTAACGCTAACGAACGCGATAAGGAAAGCAGCTCCCGATTGAACCTCTCGATTTTTCAAGTTATCAGCGGTGGCTGGTGGTAAGGGATGATTGATGACCTGGAAACAAATATGCTTAATAGCTGTATTTGTATTTATTATTAGAATTAGGATAAGTATAGATTAGAGTGTGTTCCTCGCAAGTAATGCACTTTTTAAAAAGCAAATTTGGGAAAAATCACTGTTACTTTTAGCGAAAGTTATTGCAAAAATCACGAGCGACGACTTATATACGGCTCCTTTTAAAAGATATTCAGCCTTTTAAGTGATTTGATGGGGAATTCCCGTCAAATGTAAAAATATTCAATTTACTCGACGTGTAAAGAGGATTACTCGTAGTAGTTACTCGTGCAAAAACGTCGATTAATCGAGTAAAGTTTACTGATGTAAATTTTACTCAAGTGATTACTTTACTCACAAGGAACACACTCTAGTACGGATAATATACCGTAAATACTGTAATAGTACCCCACCCCCATAAGGACGGTGCGGAGTGTTGTGTAGTCTAGCTTTGAACGAGTTTTTCTCGACACTGGTTTATGCTACAATAGCAATACAATTATCAAAAAATAGCTGAAATTCAGAGCTATTTTTTGATACCAAAGACGCATTTTTTGAAAGTACGGGCGCTTTGAGAAAAATGAAATACTAAAAAACTTTTGCGACTACGCGACTGTACGACCGCGGGGGTGGGGTACTATTACAGTATTTACGGTAGTATAAATCACTAAAGAACTTACATTAATCGTGTACGGTCCATCAGAAAGCTTTTCGCTCATCAACACCGAATCGGCGATACTGATCGCAAGCGCTGGTGTATGCAAGCCAAAGTTATTGAAAAGCGCTAAAAGATATTTAACATTAGGAATTTAACAGTTTTTCTTACCATAAACGTTTCTTACAGCAATGGTTGCATTTAAAGTCACGTCCTGGGATGTCAATGAGACGGGATTGTGTAGACCGAAGGCTCGTGAGCCCTGAAATCAAATTACATTTTACATAAACTATACAGCGTTTTGTAATTGTTAGGTAAAAATCGAACAAAATCCAATCCAATCCACCTGTTTTTTTGTTTGATCCACAATCGTCGCATAGAGATTTTCGGGACCCGTATTACTGTACACATCAAATTCGACCTTGTCAGCGCAACGTTCTTTCAGGGTTGCTCGCATGTTGCTAAATGTTTAAGTTTAGAATTTAAAATTTAAAGAATAATCGGTAAATATGGTGTTTAAATTAACTAACTCTTGCATGGTGGGATCACTAGAGAAATTGGCCTTTGTTCCATCACTTGAATACGGCCAAATGTTGATCGGCAGTGCGTCCTAGAGTTTTTTAAACCAACTTTTTCTCTTTCCACTTACTTGTTCTTTTGCTGATGGTTGCATTTTTGAGGTCCACAAGAGAAGTGCCAAGTATGCGATCTAAATTGAAAATTGATTTGAAATCTGAATAAGAGCTAGTGGGACCTAGTCAAAATAGCGCCGCCAAAACAGCGCCGTTCAAAACAGCGCCATTCAAAACAGCGCCCGTACAAAAGTAGCGCCAAATTGAAAGAGACTGCGATTAGATCTTTCAACCCCAATGTTTTTATACTTCTCATCAGAACTTGTAACTTTTGTTATTTTTTAAACATTTCTAAGCACCTTGCGTGTGTTTTGACAAACCGACAGATTTTATTTCATCATCAGAATCAGGTTTTATGGCTCATTTTAAATAAACAATGCGACACATTTTGTTTTTCATCGTTTTTTTCTTGTTTTTTCTGTTGATTGCTAAGTGCTAATTAGAAACTTTGTGTTTCTATCGTAAGCCATCATTTTCAAGCTATTGTCTATTTTACATTAAGAAAAGCAGCTAATAAATTTACAAAAGCTTTAAAAAATCTACCGGAATAATAAGTTGTGGGATGAAGATCGTCCATTTGCGAAGGAAATAAATGAAACGTTTAGTGAACATAGCCTAAATATGAGAAATTGAGAGAATTCGAGGAAAAACTTACCCGGAAATGCTGTAATTGATAGCTGATACCAGTCAATCGAGTGCGGACACGAAGCTCTAAAAATTTCAGTTATCGAAAAAAGCTTGTTGATCTAACGTTGAATGTATCGTTCTTGCTCTTGTAATGGAGTTTCATCGTTTTCTTCATCATACACTTTCATTCTCTCATCAGCCATATCTCCAACTCTGAAATTTTTGCTAATAAAATAATACAATAAAGAAATGGATAGCAAAAAAATTGGAACCAAGAGGGAATTGAATCTGCTTACCGGGTAGCTTACCTTCTGCTTCTGCTTCTGCTTACCTTCTGCTTCTGCTTCTGCTTACCGGGTAGATGAGCTATCGGCGCTTTACCACTACCCTATCGGCGCTTTACCACTACCCTATCGGCGCTTTACCACTACCCTATCGGCGCTTTACCACTAAGCTATCGGCGCTTTCTTTTCCCAAGAAGAAATAAGAAAGACAAAGAAGAAGAAAGGAAATAAGAGATGGATATAAGCATCTAATTTTACCTTGCTATTAAGTTATCTTTAAGTTTTTAAGAGTAAAAGTTTTCTTAGCTTTAATCTCACTTCAAGAACACTTCTTCCATCGTTGTAATAGAGACACCAAACGATGAAATGCCAAGCTTCTCTTTGTTAGCCTCCATGTCACGGAACATCTCTGGGAATCTAAAAATTTTCATGATAGTAGATTTCTGGAGAAGGGATTAAACCCTCGATCTGCTTTCCAAGCAATTGCTCTAATCACTGAGCCATTTGGTATCTTAACTTGCCAAGAGAAAGAGGAAAAGGGGGAAGAAGAAGAAAGGAAGAAGAAGAAGAAGAAGAAGAAAGGAAGAAGAAAAGTTACCTTGGTCGATTGCTGGCTGCGAGTAGGAAAGCGGCTTCTTGTCCAATGTGTGATTGCATCTCAGCATCGCCACAATATCTGAAATTTTGAATCAACTAAAGCTTGACAAATCTCAGTAACTAACTTGACTTGACTAGAACCTATTTCACAAACTTTCCTCACCTTCTCAACAACTCCAAAGTGTTTCTCACATCAGCCACTGCTGCTTGATTTTGCCCACTTTTCCCGTAAACCACAGTCAAATGGTATCCAGCGCCTAAGTCTTTTGTTTTCAAAGATTTTCCATAATCTCTTACCATATTGATTTTTCAGGAACATTCCACTGCCACAGCATTGCAATTCTCCATGAGCCATGATTGCAATGCGATCACCGAGTAAATCAGCTTCTTCCATGAAATGAGTTGTTAACAGCATTGTTCTGAAATCGATTTGTTTAGTGATGTTTAGTGATGTTTAGTGATTCATTTTTTGAATTAGATCAAGAACAATCAAGTCATTATTTTCATGCTTTACCGATTTTTCTTTTCCTCTTGCAATAGTGTCCAAGTCTCATGTCTTGCGCCTGGATCCATTCCTGAGGTCGGCTCGTCTAACATCACGATCTAGAAATGATTATATGAAACTATAATCATCTAGAAATCATCTAGAAATGATTGTAAACTGATTTATATCAATTATTTAATCATTTTAATCAAATCAAAACTCACTTCCGAACCACCAATCAACGCAATCGCTAGCGAAAGTTTTCTCTTTTGTCCACCCGACAAAGCACCAGCTCGGAAATCCTTTTTAAACTCAATCCTGTGAAATCTTTTTTTTAAAATTATTTATTTCTCTTGTACCTAAGTCGTCTTAAAATATTCAACGCTTCTTCTTCATCCCAAACTCGATCTTTCATCTGAAATGCGTGAATAACAATTCTGTTTCCCCATTTCTCATCTCACTTTACAGAAAAACTCAAGATGTTCCATTACAGTCAGTGTTCCAAACAAAATATTGTATTGTGGGCATAAACCAAGATGTTTTCTGAAAAGAAAATTAACAAATTAGGGTGAAAAGTATACATTTCGAGTGTCCCCCCTGTGTCCCCCTTTTGCCCCCCTAAGTGTCCCCCTCAAAGTGTCCCCTTTTTGTCCCCCCCCTAGTATCCCCCTATTTTTTTTCATATCAAATCACAACTTTTTTGCTCTCCAAATGTGCTTTAACTTTTTAAACTCAATGATCGGCAAATGCATCGAACTCGAAACATCTTAAACGGAAAAATTTAGGGGGATACTAGGGGGGGGGACACTTTAGGGGGACAAAAAGGGGACACTTTGAGGGGGACACTTAGGGGGGCAAAAGGGGGACACAGGGGGGGACACTCGAAATGTATAGTGAAAAGTTTGAAAAATCAAACCTGATTTGTGGTAAAGCGTCTCGAATATCGTAATCCTCAATGTAAGCAGTTCCACCAGATGGAGCGGCTACTCCTAAAACAAGAAATATAATATAAAATCTAAGCTAAAGTTTAGAAATCTAAAGTCTACCTGTCAACATCGAAAAAGTCGTACTCTTCCCAGCTCCATTATGTCCAAGTAAAGCCGTGATTTGACCGTGATACATTTTCAAGTTCAATCCATTCACCGCTTTCTTCACTCCATCGTTGCCAAACTTGCAGTCGAATAGTTTCTATTTTTCATATTTATATCAAAATATTTTAAGCTTTTAAACCTTAAAGAATGTATTTCCGTAGACTTTGCACAAATTGACAACATTAATCGTTGCTTGAAGGTTCGGTTCAGCTTCACATTTCGGCACGTAATCACTCTCAATCGCTTTCCCTATGAATACTTGGTTTTACGGTTTTTCAAAAAACAAATCTACCGGCTACTTGCTGATCGATGTTTCTTTTCTTAGCAGCATGATAGGGAAACCAGTATGATGGCTAAACAGTTGAAATTGAAACTGAAATTGAATACGAGATTACTTGGAACATAAAGTAGATCTTTTGAGGCACTCCCTCGCCTCCAGGGTTCACCGCTTCGACCACCCAAGTGATAAACATCATCAATAACCCTGAATTTATAAAGTAACTATTAGATAGTTCATTTAGTTAGTTTTAGAAATTGAAAATGTCTTTACCATCAAAGATGAGCATGATAAACATATGGCCAAGAGTGAGCGGATCATCGGGTGACGCCCGGCTGAACAAGATGCTCCATTTCAAACCATCTCCTAAACAAATTTTCATTTCAACCTTTTCCCCTTGTCCTAGACATAGGAAAATTTCAATCTGAACCTAATTCCACCTTCCAATTCCTTTTCTTTTTTGTTCATTTGCTCTGAAATCTTGTCTACAGATAGAGACAGCTTGTAGACAAGGAATCGACCAAGAAACGGCTGAGAAAACGATGGAATTAGGTTCGGTTTGGAATTTCCCCCATGTCCACCTTTTACTCACCCTGAGTCTCGTACTGAGCGACTTTATTGATTCCAAAGTAAAGCGCGTTATTCGGATTTATACAATTGATCATCCTGGCCTCAAAACTGTACGGAGAGGCGGTGTCCATTCCCGAGAAAAAGGCATACCTATTTTGTTTTTGTTAATGAATTCTTTGTCATCAGCAAGGCATAACACCCTCTCCATGGCCGCAGACCGCAAGCTAGTGTAGCTCAGTGGTAGGGCGCCGGCTTAGTAAACGAGGTTGGAGCCGAGTGGTCGCGGGCTCGAGTCCCGGCGCCTCGGTCTTTTGAAGATTCCGAGATCAAACTTTACCAAAAGTATAGCAACATCCATCCAGGGGGAAACCGCAAACTAGTGTAGCTCAGTGGTAGAGCGCTGGCTTGATAAACAAGGTTGGAGTCGGGTGGTCGCGGGTTCGAATCCCGGTGCCACCATTTTTTGTATTCCGAGGTCAAACTCTACCAAAAGTATAGCAACATCCATCCAAGCACAGCCAACATTGTCCCCGCCATTCCTGATTGCATAAAAGTGGAGACCATGAAAGCAAAATAGGTAGCGTTGAAAGCATAGAGCATAAAGAACAAGAAAATGATGAAAGCCATCCGATTGTTGAGCAACGACTTTCATCAGAATTGAGAGAATTATCACCTACAATTGTTCGACTTTTGACAAGAGGTTTCTGAATACCGAGAAAACGAGTTTGATATAGTTTGTGATAAAGTGAGCAACCCAGAGCACCCATTGCGAAAGACCCATCACTCGCATGTACTCCTAAAAAATAGAATATTCGATTGCTTCATTGAAATTTCTTCATTTCTTCATTGAAATAAAGGAAAGGATTACGATTTCTATTTAGCAAATAACTTTTTAAGTAAATAATTTGTTCAAAAATGTTTTACAATCTCTATTTTTTTTTATCTAGTCGAACAGCCATACCTTCAAACGATCCTCTTTCTCCATTGTGACCGTTCGAACGATGTAAATGACAGATGTCATGTATGAGAAAACGATCACAACCGGCAAAAAGAAAGCACCGATTTCGATGACTCGACGCGAATACGCTGGGAATGGATAACGTTGCAACTAAAGCTTTTCGTTTATATAAGCAATTTTGAGCGACAAACTTGGAAATTCACGAGCTTATCAACTGGGACTTGCTCAACATCTTCCGCTTTCTTCCCCAACTTTTTCATGATCAGCGCATTGTCAATAGCTTTTTGTATTGTCAAGAAACCTTCTTGCCAATAGCCTAAAATTTTATATTTTATAAATTTGATTTGATTATCAGTAATTTATCGAAAAGTATATCAAATTTTTTACCGGGATCTCCTCCATCGGTTTCTTTCCGATTGATCGGCCCGCTCACATATTGAACAGCGAAAATCTGCTTTGTATCCCAGGGAAATCCTTTTCCATCGTCTTCGGAACGAACCTGCAAAATTTCCTATTGATTAAAAGAATAAGGCTTGAGTTAAATTTAAGAAACAGGCTTAATTTTGGTTTAAAAAATTCTCTTAAAAAGGTTATCGAACGCTTTGCCCCTTTTGCCATTGGCAATAGAACTTTGAGCTTAAATCTCTTGGTGTTGAGCTTTTCAAATTCAAACATTCTTGGTATTATTAGATGCGCCAAGCCTTTCTCTATCGATTGGTATAAAAATTATTTAAATTGAAAAGCCTAACACGAAGAAATTTGAGTTTAAAGTTGGATTGCTAATGTTTCCCATTAGCAATCCAACTTTGAACTCAACTTTGAACTGGAGCACCAATCAAATGTCCCTTTTTCTTTCTTTAAAATCTAGCTCTTTAAAATCTAGCTTTAAAATCTAGCAGCCTTTCTCTATCTCTATCAAATTCTTTTAGTTTAAAAGTCTTTTTCTAGTTTATATTACTTTTTTTTTTTGTAATAATTCAAATCTTCTCAGATTTCTTTTTCTAATTCAAAAGACTCACATATCTTCTCTTCGTGTTGGCAAGCCGAATCGTATACGTGTAATTCTTTGTTTTATCAAAATTATACGCAATTGAGTCATCAAAAATGATTCCAGCTTAAAGAATGAAATATTTGAAAGTAGAGAATTTGAAAAACCCACCCCAAAGTGGATTGTCGCATTGTCGACTGAAACTGTCGACCATGTACTTTTTTAGAGCGTCCTCGGTTGCGTATGCTAGATAATTTTAGCATATAAATTATAATGAAACGCTATAATTGAGGATTTAAAAAGCCATTATAGCTTTAGCTAAGTTTTTCTTAAACTTACCCTCTGCAGTAGCATTGGTGTGGAGCTCGATATAAGGTGTGACAAGCTTAACTGGGAGATTTCCAACGAAAGCGCTCAGATTTTGCGTGTAGCCTGCCTGTAAAACTTTTTACTTTTTGATTTATTGGTTAATAAAAGAAAAAAGATTACATTAATGTTTTTAAAAAACCAACAATCACTAAGTCCATGATGTCCCTTGTGATGTCGGTTGCGGGTGCGTAAGCGAACAACATGTTCAGCTCGAACTTTGTTAGATTTGAATCGATTTGATCAATGTTTAGCTAAAATACCATTGTTGAACATTTGTCCTTTTATAGGTTGAGGCTAGGACTACAAAACATCGACAGCACCGGGATTCGAACTCGCCACCTCGCTTACCGGGCTTGCTTACCGGACTCGCTTACCGGACTCGCTTACCGGGCTCGCTTACCGGGCTCGCTTACCGGGCTCGCTTACCGGACTCGCTTACCGGACTCGCTTACCGGACTCGCTTACCGGGCTCGCTTACCGGGCTTGCTTATCGGACACAAAAACAATAGATTTTTTACAGAACTTACATCTAAAATCTGACACTCCATGGGGTTTCCAGTGACAAACACTTGAGAATCGATAATAGCTTCCTAGAGTTTTTTAGTTCAATAAAAATCAATAGTATGATAGTTTTCGAAAAAAAATCTTGGAATGACGAACTTGGAATGTCTCTTTATCTGGTGGATAAATGAGATCGATGGCTTGTCCAGTGACGGGAAAAGAATCATAACTTTTTTGCTCTTCATTTGTTTCAAAATTATTTCGAAGCTAAATTTTGATATTACAAAAAAAGGCACAACATTTAACGATGAATAAATCGTATTTTTCAACTCTTCACCCCAATCATAAGTCCAAACGCAGCACCGATGAGAATCAACGGCACAAGGAATTCCATTGCCGTAAACCATGGTGATCGAAGCTACAAAATCGCAATTCAATATAGAATGCTTTATATAATTAAGCGCTTCTTTCGAAATCTTTCAAATTCTACCTGTTGCTTCAAATTCTTCCATAACAGGAGCCGCAGCTGGGCAAAGGCGCCCATTTCTGCTCTCTTCTTCTCTTCTGTAAACGATTCTTTGTTTTAAAAATCACAAAGTTTCAAAATTAGAAAAAAGTTTCTAGCATTATAATCAATTGATAAATGAAATGGTGATGTGATGGGGAATTTTTATAAAATTTCAGCGCTCCGGCTGGGTTTCAAGGCTTTCTTATCATTGAAACTGTTGAAAGGGACCTCTTTGAACTCTCCATTGTCTTTTGAATCCTTTTTTTTTCGCTTTTTGTTCACTCACGATGAAATTGTAAATGGGGAATCATATCAGGAAAGTTTTTTTGGCAAGTTTTTGGCAGTTTTTGTCAAGTTTTTGGCAGTTTTTGGCCAACTTCTTGAGCAAAATGCTAGTACTATTAGAAAATTAGGAAAAGGATAAGCTTTTGACTTCTTACAGTACAGTCGACTATAACGGAATGGAAGGGACTAACAAAAATTTTTCGTTATATAGAGTGCCGTTATCTAAGCTATATAAGCTTAGTGTCAGGTGAGACCAAAATTGTATTCCTTTATTTAGTTTTCCGCTATATAGAGTTTCGTTCTAGAGAGAATCGACTGTACTTTGAAGTTATGATTATTATTCTTATTGTTCACTGAACTTAAATACAGAGTTTCAAAATGTGGTGAACATGTTGAAAGATCCATTCCACAGTTATTAATAAATCATCTCAATAAAGATCGCAAAAAGAAATTCCTTATCAAACTTTATAAAAAGGTTTTCAAAAAGTGCCCTTTTTTGGTCACTCGCATTTCGGCCCTCGAAATTTCTTCAATTGTTCGATCAATTGAAACACGTTCACATCAAATTGAAGCCTATTTTGTAGAGGAGACTTTCAACTAGACTTATAACTTTCAAATAGTATATAACATTCATCCATATCAGATTTCTATCGTTGGAAATTTAATGAAAATGTTGAAATTCGCATTTCTTATGCATTTACCTAATAGAATGTTGGAATGGAATGAAAAATGAAGTTTATTAAAGAATTATTTTGAATGATATTTTTTGGGCGCTCATTTTCCACTATATAGTCAAAACCGAACTCTTGTGAAAGTGGGGCTTTCAAAAAGTGCCCTTTTTTGGTCACTCGCATTTCGTCCTCGAAATTTCTTCAATTCTTCAATTGTTCGATCAATTGAAACACGTTCACATCAATTGAAGCCTATTTTGTAGAGGAGACTTTCAACTAGACTTACAACTTTCAAATAGTCTATAACATTCATCGATATCAGGTTTCTATCGTTGAAAGTTTATGAAAATGTTGAAATTTCTTATGAAAATCTGCATTTCTTATGCATTTCCCTAATAGTTTTGTGTCAGGTGGGACCAAAATTGTATTCCTTTATTTAGTTTTCCGCTATATAGAGTTTCGTTCTAGAGAGAATCGACTGTACTTTGAAGTTACGATTATTATTCTTATTGTTCACTGAACTTAAATACAGAGTTTGAAAATGTGTTGAACATGTTGAAAGATCCATTCCACACTTAATAAATCATCTCAATAAAGATCGCAAAAAGGAACTTCCTTCAAAAAAAAAAAACAATTTTCTTTCTGATGAACGTAAAGAAATTTCGGTAATTTAGCTGAACTAGTGAAAATAAGCAAAAAGCAAAAAATTCATTAAGCATTAAACATTAAGCAAAAAGAAAAAAGGATCAAAAGAGACACGGAACAGCTGCGGGGCATAAAAATTTGAAATATTTGCTTAAACGTTTGAGTAAACAGAGAACAAATGCACAAAATGGATGGTTGAAGAGGGAAAAAAAGAAAAAAAGAAAAAAAAAAGACTCAATTCCCACTCTGAATATCATTTGAAACCTAAAATTGACAAAAAGAAATAAAAAGGAATAAAGAAAAGTTAACGAGATTGAAAGCATAGTTTTTGGAACTTAGTAAAAGATAAAAGTATGGGTTTTGTGGTAAAAGAACTGAGTAAAAGTATAGTTTTGTGGTTATGATTTAAATGCTTTTGCTTTTGTACAGCTTTCTTTTGCTTTGAGTTGCCTGCTCTATACGCAACTAATATATACAACCGCTTTTTAACTTAAAGGAATGTACTTTTTCGGAAAAGCGCGGTAGAAATCAATCTTTTTTTGGTCAAGATTAAAAAAATTTCAAACTGCAACTTTACCCCTTCGATTCAGAACAAAATGTTCGACACGTTAGCTTCATTTTGTTCAGCAGCAGGGAGTTTCATTATTCTATTTGTTTTGTGAAAGAAAAGAAAGAATAATGCAATGGTTCATTGAATAGCTTTAATGAGCTCATTTGAGAGATTTTTGTTTAGCAAACTAAGTATTCGAAAAACAAAGTATTCGAAGCTAAGTATTCGAAAGTATATTCCAAGTATTCGAAAAACTGAATATTTATCCTAGTAAGGAAATAGAATAAAACAAAAGATTAAAAAATGTCTAGATGGATCGAAGAGTGGGAATCATTCGTGAGAGTGGGTGTTATCTCTGACTGCACAAAAAAAAGTCCCGTCATCGAAGCTGTGAATGGCGCTGCTCTCTCAAAAAAAATCTTCCAAATTTAACAGCTCTTTCTTGTCTTTCTTGGTCACCATCAGAAAAAAAAGATTGAATGGTTTACAGAAATCACAAAAAAACGATCAATTTATGCGTTTCAATGTGTCAGCCTAGTAAAATGATCTTTTTTAAGATTTCAAAAACTTAAAACGCTTAAAAACTTCAAACGTTTAGAGATAAACTGTTTAATTCAAATGTTTAAATATTTAATTCAAATGGTTAAATATTTAATTCAAATGTTTAAATATTTAATTCACTTTAAGTTTTAACAATAGTAATATGTAGAGCCTAAAATAGGTCTAAGCGGCAAAATAAAAGCTCTTTTATATCCCAATTGGTACAACTTTAGCCACAACAAAAACAAGCACTCTTTTTTGTTTGCTAGGATATAGATGAAATCTGAGCTGTCATGAGTAATAAAAAGGCTAAGATTGGCTCGGATATAGGTGCTAATACTAAAAGAAAACTTTGAAATCAAAAAAAAATCAAAAAGAAATCAAAAAGAAAATCAAAAAACTTCTCTATTTACTTCTTTTATTTTAAGCATTGTGAAATACGAGTGAAAAAGAAAGATCAAGCAAATAAAAAAGGTTTATTTGTGAAAATGTGAAAGAGTTTTGTTTTGAAGTGAAGTTTATTATTGAAGGGAACAGTCAGTTGATGGAAAGTTGAAAAGAAACGGGGAAAAGCTGAGAAGTTGTGGTTACTTGAAACGAGAATGGAAATGGGGTGAGGTAAGGAGAACGCTCGAGTCAAAGGGAGGCCGTGTGTAAATATCAATGCAAACAATCGCCTGAGGCCATGCGGGGCTCATTTTACAGAGAATTGCGAGTGTTTTTTTTGTGTGGTCGAGTGAAACTGCGTAAATCTAAAGATCAAACGCATTAAGCTTGAAAATTTCGTACCAAATTGTAGCCACTAAATAATATCGTAATTCTGTTTTCGACATTTCTTAGCTTATACCTCTGTAAGCCTACTAGTTGAACAGATTTAAGTGTAGAGAACAATTTCTTTATAGAGAATGTTTGGAGAATGTGTGTAGGGAATCTTTGTAGAGAATCTTTGTAGGGAATCTTTGTAGAGAATCTTTAGAGAATGATTTCGAGACGTTTTCGTGTTAAATTTGAATCTCTGTCGCAAATTTTAAATGTCTGACAAAATCTGACAAAAACAAAATGATTTGAAAACAAAAAAATAAACGACTCGAAATGGCGGCGACGTCGCATTCCAATTGACGTCGCCGCCATTTGGAGGCAGTCGATAGAAGTGCCGCGTCGTCGTTTAATTTTTATTTTCAAATCATTTGTTTTTCCAGACTAATTGAAATTATTCTTTTAAGCGATAAATTTTGTGTTTCTGTTTGAAATGAGGAAGAAATCTATTTCCATTTCGGAGCCGAGTGAAGAATCCGGAATTTTTCGTAGCCGGACCACAATGGGGGTCAAAACTAATTGTATGATGTTTTGGGGAGTTGAATGGAAACAACGAAAGCAAAGCTTATTTCTTGGGCGGTTACAAAACTTAATAATGCTATAAAAAGCTATACGAATGGATGAAAAGTTTTAAGCTGTTCGAGTATTGGATCTAGTTTTAAATTTAACCGATTACAGTTTAAAACCTAGATCTTGATCAGTGAACTTTTAGAAAAACAGTCAATTTGGGGATTTTGAAAGGGGATTGAAGCAAAGAGCACTTCAAAGTTCTGGCAGAATCAAGTGACAGAAAGTAACAGATCAAATTGTAAATTCTAAGCTTAACAGTACTCATAGCTTAACAGTACTCATAGCTTAACAGTACTCATAGCTTAACAGTACAGTACTAAATCTAGATCAATGATATTCTTATAAAAAACTCGGTCAAGTTGTGGATTTTATTTGAAGGCCGGTGAGTGGCCTATCACCCTTTCGGTCGTTCCGTTCTTTCCAAAAAGCCCTCCTTCCCTCGGTAAATACAAAAATTCTTCTTCAACCTTTGCCTCTTTTCCTCTCTTTTCTTCAAGTGATTTTTTTATTTTTCTTTGATGAATCATTTTTTGCCAAAAGAGAGGGGTAGACCCTTCAAATATGCCACTTTCTGATTCCATTTTTTATTCTTATCTTGAACGAGCGACTTGCGAAATACGAGTATCACGTCGTGTAACAGAGGAATTTCCCTTGCAAATTCGCATTTGTAATCCTGTGAACTCTGTGGGTCATCTGATGAATCACTTAAATCAAAAACGAATTTTTATGCTCAATCAAAAACGACTTTTACTTCCTTGACAATGACAATTCGAATCAGATGACAAAATTCCGCAAATTTCATTATGTGATATGAAGTTTCTTTTCAGTTCAGCCGATGATCTTCTAGTAAACACAAAAATGAAATGAAAAAGGTGTGAAGTGAAAAAGAAAAGGGCAAATTTCTGGACTGATCAATCATCAAAAGAACAAATTTGAAAAGGCAGTAATTCACAGAGAAA